TTTACAACAAAATGTGTGGACAGACATTCGAAAGGTGGTATCCACTTGCCTACTTTTTTTATTATTCTCGGCTTCAAACTCCAAAATATATTTTCTGTATTCACCACCATGTGATCCAGACTAATTGGAGGTAAGCTCGGGTTTTTCAGCTTCTTTTTGCTCGGTCTAGACAGTTTTCTTGTCTCCGATTACAATCGATCGGGCGAGTCTTGGTTGCCTTCGCACTCACGAGGTCCGTGAGGGTAACGATCGACGACGCACAATAGTGGAGCAAGCTGAAGGAAAGGGAGAAAGGAAGGGAGAAAAAAAAACCAGTTTACGAGTTTCAACGGTTTACTTCTCAGCTACGAACTGGTTGAGGTCGAGGGGAATGACACCAGTCGATCGGTCGATAAACCATCGAACTTGAGCTCACGAACGTACGTCGCGTTCTCTTGCCAGAAATGAGCTATTATGCAAGGAAATAGTGGTGCATGGATGCGGAGAACAATAGGAGTAGCGGGATGGCTTGGAGGCTTTGAGCTTATTCTTTCGGAATATGCATACATGCAACTACGCAGGATTATTTCGTTCAGTGTTTGGTGCTAGCTTTCTCCGCCCTGCATACGCAGCAAAGAGGGACTAGGTTTGACCTTGCTTGTGAAGTGGAGAGATGGCAGCCATTAGGAATAGTTAACCCTCTCTTCGTAGCTGGAGTTCCGTTGGTGAACGTGTATTACAGTAGACTCCTTTGACCAATGTGCTGGCGTGAGAGCTCACAATCATGGTGGAGAATCAATAATGGAGTATAGGACAGATAAGCCCTCTCCTCTTCCACGTGGAAACGAAATGTCGCCCCTTGCAGGTGTATTGGTGATCTTCCATAAATTCTCGGGTTCGTTTTGTGCCCTTTCAACGTCGCCGATCATGCGTCTCATGATGTTCTACCCCTCACATTAACTCACATAAGGGGCTTCTAGATTATTGAACTGATTGACGTGTGATTTGTGCTTTGTGCTTTGTGCAACCACTTCGAACGACTCGGCGTTTTCCAGTTCGTTGTCCTAGCTTAAGGGTCCTAGCGGTGATTTAGGACACGGAGATAATCAATTATTAGGTTGCAGACCATAGCTAGGTGATATATCTAGTTCCAATTGTGAATAGTTTACAGACTAGGTAGCGTTGGGTGTTTACAAGAGCATTTGGTCTATCGTGGCGGCGACATGCTAACCTTTTAAGTTTAGGACACATCTATACGTTTAATTTAGTTTTCATGAATTCAAAAAGTTCGTTTCGTTGATGTTAGTTTTTTCCTTGACCTGTAATTTGTATCTACGGCCAAGTGTTCTCAAATTGATCTTTAGTCCGGGTCCTTGTATCCTAATGGTCCCAACGTTGGCTAACTGGAAGATACGGACCTAGTGTCGCGCTATAGAATCACTGCATTGGGCACATGGCTTCCACGATTTTATAATATTTGATTATGTTCGTAATCGATGCATTGATCATATCTACTAATTAGTAATGCGCAGCATCAATTTGACAGTATTTCGGTCTCCTTATAGTCGATATAGTCTAAACATTGAAATATACCAAGAGGTCAGATTTTCGGCAAAAGTAGAGTATCGCGTTATACTTAAATTTATCTTATCTCTTTCATCTTGAACCCCACGTGGTAGACACAATCTTGACATGCACTTCCTCGCGCGCGCGCGGGTATGCATAATCGCACGAAGTTTCAAGATCCCGAGCGAGTCAATGCAAGGCTGCTGACGCATGATTGTCAATTAAGCTTGTGAAACCATAGACGCTAAATGTCTATCAAAGTCATAATATAATGGAAATTGACAAGTTTATGCGATTGACAACCTTTTGGTGAGAATTAAGCCCTGGTATACCGGTATCTGCCCGGTATATGAGAGATGCATGCAGAGCGGTCATGGTTTTGATCCCGGTGTGTACGGTGTACCGGTATGCAAAATTCTAGACTTTGATTAGTCTTGTCGTAGAGTTTGATATCATATTGTTTGATATCTTCATAGACTTGTGGTTTTTGGTGGTTTGACATGCCATATATAGAAGTTACAGATCTGAAACATCGATGGTTCCGCGGGGTTGGTGCTTAGGAATCACGATAAACCTCAGTCGGGAAGTTAAGTTGGTTTGATATTTGGATATAAGTTAGAGAGGGGTGTAAATTTCCGCCATGCATCGTGAGCGTATAACCTTAATAAGACTTTGAAGATTTTTACCAGCTGGCTAGGTGGCCCGTTGGGATGATGCTGGTTCTATCTTGATGAAAATTCAACAACTAGACTAATTCAACACTATAGTCCAGAAACCTGGACAGGATATTCCTGACGTTACTGGCAGAGTTTTACAGTGGTTATTGGGTTTGGCATGTGAGAGTAGCCTTGATGGCTACGGAGGATAGGATTTATTGTAACTTACCCGCTCCGATATGAAGTAAAATTTGAGCCTGCTGAATCAGAGTCACAAGTTGAGCGACCAACCATTAAGCCTATTGTCATCCTCAAGCAATTTCAGGTTCCCGAAACCAAACAAGGAGATTGTTACGAGGATTTTGGGGTCAGTGTATGGTATTATCGGGTTCAGGTTCTATTGAGCTTTCTGCGGCATAGGGTCCTACCGATGTGTGTTGTAGACGACCTCTGGTCACGAGACTAGGTTTCCCAACAGTTTGGTTACGAGGCTGGTTTCTCAAGTTGGAATAAGGAACATAGTTGATGATTTTGAAATAGATGGGTGGGGATATTATGCACATGACATGCTAAGGTCGTTCTATGGCGTGAGCTGCTGACTTCAAGGGACGAGTTTCCAAGTTGGCGCTTCTCACATACGGTGTCTGATTCCAAATCTTCTACTAACCTGAGGCCTGTTCCTACTAGTTTCAGGATAGACCAACAGGAATTGCGAAATAACTCGGATGTGAGCGAATTTAACAAGCAATATTTTGGTGTGCCGTCGGGATAGTGATTCTTGAAGAGAAAGCTCTGCCGGAATTGATGTACAGCTTCTCCATTGAATCCATGGATCCTCAGTACATACTCAAATATTAAGAGTTTTTATAGGCTTCCACCGCTAGAGTCATGAATTTTCAAGGATTCAATGCTTATATTTAACTAGGTATCTTAGGATTTCATGGGAGGTATATGTTGAGGGTCAGGGCGGTGGGCCTAAACAAGCAGGCCTTGAGGTTTTGCGTTGAAGCCACAAAATCCAACAAATCAGGTGGATATGGCAGCACAGGCCTGTCAGTTCACACTGATAGTTAAATCTGGCATGTGAACTCGATCTTGTGAGCATATGGATCCTTATAAAGGTTATTACCATGGCTATGCTTGGTTTTTTTTCTTTCTTTCCCTCGACTTTTGTTGAGGATGGCGCAGACATATATATCTTTCGACGGCACAGCTGGTTGGTCCTGACAGGACACAGGTTGGGCGCCGCAAAATTGACTATCCTAATTTCAAATCAACTTCTGCGGAGACGCCACTTCTTCCTGGCCTGATAATTAAGTTAGTCAACAAGTACGTAGATGGTATCTTTGACCCCCCGGCAGGCCCTAATCTAGGTATTTTTGACTCGTATAGCTGTGAGGTTTCTATATCGGATTCAGGTCCATGCAACGACAAGCTTCACTTCCAACACATACGATAGCCTCGTAGTAACCAGTGCAGTGCAGCGCAGTGCTTAGTACCCTGACTAATATAATATGGCAACCATCAGGATGGACGGCTTCGGTATCTCGATATGCAAGATAACTCGCCTCGCCCCGCATCCGTCGATGGAGCCATCTACTGTCGTCGCTGCTACTATTTTTTCCACCTATTCTTGGTCGAAAGTGGTCTTACTCAAGCCCCACCTTCGTCATCCAGCGCCAAAAATCAACGACAAACGTCATGGGGTGGGAAGGAAAGGCGGTACCTGCGGAAATGATATCACGGGAGCCGTAGACCCAGGAAAAATTATCCATCCTAAGAAATCCCAGGTGTATTTCCCCAGCTACTTTGCAGTGGGAGAGTACAGGCTGCCCTGCATATGACTCGATGACTCCCACCAGGGTTTCTAAGTGCCCTCCGATGGATGGTGGATGCACAGTACCACTACCACCAACCTCTTTGGCCCCTCCCTTTTTTTCCCTTTGAGATGGCACAGCATCTAGACTTCGAAGGAATGGGATCCTCACTAGCCACCTAAGCGGCGAGTCCCACAGAAATAGTTGAATCTCGACGGTTGTCTAGGACCCTCACGCGGGCCGCTCATACGCAGGTACGATTTTTCAGGGCACCTGAGAAGGGCTTACGGCATCAGGAGGCTCTGCTTGCGCTCCTCGCAAAAGTGGAGGGTGTTTGGTCTGATTTTTTCTACGCTTTTGGCCAGTCCTTCCTGGCATCGGCTGTCGCTGTCTCTTCTTTCTCTAGCTCCTTTGGCTTCTTTCTGGTAAACGTATTCTAATTAATAGCAGCATATGCATCCTTCCAGTCAGCGTTTCTGAGAGCCTAGTCCAGATTTCTTCATCTTCTCTTGGGTTCTGTCCGACAAATAGATATCATACCACTTACCATTTCGATACCTTCTATCAAATAACATCATCGATCGAGTGCAAGTGGGCTGCTTTGCTTTGGGTGGGTTTTATTTGCAGGTCCAAGTACGTCATATAAAGGGTGACCTTTCCAACGTCAAGTGCTCAGGTCGGCAACACATCCCACTTCTCGAATCTTCTTCAACCTCGACCCTGTCAACCACAACCACCAACCACAAGCTGACATCTATCTCCCTCCACCAAAATTGCAAATATCACCACCATCATCATCCAAATCCCCCGATAGCATCTTCAAACTAATAGATCTCACGTCTGGCCTTTGGATCTCTGAAAAAGAGCTCTTCCTCCCTTCCAATCTCTCACGGCGTCTACGAACAGCTGGAAACCCCGCACTCCGTCCGGAGACGTTCCTTATCATTATCGGCAGCTGTAGCTGCTCTGTACGGCTTAAACTATGTCGTACCGGGGCGGGGAGTACGGCCACGGTGGCTATCATCAGGACATGCCAGTAGCCCAACTCGGAGACATGATTGATCCGGAAGAGTTCCCGAAGGTAGCTCAGCATCTACAGTCCTTACATAATTCCCATCCAGGCTCTTCATCAGGCTCGACGGGCTACCCGGAAGATGCAGCTCGACATATCTACGTGGATTCAGCCACCGGGAGTCACTACTACACAAATGAAACACCCAATTCAATAGCCCCGTATTCCGGATATGGCTACATTCAAGCTCCGGAGTCTAGCTCTTCTGCTCCACACGCGTTTGCAGGTGCCATGCGAACTCCTGTTAATGCCAGTTTTAACCATGGTATGGGCTATTTTGACGCCGGGTGGCCGACGGCCCCCAATCTCCCCCTCCCCCCCACTCCCATTCAGAGCATTCCCTTCCCTTTAAATACACCTTACACTAGCCCAATTCATAACAAACGCTACTCGACAATGACGACACCGAGCACACCGACATCTTACGGACGTCCGTTTCCTGCTCTTGGTAACGGGACGCCTCAGTCGACTACAAGTGCTTATCCACCACCAACTACGTTGTCTCTTCCTCCTCCGTCTCCTGCAGTCTCCTCATCAACTTCGAGCTCCACCAAGCAATCAGTCTTTCAACCAACAAGACGTTTTAGCTATGATGATGGAGGACACTCAACTCAATATCTCACAAATGTCTCCAAGAAATACCAGGACTTCATGCAATCATTCTCAAATGGAATCGAAGGTACGTCTACGGCAATTGCCTCTGATTAGGGTTCAACACGAAAACCAGAAGCGACTTTAGACGAATCCCTCGATTTGCATGTTGCTACGCTCCTGATGTACTAAGCTTCCTCTGGCTCAGTGCTTTTTGTTCTTGGGGATCATCTCTCTACTTTCTCATCTCACGCAATCTTCAAACGTTTCGAAACCATACATGTGAACTGATTTGGTCTTTTATATATAGGACGGGATAGATATGAACCGAGCCAGGATTCGGACTATGAACCTCGTGGCAGACGGCCTACTTACTATCGGCAATCTATGGAAGGCTATATTACTCCTGGAGCGAACGTCCCACGAACCTCAACAAAAACACCCGGTCCTGGCGGGGAACTCTCTACAAGGCGAGGTACAATAGCCGCGATCCACCAGCCTCGCCCGCCAAACTCACGGCATAGTTCATCTGAGAGCGGCGATGCCGAACCCACTTACCGCCCAAGCGGACGATATGACGATTACAATGGAAACCCTCGTCCCAAGGGAAAGTCAAGACCTAATTCGTTCTCTTATCCTCGGCCGACGGACTCAGAACCAAGTTTCTCGGCTAGATACCCCTTTTCACCAGATATGGATCCGAGATCCTCTACTGGTTCTTTGGGAAATAGATACAACCCGCCTGCTGTTGTACATCAGCCAGGTGACAGGTATTACAAGCCGTACGAATCGCCGTCTGGGCCAGCAATCGTCAATCCCGGTGGCCGAGTGGGAAGGTATTACATTCAACCGTCTCAGCCAATCGAAAACTTCTATTATCCTGCGATACCCGATGAACGAGAGAGACCTAGCTTCGATGCTCAGAGACAACGAGCTCGATCTAAAAGCAGATTTCGTGCACGAACTCCCGCTCCTGAAGAACGTACCTCAGCATCCGAGGAGGAAAAATACAGGGCTGGTCTTATTAGAAGCAGACCGAGTTCTCCAACCTCGTCACAACCAAGAGGAAAGTCGAGAAGAAGACGGGATTCACCTTCTCCCGGTGCTTACAGGGCGAAATCACGTATGCGGTCAAAATCTCGTCCACGCCCTGAGATCATCCAATCTACGCGACCCCCTCATGGTGACTTGCCTGCTAGACCCGGTACACCCGGATCTGCTCGACCGAAGACACCAATGCCAGGAAGTTCTGGTATGGACGCAGAGGCTATGTTTAGGATGGAATCTGAACGACAAGAAATGGAGTACGAGAGGTCGAGGCTGGAAGCGGAACGCGAGAAGGCGAGGTTGGAAAAGGAAAGGGCGATCCAGGAAATTTATGAATCTATGGAACGAGTAAACTTGGACCAAGACTCGCAATCTCGAGGTAGTGGAAGGGAGAGCTATGGTTTCCAAGAACAACAACAGCAGCAGCAGCAGCAGCAGCAGCAGCATCAACACCAAAGACATAAGTCTCGCGCTAGGTCCCGTCACCGCGACCACCACTCTCGAAGCACTAGCAATGAAAGGAGTGAAAGGGACAGCCAGAAAGACGGGCGCAGGAGGGAACGTGAGCGACAGAGGGATAGTGAATCGGAGAGAGAGAAAGAACGAAACAAAGCTGAGGAGTATGAGAAGGAATTCAATAGAGATAGAGAGAGGGAGAAGGAGAGAGAACGCCGTGAGAGGGCACGTGAAGAGACCCTATCGAGACTTAAATCGGAAGCAGCGGCTCCTAAAGTCACTGACCCCGCGCTTGCGAACCCCATGGTTGAAAATATCAATCCTCTTGGGCGTAACAACCGTGAACGTGCGGGTGTTCAACCCGGGCAAACATTCATTCGACCAGACCTTCTGTGCGCCATGAGGTCACTCAAACTCTGCGTCGTCGAGCACGATCCAAGTGACGATCACGCACATAATCAACTCTTACGGTTGGACTGCGGCCACGGGTACCATGAAGATTGTTTGCGGAGTGCGGTGTCTAGCAGGGAGAGAGTCCCGCTAGCTCAGGTTGATTTGGAAGCCGATAAGCTATGGTGCGAGAGATGCAGGGGTATATTTGGCAAGAAGGCTGGAAGGTAGAAGGAAGAAGATTTTTTTTCCATATTGGCATCTTGATTTGGTGGTTTTTTCAATACAGTGAGTTTTTAAATTAATCTGACGACTAGCAAAAAGAAGAAGGATGGCTTATGATGGAATGGATTCCATGTTTTGTCCTATGTAGAGGGAGATACAAGCGTCATTTGTCAGCCCATTAGATGGACTTTTCAAGCCATACATTTTGTATTGTTCATGTTTGTTTTTGCGAACTCTCTGGCATAACAGCATTTTTGTGTTCGTTTTTCTAAGGTTTCAGATCGATTGTTGGGAATTTTGCTACTAGGTTTTCGATTTGCATTTTGCTCGCTCCCCTCTAAGCTAACTAGCGTGGTTCGTTTTATTTGAACTATACATACATTATTCTTTGTAGCAATACTACCTTGTTATCAGTCCTCTTTTAATCTTGTTTTTCTAGCGGGCCTTTCCTTTTTTCCTAATTTCGAATAATCAACTATACGATTTGCATCTGAAAAAGTCTAGGCTTTCGTAACTTCCTTAGCTATTTTGTAGTTGGTTAGTTTGGTATTTCTTAGTTTTGGAGCTTTGTTGGATAAAACATAAAACCTAATGCATCCGATCGCAGTAGCAAGTGCTAGTTTTAGTGGATATGAATACCTAGTAATTTTGTGGCTGGCAAGGTCTTGCTCTAGTCATACTCGTCTAGGGCGTTTCCGTGAGGTCGTTGTCGCATTTCCGGATTTCCAAGGCATGGGTTTTCGGATTGACCGATGTTCGGATCTAATCTGATAATCAAAATGAGATTTTATTTCCTTTTAAAAAGTTCGATCTCCAAATGTAAGGTCGATGTATAATACAGCGTGATAAGTTACGGGAGTAGGTTATAGTTAGTAATTATCCCGTGTCAGTAACGTCAATCATACGTCTTAATTACATAACTTAGTATTGAATCTTGGTACCTTCCGGGCAAGGAAAGTTTCAAAAGTACCATGCATGAAGCGGATTTCCAAAGGTAGCTAACGAACCGAGAGTAGAGTGCATATACTTTATACGGTCTAGGACCTTGAATCCCGTGCGCATTTCTAGGACCATCGTCGGCCGACACGTGCACGCAGAGGGAAAAAAAACAATGAAGTTTAAGTCTACATCCTAGCACCAGTCCAGTTCTACATGTCATGTAATTTGAGTTTTTTTTAAGATTTTTTTTTAAAATTTTTTTTTGAAGTATTTTTCTGATTGATGTTCTGCCCCTCATATTTTCTCTCTTTCTTTCTTTTTGTTGATGCTGTGAATTCAATTGATCGAGAGCGTGCCTGTGGGGACAGAGTTAAGACGAATTAAGAAATTGGGCTGAAATTAGCGTAGTAACCCTAGTTAGTCGATGCAAAAGATCAGACTGGAAGAGGATGGATCCCACAGACCCCACCAGTACATGAATTTTTGAGGGGCCAGTGATGCAATTGACATCCGTTAGCCGTCAAGACCATCAGCTTTGTTTGTGGTCTTCTCCACAGTTTAGTAAATAATTGCTGTTACTGTCGTGCGTGGGCGTCTGAAGTTCGAGAAATGTGTGGGAAAAGCAAAATACCACACCGGATTAGTCATCATGAGGCTTGTGTTACCAAGCTTAGAGCTCCCCTGGGTCCTGGTTTGGGTAACAATCTGCATTCCAGTAGTATTCCTTTGTCGACGTCGGTTTGTTTGTGTCACCAATCCAAAAGCTATTTTGAACCTCTCTCGAAATGCTCTCCACCGCTTTTACTGTGTACCCGTAGTGTCATGCTACTTTTTATTTTTTATTTTATTTTTTATTTTTTATCTTTTGGATCGTGGAGCTACACATTGAATTGCGCTTTGGGATGATTAGTTGCACTTCGCTTTGGGAATAGGGGTGACTTGCATAGCTTCGTTTGGTGGCTGCATGTGCATGCGCATTTCATTCCCGATCATTCGATCGCCGTGAGGGAATAATAAAAGTGTCTGCCCTAAGTTGCGCCTTCTAGACGCCTTCCAGCCTCGATGCTGCTCCTGTACGATGCGGATAATTCAAGCACATCGAGCCAAAACACCACTTCGGTCACGATCACAACGCACGCACGCCCACAATGTTCAGGAAGGCGCTCCGAAAACTGCATCTACCAACTGCCAATGGCATTGATGACAGGGTAGTATCGGTAGATGATCATCATATACATGCCCTCCCTTTCGATGGTCAAAGATACCGATCTGGCGGTTCGACGGAGAGCTTTCATGTGTCGCAGAGTGATGCATATGAACCTCCATTTTTTAAACTTTCATTCGATGTTCTTGAGATAGTCCTGAAATACCTCTCCTTCCGGGATCGAATAGCTCTTTCCCTTACGACCAAGGGTCTTCGTCATCTGGATCCCCAACAAATTTATGCGAACTCGTCTACCCCCATAACCAGCCCTCGCAATCTGCTGGGGGCGGCGGAGCGCATATCTCGACAGCTCCTTCCTCTTCGTCCGGAATTCAAATTCCGCGAAAAAATTTCGAGTGCTGGGGCCGGGAGGCTAGCACAAGATGGGGTATTCAGATGCCCATATTGTTTCCATGAGCTCTGCCCACCAACATGCGGGACAGCTCTTTTTTTAGACCATGCCACCGGCATATTCTATCCACGATCTCTATTTCCTATTGAGACTGCCGAGTTTTACTATTCAGTATCTCGTTGCGAATTTCGTCCGAAGGCAGAGATGGAAAGAGATAACCCTGAACCGCAGGGGGCCTTTTATTCAACAATTTGGTGCCAGCACCATCGTTGTCCACGAGATATATTGCTTAACCAAAAGAAGAATTATAACAAAAAGTATGGTAGTGGCTTTGCTCGTTTCTGTTTTGAGTATGAGGATATGAAACGATGGCAGGCACTACGGGCTAGCCGACAGCCATTGGCGACATCTGCGCGTGTTAGGTGGTTAGTTGGACACCGAAAACAGTATCCACTGTACTTAATCGCTGCTGCGGCCGGTCTCAAAGCTACAAATCGGAAAGAGCGTTTAACGTGGGGCGCGAACCGCCCCACGGAGTTGGAGAAACATTGCTGGATGGAGCCGGTGTATGAAAAATTCTTTTATGAAACGGTATGCAGACACTGCTTATTGCCACTCGCCTACCCTGTCGCAACGGGTTGGAGGGAGCGATACAAGAAATGGTTCGGCGAAACCTGCCGTTGCGAAGCCCGCATGCCGGGCGGATGCAGAAGGTGTGGGGTGGTCAGTGTTAAATTTACCATGGTTGAGGTGTTCGATACCTTCCTGCAAATATATTCTGGGACGAAGGGGCTTGTGAAGCGAAGGAGTTACTGGTTGTTTCTCGCTAAAGAATGCGAGATAGCGAACTACTTTTCCGGCCAGAACAAATCTCGACTGAAGTGCGTCTACCCTCTTGAAGCGGAAAGACGTTTAAACATCGTTCGAGGGGTCGAGGTTGCACTGATCGCGCGGCCAAGAATCGGACTGCAAGATCTGCCGTATCAGACCATCCTATGGATCATGACACTGCACAATCGAACTAATGATTTCCATACGAGCGGGTACAATGAAATGGTTCAATCGAGTTATATATTTCTGAAGACTTGGTATGGAAGCAGTGCGGCTGTGATGGCGCGCGACACTATGGACATGTCGGCGTGGCGGGACCGCATTAATATGTGTTGGCCTGAGGCCAGACCAGTGAATGAGGGTGACACGGTCGAAGTCAAGTACGGTAATACTATAGTATAATGTGTATATACTATACAAACATGACAGGCGCAGGCTTCGAGGCGAGGGAGACCCATGGTGATACTGTATGTCGTACGCATGTCTCAGATGAGAGAACGTTTGCAATGTCTTGCTGTGCTATGGCTGATTGGGGGGGAGACCGAACACCCACGGAATGTCTTAGTTGGTCGAGTCCTGGTGGGTCTGTCCGGGTTTCTCATGCATGCGCATGTCTTAAACTTGTCCGACTGGAACATCATCCAACAGAATATGTAGAACAGAACCAGGGCTTGGTTCCCGATCACACGAGGCTTAGTAACATGAACTAGCTCCTATTATCGAGGACGCACTAGTAGTTTAGCTCAACGACTCAATGCCTTTAAAAGCTGGCTACTGCTCGATGGGACTAACATTATATTAGAAAAAAAGGTAAGGCGTTCCGATTTCTAGTTTCTACCCCTCTAAACAGCGATATATTATATCTTCGAAGTTATAGAAACAATAAGAACGTCAAGCGCAGACGGACCAATTGTTTCTTGATGACTCTGTCGCTTTTATCATTGGCGGATTCGCCTGAGCTTTTCTCAAACATCATTGCTTACCTGCATCGGACAGATACGTTTTCGCTACTCCTGACGTGCAAGTCGTTATACCCGATAGCTCACCAATGGCTTTGGTCCACGCTCGACCTGTCTGAATATCCGCTTTTCTTTAACCATGAGGACTCCGTCAGCAACCAGGGTCGTTATAAACTCGCCCAATTACTCAAAATTTACAGATCAGATCTATCTGGGTTGAAGCAGATACAAAATATACACCTAAATGGCGGGGTATTTTCGAAAACGAGTGTGACCCGTACAAGTGGTCTGATGGGGACATTGGGTGATCAGTTATACAGACGGTCGATAGAACCCAGGCATGTCAGTTTGGATATTTCTAGTACATGTAAACGACCCTCAACTATAAAACTCTCCTACAACAGAGGGTCCACCTTTTGATTTATCGATTTCTAAACGATTGCTTCTCTCTTCCAAATTATAGGCTGCGATATCGGTTTAGAATACATAAATACATACTCTAGCAAAGATGGATTATTTTTTCTCCAGGTCCTCAAGGATTATTCGCGATCGAGAGCGCCTGTATTCTTTTCCTTACACTTGACCACGGATTTTATAGGCCCGACGTTACACCGAGACAAATTTAAGCATAACCTTTCGGATATCCTCGATTTGACGAAACTTACCAAAATCAATTTAACGTTATATCTCCGCAATCGAATACTCTCGTCGGACGACCAGGAAGCTCTGTGGGATAGCGGCGAGGAATGGGAGGACAACCAACCAGGAAACCGAAGCCCCCAACAGCGATTTGCAGATTACGATGTCATCGGCGATAGTGACACGGGGAATATTCGAGAACAAGCGAAACTATTATCTGGCCTCCTTTTTTCAACTCCGAACCTCGTCCATTTATGTTTAGCCACAAATAGCAGTCGCTACGAACCCGTCGAACTATACAATTTTGCCAAGGCGCTAAAGGCTCTCCAACGGACTGTCCTTGCGCTCCGAAAACTCAGAGTCATGGAACTCCACGGCCTGATATTCCATCCCTGTTTCTTCCTACACCCCCCGGAGAGCGTCAGAGTTTTTAGAATCGAAAGTGGGGGTACGGGAAATGTATCCGCTGCGTGGTGGAAGAAATTCGCCGCTTGCCCCTTCACGAATGTTGAGGAAATGACACTAAATACCCAACATATGGCCCTCGGCAACTGGACATCCAGCGACGACGAAGAAGAACAGCAGAATGACATCAAATTTTGGATATTCGGAGTAGGCGATGTTAGAATGGAGAATTTGAGAAAGTTTAGGGCACCGCTTTTAGAAACATTGCAAATATCTCATGGACCTTTGGATCTATTGGAGTGCGTTCTCAAAAAGAATCCGAAGTTAGACGAGGATTCGGTTAAACGGTTATCTGCGGCGTGTATGCTTGATAAAGCTTATCAAATGGAAACGGCGGACCTGATGGACGAAAATGTATACTGCGATCAAAACCAGGTTTGCTGACAGCTAACCTTGGTGAAGCAGAATACAGAGCCCGCAAGATTTGAATTAGTCGAGAAGGGTAGAACTTTTGTACATATATGTCTTCGAATTTGGGGAGGAAATAACGATATTAGAAGAAACACCCGCCGTAATAGATCATTGTCCTTCATCGGACTATCGACGGCATCTTAATTAATTAATTTAAAGTAACAACTACTACCAGCCTTGCCGAAACCGCAAGCTAACCATGCACGCTAGTTAGTAGTATGCAGCTTCAGGATCGGAAGAGATAGAGTTCGAGTTGAATCGGAACAGATCAGACGATAACTGCAGCGACACGTTGTGATTGAAGCCGTTAACCGCGAACCGAACTCAAAAACTCGAACATGAAACACAAGCCATGCCACCAAACCCTGACTATAAAACCTCAGCTTCCAGCCTCATTCCTGAAGTCTAACTTGATGTTACCAGCTCGAAGCGTGGCGTCTACGATATGTGTTGGCGTTGGCGTTCATTTAACCCAGCGAGGCTCCGAATGCGACTTAGGCAGCCGCCCTGCACGGTGCAGTTCTGCATAGAGCTAATTCCTATGCATGCGAATAGCTCAGGTGATATATGTTTCGAATTCTCCTGTGTGCGCATTTCTTGTTTTCCGCGGATATAAATCCGACGTGACGGTTTATCCGATCCTTGAAGTGGCCTTCTGAAATACATCGACCTCGAACGGATATATCAATACTACTAAGTACATACTACTACTAGCTACTAGCTATAGCTACTACCATGTCAACCTTCCAAGGTTTACCCCACAATTCATTAGCGGAACTCGATGAGGCCAAAGTGGACCAGTCTCCACTATTAGGCTTGCCGCTAGATATTTTTCTCCCAATATGCGAATACGCGGGTCTAAAGAGCCGAATTGCCCTTTCGCTAACCACGAAGCGGCTGCGATATCTCAGTCCTAAAAAGGAGGACATGACATTTCCAGAAACACTCTGCGTTTCTAGAATCTATCGACAAATCCTCCCACCTCGTGAAATAGAGTGCGTTTATGCAGGACTAGGTCAGGGGCCGGACCCTGAAGAGGCTGAGAATCAGACGATTAAATGCCAATTTTGTCTTGCGCCGTTGTGTTCACCACGATGTTCAACAGCTCTGTTTCTCGATATTGCTACTGGGACCTTTTACCCGGAGTCACTTTATCCTGTCAGCAGAGCAAAACTTCTATGGTACCCAGACACTACGACTAGGGATCATGAATTTGCGTATTCCTGGAAACGTTTTCATTCTAGCGCCTTCAAAATCGGTACTACTTACTCTACAATTTGGTGTGAGCACCATCGATGCCCTCGAGATATATTTGCGGCTTCGAATTCAAAGACTCCAGCGAATAAAAAGGGTAGTGGGAAATCAAATTCAGCAAAGGAGAAGACCAAACAAGTTCTCGAAAAGTTGAAAATCGGATCATCAAAATCAAAGCCACTGCCATTTCATCCAATAGAAAAACTCAAGTTTGAGATAGACCTGTCTGATGTACTCAATATTTGTCGCGGTGGTCATGAAATCTCACGGAATTGGATGGTTAGTCGATTCTACGTTGGCGACAGGGCCATTCCTGAACCAACCTACCAGAATACCGAGCCTGTCTACGAAAGGTTTTTCTACGATATTCTCTGCCGCCACTGCCTCCGTCTCCACCTAATAGATCAACCTCGTGATAGAATCGTCCCAACAAAAGCCTGGACCGATGAATACATCTCCAGTCTAAGCTGTGTTTGTAACTGGACTGGCAGGTTAAAAACAAGTGGTTGCGGAACATGTGGGATATCTACGGTCAAATTCACATCCATCGAGGCTTTCGATCCAACGGTGGAAACGGTAAAAACCGAGACGGTGAAGCAAAAATATACACTTTACCTCGCTACAGAATGTAGAATTGAAATAGCTGTTGGAGCAAAAAGACCAGGCAAAGTGGAGTACCGCAAGCGAGAAGTCGATGAGTACAACAAATGGAGGGGTATCGCATGGAGAAGTAATGGATTCAGGCCGTCGGAGGAACATGGAACGGACTTTGAAATCCAAAGGATCGTCCCCCAGTCTCCGGAAATGGCGCAAAAACAATTAGCAATTGTTAGAGGAGAACAATTTGCTGTCTTGCCGCCGCCACCAAGAGTAGGAATAACTGATTTACCATATCCGGTGCTGAAGAAAATTCTGGTGTATATTTTAGGGGAAGATGGGGAAGGAGTCATGGAGAAGGATGGCCTGTCGGCGTGTTTGAGGACGAGTTATGAATTGTATAAGGCGTGGTATTGTGAGGATGCGGCGTCGGCGGCTTTGGAGTGGATGAGGCAAGAAGTTAGGGAGACTAACAAAGGGTTCTACTTTTAGAATCGGCAAAATATCCTCTCTTTATGGCTTTATTGTACGAATTCTTAAGATGATTATTCTTATAGATGTACTGATCAACGGTAAACTTAAATGAATTCTTGAAGACATCTTATCGCTAGTAACGATTTACATTTGCGGATCTTAAATCATCCTAGCATGACAATGACGCACAGCATCATTTTGATCCCAATTCTGACCCTTCACTCCATTGATTTGTCCGGGTATCACGGTCTCAAGATTTTTGTCTTACTGCGGATTATTCCCTATTAGTCTTGAGCCAAGTCTGGAAAGAATTAATTGAAGTAATTATATATACCTGTGAGTAGGAAGAAAATCTTTTACACCGCTAGTTTCTCCATCTGAGCGTTCACATACTCTTGTCGCTTCCTTGATTGTTCGTCAAAAGATAGAAAGTCATTTTGGTATTCTTGTAAGGACTTCGGTGGCGCAGATGAAGGATCAGGGTTCTCTTCGCTGCCGCTATGCAGCGGGTTAAATGGGGGCGTATATCCTCCCTCAAAATTGTCAAATTCTGGTTCCCTCGCCATTCCCCATGGCAGTATAGTCACAACTACCGGCTTGGGCGCTTCGATCGGACATTCTCTCAGAATGTCTTGCTCAGACCGAGCCAGCACAAGTCTCTTCTTATTCTGCTGCTCGAGTAACATGAGTTGCATTTGGTAGTCCTGTAATGCGTGTGATGGAGGTAGTTGGCTTTCAGGTAAACCCGCAAATTCGTCCCCATCCTCGAATACTCCTTTCGCCACGTTGGTATTCTCGCTGGGCCAAACGTGGTATTTGTTCTCTACCATGTGATACCCTTTGAAGAACTCCCAAATTTCGGGATATAGACGGCGGACGGTGTTGGAAGTAAGAGCTTCTTTGCTAAAGTATCCTGACTTATCGGCATCGCGCAAGTGGGCTGTAAACCCGCGAGAGCCTGGTTGAGGTACTCCGGCCCCGTGGCGACTTTCCCAGTTATAAGCTGGACGTTGGAAGGCGATCAGTCGGAGCTTTGGATGGCGTTCATATGCAGAAAGTGGGTAATTTGGCTGATCAGCCTTTTGACTTTGCTCAAGGTTATATGCTGACATGAACCAGTTGATCCATTCCTGCCGAAAGCAACCTGTGGGAGAACGCGGCTTTGAAGAGTAGATCTTGCAGCTATTGACTAGGTACAATGAGCGCAATCTCGGGAACTATATTATAAGAAATTTGATTTATTAGAGATGCATGTTGCATCAACTCGCCGTATCAATCTTGAGATTACGAAGCAGGCAGATCTGCCGGGAAACGAGTGTGCATGTGGGAAAATAACGTACCGAACTTATCCAAGAATTCGGGGAATGTGGGGCTTCAATCGGAAGGGCGAGGTGTTCAAGGTTTAGAAATCGGGATAGAGTATCTAAATCCAGGATCTCGCCGAGCTCAGACTTGATAGGTACCTCCCGCATTTTAAACACGTTTTCATCCAAATAATGGGAATCCTCCAACATTGATCCTGCCCGACCTCCACCGAAATAGCTGGTTTCGAACCAAAGTTTTCTCAGACTTCCTGAATGGCGCTGAATAGCTGTCTTGCTGGGGTAATCCGAGACTAGAGTTGAATAAGTTGCCCATTGTAAAGATTGCAAGGAGCTCGGAAGTTTCAGGAGTATATCATTGATATTTGAGGTCGTGTATGTATTTTTTACACCGTTAAATCTCGGGTAAATGGCTAGATCTGTGAGGTTCGTGAAGCCCGGTGCTAGTGGGACTAGGAGTGCTGGAGGAATATAACAATCAATCAATTCCAATCTCTTTATATTCCCGATCGGTATTGATCTCAGCAGCGAAAATCTTCCGAACTCGATGCTTTGCATATCTTGAAGGTGGAGATGCTCTAAGTTCCTAAACTCAATGTGTGGGTCGCTCGGGAAAGGGATATCGGCGTGGTTAAGGTGCTCGTACTGTGAGGACCTCAGGGACAGCGACTTTAGTTGCTGTCGGTATTGTTTCAAGACCGACCACTCGGGGCCGAGATTTGAAAAATTATGGTTAATAGCACTATAGGTAAGGGTTGCGAGGGATGGGAAAAATGGCTTTTTCAAGAGCCGTTCCCCGGGTCTAGGATCACATTCTACACTCTTAATCTTGGAGTAGTAGATAGAAGGGATGTATTCGAGGATATGCAAAGCATGGGAGCTTTTGAGTTAGCCTCGTTAGTATAATATTATTAATATGATACATAGTAGATAGTTAATTTTGGCAGAAAATAGACGTGGGAGCTATTAATACGCACTTTATGGATTGGAGTTGGTCCTCAGGAAGTGACTCGATGAATGCAGCGAGGTGGATAGCTGTCCTTTCTTTGCAGTATGGACCTATGAACCCTTCTCGGCGAAATTCTCTGTGACGATTAACAGATATTTGGCGGATATGGCTATGAGACTTATAGCGCTTGCTGAGAAGGGAGTGAACAACATGTTCCTCAAAGCCTAGGCCATTGGTGACAAGTGACAGGTTACGGTACAAGGCTGGAGTGGCGATAGAATGAAAGAACTTGTTTACGAGACAACAAGCCAGGAGGTCACCTTGATTGGGGTCGAATTGCTAGCCATAGCTCATCTATTAGTGGACTCTGTGGTTTATTTCTTTATTCATTCGTTCATATTTATTCTATTCCCTTTATCATTTTTTTTTTACAATTTTCGTAGTATAAATTTATAGATGCTGATAACGAAGTGTTCTACAGGCCTGATCGCGCCTGTGTTGAAAATGTGGTAATTTTACTCACGGGAATATGACTCAAGATGTCGTTGAGGACCTCAATAGGAATATCGGTAATCATTTTTAGTCTCTGTTTCGATGATCGTTAGTAGTATGTATAATGTTCTGAGACTGAGAGCTTTAGTAGGCGGGAGCTGTCGGAGGAACCGTCTATAATATTATAATTGTAGCGTAGCGTCGAAACTTTATAGCGGCCAACGGATATATTCAAAATTGAGGTGACAAATGTTTGACGGCCCGCAGAGGTCGGATCAGTAAGACACGGCGAAGGATTAAATCAGTCCTAGCGAAGTACTAGAAGAGCGCACCAATCTTTAACTCCCGATTTGCAATTACTTCTCAAGTTCGTTGAATGATCGGGGGAATACGTGTATACGCGTGCGTTTTCAAGCTCGCGCTCGAGTTAAATGCTGACTGTACCTGGCCAAGCGTGAGCTAACTGGAGGCTCGTAGATCCTTTTGGCTAATTGCAGGCCACACATATCTCCCACGTTGTATTTTGTTGCACTTTTGGCCCTAAATAACGTCGCTGTTTCTGGTAATTCTGATTTATGAGGCTACACCTACGCCTACTTAAATTTGCCCGTACGAATGCAATTAACAAATATTTGGTTAGGATACGGATATCGATGTACTTTCTAAGACTGACACTTCCTAGCTTCTATTGTATCACAGATACTAATGTTAACGTGTCCGGATTCTACTTGACTAGCAAGTCAAGATAAAAGATGCATATACTAAAATGTGCAAGCAATTGTCTCAATTTTGTATTCCAAAACACCTATAGTTTCTATCAAGCCCTACGTATATTCTCGAAGTATTATTGAAGTCTTAGTCTTAAGGTTTGAATTCTCGAGTGGATTCGTTTAGATCTTCCAAATTTCAGGTTTATTTATAATTATGAACTTATAGGTCTTCTATTCTTATCGCATCGCGTAAGCCAGCCTCCACAAACTGTCACAGCTGAGTCGACATCTATAGGATGGGAAAATATACCCTCGCACAACTGACAGTCCACAACCAATTGCAGTTAAGATATCTTAAAAAGCCTTCTAAAATATTCTCTAGCTGATTTTTTAAAAAGGCCCCTAAATGGAGACAATAGTGTATTTGGTAGTTTGCCTTTCCGCCCTACATTCGTACTACGAAGTACCCAGGCGCTGCCTAGGCCCTTTCGAGGATTTGGAAGTGGAAATTTGGGCCAATTGTGCAACACAAATCTTGAATTTGGGTATATAAAAGCAACACAGATTTCCATCTAAAACCTGTTGTATTTTTTGGTGGCGAGATTTCAAGCCTTAAACTTTCCCCGCAGGTGATGCTGTCATACCATCTTTCCTTCGAGCTTGATTCTTGATATCCAACGATCTCTCCGCGGAATTCGACTTTTCTAATGCCCAGTATGAGCCTGAGCTGTATACCCCTAGAGATTCTCATCCAAATCGCAAGTTATGTAGGTTGTACCCAACTCTAAACCCTTCCCCCCTTTTTAGCTGTAAAAGGGGTATCCTTGTAGACCTAACAGCCTTTCATACAGCTTCGAATATCAGACCTTTCATCATTTGCCAGATGTTGCCAGAAAATTAAAGGTGCATGTATCCCAATTTTATACCGTCATGTGGAATTGCGGTTATACGGACAGAAAAGGAGATTGGTCGGGAAGTTATTCCCATTTACTCTTTTAAGAGTGGAGTCGTCAGAGTATTTCGCGGAAACTCGAAGTCTGGCGGTAATAGGTTGTGATCACCACTTTGGAATGGATAAGGAAGATGATAGAGATACTTTGGTTTTGAATGGACGTGAGAAACCGATTGTTGTTCCGCTTCAGCGGTTTGTGGAGAGGATACCGAGTGGTAAACTGAGGAGCTTTGAGTAAGTGCATGCCGTGATCGGAACGTCTGTGGCCGAGGTATTCCCTACGGTGGAAACATTTGATATCAATCCTGATTTTTGCATAGGTTAAAAGTAGATTTTCCGATTATTGGAGAGTTTTTCATAGGGCTTATAACCATGCAGCCGAACCTGGTGAAGCTCTATCTGTCGTTCAAAAATACTACTCAAGAAGTTACAGCAGGAAGCATCTTCAAAGTCAATCTTCCAAACCTCAAAAGTTTAACGCTCGCAGAGATCTACAAACAAAGCGATGTGTTGCTTTTAAACCGAATCCTAAGTTCGGCCTCCAAATTGGATTTGATCGATCTTTCCTGGCATCTTCATTATCCAGACGTGAATCGTTCTAGTCACCAAGGCGCTTTTACACAAATATTACAGCACCGGCCCAAAACCCTCAAGATAGCAAATATTGATATGACACCACAGCTTCTTGAGGCAACAGGCGTTGTAGAAGAATTGCATTTACGAGAGGTCAATGTTCCTCGGGATCAGGACCTTCAGTACATATACCAAAATCCATATTCGTCGATTTCGTTGAAGAAATTACTCATTACGACGATTCCAGATTTAAGAGTATTCTACGAGCAGCAAATATTAGATAAATTAGCACCGGGATTGGAGGAGCTTCACGTTACCGTCAACCATATGGACCGGGATGGAGAAGCTGAAGTTCGGGATAACATTCCTATTCCTCTTGAATATGTTAACCGGCATTCTGGGACTTTGAAATACCTCTCTTTATTCGAGAAAACCTCGGAAGGAAATTTGTTTATCGATGGTGGAGCCATTTGTCAGGATGAGATTGAAGTTTTCAAGCACTGCAAACTCGACGAGTTCGCAACGGCTATTAACTTCTATTGTCAGATTGTATGGACGCCATATTGTGCTACTAACTATATTATCGTGTTTGAGCTATACAAATACCTATACTAACGAACCGTTTTATCAAAATAGAGAACTCCGGCATACTGGAAGACTTTTGAAATGAGCCCTGCAGATGTCAATTATGCCCATTTCGCTTGCTTAACAAAGCTTTACATCATCCCGGACATGATATCGCTTAATACACAAATCGAAAACGACCAAGATGAATTTTGGGACCTCAACCCTAGAAATATTTTCAGCTACCAAATGGCATCGATGATTTTAACAAATATTGGGCTTTACGCCGAATCGATTCCGAAATTGGAGTTTTTGATTGTGGGTATGGGAAACGCTTACTGTGGACAAAAGGTGTTTGTGGTTACTTGGGAAAAGCACGTACCGCCTTATAGGAAAGGTGCGAAGCAGAGGAAAGTGAAGTATCTGTATACACTGAGCCCACCGTATGAGATGGAAGACTTTAGGGATCAAGGGGTAGTGTTTAAATGCTTTGAGGGGACAAAGTTTACAAGCGAGGAGGACAGGAAATGGATCTCACTCTAAAACTTTAATTCCATAGTGCTAGCCATCGATATCTATATATATAATGAGTGAGTGAGTGATGAATGGATTAGATATTTGTAACGGTATTGGGCGTGAATTGGTCCACTTCTGAGAGCGTTTCATATCATGAATAAGTTGGCCGCCAGGCATACCGCGGACCTCAGTATCTTATATTGATAATTTAGAGCGGTGCGGACTGCGTAAGATGTACTACTGTATGAATACCAGGTACCTACCTACGTACTTAAGTAAGGGGTGAGTACTTGCAAACCCGCTCAAAATATATTTATTGTAGTGTACAAGTGGCGTAAGATTAATTAGCAGTATCCAACCGTGCAAGTTGCGTGCCTAGAAGGATAAAATTTGGAAGTACGAGTTTACAGGAATACAATTCGAACGCCTATAATTATATGACTATTCACACATGTATAGATATGTAACCCGACTGCAAGAGTGCGTGCGGCTCGTTTATCTATAAACGTACAAACGTGCGGTTTATAGATAAATTATAAATGTGCGTGCACATGCGGTTCACGGGTAGGCGGGGTACGGGTATGAGCTTTACCTATATATCAAATTACCTGCCGAATAGCTCATCGTTATTTTTGTAAAATCTATGACCAAATACAAAAGAATAAGACTCTTCCAGCTAATGCTCGCAATATTAATATATTCGAATATGAATCTGGGCCTGGGATTAACATAGCTCTAATGAACTAGTATGAGAGTAGAACCCTTGTCAATTCTTGATAAGATACGGAGTAGATAAGCTTGCTTTTCCACATATACAAGATCGGAGACGAGCAATACCATGTTAATTGATTGTGGCTTAAAAGTTTCGAATGCGTTTCAAATTTAAATATGTCGAGTCCTCCAAATCACGAATCTAATATTTTGCGTGTTGGTTTATCAGAAACGTTGGATGTTGTATATTTTGTATATCAGCCGTCAGGATCCAACCGAACCAGACCAGGCTATTAAGCCATTACCGCTGTATCGATCTTGATATGCACCATCGACTTTGGGATCTTCAGAGCGTTTGGCAAGCTTCTCCATGCGCATATTTTGGTACTCCATTTCTCATTGTATCCCATCATTTTTTTTTTGAATTTTTGAATTTTTGCGAATAAGATGCTTTTTTGATCCAATTCTTATCTCAAGGCTTGGAGGAATTGAAAGATCTCGACAATTGCTGTGCATGTGTAACTATCGACTGTCGAACGGATTAATACAATTGACATCGAACTTTCCCCGCACTACCTCAACCACTATTACGAAATTTACTCCTGGAACACAAGAGATCTCGCATATCTATCGAAACTATGGACTCGACTACTTCCCCCATTCTAAATATCCTGCCAGTCGACGTTCTTTCATATCTTGTCGAACAGGTGCGTACCATACATATGCATACCCGACTGTCTCCGCCTCACACTGGGGCTATTCAAAAATGCAACATCAACCAACACACTTAAACGTTCTAAGCTAATTAATGACCCGCAATATAATAAAAATCGAGAATAGATAATCGACGATGAAGGCTCTCTCAAATCCCTCTCGCATACAAATCGTGCCTTCAGACTCCTCTCCCTGGCCCGTTTACGTTCTCACACCGTAATCCTCGACATCTCCACCGGTCTCAGGGGTCAAAACGGTGTTCTCGACCCGGTATTCAGAACAATCAATGACTTCAACCAAGAAAAGAACTTTCGAATCCCATCTCACGTCCGAGTATTAGAAATCAGAGATCGATGGTCTGCAACTCATTCCAAATTACATACTTCACAAAAATTGATTGCGGAGTTCGTCAATGCACTTTTTACTTTTTTGGGGAAGTGTATCAGTCTTAGAAAGTTTTTGAGAGATGGGTACGAACATGAAGCATTTAAGACTACGGATTTGATAAAGAAAGTGCTGGAGTTACCGAAATTGAAGGTTCTGTGCTTGAAGATCCATCAGGATAGACAATGGTGGTTTAACGAGACTCCTAAATTCGAGGAATATGAGTGCGCTAGCACCCTATCCAAAGAAACCGGAGAAAGAGGTTTAGCATGCTTATCCGTTGCGCTACCAATGAGCCTGGACCGTTCATGGTGGGATGAAGTATGGAAACTATGCAGACATATTATGATCAGTAATATCAAAACCCTGAAACATCTCTATTTCGACGGACCAGATCTTGAACAAATCGTCAACGGAATGCGTGCAAACTCACTCGCAGACATACGGCTTTCAACACTCCGCTTCAGAATGGGATTCGATCCCACACAGTTTTGCGCAGTCCTCGGCCTTACAGAACTAGACGACCAAAGCGAAAATTCAGAGATACGTAGCGATGCAGTCACCCCTCTCCGTCGTCTAGAATTCGAAATCTTAGAAAGTAGCGGTTCTTTCATAGATGACAACGCAGCGGTCGAAATCCTTCGGTACTTCAGAACGCCCAATATCAAACGGTCACAGATATTCGGTCCAAGTAGCGTATATTTATACACTAATGGTGTGATGGAGCAATTTGGGAATCCGCTTTTGACTCACCTTCTAACATACCAAGGACTACAATTCGTTGAACTGCAGGGTTCGTCGAGTAAAACGTGGATTGAGACTATGCTAGATACGTTGGCGAGGTATCATGGAGAAAGTCTTAACACAATTATGCTGAACCAGATTTCTATGGATTTTCTTTACAAGCCGGGGAGCGATCTAGGTCCTATCGATAGGTTCTCTTCACTAAGAAGATTGGAAATCCTACATCGCAGGACATCTTTCTTCGTAAGTGCTCTGTATCTTCTCCATTTCCAATCCCCGAAATAAGACAAATTAATAAAAGAAAAAAACATTTACAGTGGTCAATCGACTGCCTCTGGAACATCATAAAAATCCGAAATACAATCTCCGAAGTCCAAATCACCATGCTCCATTCCCCATCGGGAATCAGCAGCCGCCTTTTCCGCCCTTCGATTGGCAACCACAGTTACTTCCCCCAACGAATCCTAACACCAATCTACTCCACCGCATTCTACCTTCACAACCGTCGTAACAAAATAGATACATCACACTACGCGTCCCGAGACGGCGAGCTTTTCCCGTCGACTAAAGTTATCACATCGTATCGCCAAATGCTCGGGGATTCTAGCACAGATCGGTTATATATCAGTAGCTATTTGAGACATATGTTACATGCTAAACGTCTTCCAAGCGAACAGTCGTCTTTTCCTGAGCCGAAGGATCAAGCGTTTGGACCGGAGCTACAGAATGAAGCCGAGGCGTTTTCGACGTTTGTGTGTGGAATTCCGGATTGTTTGAGGCTGTTTCAATTGAAGTACGTCGATAGGACTGGAGCGGGTCCCGATGAGGTGACAAAAAGGGATGGGGGGGATTTGTGGAAGAAGATCGGTGGCGAGTGGGTCTATGAGAAGGGTTTGATTGAACTTTTACCGTGGTAGAGTGGACACACCGGCAGGGGGTGATGTCTTCATCTGGAAGATGGGTTACACTTGTCCCGAAATGTGCAGGCTCGCATCAAAGGACCTGAGCCCAATATTTATGCGCCTGCTAGTACCCATGCTTTTCACATACCGAGAGCGCTTTATGCCATCAGTAGAGAAAATATCATATTTTATATCCTCGATCCGACCAGTATACTCCTATTAAATATTTTATAAACCAAAGCCATCTATTGAACATAAAGACCTTTAACCCCCCCTATCTACAGAATATTCAACCCCCCTTTCTCGAGTACAATCCTCTCCAAACTCGTCTTGTAAAATTCCCTAAAATCAATCTTATCGAACTCCCTATGCCCCAAGTCTGATCCCTTCGGATGTTCATCATGAAAATACATCCGATCATCATTCGGTAAAAATATCTTCCACCGTCTAGGATCCAACGAGAACCCTATCGACGCCTTGACATTCATCCTAGCCGAGAATTTCAGGCCTCTAGGGTGGAATACCATGAATGCTGTTGTAAATTGAGGCGGGATACCATCGTGTTTACGTTCCTGAATGGACCAGACTAGACGTGTGGGACCGCTACCGCGGGCCGAGCCCTCGATAACTAATTTGTGATCACGGCTGTACTTTGATTCTCGGTACACGGCACTATTCGCGATTTCGAGAGAAGCAGGGCCGGCGACTAAATTTGCACCCACACTATATATACATTCATCTTAGCATGACTTTCAGAAATAAATAAACAAATACTCTTTCTTTTTTCTGTCCTCGGGAAGGAAGAAACTTTACCTTAAATCCAACCCCCAAGTAACCTCCTCCGCCTTCTTCTCCCCATAAACTAATTTCGGCGCAAACTGCGCAATACTAACGGGAACAACAGCAGTAGTCTCCGCATCACCCGCTCTTCCAAGCCCTCCCTCCTGAGTAAAATCAATTTCTATAGTCGCATCCTTGAACCTCTGCCGTCTATGATCAGAAGAATGAAATACAAAGTCTAGAACAATAATAGCTGCTGGTCTAGATTTATAGGTTCCGTATGAAACCTGTGCGACTCGAGCTGAGAGGTATGTTTTTGAAATCTCAAGTTCGGTTATTGTGTCCCGTGTGACTGTGCCAAGGTAGTTACGAGATGCTGGGGGTCGGAATGCTAGTTGGTCCTTTTCGTCGATGATGAAGGGTTGGGCGAATTCGTTTGTGAATTCGTCTTTTGCGGGGTCGTCGATAGTGACTTGCTCTGCTAGTTCGTCGGACATTCTTAGATCGATGTTGAAATTAATTAAATTCGAATTAGCTATGGAGGCTGAAAACGAATAGCGATGCGATGAAAGTCAAGATAAAAATGTGGGGCAAATTTGATGGTGATGGTGGCCTAGCTATTTCTAAGATGGCAAGAGTGGATGCCGGTGCCTGTCGCGAGATCCCACGATTAATATAGCTATCGTATCGTATCGTATCGTATCGTATCGTATCATGCATAACATTAACATAACATAACAATAGCATAACAGAACCGAACATGCATCTGACCGACAGCTAGCTAGTCATCCCATTCCATCCCGAAAAGAAAGAAAGAAAGACAGAAAGGCAGAAGGTACATTACAGCGGGATTAAACCCCTGCAGCAATCGATCATGACCCTGAGCTCCTATACTAACCCTGATTAAGACAAGATCCTTCCCCAGCTCAGGCGACCACAGATTCGTAATGGAGCTTTGTGCAACGGCTAAGCTCAACCTCCCGGATCCCAAGACCCCTGTCAACGTCAAAAAAACAAAATGACAAACTCTTCGATCCAGGTGCAACCTGCAGAGGTGCAATGTGGGTGTGGGGAAATTAAACTAAGAAAACTTGACAGCGATGAGGCAGGCTAGTTAACCATCCAGCCAGCTAGCTTGCTAGAAGATGGCGAGCGAACGGCTGAAACCTGTCCGTTCCGAAAGGCTTCCGCGCGAGGCTGCCTGGATTTTTATATAAGTCTCGTCAGGTACCCGCGATCGATCGAGCTAGCTAATTAAACTACCAGATCAAGAAGCCATACATACGCCTCTGCTCGCCTGCATCTGTCATGGGGCCATGCGATATCAAATAGCTAACCCTTATTAATATTAATATCGTCTTAGCTTCCAGACCTCATCTCTCGTCTCTTCCCGCATCTCGCATCTGCTCTGCATCTGCGCTCCAATCAAACCTCATCCCGCCAAAAAATTCCAACAATGACAACACAAACACCGCCCCTCCACCCTCTCGTCACCGACGAATCTCTAACTTCCACACTCCTCTCCACCCCCTCCCAAAGAGAACAAACAAGCGCCCTTTTCTTTCAAGTTGAGGAGTTCGAGTATCTTGGGAAATTCCACGAGGCATACAAAGCTCTACAAAATTCTCCAAACAGATATATTCTCGCAAGTAGCAGTCCATCATATTGGTATCTCTTCGGAACTATAAAACTTAGTCAGGGATATTACCGTGATGGACTCGAACAGTATAGAACGGCTGAGAAGCTTTTAAGAGCTGCGAAGGAGGAGGATCTATCAGATGGGAGTCAACAGTTATTAGCGTTTATGACTACAAGAACATTATGTTTAGACCCGGCCTCTTCACCCGAAGACAGAGAGATCGGGATAGAAACCGGAATCACCGCATATCAAAAATGGGCAAAAGAAAAGTCTCCGGAGGAATTAGACTACTTCTCGGTTAGCAATCCTTTTTCATTCAAAATATCTTAAAAAGTTACATGCTAATATAAAGTATAAAAATAACCCAGCTAATCCTGGAAAGATCCTACTACGAAATAATAAAAGACATCCCCCTCTTCTCCGACTCCCTCCCCTCCCTCCTCCCCCGCCATATCCAAATCCTAAAATCCCAAATCCCAAAGAAAAACGCCATAATCTCCTTCCCAATCTTCCTCGCCATAATAAACAACTCCAAATCCCTCCCAGAAATCCAGTCTTTATCCCCAGAAATCGAATCCCTCCTTTTAAAACATAACTGCCCCACCACCCTCCAAAATACCATAAAGGGCTACTTCCAAATCCGAATGGGTCAACTATCAGAACGTCCCGACGTTCAAGGCAAACACTTCAAAGAAGCCCGTCGTTTCTACAAACTAGCAGGAAACATTGAAGCCCCCTGCGAAGTCGACCTTCTCGATTGTCTCCGTGATGGCCAAAAGCACGTGTTAGCGGGTACAGATGACCCCACCGATCTCCGCCGTCGTATCCTCCATATGATAGATAAACTAGGAAAACTCTACGGAAAATTCACAGATCTGGATTTCCCCAACAGGATGCACACAACTCTAAAGCAAATATCCAACATCAACGAAAAAATGCTCCAATCTCCAGATATTACACTGATCTCCTGTCGTCTCTGGAGACTCCTGGGTAAAGCCACGGGAATAAAAATAAATTCAACAACAGAATTCATCGCTGTAATAGCAGATATAATGAAGACAGAAGATCTAGAAGACGCAATCACTGTATTTGAAACATTCAAAGCCGAGGAAGAGGATAATTGGGACTTTGATACCGGAATAAATTGGCTCAGAGGCATGGCAGTAGCTCATACAAGACTAAGCCAATTCGACGAAGCAATTGCAGAAATGGAAATGGCCGAGGTCCTCCTGCAATCGGAATACAAACACTCTACCGCTCTCGAAGTCCGAGAACAAGTCCTTGCCGTCAAAGCAAGAAGACTTCATACCCTTTCCGGTATAGAAAAGGGCTACGCCTTTGACGACCTACTAGAAGAGATCACCGAAGCAATAATGGAAGACTCAAGATACTGGCAACAAAGAAAACCCATGCTTCGCAAAATGTTATGGAAGGCCTCCCTCCTCCTAGGGGATAAAGAACTAACCCCTATCGAAGAATCTGCAAAATCTGCATCCGAAATAGTAGCCCAAGTAGAACAATTAGCAACCGAATACATCACGGAAGACAAAACCTATCAAACTTTCTTAAACGACTGTCAACTCCTAAAGGCAATCTTACTCCGAGACCAAGGAAAACCAGACGAAGCAGTCGCCCTGATAGAAAAACTCCTCCCTTCAAAACTATGGAAACTAAACCTAAAAACCCGCACAGAAGAAGAAGAAATCCACGCCGCAGACCTCCACATTCAAGCAGTGATAATGTACATGAAAGACCTCGCTCCTTCCTCCTCACAAACCCCTCCCGCCGCAATCCCCCCAAAACTCCTAGAAAAACGTATAAAATCCTGCTTCACCCACACAAAAGAAGCCCTAAAACTCTCCGAAAAGCACAACCTCCCAATCCTCTACTCCGACGCTCTATTCTACGAATCCCACCTCCACCTCCTCCAAAAGGACCCAAAAAGAGCCCTCCAAAACCTCCATAACGTAGCAAGAATCCAAGACGAACTCCGCCGTGCCTCCCCCAAGGGCGATAAATTCGATAGTTTCATCACAAACGCCCTAGCAGCTCAAACCTCCTCCGCCCGTTTTGTAGACTTAGCACTAAAAGCCTGTCTCCAACTCCCAGACCCCGTAGCAGCATGGTACTGGATTCAAAAGGCCAAAGCCCGCGCGTTCACCGATATGCTCCAGCACGGCCATATCTGGCAAAACTCCTTCATCCGCATCACAGACGACATTGAAAACTTCCAGATGCCATGGGAATCAGTATCAATAAACGGGAGCGACATAGCCCTTTTATACCGTTTAGAAAACCTTCTAAAATCTCCAGTGGGCTACACCCTCGATAACTGGGATATAGAAACAATGGAGACAACCTTAGCCCACCGTCGAAGAACAATCTCATCTTTGATCGATGAAATCTCTCAACGTCCAAGCCTTCGCGGCGCATTATCAGTATCCATGGGTCTGCCGGCTACCCACGAAGACCTAACCTGGATCGCAAACTACCGTCAATCAACCCACGAAATCGTCTTCATAGACTGGGCAGAATCCTTCGATAAAATCATAATCTGCATCTACCGTCCCGCCGGTATCCGCTTCCTATCCCCCATCGTCAGCACCTCCCAAGACGCAAGAATAAACATCTCCACCTGCCCCCTCTCAATAACAGACGTGAAAAACTGGGTCCAAACTTACATCCTAAACCAAGACGCCCCGTTATCATCTCTAAACTCCACAGACGACCTAAAAATCCTCTCCCCGTTGATAGACCCCATAAAGGCCCTCACAAACCCAGAAGACCTCCTTGTCCTCTCCCCAACCGGTATCCTCCATTCAATCCCCTTCCACGCCCTTCCAATCTCCACAGACGACGACCCTTCAACCCCTCTCATCTCTCGAAACCCAGTAGTCTACGTCCCATCCCCCTCCATCCTCCGCCAATGCATCGCAAAACTCCGCATGACCCGCCATCCAAACCCCCAAACACAATCACTAACAACAGCAACCCGCCCATCCACCCTCATCGGCGTAAAAATCGACGATGACTCCTACTCCCCAACCCCAGACCAAAAAGTCGACACCTCCCTCGAAAAGATGTCCACCTCCCTCCTCACCGCCGAAATCTTAACCCACGAAATGGTAACCCACCAATCCTTCACCCACCAATCCTCCCTCACAACAGACATTCTCCATTTCCACGGCCACATGGACTACCACGATCCCAGACCCTTATCAAGATATTTAGTCCTTGCAAACGACGAAATAATCACCGGTAGACAACTAGCCGACCTCAAATTCCCGGTTGGTTCCGCCCCCTTAGTTACCATAATAGCTTGCCTGAGTGGTGGCCAACAGATCTTAATGGGCGATGAACCCGTGGGGATCGTACCTGCTTTATTGGCTTCAGGAGCAGCAAGTGTTATTGCAACTATGTGGCCGACTGATAGTGCCTGTGGGTTGAAATTTGGTGAGATATTGTATGAAGATAGACGGCTTTGTGATGAAAACGAGGAAGGAGGAGGAGAGGGAGGAGATGATGATATTGGGAAAACATGGGATATAGCACGTGCATTGAGAAAAGCAGTACTTGACATTAGAAATGATAAAGAAACAAGTGCACCGTATTACTGGGCACCCTTTGTGCTAAACGGGGCATGGTTAAGAGGTACCAAAAATGGCGGGGCATTGCCACGTGGTGATGGGATGGATGGGTTATCATCACAGTTTGCGAGAGGTATGGAGATTAGGATTTGAGGGTTCTGTTTCCTGTAGAAGGAGACGAGAGGAACGGGACGAGAGGAAGGTAATTATTGGCCACCATTCATGTAACAAAGTAATGTCTTCAGCAAATATATAAGCTATAGTTAGTAATCCTTAATTATAATTAATCCGGCATACGCATCTAACAAAGCGTCAAGATACCATCAATAACATATTAATTCTAATATCATACGACTTCAATTTCCTCGAGAACGATTACGTTTCATATTGAATTTTGATAAACATCTTAATTATATATATATTTATAGATAAAATAGACAAACAATCAACATCAATACCTAAAACCTTTAAACATTGATGGAAATTCAGAAACCCCTCGCCGGCAATGCAAATGCAAAAGCAAGCAGAATAAACGCGGGAACAAAAAGAAACAGGAGAAGAATAGTTAAGAATAGTTAAGAACAGACTTCAGTCGTGTGGATTAAAAAGCATCATTAAAAAAATACTTTTCTTAATGCAAGTTTTGTGGAGAAGAAAAGAGAAAAACAAGTAATCATGCCGAAAAAACAATGCCACCATGATTAAAAAAGTCATTCATTCGAAGAAAAGAAAAAACAAACTGGAAAATTTATGTAAAGGCAGAAGCAAGTAAAGGAAAAAGAGGGAAACATCCACAACCTTCAATCCACCCTAGAATGCATGTCAAGGGAGTAAAAAAGGCATCGAATACACTTCCCTCTTTTAAAATGTGAGAGTAAAAGTAAAGTAAAGAAAGGAAATAAAAAGAGGCAAGAGAAGATATTGCTCCCTGACTTAGTCCTTAACACTCAAGACGTCTGAGGACGACCACCCCTGTTTATGAAAAGGAAGCCCAGCAGGCCGAAAACCCGCCGCCATGATACGCCTTTCCGGTCCAATAAGATCCGTCCCCCCATCCATCCTCGCCTCGCCCGAACTTTCATCGGCCTCGTAGCCAAACTGCGCACTCTCGTCAGTCTCGGAACTAGACTCTGCACTTTCACCAGTCTCGAAGCCAGACTCTGCGCTTTCACCAGTCTCGGAGCCAGACTCTGCGCTTTCGTCAGTCTCGTAATAAAACTCTGAAATTTCATCGTCTTCCAAGTCCTCACCCATACCCCCATTCCCGCATAATGTCTCTTCGTCGTCATCTTCTTCTCCTTCCTCAGAGCCGTCCGAATTAACCTGTCCCCTCGCCTCCTCCCACAGCTGTCCCAAAGTCCTCCCGGCCAACAACCCTTCATCAACCTGATTGTTATATGTATCCGCCTCTCGTCTGTAGCTCTGCACCGGACTATAACCATCATTCAAGTCCAAAGGTGAAACCGGCCTTGTAAAAGTAACATTCTAAGCACTTCTACCCGCTCCACGTCCTCTGAACCTTCCGCCACTAGGGCTACTATCTCTAGCATATCCTCTCCTCTCTCTGTCTTCCCACTGATCCCTCCCCATAGGACTTCGGCTTCTTCCTCGACCTCTTTCTTCAGGTGGATACCCCCCAAAATCCCTTTCTCGATCGTAATATCTCTCGTAATCCTCTCGGTAAACTCTGACCGGGTGTCCACCTGGATGGTGTGGCGGTGGGGCATGTGGTGGCGGCGGAGCACGTCCTCTTTCGTATTCGTAATCATCATAATAATACTGAGGAGCACTGTGACGGACATATCCGGGCTCTTCATAGTATCTTCCAGGAGGCGGTGGTGGATGCGCATGTGGGGGTCGATCGTAATAAGCCGGGTGTTGGGCAGCATGAGGCGGTGGTGGATATCTCTCTCGTTCCATAACCCGATCATAATACTCCGCATGAGGGGGTGGGTGAGCTGGTGCGTAAGCTCTTCTATATTCCACATCATCTGTATATCTTGCCTCTCTAGCATGCCCAGAGACGGGGATAACCGGCGCTGGCGGCGTTGGATCATCGTAATCGAGTCCACCAACCGGGGGTGGGACTCCAGCAGCAGGTGCAGTAGGCGACCCAGGTGTTCGTACGGATCTCATAACTTGAGGAGGCGGTGATGAAGGTGCTGGTCCAGGATATCTTTCCCTAGCTGGAGGAGGAACGTCGTAATCATCATAACTTGGGCGGTACATTCTATACCTCCTTGGGGGTGAAGGGAACCGCCCTTCATACCCATATGGTCCAGGACTCGCTCTCCTGTTGACTGGTGGTCGCGGAGGGTAATATGCCCCATCCGCCCCATCGTATCTCCTATATTCATCATCCGGATACTCCCGCGCAACAGGCCCTCTTCGATGATAATAGTCGTCATAAGAATCTCTTCTTCGATGCCCGCGTGACCGTGACCTAGTTCGACTGTCAACAGAAACCGGCGACCTCGATCGACTGGAACGTTGTCGAGACTGACTCTGAAGCGTTCTACTAGTTGCTTCAGACCTATCGACGTCCCTTGGGTCAACCTGATCGCTTCCCGTTGAGCTCTCTTTCTTCGCTTGCTCTACAGCAGCGGCCTGGGGAATCAAATTGTTTAAAAAGTCTTCAGCCGCAGACATCGATGCCTTGCTTGCATGTTTAGGCGCTGTCTGTGCCACTTCCACGGCGGCAACCGGAGGAACAATTGGTATCTCAATTTTCTTCTGGAACACTCCCGGATACACCTTCTCCACAGCCCCGATCCTCCTGACATCAACCCCCTGTCGGCCAACCAGCTTCCCAACCTCCTCTTCGACGGGAAGTCGGATCATATCAAGAAGCCAATTAAACCGCTTCGCCTTAACTCCAATCTCAGCAGCACTGGGCCCCAAGCTCGGGCGACTTACGTGCACGCTTTCAAAATGCTGGAACAGCAATGCCAACGTAAAAGTTCTAGTAGAAGTCTTCGGGCAACTCCTACACTCGAATTTGATATTCCCGGGCTTCAAAAACTTCATCGCACCGTCGATCTCCGTCCGGATGGACTCATGAAACAACTGGATCGGAAGATCCGCCTTAAATTTCTCCTCGAAGGAGGAGACGGTGTCGTGGATCATCTGCAAGGCGCGGATGGATGGCTCCAGGTTCTTGATGCCGCCAAGGTTCTTCCACATCTGCTCCGCGTAGTTGGCAATGTACCGGAGCTTGTCCTTCCGGTCTTTTTCGGCCGCCGCCGCAGCAGCGGCTTCAGCGGCCGCAGCGGTAGCTTCCGCCTCTCGCTTGGCGGCCTCTCCATATGGGTCCGGCTGTGGGACCAGCGGTTGCTGGGCGTAAACGCCCCCGTGCTGACGGTGATGAGGCGCAACCTCATACCCGCCATAATGCGGGTGAGGTTGCGCTGGTGGGTATCCAGAGGCGTATGGTCCATATTGGGGCGCAGGCTGGGGCGGCTGTGGTTGGTGCTGTGGGTACACCGTTGGCGCAGCGTACTGTGGTGGGTATGGCTGGCCACGGTCCCCCACAGCCAAGGGCGACGGCGACGGGTACTGTGACGGATGGGCGTGATGCCCATGGTGTGGGTGCGCTGGTGGCACCCCAACCGGTACATGTGGATGATGGCCCACAGGTGCCGGGTGATATCCGGGATCCGGATATGCACTCGGCCTATGAGGCGTAATGCCTCGGCCATATCCCTGCATGACCGGCTGGGGGCCAGGCCCAGCGACAACAGGTGGTGGTGGTGGTGTCGGCCCATGATGCATCGGATGCATCTGGTGTCGGCCGTGCGGGGGTTGGTGGGAAGGGTACGGGTACCCCCCATGGACGGGGACCCCACCAACAGGAACGGAAACCGGCGGACCGGGCCTCATCAACACGGGTGCCTGTGGCAACCCGACAGCTTGGTGATGATGCGGCTGATGATGGTGATGGTGGTGGCCGTGATGGCCACCAGGCGGGCGGATCATCAGTCGCTTGATCTCGTTCGGATCAACGACAAATGGCGCTTCTTCGGGCCACAAGCTTCGCCAATGGACCACAATGGTCCCCAGACTCAGATCGGTCGTATGCTTGGCGGCGTAATGTTGAATTACGCCCTCGAACCCGTACAGCTTTGGTGGTGGAGGTGGTACCATCATACCACCTGAAGCGGCGGCAGCAGCGGCAGGGTTCGCGGCAATCTCTTTGCACGCCTTGCAGTAAAACAACTCCCGTCTGAAGGGATCGGTCATCGGCTTGACCTTGTTGTCAAAAACATATTTCATGTTTTCGAGGACAAGTTGTCGCACTTTCCCAGAAGAAGCACCAGAAGATGGATGGGAGGAGGATGAGGGAAAGGTGGGGTCAGAGACAGGTGAGGTCTCTAGGACGCCACCCCGTTCGTAGTAACGGGTACGAACAATAGTGAGGATAGCAGCAGCAAAAGACGGTGCAGATTCGAATGTCACCTTACCGTGCCAATTCTTGATCTCTTCGTCTGCGATCTTGGCAATCATCTCACGAACCGGTGCCTGGGACTCTTCCCATTGTCTTTCTTTCTTAACCCACTGGTCGCGCTCCTGTGTCTCTTGGAGCTTACGGTCCTCGAGCTGTTGTTCCAATTGCTTTCTCTGGGACTGTCTCTGCTTCTCGTGTTCCTCGGCGCCGGCTCGTTGTTCCAATAACTTCGGAAGTAACGCATTCCACGATTGTTCAGTCAGTGGTTGCGCAATTTTCACAGAAGCCTGGAAAGCAGCACAGTGTGCCAAAACTTCAGCTATGATCGGTGGATTCAGTTTTGAGCATCGAATTTCAATATCGGTCTTCCGACGAGTTTTAACATCGTCAGCTTCTTGGTTGCTTCGGTCACCAAATTGTCGGTTCCGTTGATAAAAAGTCGGTATCGACTGAGGTAGAAAAGCCGAATGGGGATGCGGATTATCATTAGTCACCAAAACTGCCACGAAAAACAACTGTTAGCATGCCCCTCCGTAAATCGCTTGTGTCGTCGTATTTAGTGATCATACCAGGAATTCCATTATTCTTAGCAATGTTAACCTGACTCTTCTCCGCCTTCTTGTGCTGTTGTTGCTGCTGGTGCGGCATCTGTTGTGAAAGTCCAACGGAGGGATTATACGAATTACCCTGCATAACCCTCACTTCCCATTTCTCCATTCGATCAGCATCAGCTTTATGTCCGTGCCCTTCACCTTCAAGTCCCTTCAACCACTCTTCAGCTGCATCCATCTGCAAAGCTTCGTCATATCGAGCTTTGATCTCCTCAATATCTTGTTTCCAATATACTTTCTGCACATCCTGAGGATTAGGTATAGTCGTGGGTACCCATCCAAATTTAGAGTCGACGAGCCCATAAGGCAACGCTGACACCAATTCCTTCATAACATTCACAGGTATCTGTTCATCTGATTTTCCCACTAAATCGGCCTCCTATATCCCATCGTTAACAACAGGCCTTCGAAAGGAAGGGCTGTAGAAGAAAAAAAGCACATACCTTAATAACATTCGTTCTGAAGCAAGCTTCGCAACACCGAACCTTGAACTGCCAATAAACCTTCATCCCATCCTGTCCCCGAACCTTCCCCTCAAATTTATTACACATCATACACCCGGTTCCCCTAACGAGCCTCCACATATCCCACTCCTTCATTCCAAACGCCGGTTTCGGCATATCGGGACAATGGATCTTTCTACACCGTCTCCAAATATGTTCTTTATCGAGCAGCTCCACAAAGCGTTTCGATACAACTCTCAGTTTGCCAATAGACGGAAGACCAATGTACGTAAATATCTCAGTCCATAGTTGAGGTGATAGCTTGTCGGCCGGAACAGTAGAGTTGATAGGTGTTGTAGTCGCAGAGCCAGGGGTTTCGATTTCTCCATCATCTAGTCGTGTTTTCTTCCTCGTCGGTCCGTCCTCAAACCCAACAGCCATATTATCATCGTCCTCCATTGGCCTCTTTTGATTGGCACCATTCGAATGCTCTCCTTCCGCGGGTGCAGGTGCAGGAACAGCAAGAGAAGTTAGATCTATCTCTTCTCCCTCAGCCGGTATAAAATCTTCCTCGAACTCCGGTTCCTCTTGCATTAGGCCTCCATCAAAATCGAATTTAGGACCAGATATTGTGAGTGTATTGTGAAGAGACGGTGAAGGTGATACCGTTCTTGATTCGGGTTTGATAGAAGCAGCGGCCGGAATAGATGAGGTGGATATCGGTGTGCCCGGTGTTTCTTCTTGTTTCATAGCGGCTGCGGCTGCGGCTGCAGCTTTCGAAGACCTCTTTTTCGATTTCGCCATCTTTTTCGTTGTGATTGTGTGAATTGTTGCTTCTCAGGAAATAAGGGGAGAAAGCTGCCCTGCCAGGTTGTTATTGTTGCTGTTGTTGTATGAGCTCCGGAGGAATAGTATGGAGGAAGAAAGGATAAGATGAGACGATGAAGTTGAGAATATCGGGAATAGACAGATGTAGATGTTTGTCTGGTTGCCGATCACCGAAGGCAGGTAGATCTGATACTGACGTGACAGTTATCTTTTATCTCGTCAAAGAGACCAAAGATGGAGATAACAGAATTTAAAGAAAAACAAGCACAAGAAGGGCAAGTAATGAAGATATATCTATCCCAGCAACACGTGGTGTAGATATTTTTTTGATGATGATGAAGAGAAAAAGGAATTGGGAAGGAGGAAGGAAGGAAGGAAGGATAGAAAGGATAAAAAAATGAGATCGAAAGGGAAAAAACCAGCCGGCTTTCACCAGCTGAGCAAAAGCCGACGTAATCCCAATGAACCACACAGCCGTATACACGAGCTGTCGATGATAAGACAATATAAGGGGAGAGAAGTGATAAAACCCAAAGGAGTTTTAAACAAAAAGGAGGAATAGAAGCAATCAAACACCCTTTGTGGTTGATTGACTGACGGATCGATGGATCGATTGATTGAAGAACAGCTTTGAACAGGAAGTGGAAGAAGAAAAAAAAAATCGTTGCTGCAGCAAGGCGAAAGAGACAAGGATGGGGAAAAACAGACAACCGCGAAGCTAGTGTATAGGATCGCGGACCACCTATAACCCCGGAGCTGCAGTCTGTAAGGAACAACCAAGCTATCTATGTTAAGCTAGCCAACCAGTCGTATTCGATGATGATGAGAATAGTGATGAGAAAATGATGATGGCAATGATGGGGAGATTTGTCGGAAGAGGTGTCGTCGATTGATTGATGTGATGATGGTGGTTGGTTGGTTGGTTGGTTGGTTGGCGGATGAAAGGTGGAGGTTGATGGTTGATGGTTGATGAAATTAACAAAGACAACGCGACTGACCCCAAAAAAAAAAAAAAAGCTGAGGCTCCGCTGGAAGACTAAATAAAACACTAAAACGGTCGCCCCGCTTTTGCATATCCGCCTCACTCACATAAAATTAATATTCAAACAGTCGTCTGCAGTCCAACAATACCGTCATCATATAATGTACCTGACCTCTACTTACTAGACATTAAGCTAGGTAAGTACTTAAGTACTTAAACAACTACTAACTATTTAGACTAAGTAGTTATATCATAAAATATGTATATAAAAATCTCATCTATTCTTTCCTCAGCTATATCTAGCAAGTAAGTAGGTAAGTTGGGACTTTAGTATATTTAATAGACCGACCCCCAAACACGCCTCCACGTGGCCCCCCACCCGCATTCACATTCTCTCCCAAAGAAAACCCCATGTCGGTACCATATCCCAGCTTCAGACACAAAGCATAAAAAAAATAAAACTATAAAAAAAGTATATAAAAAAAAGAGTCAAAGGAATCGTCCGTGAGAAGTAAATCGATCGATCGATCGAATCATACCACTATTGTCCTTCAATTCCTCATATCCATTGCATTTGTCCCAATCCTGTCTGCAGCCTCATGTCTTATATCTTGCCTCGTATACATAAGAAAGTAAGTATGCATACCATGGTACCACGAGGAGCTCTCCGTCCATCATAAAGCGACACGAGACCAATGTTGCAACTATACACAACGTCCGAATGAAGATCTAAAGAAAATTTAAAGCCTGACGTATACGTATAGAAGAAAGGAAACCTCTCTCGTTATACTGATGAACGATTCCAAGCTGCGGGACAGGAATCTAAAGAAGAATCAAAAAAGAAAAGAAAAGAAAACCGCCCTACATTAGTAATCAATAGAACTAAAAACAAGAGAGTCGGAACTTATAAAGAAGATATACTCAATGGAAGAATGAGAATGAGAGAATAAGAAAACCGGCCAGCTTTCTATAGATTTAAATCCACTAATAAACACAGCTTTCTGAAGAAATGTAGGAGAGAGAGAGAGAGGAAACCAGAAAGAAGAAGAAGAAGAAAAAGACTAAAACCTCTTTCGAAAAGGGAGATACAGTGCCCTCCCATAATAAGGGTTGCTATTGTCGTGGAGCGTAAGGAGAAAGAAAAGAAAAAGGTAAAAAGAAGTCATAGCATAGAATACCTCAAAAAAAAATGAAAAAATCTTTCATACATTTCGCCTCGCCCAACATAACAACCAGTCAACCAGTCAGTCAGTCAGTCAGTCAGCTCAAACCCAGCTTAGCTAGCAAGTAGTTAGCTAGGAAATCCTGTCTTCATTCCAGCCAACAATTGGGGAAAAAAAGGAGGTTTCCGCCGAAAAGCAAAGAAGAAGGGGAAGGAGGAGAATAGAAGGAGTCGTGTTAGTAGGTGAACAAAAAAATATTTAATGCGACGTCAGACTTTCTTATTCGATCGAGAAACACAATAAAGCTTTGGAATTTGTTTGATATTTCGAGAAATTATAGTGCCGAGAATACGAACAACTATGCATCGTCCATATATTAGCCCTGTCTCAAAGCAGACTTCGCAAAAACAAAAACAAATAGGAATAGAAATAGAAAAGATGTGTGAAAACTTACATTGTTCGTAGCAGCTATAGCAATCGAATCTTCAAACGGATGCCAGCTCATGTGCAAGATCTTCTTGTTAAAATCGATCTGATCCGCATCTGTCTCCTTCCTCATCCTGCCCGGGACACCAGCGCCAGACGGACTGCCGGCTCTACCCTTCTTGCTACCATTAATAGGAGTGGGTACGCCGACTTTCTTCGCCTTGAATGCGCTCTTATCCGCTTGCAGAACAATCTCAACCTCCTTCTCGGGATCGGATGGGTAGATCATGAAATTGTTGTTGTAAGATCCCGTCATCACGTTCTTTCCATCACCAGAGAAGATAACCTCAAACTTGTCGAAGATCGAATCGTTCTCGTAAGTGTCGCAAAGACGGGGTCGTAGATGCTCGTGAATAGGAATCGTCTTGATCGGTTGTCTTTCCATGTTGACATCCCAGATCTTGACGGTAAGGTAGTCACGGGACAAAATGTAGCGGCCATCAGATGAGAATCGAACATCTGAGATAGAAGAGATGATTTCCGAGAAGAAGGAGCGAGATGATGGGTCCTCCTCCTGCTCAAATACTATTTTATATCCCAACACGTTAGAATAATCCTTTTCATTTTTAATTTGAACTCACAACTAAAAGGAAAGATAAGGAGAAGAAGAAGAAGAAGAAGGAATAAAGAGAAGGCAGGCATACGCTTGGCGTGGTTGTCGCACAAGGCACTATCACGCATATCTGCGAGTTTAATGGTGCCCTTGCTACTGGCGTACATGAACCAGTTGCAGCTCTGCGGATGAAATTCGGCAGCGGTGATAACTTCGGTCAGTTCCTCCATATTGGCTGGCTTGATATCGACGATATTGAAGCTTTGATCTTGAATGTTCAAATTCCAAAGATTTATCCTCAAGTCGTCGCTCGATATGAAAGTCTCACCATCCGAGTTAACCGAAATCGAGTTGATATGGTAGGCATGGGCATTAGCGTATGTCCTACGAGGGACAGCTGCGACAACGGTGTCGTGGTGGGTGAGACGTGGTAATCGGAGCGCGTCAACGCTAGTAAATTGGCTATGGGGGAAGCTTGGTCGAGGACCGGTACCGCCGACGCCGGATGGGTGCTGCTCATGCGACAAATTGTTCTCAGCGACGACTTTCAAAGATTTTTCGAAGACCTTCCATAGCTTGATTGTCTTGTCGTTGGTTGAGAGGAGAAAATGCGAGGCATTCTGTCGGCGACACCACTTGATCTTGTTGATCTTCTCTTCGATTTCGAGGGACTTCAGGTAGTCGAACTCGGGCTCGTGGGATTGGAACTCGGTGTGGAATTTGTATTCGCACGTTTTTTTCTGTTGTATCGAAAGGAAAGAGCAGAAAGAATCAGCATCTTCATCTCAAGTTGATGACATGAGAATACGTACCGTCTCATTCCTCTCAAATAGAACGACTCGTCCTCCTTTGTCACCAGTAGCGAGATAGTTTCCAGTGTGATCGAATTCAACGGTCGATATTATATCCGCTATGAGCGATAGCGAAGGAAGAGGAATCGTGTCAGCGATGGCCTGAAACCAAAGAAAAACAAGTGTAGAAAAGCCAAGAACCTTTCGGTCACTAAGAATCTGAAAGGGAAAGGGGAAGAAAGAAAAAAGATTAAGGTGATAGGGAGCTATAGAAGGAGGTGTAGGTCATCATACCTTCAGTGATATCCTCAACATCTCCCTTGTCACCAAAACACCTACCCCGCACAAGCTTCGGTTAGCAAAATCTCGAAATCGCATGAGCTTCGCGAGAGAAAAAAACACCGAACAGAAACCGGGAAAGCGAAAATGTAAAAGAATTGAAAGAAAACAGAGACACCTAGATGTTCCTTGTCGAGGAAAAATGATGAGGAGGTGGGAGTATTGACAGGGTTGATGATCGTGGGGTTTTTCTTCTTAATATTATATATGTGTATATCCATATATATAAAAAAAAAGACGCGAAGGGGAGGGAATGGGTGGGACGTACTGTGTGAACTTCCAGGTGGGTCCTGTGATTTCCCCATTGTCAACCATTTCTAACCCAGCCTGCCGACCTTGTTCAGGAACAGGGCAGGCCTTTTAGAAACGAATAAGAATGGAAAGAAGAGAAAAAAGAAGAAGTCCGGTCGGGTGGACGGACGACGACTGTTTGTATTTTTTTGTTGGTTGGTTGGTTGGTCGAAGGAAGACGAAGAAGTCGAGAAGAAGGAGGATAGATAGAAGAAGAAAAGCTTAGCTAGCTAGCTAAGAGGGGTTGAACGGAACCGAGAAGACGGAACGAGGAGGGGAGGGGATGGGGGGGGATGGGGGGGTTGGACCGAGCGAAGGCGGGGATTCGTGGGATGTGAGAAGTCGTGTGAGGTGGCCGAACCGGGTGGTTCGATCGAGGAATTCTAGAAGGCCTGGAGGTTGAAGAAAGAGAGGGAGATCTACCCGTCGCACAGCACAGCACGGCACAAGTACAGCACAAGTACAGCACAAGCACAGCAAAACACCGTTATAGTGAAGTACGGTACAGGACAGTACAGGTTAGATGGATGAATCCGGTGATAGTCGTATCGGCAGGTGCAAGGATGCAAGATTGGCCGATGATTGAAAGGAGTAGTAGTAGTAGTCGATGCAGTAGCAGTAGTAAGTAGTAGGAGTGGTTGATTGTAGTAGTAGTCAATTGTAGTTTGTAGTTTGTAGTTGGAGTTGGAGTTGGAGTTGAAGCAAGTCGTGGGGTTTGTTTATTGGTGCAGACGGACAGAACAGACGGACAGAACAGAGCAGAGCAGAAGGAACAAGCAAGAGGAGAAAGAGACGGGTTTCCTTCAAAGAGCAGTGAAACAAACAATCAGTTCAGTTCAATCAGTTAAATCGTTCAATCAATCAATCAATCAATCAATCAGTCAGTCAGTCACTACCAAGTCTGTACTTAGTGTACTTAGTACTTAGTAGTTATTCATCACCGAGCTAAGTCGTCGAGGGACAAAGGGAGACCGACAGGGACAAGGAACTTGAAGACGATACGTACAAGGAAGATCGAGAAGAGGAGAGAAGGGAGAAGGAAAGAAAGAAAGGAAGAACGTACCAAAGAGTAGGAATTAGGAATAGTATTAGAAACGGGAATAGGATTTCGTTAGCTTAACTTCGTAGATTCGAGCAGGTTTGATTTGGTTAGCAGCGTTTTGTGGGGGGAAATAAAATAAAAAAAACAGCCTTTCCGATTGAGAACGGGCAAACCAAACCAAACCAGTCCAATCCACCAAACAATAACGGTCGGTAAGAAGTATAAAGACAAGAATTAACAGACAGACAGACTCTAACACCAAATGACCAACAAATTTAGTTGATGGTGATGGTGATGGTGATGGTTGATGATGATGATGGTTGATGATGATGGGACTGGTAGATGGATGGTGATGGTTGACGGTTGATGGTTGATGATGACGATGAAGACGAATTGAGTAGCGATGGAGGTGAGACCGTATCACCGGCTTACCTCGGACCAATATAAAATGTCAGTCAGCTTCAACAGCAGCGGAGGTATTTGATATTGATATTGCTATTGATATTGCATAGACGATATAGAACTGTCAATGTTATATACTATATACTATAGACTACTAAGAATTAACAAGCAATCGATATCTCCAACTATTCCTATCCAATATTAATTCCCAGTCGCGGTCAGTATCAGTATCAGTAGAGTAATTCCATGCCGAACCATACATAGTATGCATGTACAGAGAGTAGTTAGCGGCGTGGGGTTACATACATACAAAGTAAGTAAGTACATACAATAAACCGTTGACTAACTGCATTGACAGCTGTCCTTGCTTCGCTTTCCCCTTTATAATATTCAATGCGTTATACAATTGAATACTACAATTGGTCCAGCCTTTTATATGCCGTTTTTCATTGTTCAGTTCTATACAATACTTCATAGTACATGTACATAAGTAGTAGTATATAAAATGTATAAAACCTTCACTTGTAAATATAACTAGGGGAGGGCATGGATTGATACCCCGCCATGTGCATACTATGATACAAATTTACCCCGCTGCGTCATTGAGAATGCCAATCCCCGTTCAATTCAGCCTGTGAATTTAATCTAATTTAATCAAGATCAATCTGATTAGATTGTATCACAATCTTATCATATCATCCCATTTAGGTAATCTTCATATTGTCAAACAGTGCAACATCAACACACTTTCCCCCATAATCGATTCTAGACCCCAGCGACGGTGATGATGCATGATGGTATTGATATCGATACTAATGGAAGAATATATAATAATGATAATAATGACTATATCTATGAATACCTAAGTAGGTACTTACAAGATGGAAAAATGGATATCATGCAGTACAATATAATATAATATGCAATGGAATAGAATATAATACAAAAACAAAGGTATCGTGATATCAGCATGACAATGAAACCCAACTTCAAAAAAATGAATGAAATCAATTCAGGCTCAAATGCAAATAAACCCATACAACATATGCATAAACCAATCATTCTCTTTTCAAAGTAATCCCCTCCCCGAGCCAAATGCCGAAAGAAATAATAATAATAATAATAAAAAGACATAGAAAGAAAAAAAGAAAGAAGCGAAAGTTAATGCGTCGACCTAAATATCGCCTTCCCATTCTTCCTCATATCCTTAATCCTTCTCGACAAATCAATCAACGTACACAACTTCGCGAACTCCTCAGGACTCTCCTTATTATTATTCTTCTGTCCCAACTTAATCAATGGACTCTCCAACAAATAATCAATAGTCTCAAGTCTACTCGGTATCGGATCGTGTAAATATCCCCGGATCGCATAATGCAACGGCGTATTCCCCAACGGTCCCCCCCTCGCATTCACATCAGACCCCGCATCCAACAATAAAGAAACAATAAGAGTCTTGCGATTATATTCCGCCGCCAGATGAAGTGGTGTCAAATTATTTCGACTCAGAACTTCTTCTCGCATCGGGATGCCGACGTGGTTTAGAATCGATTCTGCGACGGCAAAGTTCTCTTCCTTGGCTGCGATATGAAGGGACGAGAATCCGTCCGGTGAGGAATCTAGGTGGTACGGTTGATCACCGGAGCTGAGCAAAAACCTTGCCATTTCTCCAGATGCTGGACCTTTGTTTCTTGCGATGAGGCCCAAACTGTTGCATTTCCAGATGTTCTCGGCCACATCGATCACACCGCGACAGCATTGCTCTATATATTCCTATCATATCAGTATTTATTCCAAAAATCACAAAAGGCTTTATGAAAGGGGAAAAAAAAGGGGGACATACCAGAAAACAACGCCCGAATGCAATCGTACATCCTATCCCCATGATACTCCGTCAAAAAGAACATAATAGCCCTCTTCTTCGCAACCTCATCCCCAACAACCTCTCCATTCTCATACTTCAAATTAAATCCCGTCAAAGTATCCAAAGCGCTGCGTCCATTCGACGGCTTCGGAATAACCTGATACTCCGGCGGTGGAGGATCGCTAGGTGTAAACGGCGGCGGATCGGATCTCGTTGATCCCGGCGTTTCAGGCGGATAATTCGCATAAGACTGTGAGCTAGAAGCAGCCGGTGAAGATGGTCGGGGTAATTCCGTCTCCAATGGTCCTAAAGTCCTCTCGCTAGGCTCCGTTTGTAACCCTGATAACGCCGATTCAATCCATAAATCGAATCTGAAGTTCTCCGGAATATGCTGTCTATACCATTTCGCCTCCGCCTTCTTGCCCAACCGATCCAAAATCATGGCCATAAGGTAATAATGCGTCCTCTGATCCTTCAAAACGTCATCTTTACTCCAAATTTTAAACAACGGCTGACAAGCCTCCCTAGCCCCCTTGAAATCCCCTAGCTGCATCAAAGCAATACACTTCACCAACTGCAGCGTATTCGAATTCTCAGCACTGGACTTCTCAGCCAACCTCAACGCCGCCGCAGACTGTCGTTGAGCAACCAATAAAATCCCATTGATCTTTTCAAAAAAGTACCTCTCGTTAACCGACAGCACACACCCATGATCCCTCGAGATCTGGGCCAAAGCATCAGAATGCTCGCTCGCATCCGCCCAATGCGCCTTCTCCATCGACTGAAACAACTCATCCCTATGAAACCTCCACCGCTGTTCATCAACCTCTTCCCCTTCAGGATTAAACTGTGTCCGCCTCTTCGGTTGACTCCTCAGCTTCTTCGTCGGCGATTTCAACACCCCTCCGAACACCCCTTCCGTCGCCTTTTGTAAAGTCGGTATCGCGGGGGGAGGTCCACTCGGAGGCGGCGCAGGTAAAGGAATATTCGGTGGCGTTGTGATCCGTAGGTGGTGACCAGTCTCGGCACTAGCCTTCCTCACACCGGCCGGTAATCCAATCCTTTGGGTATGTGTAATAGGTTGAGCGGCTGAAGGTCTCTTCCCTGCTGGTGGCACACTCTCAGATCTATGCCCCTGTTGTTGCTGCAGCTTCTGTGCAGGCATTGTTTGCCCTCTGCGCGGTTGCGGCACAGAACCATTACCATTACCACTACCAATGATCTGCGCCGCTGGTTGCAAACCCGAAGCAGAGGCAGAAGAAGAAGAGGAAGGCCCTGCAGAATTCCCAGAATTCACACCATTATTACCGCTACTATACATATAATTATTCCCAAACTCCGGCGGTGTGGTTGTCCCATTCGAACTCGACCCGCTCCGAGATTTGGAAGAAGTAATACCAACGGCACTTCTGAACCCTTCAACGATCTGTAAATGCTGTAACGCGGCGCTGAGTCTGGCAGTACTATCTTTATGTTTATGTACGACCTCTCGTTCTCGAGCGATTTGCTTTTGGTATGATGATGAGTTTTGATGAGGGAATGTAGACATGGTTGTACTGCTGGTGCTGCTGGTGGTCTGGTGGATTATTGTACGAGCGGGGAGACCTTCATTTGCGGCAGAGGAGTTTATGCGGTCTAGCCATCCTTTGGTTTCGTCTAGATCGTCGAGGTGAAGGCTCATTGCCATCTTGTCGGGTTTTCTTTGGGAGGGTACCCAGATCAGATGTGAGCTGAGAAAATTGGAGACACTCTGTGTTGGAGATGTTCAGCTGAAGTCGAAGTGGAAGAAGTAGTTGGTAGTTCGCGGTTAGTGTCTAATGACTAGTGGTTGTAGTGGTGGTGGGAGTGGTTAGTGGGAATAATTTGGGTGTCTGTGGTAGAAATAGTGAATTATGATTAATGTCGTTGGAGATTCCAGATATCCTTCAGAGAATAAACCATATAAAAATAAAAATAAGTAAAGTATATATATAAAAGATAAATAGTGTAGTATATAGCAAATGTATGTATGTAATTCCTTAGCCCAAAAACAAAAATAACTTCATGGGAAGGTAAAGATCCGGAATGCACCTTGTGATTGTAATATATAAGATAGAGCAGGTATCAGCAGAAGCAGAAGCAGCAAGCTTAGCTTAGCGTCCTTTGGGCTGTACACCCCCCCTAAACTCGTCATGTTTAACCAGGGCCAGGTAAGCCGGTTCAGAAAAAAAAAAGAAGTCTTCGAAGGAGACCAGGGAGCGCTAACCTCAATGCCTTTCCTCCCCCCTTCGGTGTGTCCTTCCTTTGCCTTACTTCTTTATGCTGTGTTATCGAATGGCTTCGGGCTGGTTGGCTGGCTTGGGCGTGAGGCTTGCTGAAACTCGAAACCAGACGGTCGGCTGAATTGGACTTAGTTCAGAAACGCTTCTGCAGACCTCGTTAAGATTTTTTTTATCTCAGAAAATCCCCAATCGATCGTTCCCAGAGATTTCCCTTGTGGGCAGCCATATTCTTCTCTTTTTCTTTTTTCTTCTTCCTCTTCTCTCGGGCCATCCTCGCTTATACTCCTGACCCTTCTGCAGCTCCCTACGGGTATGGCTGGCATCGGCACCCCCCCCTTGTCCTCTTCTTTTTTTTTCCCTTTGGCGATTGACAAAATAATAATAATAAATTCTTCAGATGCAGAAATTATGATCTGCCCTTGCCGGAAGAAATGGGGTTCCCTTGGCTCCCAGCGGACTGCAATGGCAAGAAAAACTCAAAGGCCAGGAGTTTTAAACTGTACCCCGCAGGACATGAAACAGATGACCCAACACCTGTGATCTCATCCTTTTCCCTCTTCAACCGCCGTTTAGGTAATCGTCTGATGAAGGCTACTAAGCAAAAACACCCTTTTACCACGAAGCCAGTGAAAAAATGGCAGGCAAATAGGTCTCGTCTTCCCTTTTCTTGAAACTCAACGGCAACAGCCGATGTCAATTCTTTAAACATTTCCCCCTTACAACAAGTAGACTCGAGTCGCGCACACCCTTTCCCTTTCCCTTTTTCCGAAGAAAGCATCGGACTAAAATCCCCCATCGGAATGTCTCGATTCTTCGAGGTCACAAGGCCGACTTAACCAGGGGGGTAGGGTAAGGTAGTAGTTGACTCGGATGTCGTACAAAGCTGATAAACTAACTGGTTCGTTATGTATTCCGAATGGGTTTCCTGTTCCTGAATCACTGCAGAACGGACTGGACTGGGGTGGTTGCAATTACGGTGCCTGAGCTCTGAAATGCGGGTACCTGTCTGTGCGCCAGATGGTATCCACAGATAAACCCTTGACCTGATGATCACCACCTCAACCTCTGCAACCAACTATTACCAAGCTGGGGAGGGGAGAGAGGGGATGTGGGTTAATACGCATGCGCAGAAGCAAGGGGATATGATGCACGACGACCTAGCTCTCTCGTTAGCTTGTTGTAGATACGAAGGTGGTGGTATCGTGACCCCCATCTTCCATCTTCCCAAAAAATCAAATATATTCCACAAACCCTCACTCACCCCATCATGCAATGATTCAAGCGAGGGGTGTGGGATAGTAGCATGTAGGTGGGATGCAGATGAACTCTGCATCCATCACCTTCTTTTGTTTCTTCCGCTCCCACGGTCCGGTTAAAACAAAGTTGATATTTGACATTCGTTCTGCCAATGGCCACTTCTTTTTTTCCCTTCTCTTCCGGATAAAAAGCTGAAAACGAAGGGGGTGTAGAGAAAGTGCAAGGCAAGGCCTTGTCTGTTAGCGACAATGCATCCCCAAAATGCCGGGACCCTCTTGCATGCCAATTGCATATTACAGGGCATCGTAAACGTATCTAGCTGTTTTTACGATCCTCTCAAATTAGCATCTATCGTGAACCTGCACTGGAAATCACCGTTCACCAGATATGCAACTACTGTAGTCAGCAGCACCAATATAAATTGATATTAACTAGCTCCTTCCAGACAACCCGCGGCCCGTCCAGGCCCTTCAATCCTGAATTAGTATTACACAGTAGACATACCTTGCGATCAAAAAAGAAAGCCCCCGTAGCCTTCCTAACTGCAAGCGCCACTTCGGAAAATAGCATCATTAAAAGTCGTCGAGTATTACTTTTAGTCTCTTGAATATTGCATATGCATCCTATATCAGCTTCGTTTAGAACCCAGCTGGTCAGTCTCGTGAACAAATTCCATATTAAAAACAAAGAACGAAGTGGAAAGAAACAAAAAAAGGCCCGAAGAAACCAGAATAAAAGAAAAAACACCTCGTGTTTCGACGGAGAGATGGCTCCTTCTGGCTTATTTCCGATAATTAGGATATTCATTACATCGGCCTCGAGCGGATGGATTGTACAGATGCGAGCTCTGAGATGCTGAAGATTTCATCAGTGGCGTTATAGTTGGTTGGTTTTGGGTCGATGGATTCGTCAGCTCCCCTGTCCATCATCATCACCAACACATTCTGGATCAACATCAACCACGGAACTACTTCTCCCGTCACTGCACATAGAGCATAATGCATCAATCGATTCCTGCATATCTACAAATCTCCCCAGAAATCTAGAACTTCAGGTCCTACCAAATTACTCAATTTCCTGCTACCAACTTGACTAGTCTGGGGAAACTTTACAACTAGAGATCTGTACTCCGGACATCTGGCCGGGGAGGACTCGAGGTGTGTATGTACGGCATAACATCCCGGTTCAGCTTCAAACTTCTAGAATACTGTCTCGCATATCCTGAAACACCACCTCAACATCCCATTCACGATGTCTTGTGCTCCCAAAAAACCAGCCCCTTGCATCGCCACATGTACATATGTAAGTACATGTAAGTGAATTACTATGTAACTTCAAACAATTTTGCCCCCTTGAAGTAACCAGAAAATACTGTATCGTATAGACTAAACGTGAGGCTAACTAAGAGGTATACTCTCGATCTTACCAGTACTAGTTCAAATTCAATCATGAATAGCAAAGAAGAAGTAGGTATGCAATTAATTCCAAACTCTCCAAGAATAATTTGCCCTCGATCAAGCTTTTTCTTGGGTTCAACTCTTAGGCTCTTAGCCCTTGTAGACGAGAGAAGACCTCATGATCAACCTAAGCGTATGGGGATATATACTTACTCACAGCTAAACATCTCGTATACTCCTCGTTCCACAATTATACAGATTACAATTACCCGACATGATCAATTATCTAAATGCCAAAGATTCTACCAGGCATATCCCTACTAAAAGCAAACGATTAACTACCACCAATTGACAAGCTCCCAATAAACACACGAATTTCAGCCCCCGCTTAGTTTCGGGCCCTCAATGAGCCTCATGATATGATTGTTGATATAAATAGTTATTACGGACCAGCTCAGGATCAATATTCCTAGTTAGTTAACCGAAGTTAAAAGCCAAAGTTATCGGATAACTACCCCGGATGGTACAGCTCAGTTAATTAACTAACGATTAGCTGAATTCATGTAAGTACTCATCTTAAACGAGAGCTATCCGTTGACCTTACCACGAAATTCTAGATGCACGATGCACGTTGAATTTAACCTTAAAACAGCAAACTTTCACCCTTGGTAACTCCTTGGACGCCACTGTATCGATTTCTTTTTTTTTTTTTTTTTGGTGGGGATTACTGTATAATTTACATGCGGCTGGAAACAGAATCCATTGGACAATCGGTTTTGGACTAGTATTCAGGTTTCTGGTTTCAGTCATGAGGCTGAAGTTGCTCCTAGAATGGGTCCCAGGGCCCTGGCACCACAGTATGGGGATGTTTCGAAAAATGCAACTTAAACAACAACTCTCTAGGAATTTGCATATTTGTATATACTATACTCTCGGGCCCGAGGATTGGTAATATATTTGGATATGCACTTCGGAACTAAAAGAGTGATGCCGAAGACTTTATTCTTATATACGGAGATTATGGTCCGAAACCCATTCTTAGATAGTCGTATTAAAGTGTATATTCCGTACCCACGTGGAGTAGATCATGTCAATCAATTGCACAATTGTTCTTCGGGCTCAGAAGCTGCGGCTCGACTGGGCTCTGTTAAGTGATCATGGACTTTGAACTGATAGATCATATGCTGGATGACACGTAGCTATAACATATACTTTAGTGTCATAGCAGACTATACTAGCTATCAAACGATGAATCGATTGATTCGGCCGAATGCATGAGAGTGGCTTTGTCAAACAATGTCGAGGAGCCGGGTATCGTAATTGCGAGCTAGAACTGTCGAGAAAAATTGTAAGAAAAATTGTAAGAAAAATTGAAATAATTAGGGATAGAACTGTAGGTGTAAGATATCAGCCTCGTAGTCTCTTACTAGAGAAAAAATATTAATTGCTACGCAATTAACAGTTTCTTGGTGAATTAACGTCAGAACAACCGTTCGGACTGATATGGCGCAAGATCAGGTCACAGCGAGTTGACTTACGCAGAGTCTTAGAAGAGTTAATTGATCGGTATCATATACATAATTATCTGCAGTGATCATGAGGGTAGTCTACACAATCGCACCTAGCACTAATCATCTGGTACCTGAGCAGTAATTAATATAATTCCTCCTAAAAGATCGAACATTAAATCCATAGACTTTAAAACGTATGTGTTAGGTATACAGTAGCTGCAATAGATCCAAGCTTAAGCTACGTAAATCAAATATGTAGACTTATAGAGTTATAAAGTTAGTGCGTGCACGTGGCTACACTTGAGACCATGTTATCTCTAAGACAGGAGATATATATATTACTAGACGAAAATAACTCGCCATATAATATATAATATATATTATACGAGTAACAGTACTATGTGAGTATCATAAAATTAAAACCGCAATAGCAGCTTAATTAATAAATACTACTTGTGTATAATTGGGAAGATATTTTAGATCTGTGGAGGACACCATCGTGGCATCCACGTGATACTTTCACCATAAATTATACTCATGTTAATACCGTAACTATTAAAGAATGGAATCAAATAAAAGATCGCCGAGTATACCCAAACTCAACCATCGCAACCGTCAATCATCTAGTTTTCCAATAAGTTGATCTTTGAATATTCAACTTCCATAGACATATAAAAGCCCCATCGCGCAGCGACTTTACCTCTTGAACCTCCTACATCTACCTACCTTCTGCCCATCAAGTTACCTCTGTATCCATACTACACATACAATATTACTCGATTGAAACCTATCACAAATCTTACCTCAATACTTCAAGATGTTTTCTTTAATGAATACTCTTCGTCGTACTACCTTCCAAAGCTCTATTCGAGCTAAGTCCACAGCAAACCGGGGCACCCGGATGATGGTACGTCCTATACCCCCCCCCCTTGTACACTTTCACTAACATCCCTATAAAGAAGAATTCACGAACTAACAGAATAATCACCAGCATACCACTCACCCCGGGGCCCCAGAAACACACTCTACCACCGCCGGAAGCGACTTTGCAATAACCACCCTCATCTTCGGCCTATTCGCAGTAAGCTTCCCCCTGAATAAAGCTCTCTCTCTATATATCTCTCTTTAGAACCACTAAAACTAACTGCATATTGAATAGGTCTCAGGCCAAATCCTCAAAGCCTACGAAGAAGTCAAAGAAGAGTGGGATTCTTTAAGAATGTCCATGTATGGATTCAAATGCGAGGTTAGAATCCTAGAAAGGGATCTTAAGATCCTTGAAGGATTAGTACGCACCAAGGAGATGGAAGAAGGGGCTGCTGTTGGGGCCGAAAAGGAGAGAGAAAAGGGTGCTCCACTATTGAAAGTGGGACCCTTTGAGCCTTCGAGGTTATTGTGGGCTTCGAAGACCGTTTAAAGAGAAGGAGCGCTTCGACATGGAGTTTGGCGTTCGAGAAGGGCTGTTATAATGCGCCTTCTTTGTTTTGGGCGCACTGGGTGCATGATGATCGATATTAGCTACTTTTAATAGACTCTTTCGTTTGAAGCGTTTGTATAGCTAACCGGGACTTTATGGCGGAATGACACAACTTGATAATGATATGATCTATTTCCTTGAAACCACGTGTGTAGTAATCAATTGATCAACGTAGCATAGTACTATGATAACCCAGCTTGCCATGCGTCCCGAGGTCAACCGAGAAGCTCATTAAGTCAATGAAGGTAGGTACAATCGTGTCGATCAGAACAATTATAGAGCATGAAACATGTAAATTTGTCAAAGACGCCATAAATGACACCTGATGGAAATATAATAAATATCTTGTCGGCTGCAACTTAAGTACTTCCGTCCCTTCCATTTCGAGTATTCCACATTCCCCCCATTTACAACCTTCTCGGTGCCGCGAATAACGCACATCACTCGAATTTTATATATATCGGGATATCTACAAAAAAATCAGTCTTAAACAAAATAGATATATATAAATATCGAAATGTGGCTACGCAGAGTGTCGAAAACCAGTCTCCGCCATGGCATAGCCCCTGGTATTAGTCGAGGTACACATGCACATCCACCGAGAACCGTTCAACTAATTGTATGTCTCTCACACTCTCTATCTTCAAATTATCTTATTTCTCCAAAATCTAATTCTAAATTTCATCAACCTCACAGGAGAGCAACCGCACACTGATATCCAAGCTCCAAACTTCGTTCAACATCCCACAAATTATGGGACAAACGGCGTTCGCTATTGGCTTATACACTGTACATTACACCTACACCCCTTTCCTAATAAAAATCTAAGTATACGAGACTAAAATTATATATTATTAGCTAGCAACAACAACAATATACATCGGAAGTATCTCTGCCGAACTATCAGACTTCTATGCCATGTGGACACGATCATTGGACGAAGAGTTTGAAAAAGCAAGGGTTGAATGGATGTTAAGAAGTATACTGACAGAAGATATTGATCCGACGGGTGTTATCGATGATTGTGTTACTACTACTAATGCTAAGGGAGTTATATGTACTGGTTGGGATGATGAAGTCGATTAAATTTGTAAATAACTAGAAGTCTATATACTAGTATAGGTATATACAATATCCGCAACTCCAAACTCTTTCATCTGAATGTTGCATTTTGTGATATAAGATCGATCGATATCCCGCCGCTAAGAACTATCTCAGATCTAGATCCTAGCTTAGCCTGGTGATACTGTGTAAGTACTTAAGTATTCATGACTGGAAAATTTTCCGGAGCTATCGCGTTACTTCTTGGTCCTTTCGCTTTTTCCATAAACGGAAAACCATGGTTTTTCCAAGAGATGTGTTGGAAGATGCTCGCAATAACATTGTCACTGTATGGTCTTTCGGCATTAAACGGCGAAGCAAGCCGCTGACCCCCAACATTATGCTCGTAGGCAGCAACACGAAGTCTAACTACCTGCAATTTTTGAGGACTTCCTCGGCTTGATGACCCATATGATGCTGGCGACACCAACAGCCTTCAGGCTGAACGCAGCTCACAGAGGAGCTTAAATGAACCACATCCTAAATAGACACCATCTCAATTTTGGTATTTCGGGGTTTTGATATAAGATGGACAAACAATATACACTATTGACCGCCGTTCTGGTTCTGTACCTTCACCTAGACGCAAATCCAACAACAACATAAAAAACGTCGACATGACGTCCTATTTCGAACACCTTTTGTAACAAAGCTGCAGCAGCATAATCAACTTAAGGCAAAAATAGCGTCGGCTTGCGGTGCTGTTAGGATGATAATCGGAGATATCCCTCAGAACAACACAAAGAGTCCGGTCTAGAATAAGATACTACCCAGAATCAATCCCTGCACCTCGTGAACAATTACTTACAGTGATATTATTAGTTATGAGTCTAGAGGCCTTAATTAATATTCTTTGCATTCTTATCTCCTGTATGGTCTAAAGTCTGTGCAGTCTTATTCCCTTTGCCAGACTAATGTCTTACAGACATAAAGGCCTTTGAAGTTATGTTTCCTGTACTATTTATGTTTTCTTATTGTCTTGATCTCCTTTGTCACTGGTCTATTGAAATATTTAAACTCGTTGTCATGTAGTTAGAAATCAGGCAACAATTTATAAATTTAGGTATCAACCCGTATACATACTAGCACCCTCTTGCCTTGTGATATTTGCGTATTAATATATTACCATGATACTTCGAACTAGTTTATATACGATTTCTTACACAACTAGACATTTCCTGGGAGTCTAAAGATGCCGAGTCTCCCCCAAATGCCCCAGCTCCCTCAGCCCTTTTTATAAAAATTTAATGTATTCAGTTGCCCTTTCGACTATTTGTATCTTATTTGCATTCTGTGCGAAATTTTCGAGGAGCGCTCTTATGATCATTGCCAATAATATTTATAAGGCAAGATAGCGATTGAGGAGCCTTAGCGATTTGAATGCCTAATGGTTTAACATCCACGTTATTTTTTGCATTTTGATCTTTAAGGTCTATTTTTTCGGTAGACCCTTTTGGTTTGAGAGGTGTGGGATCATTTTCCTGGGCCATAATTGATTTGATGTGCTGTGCAAGAGTATATTTGCTAGTTGATGGAGCAAAAGGCGGGAAGGCCTAGAGGGACTTTTCTTCTTCGTAATGTACCGTCCTTGGGAGTCTTTATCTTTTCTGCAAGATGATAAACTAATAACACTAAGAATAACAATAATAATATGCTTATTGCTGAGATTGATGGCTAGGATGGTTAAGCTTTATACAACCTCTCAGCCTTTTATGCAATTTATGTAAAGAAAACGTCTTGTGCACTAGAAGGATCAACCAATCAGATTTTAGCAATAATATACTGCTATTTGGTCCATTATGCACCAATTTCACGAATTAATATTCAACTGTTATCTGGATAGAACAACGTTGAGGTTTTTCTAGAATTCCCGAATTATTCCAAATATACAGATTTATCTAATATGATATTATATTTCAGAAATTTCATTTTTTTTGACCTTAAACGAAAATAAGCAACTGAAAGTTACTGTGATGTTTTTCTATCTTCATCAATTTTTAATGGAATCGTCGACCGCCATGGCTATCCTGCTCCAAGGTCTGGTGTGTCCAATAAAATTCTACGCGAAGTTTTTGAGGTATTGGAGGGTGCAGAAAGTTCAGGAATCAGAGACTCTGTTTTGATTGATGTCTACTGGAATGAATACGAGGTAGTAACTTTCGATATTTTATTGAATTGTTTTGGTTTCTTGGTTGATACTTTTGGTACATAGGGCGGATCCATTCATGGATTAATAAATATCCCCGCGCAGAGTTTTTATATTACTATTCCATTATGGTATAGCTTGTTTAAAGCGGCGGGAATTAAGAAGGTGATATGATATTACAGTAAGTGTTACATCGCCATGTCTATTAACATACGTCACCTAAATTTATAGATTCAACATCTTACACTTTTAGGGTCAAACTGAGGAAGAGGCACGCAGTCAGCACTGCGGTTTCGGGACAACCTGGATGAGAAAGGTGACATTGAGATGAAGAGTATGATTTTGATTGAGGGAATCAAAGGCTGGGCAACTGCTGGAAATGAATATGGTGAAAGAACGGATTAATATTTGAGGAGCTTCTGGAACGAGTAGCTAGTAGTATAATTCCTTTTGCATCTGATCTACATGTGTAGGTGTTAACTTGTAGAATTCCGAAGTATACGAATCATCATAAGTCTACTTCTATAGCCGGGTGATTGCATAATCCTCATTTAACCAAGCCTTGTCTGTGACGCATGTCACATCCCTGGAAGCCTTTCGGAATACGGGTCGGTCCAGAACTGACTACTTAAAGTGATAAACCTGTCCATTCCGGAATTCAGGTATCTCAAGGGAGAATTATGTTCATAATCCTGCTAACAAATTAAACTTAAGTTATCAGATCATTTGAGCATTCTTGGATTTTTGGAGACTTGGATTGGAAAGATGACCTGGTGCTTCTGAGATATTTGCACCAATAATTGATATCCCATGCTTTTTTACGTGAATAGTCATCAGCAAATGGAAATGGTGAGCGCATTTTGAAGTCATTTCTCGTTCGTAACCGCTGAATATATGGGTTCTTAAGTCTGTTTTGGCCCTTTCCTCTCTAATGCCTTACTAAGTCGGTTGGTGAGCAGCAAGAAGCACAATGTTAAGAACAATGCTACACTAGCTGTTATCCAGAAATCTTTCTTGGTCGATCGGCCTGTGATACCCTCAACGTCCATACTAAAGTAAGCCATAATTAAGGAAAGAGGCAAAAAGATAATGGTCACTTTTGCCAAAGTAACCGACAGAAGAGCCAGTTTCTCGACTGCTTGTGTTTCTCGGAAATTTAACCGGTTATAAGTCTATGAAAAGCCGATGAGTTTGAGTAGTCAATGAATTAGTATTATCAATGTGTCTTACGAGTGATATTAGGCCTTGCGTCTCCAATTCACAATCTTCAATCTCGGTGATTGCAAGGTAACGGATACGGTACTTCAAACGTGCAATGCGAGATACAGCGGCAGGTCGAAATGCCAACGGCGAATTTTCGTCGAAGAAAACTTTGCCTTCTTGGAGAAGCCTCTCAAGTACGAGCTCATAGCTCTGGTATATCCGCTTGAGACTCGCTAGTCGCCGAACGATGTCGTGAAGGTTATCGATATGCGCTAGCTGGGGGTCTTGCTTCCTCTATGAGGCGTATTAGTTGGCTATATATAGGAGCCGCTTAGCTAAAGGAAATCGAAGCGCTTACAATGTAATTCAAATCTTTGCTATAAGGGTGCGCTCGCTGCACCACGATGCCCCAAGTCGTATACCAGTCGTCAAAAAGATAATATAACAAAAGGTCACCAGTTGGGTCATTCTAGTGTAGAGGGGTTAGCATTGATCGGCCTACACAAGGTTCGACATCAATGGCCGTAAAGAGGGATCAAATATACATGCCGTCTTTCGTACAAGAAGCGCACCTTCTTCTATCGCAATATCAATGTCGCTGCTGGGCGTATCAACCCGCTGAGGCAACCGCACTTCTGATAGGCATCTCAAAACCATACGCAGATTCCTGCGTATGTGTTCAGCATTACTTCTATCAAGTTCTTCGTAGTCTCTACCGAAGACAGGGAAAGGTTCGTGAATGGATATTATTGTTCCGTCATCCGTTACTATTAGCCACATCCAAAGCCTGAGCATCCGTGGATGATAATGGATGTTGCTGAAATGCTTGTCTTCGTCGGTGGGGGAGTCATTGAAGGTTTGGACTTTCGACTTGATAATATTGGGGGTCGAAGAGCGGCCGTTGAGATGGTTTTCCTGGCTGAATGTTTCTGAGATAGGTAGGACAGGTTTATTGGGAGATTGGTTTTTGCTACTGATGGGACCCCACCATCTCAAAGCTTCGCCAATTTCTCGTTTTCTAGTCGCACTGCTAATGTGCAATTCTTCGGCATTATCCTTTGATCTCTCAGTGGGGAAATTCAATTGGTCTAGACTGAACAAGGTGTTGTAACCAACGGCCCGAACTGGAGTTTGACGTTATTGACTGCACAAAAATGTGAACTTTCCTTGGTGGTTAAAAAAACTTAGGGTGGTACATTTATCACCATGCTCCACAGACGACCAATGCCATAATCTTTTTGCGATTTCAAGATTCCCTTCGCCAGGCGGAGAAAGTAAACTAGCCCTTAATCTAGCCGAAAGATTGTATTTTTCCAAGAGGCGCTTGAAAGATCTTGTTAGAAATATCGATACTTCGATGGATGGATGGATCTCAAGCGCCAAGGAAATCATGTAAAATAAGATAAAAAAATAAAAAATAAAAAATAAATAATAAAATAAAAGAAGGAGGGAAGGTATTGAAATTGCACTAGCACTTACTAACACGAACTCTCGTTGCTTGTGCACATCAAAGAGCATACTGTCGGACGACATCAGTTGGTTTGCTTCAGTGTTGGGGAATGTAATGAGACTGAGTAGAGACGCTTACATCCACCGAGTCTTAAATCCTTGCGCATCCTTGAAAAATGTTAAAAGCTGGTTCGAAAGATGAGTGAGCTTGGGAATGGGATTTGTCCAACTGATTGGGTCCAGCTTTCTATTAAGCCATGAGCATCATCAAACTTGAAGTTCCATCCACACCACGCATTATTCGGACCGTAATCGACAACTAGGTTCAGGAGATCCGGGTCCAAGATGCGCGCGTCTGCTTGCTCAAGCACATGCTGTTGATCGAGGCACTGGAAGTTGATGCCGTATAATCCGTAGTGCGCGCTTGCGTCCATAGCATAGTCTGGTGTGCAAATCTTGAGGTAGAGGGATAAGTGTTGAGACTCTTTCGAAGTTAAAGATTCCACGACTTTGATCGCCATCGAGGGCGGCGTTTGGAAGGCGCCGGCTTCGTAACCCTTTTAATAGTCATCTTCCCAGATCCTTGCCAGAAGAATATTTGCTTATTTGCACATGCCTGTTTCAAATTTATGATTTAGCGTTCATGATTGGTTCATTAGACGCGATAACTTGCCAATGGGTGCAAATTCTGGAAACCGGATGACATGAAATCCTTCATACAAATCAAGTGCATGTGGAAGATCCTGGCAGCTTACTCCGCATGAAAACAAGAGACGGTAATATTGAATGTACTTTGTAGAGCTATCCAGGTTTGGAGAGACCACAGAAGAAGTTGATACCAGAATACTAGCATTGTGTTACTCCGAATTTTGGTATACTGATCATATTGATGGTTTGGGATATTGTTAGGCCGAAGAATGTTCAGAATTCAGAAAATTGTGGTTATGCTCCTGAATTAGGCCCGTACTATCAATACCATCCACCGAAAGGAGCAGCTTGATGATATCAAGCTTTCCTGCGGCCGCTGCAACAGCCAAAGGCGTTTTTCCACCTTTGCCTCTGAAATTGACATCAACCCTCTCCGTGCTAAGCAACACTTTCACCATTTCCACATTGTTGTCTCTCACTGCTTCGAAAATGGGCGTGTTGCCCTCGCTGTCAACGCAATTTGGGTCAATTCCTGGGAAACGTAGAAACGTTTCAGCTATCCTAACATAACCCCAGCCCACAGCAAATGACAAGGGTGAGCGACCCGTTATGTCTCTGAAGTTTATGTCCACCCGACCACTCTGAAGGAGGAGCAAAGCATTATCAAGGTAGCCTGGGGGGTTTAAAGCCCACGCCAACGGCGTCCAACCCTGGTCGTCTGCGGCGTCGACTTCATTTGGGCACTTCTTGATAAGATAGTGTATCAGGGATCTGTCCCTTCGTTCTGCTGCCCACGAGATAGCATTGCGTCCGGTTTTGTCCCGCACCGATACGTCCACTCTCCTGCTTTCTATTAGTAATTTTACGATAGACAGGTTCATATTAAGCACTGCCCATAAAAGCGGTGTCCTGCCGCTGTAATCCTGGTTGTTCAAGTCCATACGACCGTCGATTATCATTTGTTCTACAAGAGCGATTTGCCCTTCTTCTGCTGCCCATGATAGAGGGTTACGTCCACTTCTATCGAGACGGCAAGGGTCAACTCGCTTGTCCTTTAGCAACATTGATAGAATACTCTGAGAATTGCAAGCCGTCGTCCAGAACAAAGGTGTGTAGCCGCTGCTGTCCGGGAGGTTTGGATCAATTTCCTGTTGTTTGAGTAATAATGCAACTATCTCCCCATGGTCGTGAGTAACAGCCAGCGAGAGAGCTGTTTGCCCATCTTTGTTTTTTGTGTTGACATCAAAAATTCTTTGGTCTAGCAGAGCCTCAGCACATTCTAAGTGGCCGCATTTAGCGGCTGCTGCCAAAGGTGATAATCCCTCCAAGCTGCAAATACCAGGCTCGTTGGAGATTTGATCGAGATATTCCTTCAGGAATACTTTCAAACAAGATGAATTCCCTTGCCTTGAGGCCCAATGAATAGCCTCACCGACTTCTCCGCCGCTGTGTCTCTGCTTCGATAGATGCTGCAATATTGTGAAGTGGCCAAAATAGCCTGCGAGGACTAGGGGACTCAAGGTCTCCGGGCGAGCATCATCGGCACCGTTTGTGAGAGCCCAATAGTAACGTAGCCAGTTGGTTGTTTGAATGTTGGAATCATCAAGTAACCGGATAGCCATACTGTGGAGCTCATCTTCGTCTTCATGAAAATCGTTGTTTTGGCCAAATAAACCTGTCCAGAATTTCGATGCGTAGTCGTAGAGGCCGTATTCTTGAGCAATACGTTTGCAGCGTTCTTCATCACTCGCCATTCCCCCAGCAGATAGCAGTCGGCTTTGGAAGTTGTCGAAACCAAGGTCCTCGCTTACCTCCCCAAGCCAGTTATAAATGGAGCTTGATAGACCTTCAACGGAAGATTCGATGTCCTGATCGTACTCATCCTCTAAATCACCCTCCGGATATGCGAAGAGATCCGAAGAAAAGGTATCAGAGAGAAGGTATCTCATACAAGCGCCGGCAATGAAAATGCTATCCCGACGAATGCTGACACCGAAAGCTTTAGCAAGATCGTCGTTTTCTTTGGTATCAAGATCGAGAAGAAACTCTATGATAGATTGGTGGATTGGGGCCAAATAGTCGCCAGAGACTCGGATGAAAGGGTACAGAAGGCGTGCGATAGCCCCATCTGTGTAGATAGGGTGTTCAAGTTCTGCCCCTGGTTCGACAGAATGGTTAACCAGAAGATTTATCTCTCCAATTCTCAATGCCCTACCGCTGCAGACGATAACGCGAAGCAGTTGCCCGACTGTTTTGCGACTAGTTGCTGGGATGGACTCCAGATACTGCCTGTACAACATGGAGGCGCTGGGAGGCAATTTCTGGAGCATCCGAACATCGGCTGGGCCAAGAAACGGCTTGCTTTCCAAGGATGAGAGCACCAATGATACCCATAAGAAAGTTTTCTCTGCTTTTGAAGCTAGTGAAAGTTCCAAACGAGTTCTTAAATCCTCAGTGCAGCTATTCCTTTGAACCAATAAACCCAACCTGTGTTGAATGACTCGTAAAACGTCTTGACCGATCATCTCTTGGAGGCCTTCAAGATCCAAGCGAGGGTATATGTTTTCATCGGACGGGAGCCTAAAGTAGGCTGAAGTTTGGGGACGGCTGGTGATAAAAAATTTGGTTGGAGAATCGCCTGCTTGTTGCACAAATTTCGTGATCCGATTTACGAACATGAGCTGGGTTAGTTCATCGCATTCATCAATTGCGTCAATAACGATAATTATCTGTTTCTGCTTCTCGGTCTTTAGTAAATCCAGAAGCAGCTCCCACAGCCCACTCAGCTGTTGGAAAATCTGTGGTCCTTTGAGGCTTCGGGCCTTCCGCACAAGTTTCAGCAGTCGACGCCTGCGTATTACTATCTGGTATATAATGCTCCGAAGCATGATAATAGGGTCCTGGCGTTCTTTTATTCTAGTATCGCAGAAAAAGTGACATGCAATGGACGAGCCCATCGCCTCTCCCGACAAAATTTCCGAAACGTATGATGACAGGATAGTTTTGCCGCAACCAGGCGGACCAGTTACCCAAAGCAATGAGGCCTTGGTAGCTGACGCCCAGGCGGAATACTGGTTATTACTAGCCAGCCACTGTAGAGTACCGTGGACAAAAATCTCGAGATGCGCCTGGTGGGCCGTGGCAATGTCTATGATATTGAGCTGTTCCATGCAAGCTCTTTCAAGATCATCAAGTGCTATCTCCATTTTAGCTAAAAAGGTATCGCGAGAATTCTTGGATTCAGCCTTACACTTGTCGGAAGCCGCAGTTGACATTGGTTTTTGACTCTTTTGTTTCCTTATCTCGTCCGCCATTTCCAATATTGCTCTGAGCACCTTCTTATAATTGTCCGATTCGGCATTCTCAAAACGGCAAAGGTCTCGATGATCAGCGTAAAGAGGAGCGTATTTACCATGAGGCACGTTTAAGATGGCAGATGAACGATTTACTATCTGGTGTGAAACATAAGCCGTATCAGCGTTCTCTATCCGTTCCGTATTCCACAGAAGCGGCAAAGCGTGACCAGGCATTAACAAAAATTTAACCCAACCATGAGAAATCACTCACTACTTGTCCTGAGATCTTTTCACTCTCATAAAAAGAGTATATCATTAGAACCGCAGCTCTCTCTTGGAAGGTCTTGGAAATACTAGTCAGCTTCGGGGAATCGTAAGCCAAATCTTCCAACAAATCTGTCCTGATATCGCCGGCGAAAAGTCCGACACCCAGATATGTAGACGGTTTATTGACAAAGTTAGCCACGGTTTTTGCTATTTCTGCCGTAGCGCTTCCGCGATGTGGCGTGCCAAGGAATATGACGCCCTTGCATCGAAGCCAGATATCTGGATTCTCATTGTATGCAAAGCTCATAGTCTGTTTGAAAACGATCCCCCCCAGACTGTGGCATATGAATAATATATCTCTTTTCTCCTACAACTCCAATAATCAGCCTCGATTACTCCCACCAAGCACTTTTAATATCGGCAAACTTACATCAACGATTTCTTGCAGGCTGATGAGCAAATGCCTCGCGAAGTCGTCAATCTCAGCCACTGACTTCGAAAACATAAGATTTGAGGGGTAGCCGTATGAGAAGATCCGCGCGCCGGGAAGCGATTTGGGTAATTGGTCCTGCAGCCAGTAATTGCCTGATTTCGTCCATGTTCTGTAGATGTCACCGTTCAGTCCATGCATAGCGATAACGTCGAGTTCATATTGTTTGGCGGAATCGGATACCCATGTATCTGGATCGTTAAGCTGATGGAGGCCGTGGGTGCCAACGGCTGGGGTCGGATAAGTAGCGCGCTCCGCTTCATTCGGCGTGATTGCTGGTAGCCTATTGTATCTACGGCTCGGCTTCCGTGCCTCGGAAGCTCCCTTAGGTTTGAATTAATATTTGAGCCTATTGACAAAATAGAGTCAAGGACCAAAACGAAAATGCCAGTCATACATCCTGAGGCTTCCGTTGCTTTAACGAGGCAGACCTCGAGCGGCTGCGGAGCCTTCCAAACAGGTGTTGCATGTCGAGTCAGATGAAAAATCGAAAATTCCACTTGGTATAGCAGCTTTAGACCTGCGAGCGAACTCTATTTACAAGAAGCGCGTTAGGGTTGAGTGCTCGCTCTAAAGTTGCAGACAATGGCGGGAGTGTACTGTGGAGAGAGTGGGGCTAACCAAATTAAAAACCCTGTCGTATGTGTAGCCTTGCCAAGAGTCTGGTACTTCGTTCAGATCTCTAAGCCTTTTCCGGAACCATCTGTCATCAAAAAACTCGTCCCTTCTCAAGTTCAGGAATAAGCATGCGGCAAATACGTCTATTCGGTGCACCCAGCACGGGAAAGAAGACTTTGGTCGGCAACCTAATGATGAGCGTGAGTTAATACGTTAAGAAGCTCTTACTACCCTCGGGCCCTTCTAGGTATTTAAGTTCGTCAACTGAATGGCTTATAGTGTGGTCTAAGAATGTCAATTATGGAAAAGCTGCAACGCAAAGGCATTCAAAGATATGATCGGATGACAGAGTTCTTTATCGAAGAAAATATTCCGTTATCGTTCGAGACTAGAAGCGGCCCATGGGAAATTACCAGTCCGTATTCGTACCTTCTCTGTCTGCGGAAAATATGTTTACTCAGATTTAATCTCAATACATCTTAGATAGCAACGATCCTGATGTTGTGTTATATTTGGTGGATGCTAGCGCCAGTACTGAGACGAATATCATTGATCTCGGGACTGCTGGAGATGCGACAATTGGTATCTTGGAAAGGTGTACCAGGTTTATCCTTATTGTCAACAAAATGTAAGTCAACAATATACTTAGTATTTGGAATTATTCGCAGTTGATGGTATCTCATACTAATAAGCCACATAATAGGGATAACCTAGACTGGTCAGCGGAACATTTTCAGATTATCATCAACCGTGCCACCAGCGAGCTACAGAGAGACAGTATTAATATCAAAAAGTGAGTCTTCCTAAGAATTTCCTACAATTTCAAAGCTCTTTGGCCTAAGTACGGAAACCAACATCCATTCGTATGTAGGTTTAATAGCGTGGCGGTGTCGGCCCTTCATGGAGATAATATCATCCAAAAATCCGGTGATCCCATGTGGAGGACGCTTGTCCAGACCCTTGATCTTGAATCAATATTGTAAAGAATTCTTAACTACTGATTGAGCCAATGATAAACAGAAACAACATAGTAACCTGGCATCAGGCATCAGAGAATTACATTATTCACCTAGTCACCAGCGCACCCGTTCGGGATGTTAAACTCTATATTTAAATCCTCTTGTACTTGCGAAAGGTGGTCCTCGTCGAAGGATTGCGGCTAGGGTTGAGAATATTTCCAAAACTTCTTCGGACATATTTTTCCGGGTAAAGTTGTTAAAAGCAGCCTCTACAGCGTTTACTCTCGTAATACAATGTTTTGTAGTGTTTTAGTTGTCTCGTACCCAGGTGTTTTAATTCTCAAGACCTTTTTGAACTATAAAAATAGTCAAACAGTAGAAATAACTAGAGCTCCAGACTTACCCTTTCCATTCGGTACTTGCGTGCGATCCACCTCAGAAGTTCTCTGGCCGTGAGTTTAAATAAACCTCCCTGCAGGAATAAGGAGCCCAGCTTCGTGAACCACTGAAAATGTTAGTTAGATAGCACCTTCTTACAACAAATTATAATTCTTATACCTTAATAACGAAGACACCAATGATTTTATCCATATTCTCACCAATGACGTTATAACAGTAAATTTGAAAGCATTTTCATCATATTTCAACAATCGAACGCTATATATATTTTTTCAGTTTTTTGATATATAGTCCATTTAAATAAAAAATGTCAGCTAAAATTTTAACTCCTTTTAAGTAAGCTTTTAAGACAGATCCAAATAAAACTAGTTAATGTGGTCAGGTAGCGATCAGTAAGAGATCTTCTATTAATTAACCGGCTCCTACTGTGCTTACTTTGTCCATAAACATTTTATATTTTCTCATATATGTATTTTCTAATATGTAAAGTTTGATTCTCCTAAAAAAAGTCGTCGCATTGCCATGTAATCTACACCATAGGATGTTTGCAAGTCTAGCACAGCATTTTGGTAAGCTGTGTGCATCTCCACATATCTCTGAATAGAAACTATGCATGATATCGGGATGAGGCGGTGAGCAATGTGATTTACATAAGAGAAGAAAGGCAGCATATACAGGAAGTCAGATAACCTTATATAGGTAAACATCATCACAAATAGTCAGAAATCCTATTACAATACAGCAAATCAGTGATCAATAATGTCTTTAAAAAAAAATTTAAGACCAGTACATTATAGGTTTTCAAATGAGCCAGTACATCCCAATTCGGAGGTTTGGGAATCCCAAAATGAAGCGAGGTACATCCGTAAACAAATTCTTCTGCTCCGGAATGACTTCCAACATTGTGTTTAGAAGTAGATATATCTAGATCCTAGTCTCGAGTCCCCCATAAACCTCCATATACAATACAATACACTATAATCCCTCCAAAATGAAAGAAAAAGAAGCAACAACCCTCCGCCCCACAACCCCCACCGACCTCCCCACCATCCTCGAAATCCACCGCCACTCTCTACCCCTCCACACCCACGCCCTCTTCACAAACCCTTTCCGCCACCTCCACCCAACCTCCTACGCCCTCTTCACCCTCGTCTCCCCCACCAACAAACTCTCCACCCCTCCCTCCCCCCACTCCCAAAGCCTCACAATAACCACCACCTCCTCCAAAGACACCCCAACATCCTGGGCCTTCTGGCGCCGAAGCACCGGTCCCCTCCATTCCTCCAAAATCCAACAATACAAAACAACAGCATCCTCCATCGCCTCCGGCCAAACCCCCATATCCTCACTAGCAAAAAAAGAAGAAGCAATAAAATATAAATCCCTCTCCCTGCCCCGTTCATCCCTCTGTAACCTCCACACCCTCCGCGACACTCTAAAATATTTTACATCAGAACATTATTACCTCTCCCACCTCCTCGTTCATCCGGATCATAAACGGAAAGGGTTTGGAACAATATTAACCCTCTGGGGACTTTATCACGCTGCTAAGGAGGGTTTACCGGTGTTTTTGACGGCTAGTACTGAAGGTGAAGGGTTGTATAAGAAATTGGGGTTTAGGGTTATTGGGGAGAAGAGTTTTCCTAGTATTGAGGAATTGAGTGAGGAGGATAGGGAAAGGGAAGAGGAGGTTTTGGGAAAAGAGGTGGTGGAGGAACAGTTTAGGATTGTGGAAAAACCGAAGATTATGGTCTGGGAGGGGACGGTAGAGGATGAGATATTCAAGGATGAGGAGGTTATGAGGATGATATTGGCTGTTCCTTGGGATATTCAGGAGGTGTAAGTTACTTAGATTAAGTACTCAGGTAACTGTAGTATAAAAGTTCTGCATACAATGTACACATCTTTGTAGCGTTAACGATTCATGTCACTATCGAAGGAAAAAAAGTGGCTTCGTTCGAAAAAAAATATACGGTCCTCGAATACGATTCTCGTCATAATATCATTCCGCCAATTCAAACCTATTTAAAGACAACCTCTTCTTTTTTTAAAAAAAAGGGGGGAGGGGGAAGAAGAACCAAAAAAAAAAGAGTGCTTTAAAACACTTTCAAGTAAATACAAGGACTTTTTCTTCTGTTCGAAATCACTGGTTGAGCTCCACATAGTTTGCTGGGAACAACCCTTCATGCCCCTGGTACCTTCCAAACCACCAATCCTCATCGGGGAATTCCTAATCATCACAATTAGTTTCTTACCCAAAAATGGTAGAGATATATATGGAATTATATAACTTACGATATCAACAATCGTTGCTCCTTCTGGGAAGCTCAACTCGTTCTCTTCAGCGGCCTCGTAGTCATAGACAGCCTTAGCAGTATGTCCTGCTCCACCGGACATGTGAACCTCAGGTTCCGGTTCTGGAGATGGAGCCCGTGGAGCGGGTGGTGGAGCAACAGCGACTGGAGCTGGTGGTGGTGGTGGTGGGGCAGCCTCTTCCTCCTCTTCTTCATCATCTTCAATTGGCTCAACATAGTTAGATGGGAACAAACCGCTCTCACCCTTTTCGTTAGTACCATGCCACCAATCCTAGAAATTACCCAAGCGTTAGTAAAAGATTTTTTTTTTAGAATGATATGTATTTGCAAAGGAGCGAGCGTACCTCATCGACCATCTCAATCATACCGACAACCTGTCCCTCAATAAGTTCAAGCTCGTTATCTTCAGCCTTCTCATAATCATAAACAATCCTGGCTCTTCGGCCGGTCAACTTGACTCCGGACGAAGCAGCATGAGCAACTGCGACACCAGCTCCGACAGCGGCAAGACCCGCGAGACCAACACCTGCAGCGACAGCAGGGGCAATCGACGCTCTTTCCGGAGATGGGGAGCGGGGTCTGGTCTGGGTTGGGATTGGTGGTGGTGTTGGCTCGACTGGTGGAGGTGCACTGCGAGAAACTGGCATGGCTATCCTGGCAGGGCTGCGAGGTGGACTTGGAGTCGGGCTGCGTTGCTGAACCTGTGGTGGGGGTGGCGGAACAAACCTAGCAGCTGGCTGTGGCGGTGCCTCTTCTTCCTCCTCCGGCTCAAAGTCATCGTACCTCGATGGTGTCGGTGGAGGCTTCGAAGACATTGGTGCCGGTGGTGGGGCAGATGGGGACGAGATCGATGTATTCTTGAATCTGTCCCGGAGAGCAGAGACACCACCGGATTGAGGCTCTTCTCCCTCCCTTTCTGGCTCGGGGCTTGGTGCTCGTGGCGCTGGCTCTGGTGTCCGAGTAACCGGGACAGGCGTGGGAGCTGGCTCTTGAGTACCAGAGAAACCTCGTTCGCGGTTCTTCTTCTCCTGCCAGATCTGTGCTGGTGTCTTGCCACCTGCCGATGCAAAGTCCTTGTTTGCAGCTCCAACAGGGGCAGACGAGGATACCGATGGACCGATACCATATTGGCTAGGAAGATTTGGTTTGGTACCGAAGGCTGGGCTGGTACCGAATTGCTTTGCGGGTTTCGGCTTGGGAAGAGCGCTAATACGACCTGCTGACGCCGATGGAGCAGGCTTGTTGAAGGCGGAAGCTCTATCAGATAGGGATCTCGTCTGTTCTTCTTCTTCGCCAGATGCAGTTGGGACCGGAGCCGGGGCTTGCTCCCTTGGAGGTTGAGCGGCAGCTCTAATAGCTGCGATGTCAACCTTACCAATTGGCTCGTAAGCTCCCCGGATGACTTCCGGCCTGGACTCATATCGCTTGTCACCCTGAGCCCTGATAGCTGCAATATCGACCTTTCCAATAGGTTCATAAGCTCCTCTAACCGGCTCTGGTCTTTCATATCCACCGCTAGTGGTAGACGATGGTTGAGCCATAAGCTCCTTGATGTTGACCTTCGTAGGCTTATACGCCGACTCGACGTTCTCTAGCTTATTCCTCGACAGTTGGGGTGCATCTTCACCCCATCCGTCAGAATCCGTCTTCCCAACCGGAGCTGGAGCAGCGGGTCTCCCACGTGGAGCAGCTGGAGTTCCATATTGTCTTGTAGGGGTATAGGCTTGGCCGGGCTTCCACGCCGGTTTCGGAGGAGCAGATGGCTTGGATGGTGCAGCGGATGACGAAGAGGTGGCAGCCGAGTAGTTACTGCCGGATGCTGTGGCGACTTTCTTCATGATATCTTCGACATTGAGGGTGCTAGAATCGCGAGCACTAATCTCGACATGGTAACCCTGTTCAAACGGTCATTTTAGTTTACCCATTCTACTCCCTAGGCCTAAGGCATAAGAACAGTGTAGGTAGGTATCTACAAACCTCAAACAGCTTGGCAACAGCAGATTTGTATCCACCGTAGTTACCCTTAACACGCTCGGGAACACCGTCTCCGCACTATTCCGGACCCGTTAGCTTATCGCTCTCATATACCCCGCCTTCAGATGCTTTATCATCAAATCGTATTGTAAGAAAGAAAGAGCAAAAAAAACTAACCCAAGCGAAGAAGATATTCTTTCCGAGCTGCGTATTCGGGTCCTTTACTTTCGCCAAAGCGAATTGTACTCGTCCATCATTGAAGTCCTCGAATAGATCATCTAATTCGCCGTCTAAAAAAACAAGTCGAAAACACCTCATGTCAGCATAAGCAGCTCCCCGTTAAACCCTCATTTCCCTGGTATATCCTAAACCATCAAGTCCACCTAAACCAAAAACAAACAAAAGATGTAGAAAGTTGAAGAGAAGAAGGGAAGAGAATACATACCACCGGTACTTTGTACTTTTAGAACACTCGGTTTCGGTGGACCCTGTGAGAAAGCATTCTGTAGCGGTGCCTGGACGTATAACAGCACCCAGGTCGCGTAGGATGCCGACTTGCCGGACGGGACGGAACCGGTGGTAATAGACTTTACTGAACGGTTGATAGCTGGGCCCTCCTGGGAGAGATCGAGAGCCGACATTGTGCTATTCTTCAATAGCGGATAGCTATGGATGTCGGTACAAAAAAGGGGAATGGAGGGAAATAGGATGGAGGAGTACGATTAGTTAGTTATAGGGGACGTTGAGGGTAATTCGTTACTTGTGAGCTCAGTTGAGGTGGGTGGGGTAACTAAGTTAGCTGTGAGAAGTGCAGTGCAGCGCGGCGGGTCCACAGCACAACAGGGATGACGACAACGCACACTCAACCAACCAACCAACCCGATGCAATTCTCGAAGTCCGAAGCTATATAATCAAGTCTGTTACAACTGCTAGTCAGTAGCTGATAAAGGCAGCAAAGATGGCGAAGGGTCTTCTTTTATATCTTCTATCTATACTTACATCTATCGGTGATGTTCGGTACACAGAACTTTTAGGTTTCTTGCGGCTGAGAATCTTAACATTAATGTTAATGTCGACGGCTAATGTTGTTTGATCAAGAGAGAGGCACTGACGTATATGTCAGAGGCTTGGGGCCTTGTCCACGGAACAGATGTCACTTTTCGAACTAGTCCGTCTAATTCAAGGTAATCCTGGTTCGAGTGCAACTACCATTATCCCATAACCCTCCGTCCGAATCCTGGTCTGATACAGCTAACATATTGTTTGTTCAGGTTCAGGGCTCAATAAAGCTAGTGAATTCATGAAGCCTCTTGCCAGCCAGCCTTAAAAGCTCGAGCCCTATACTGACCTCGATTCCCGTATCTATTCATAAATCCATAGGCAGGGCTGGTGAACAACGAGCTACCATAGCTATTCTATTGACTATCCGAACAAGAACCTCCATGGAAAACCTGGAGATCAAATATCTGATTCAATGCTGTCGACTTCTCGGGTCGTCCTTGCCCATGATTCGAAGAGGTTACACAATCGTGCCCTTTGAAGTCGTTCTATTGCACCAAAATGCCACAAAATCAACTCTTTTTGGAAATTTCCCAGCCGATATGACATATGTTATCGACGACAACAACAACAGGCCGAAACGGATGTGGGGGTGGCACGGCCATCTGAACAATTTTGAAACTTTCCGGGGGGGGGCCTTTGTCGGGCACTCGCTGATTAGAATTAAGAGGAGGCTGCAAAAGAAAAATAGCAATCATGGTTTAGCGACATGCAACAGATGAATTAATGAGATCGCAAAGTAGTGAGGTTTGCCCAATGCCTGCATATAGGTGTACTACATAGTAGTTACTTATTTTGCCCATGCCTAGGTTCAGGACAATACAAATGTGTGGAAAAACACCTTTGATACTTTTTGGAGTATAAAACCAGGGTGGACCCACAAATGAGAGTCAATCTCACATTCATTCCCTTGTAAAGAAGCATACAAATACCTTAGATTAAGGTTGTGGTTAATCTCCGTAGACCTATTACCCGTAATGGAACCCATTCGCATCATCTCTCTTACCATCACTCTACCTTTCTTGTTGATACGCTTGGCGTGGAAATTCGATAACCTTCATCGAATTAAAGTACCCTCAGGAAAACCAGCCGAAACCCTCTCACAAAAGTCAGCCCTATCGTTGAGGATAAGAGCAGAGAAAAAACATGTCATCCTACAAGCTGAATATGTTAGTAACCACCGAGCACCTGTTAATCCTAAGATGGAATGCTCGCATTTTAACACTTTTCATTTTCATGGGTCCATAGCAATTCACAAAACTTGGAAATATCTACGGGCGTATAAAGACCCCAGTGCTATTCGGAGATGGTTAGTTTGCTAGACCCTTTCACAACTTCGGATTCTCTCTCTAGACTCGGCCAGACAATCAAATCTTAAACCTTGATATTTCAACAATTCCAACAACTTGGGTTCCACAGGAACCACCGTCCCCTTACGAATCTTGCAAGATAAATAATTGCGCCTATAAATCCACGAGTGGTTATTGTAAGGATCGAACTTCTTTTTAAACTTGATATTGGGATATTGGGCACGTAGACTCTGCAGGGGCGTCGTGCTAACAAAACGCCTATGGGCACAGACTCGAAGCACGATAAACCCGTTATTGGGGAAAAAACCTGGGGCAATAAGACTGTGTGTTCTAGATCCTTTCTGTTTATGAGCCCTGATGTCCTTCCCGAAGATCTAGAACTGTGCATGCGCACTTGCCAACACTTGCGCGATCAAGGCACTACAACATTATGCTACAGATGCACTAATCAAAACTTGGTAAATCTGAGTAGTCAGGTCAACAGTCGCGTTGGGCAGATGGGGAGATCGTAGAAGATGTCGTCACCATCGAAGATACCCATGTTAACCTTCAATTTCTGGCCGCGACTAGTTGGGCCAATAATACACAACCCTCTTTGGGCTTGGCTTAAATTTTGGCGACACATTCGGCGTTAAGGATACTCGAGAAGGAAACGATCGCGAATATGGCTATCTTTCTATACTATTCGACCAAAGTAGGATCGGGGCGAAGGTTTGTAGTTTTTACAATATATTTGACACCAATCTCGCAGGCGAGATGGTCTTTGGGGGTGTAAATCCTAATAGATTTTATGGGGAGCTCGACGTATATGATCCGCCTGCACCCCAGGATAATAGCTTTCCTGACGGTAAAGATAAAGCTTATCTTATGGATTTCCCGACAGTCCGGATAGGTGATATCACAGATACTACGACCATGGTGTTACACAGCCCCAACTCTAGTACCAATGATTACATGCCTTTTATAAGGTTAAATCCACTCCTTTCGTATGTATAAAATCAAAACGAATCTACTTTTGCTACAATTTCCGCACATCCTATCCGTCTAGAACCGTTAATTCCCAACTCGATATATATATTTTTAAGTACTGACAATCTTACCTCGCTGCAGTCATCTTACCCTACCGTTGCCTATTGTAGACGACTTCCACTCAGTCATGAGGGAATTCGGTCTTACTAATTGCACAGTACCAGAGCTTCACGTGGAGTTTTGCGTACCCTGCAATGCATCTATTCCAGAACAATATGTCCTTAAACTCAGCTTTAGGAAAGCCACTATCAGTATACCATTCCAAGACTTTGTTCAAGCCGTTCCAGGCAATCTAGATCTATGTCCAATCTTCCTTTTCAGTGCCCCCGCCGCACACGATTCCTCCCTAGGAGGAGCTTTCTTTAAGTAAGCAAGCCTTAGGTTACTTTTCAGAAGCATCTATGCTCGGAACTTCCAACTAACAAAGACCACCAAGGGCCGCTTATATCGTACTTGAACCTGACGCAAACCGTGTCGCAATAGCAGCTGCAGTTCGCAATCCATCAGCCCCGTCAAACGCAGCCATCAAAGAAATTTCCGACGGGGTATTCAGCGACAAACTTTCAACGATAACAGGAGTCCCAGAATATATCCCAACTTTCTCCCGACTCCCAAGTCCCTCGAAAAGCTTTTACCCTACCTCGCCAAACAATAATACAACACGTATATCTTCTCGTGCTCTCATAGAAATTGGGTTAGCAGGCGCCGTGCTTTTGTTTGTTGGAATCGGCACGGCGGTAGTAATATTTATTACTTGCAGAAAACAACGAAAATCGAAACCAATGCCAGATATCCCTAGCGTAGATGTAACCCACCCTTCAAATTCGGCGTCAGATCCATATGAATTGAACACCGAGGGAGTTATGGGTGAGCTAGAAGTTCCTAATAATCAGTCCTTAATAGGACCCGGGAGTGTGTTACAGGAACTCCCTGGTGGCTATCAACCGCAGGAGCTTCAAGGCAATCAATAACACACGATTGAATCAGCTTCTTATCCAAAAATTATTACGGCGTCCTAATAATAATGCTGATCGATTCACCCTTAATTACAATGAGGCTCGTTTCTAATGTTTTTGGGATCAAGGGCACCGGTACTTTGTAGCCAGATGAAATACATAGTTAATCATGGATTGTTTTTTTCATAATATATTACGAGTTATATACAGAATCTAACATTCAATGCAATGCAAGTAACGTTATAACTTGTCGGTATGTCGACATATGTCGGGCGCCAGCACTAGCCACGATCAAAATGCCACAAAATCAACACCTCAAGTTCAAGGAGGGTTGAAGTTGAGCTCATGATTACGATTTTGGCTGGATAAGAAATAAATTGATATAGTGAAGTAATGATTGATTCACTTACAAATATCTTTTGCAGAAGCTAGACCAAAAATATCGCCACCAGCCAGCGAAAAACATTGTGGCTGAAGGTTCCAAGGCGGGGTCACTGCATAGCCGGAGTTGGTTCTTTTACATCTTGAAAGATAGAAATAATGACTTGTACAACGCGCTTAAGCGGCACAGCAACTGCTCGACCAATAAGCGATACAGAAACTCCAACAATTTCGACATGTGGTGAGACCGGACGAAAACTAGCCATCCTTGAGATTCGTCCCAATTTATTATGTTGGGATGGCAGGGTACAGTGGTTTCCGATGATACATGCATGGCTGACAACTGCGCCTATGATAAGGCCATAGCTCTAATATAATCGCGATGTCGAGGTATCGATATGCATCAAAATGTGGATTATAAATTATAGAAGGAATGCAAAACCCATTGTGCGCAATTTTTCTAGAATAGTCACAAAGTTTGGCTCACTTCTCATACTCTTTTTCTATAATTCTGTTATTTTTAACGTTATATATAGTAGGGGTAGAGGCTAGAGGGAGCTAGCACTGCGGAGGGTGCAGTGTGGTACAAGCCATGATCTGTCTGTTCATGAGGCGTCTGAGATCGCAATAACGATCTGTATGACACCGAATCAGGATTCTTGGCGCACACCCAAGCGGCTAAGAATGCATGTGCAGTTCGACACTTCATCGGGAACTTGACAACTAGACTGAGAGGGCAGAAATGTGTCCCCGTGTCCACCTAATTTGTTTCTAGAGATAATAGTCCAAAATCCCTTTTCAGACGTCGACGAAAATCCTGACATTTATACAACCGACATCGATGCGATGGTATCTCGCAAGGTAGTACGTAGTTACATCTAGCAGAAGGCTTCGTTGCATTATATGTATACAAATATTAAATCCGGATATCCCACCTCACTGAGATCCACAAAACAAGCTTTCTCTTCTTAAACTTGGCCGCAAAAATAAGTGTGCATACTTGATACGAATACACTATAGCTCTCTGTTTTATATCTTATAGCTACTTGAGTACTTATTTTCGAATTTTCTTGATAGATCTATGCATGTACTTATCAGAACACCCCCCAACCCCTGCGAAACCCTCAGTATATTATAACCCATTTTTTACATTTTCTTGATACGAGGCCGAAGGTCCCTATCTTCCTCTAGACCTGGGGCAACGGGTACACTAGAAGTCGAGAGATACTATATTGATGCGGTATCTGTACTATGTTACATAACTCCACACTGAAAATCCCTCCTGAGATTAGACCCAAACATACAACACCAGCTTCCACTGACGAGCTCACTACTACAGATATAGATACGAGCCTTAGAGATGGCCATGGCTTATATATCACCTCCAGAACTAGACCTGGCTCAGTTGGTCTCGAGGCTACTGGCTTAGTCCCAGTTTGCTGGTTGGTAATGCATGCAAGCGAATTTTTTTGGGTTAGTCACTTCCTCCATTCGGCCTGTCCACGTCGGGAGCGCCAAAGCTCAAGCTCGCAAAAATGAGTTTCGAGATCTCAAGCCATACGGATAGCCGTCTCGATATTTATCACCCAGGAATAAATATATATGGCGAGGCAATTTACTAGACTGCGCCGCAGGTATTCAGAGCGGGGTAAATCGGTATAAAGGAACAAGGTGCCCCGAATTTAGCGTAAAGATGTAGATGTATCTCTTCCTCCTGACGGGTTGTTAAGTTTCCTGCTGTCTCATTTTTATAAGGTTAACTACCACCCAGCTCGCAAGCCATGGGGGCCTTCAACTCCAGAGTACCGGCTACAATCCTTTCCTTCCTCGCATTCATCATCTTTGTGACATCAGTACGACAAGGAAACACCGAGTATAAGGAGAATATTTTTCCCAAGCGGTCAGCACTGGCTACGGCATCGCAGCTAGTAACAAGAAATACCGGAAATTATGTTCTACTCCAAACTGAATACGTTAGTACCGACCAGCTGCGCAATAAGTCTCAGCCCGAAGGAACTAGTTGATTAATTCTTGATACTAATCTATAATTTTTCTTCTCTCCATAGTCCCTCATACAAGGGGGTGACGCGGTTACTGCTATCTTCACAAACGTAACATTTGGAAATGGTAAGTCACCAATTTATAATCAGGCGCAATAAAAGTCAGGTCTTGTTAAATTGCAGATAAATCCATCTCGGCAACTGTAACTTGAGCCTCAAAAGTACTCTTATACTAACTATTGATTTTTCCTAACAATTGAAAGACAATCGGCTCAAACTTATTGTTTGGACATCTAATTTTACTTGGGTTCCTGAACGTCCAAAATCTATTTCCGACTTCTGTAACAGAGACATAAACAAAATTGGGTGTGTCTTTGCGGAAACCAGTGGATATTGTAAGGACATGCCTACCTATCTTAGTTTGCTTCCTATCCATACTCAAGCATTACTTTACGTATCGCGATATCGATATATATACGGCAAACTGATATAAATGCACCCCCATAGACAGACCGCCGGCAGGCCAAGATTCCCTGGGCGATTTTAACTTTACTGATGGCGATTTAGGCGTAATAGTAAGTATCCATTTGCTGCTCTACATATTTACACCTTTCTTGTGGCGAACTCTCACTAATAAATGGGCGGTCATACATATATATAGGGGACTACACGCGGATACTACGTGGAAGACACTCTTAAGGCTGGAGACACGACGGTGGATCTAGAACTTGGCATTGCTAGATTGTGGAACGGCCGTCCAATGCTCGGACTTGGTCTCGAAGGGGTCTGGTTTCCCGGCACATACAACCACCTCCCGATCGCATTCGGAAACGATGACTCTCCTCCTCCTAGAAATCCCACCCGTACTTTTCTAAACAACTTAAGGACGCAAGGGAAAATAGCAAGTACTACATGTAGCTTCTATAATGTTCAAGACCCCGGAGCCAAAGGTCAGATTATTATCGGAGCCTTGGATCGCAGCAAATTTTATGGAGGGTTCGACCGATATACCTGGGAGCCTACCACGAGGGATGATTATGGGAGTGAATATGGTGGAAGGATACTTTTTCACCCTACCGTTCGGCTGGGGAATATAAATGATCCAGCCAACTCCACCGGAACCGTCTATCCTTCACGTAGTACCTCGAATAATGCAACCATACAAATCAATCCATTCTATCCGTATGTACTGCCTCGAGCCTGCACGACATTATTCAACGTTTGCGGAAGCCCCATAACTAAGATTTAATCGATTTTACTATAGCTACCTTAGCCTACCAGGCAGCATATATGACCCCCTGATCAACGCCCTATACCCATTCGGACTCGTAGTCATCGACGTACAAGACCCATCCAGCTCCAGCGGATCGACATATCCAGTCCAAAGCCTACCATGCGATGTCAACATCCCTCTGCAACACGTACTTGAATTTACCTTCAACAAAGTCACTATAAGAATTCCTTTCAATGATCTATTACTTCGCATACCACGGCCAGAAAACCCCAGTTTCTGCGGATTAGCTTTCTGGCTGCTCGACTCACGGGCTGAATTATACACCCCCTTCATATTGGGAGGCCCCTTCGTCAAGTAAGCTTTCCTTTCCCCATATCACCTGTGCATGTTTAATTCTTTTGCGTTAAAAAAAAAGGCTAATCAATTGTTATTATACCCTTCAGAAATGCATATGTAGTCTTAGATCCCGAAACTAGAACAAGTGCAATCGCAGGTTTGAGCCGGAATGATACAACAACCGATATTGTTGAAATCGGTGGGAGGTTTGGCGCCACCCTTATGAACGTGAGGGGGGCTGCGATAGATCCATCGCCTAATAACGGATCTTCTAATAAACTACCCCTCGGCGCTGTGATAGGTATTGGGGTAGGAGGAGGAGTCGTGCTAATAGCCGCAATCGTACTCGGGTACTTTCTTTACCGCCGAAAGAAAGCTAACGCTCAAAAGACGTCGAGTATACCATCTGAAGAATCTTCTTCAGCTGAGGCCGATTCGAAAGCGCTAGCCCCTAGCGAATTAGGAGCTACTAACAAACAAGTAGAATTACCTCAGAACCCTTCTAATCAGACAAACTGGCAGGGTGATCATATAGGTAGCAATAGGCATGAACTTGATGCTAGCGCTGGATTATTGCAGGAGCTCCCGTAATCGTTCGCAAATTTACCGAGCGTTTAATTTATGCCTACGATTAAGTTAGTTGGTTAATGTATAGTTAGATAGTTAATGATTAGCCTTAGTACCGGTCCCAGAGCGCCGTTCAGGCCACGACAGTCGTGGCGCTCGCCGCAGATGAAGTTTAAATGTTAATTGAATTAATGACAGACGGAGTTCTTTACAATTTGGTTAATTTATACATGTCAATGTTCTGTAGTTTGATTTCACAACCGATACTAAGAATCGGCTGAAGTAGGTTGTGAGGTTACATGATATGGTTGATATCTGCAAATATCTGTTAATCTGACCGTCATAAATTCTTTCAATATCAACATGCATATTCCAATACTTGGTACATTACCCATGATCAAAGATATTACACTTATAAACATTCACATATATATATCTCCCACAAAATATTTAACGCCTTGCCTCAGCTTCAAGCTCATAAGTCGCCAAATAAACCGGAAGCTCATGTGATACAGGCACAGCGACCTTCGCCTCCAATTCACTCGTAGGCCGTACATTCGGGCTCAACTCTGAGGGATAACCCTCCGGAGACGGTATATCCGGGATATTCTTTCTCTTCCTTCGTATAAAGAATAAGGCTCCCAGGGCAGCTACCAGAACAAAAACGACTGCAATAACAACACCCGCAATCCCTCCCGAGGATAAAGCACGGCCAGATCCTGTGTTTGTTGACGGCGGCGGCGATGAGCTGCCTTGGATTTCGTCAAGTGATGTTCCAAAACTACCTCCAAGCTCGATTATGTCCCGGCCTACTGGGAATGGGTTTAAGACTCCTATTCCGGTGATATTGGTCTCGACACCGAGGACTGTGTATGCGGCTCTGTTGATGGTTAATTAACATCGATATAATGAACTAATAATAGGGAGAATACATACCGAAAGAATGGTCCGCCAAGAACAAAAGACCACTGTTTAGTGATATTAAGCACTCCTTCAGTTGGAAAAACAGAGAGCTCGCATAATCCAAGGCTATTATTGAATCTGATACCCTTAAGATGATTAAATTCTATCTTTATAACCAATTCGTTGAAGTTCAACTCGAGGAAATCATCCGGCGAGTAGTTCCTATCACACGGAAGAGCCAATTTATTAAACTTATTCTTTTGAAGACCATATGCATCGAGCGTAGTAATAAGCTCAGTATACATATTACCCGGAATAAAAAGCGCTCGAGCAAGTGGATCAACAATAGCCAAAGGTTTCCCTGAATTCTCATAAGGTCCTTTAAACCGACCCGTTCCATTACTGATACGAACAGAGGGCGCATCGACTTCCCCAGGAATTCCCATTCGATCCCAAACGGCGAGTTTTCCTTGAAATTTACTGGCATCAACTCCGCCTAGAACTATCTCCCCGGTAGTGTTTGGAGTCATGTGGTTGTATAAACTGCAAAAGCGTCCTGTTATTTTCCCTTGTTGTTTTAAGGCGTCTAAATACCCAGGACGTCTTCGGTTTTGATTCACGGGTTGGATTCCGAGTCCCAGAATTGGAGATGTGTGCCATTGTAGTGCGACGCCGAATTGGAGTCTGACATCTATGCCGTCGGCCGTAATTGTGTCTTCTACCCAGTACCCAGTCGCCTAATTAATAAAATTGCTTAGCTATTAGGAAAACTGCAACGAGAAAGAAGAATTAACAGTAGGTATAATTTTATAAACTCACAGTTTCATTGATCGAAACATCCAAATAACTCTCATCAAACGAAAAGCCATCGGTCCGGGTATTGCCAGCCACCTTATCTAGAGCAGAGATATCAGCCCATCGGATGAATAGTCTCCAACCATTTTATGAAGAGGTACCTACAAAAGTTACTTCTACCAGCCGCCTCACATCCCATTTTATTCTCTGTGTTTTTTGCATTGCAAAAGTCCACCACAGAGCCTGGTTCTTGAGGTACCCAAGTCACATGCTGTGGCGTTACGGAAAGTGCGAGGTTCTGGTCTTCAGAATAGTAAGAATTCAACAAAATGTTCCCTTTTTTTCTTTTCAAGTTTGGGAATAACTCATGGCGTACTCCCTCCAATCGTAAGGTTTGTGATTATATCGAAATCTTGGACGCCGCCACCTCGTATATATGACTAACCCCCCAACCCGATCTTAGTACCTATTTTAAATAGTCGTAATATTCTTGAAGACCGGACCAGGACTTACAAAATCAGTAAGTAGAACAACATGACTCTTATCCGCTCTTTTCACCTTCGACCGTAGTATTGAGAACGACCTCCGAAAACCCAGGAATTCTTGGACGGTGTTGCCATCGTGCTGTGCCACATAGGCAAAAGAAAGGAGAAAACAAATAATCGGTATCGAAATCACCACTCTAAACCAACTGTTATCCTTCATGCTGTATTCGAGCGAGTAAATAACCAAACTTTCTGCTAACCAGTAAAAAATCGGACAAGTGGTAGATATACAAACGAACAGATCAATCGGGGATCGTTCCATTCGGATGGGTCATCCCGTGCTATTTATAAGATCTGGTGTTTCCCCCCAAGGACATGGATCCGGGCTTTAAGCGCCCTTCGATTAATGCGCCAAGTATTTCCCTGGATGATTGCTCCTACCGTTTGAATAGAATTCGAAGGGAATTTTGCATTTTACCCTGACCTAAGTCCTGTGTACGGAAGAAAACGTCGGGAATCGGCAAAGTCCAATATTTGGGGGGGGGGCCGTGGTTACTTTAGAAGTAAAAGCCGGTTGAGCCTTACTTTACTGTGCCATATTCTTCGTAAACCAGCCTTGAAGAATATATTAATAATTACACATACGCTGCTGGCCCTAGGAATTTTGAAGGAAAATCCTGTAATAACTCAATATAAGATGGTCCGTATAATGAATCTATTCCTTCAAGGGCGTCTAAGTATGACCTAACCCTAGGCTTTACGAAACTGTATGATAATATTAATACAAGAGCCATTACAGACATTTCCTCTGGCACTATCTCAGGAATAGTCCAGTCGTCATACATGCAATTACAACCCACATTGAATCTGGTGTCCTAACGTAATCGGTGTATCTGTTACACAATCGATCTCAGAGTTTACATACAGTTATCCGGTATCTAGATTTATATATATGTTTAATAGGCATTTATATTAATTTGCCTCCTATGTTTTTAAGGGAACGAAAGAAGAAATAGATTTACTCCATGGATCGAACTACTTCGCTTACCATCATTGAGTTAATGTATATACCAACATCAATATATAAACCAGAAGAAAGAATCAACTGTAGTTAAACTGTTATTCTCATCAAAAGGTATTAAATTTGATTCACCTCGAACGAAAATATTAGTCTATTTTACATTCAGGGCCATCTTCACAGATATCCATACATTTCGTCGACATCCTCTATACAAAATATATAACAAAATCAACACAATATAATCGATCGTGACACCATATACAATCCGATATCCATCCGTCTAAAACAGTAACAAAATAGAACAATCAATCAGCCAGGAATATCGAAATAAAGACTCGAGGCGCATAGATGATATTTGCCAGAACTAGCACTCTAGCAAGGGAAAAATCTATCTACGCTTCTACCAAGGTTCAACATATGCGCATCTTCAATAAAGAACTATACTTCATTCAACTCAAAAGTACTACTGAACTAAACTACTAACAACTTCAAAGAAAGTCAAAAATTACATGGCCAGCAGCATCATCATCCAAAAACAAGAAAAGTCGCTCCCTCCACTCCATCGATTCACACAGTCGAAACTTAAAAAAAAAAAAAAAATCAAGTCCAGTAAAGACCGATCAAAATAAATATCCAAAGAAAAAAGAAGAAGAAAAAGGTTACATGTACAATTCCCGCCCACCCAGTGGTATCTTTCATAACATTCCAACGAAAAGTATCAAATAAAATAAAAATAAACAATCCAAAAAAGACAAAACATGCAAAACAGGTGAAATAAGTATTAAAAAAGCGAGAGTAGTATCCTCATTGCATCCATGGGTATCATAGCGAATGAACATGAATACTGCCTTTCTTCTTCCGGGGAAGAAAAGTTAAGGATAGAGTGGAAAAAAGAGACAGAAAATCAGATCGCGGCTGGAGAAGCAATAACAATCAAAACATACGCGATATTAAGATCAAAGCAATAAGATGAAAGACAGAGAAGCGGGAAGGATATGTCAGTCTGTTCGAAATAAAAAAACATAAAAAGGAATAAAAAGGAAATTCGACAAGAAAAAAATTGGGGTGGTCTCTGTACCGAGGTAGCTGCGAGACCCAAGGAGCGTGACGTAGAATCAATGGCACAAACAGAAAAGTCCAATGATCCTACAATGGTGTCCATCCAAAGCCGCAAACACCGTCAAGTCAAGTCAAAAAAGAAGAAAAGAAAATGGTCCAAAAAAAAAAATCATCCCTTGGTTTCCCAGGCTGAAATTCCCTCCCAAGTTGAAAAGCGATATCGAATATTGAAAGAACAGCAGCATGGTGGCGGAAAACAAAGGCGATATTTTTTTTATATATTCTTTTCCTTGTTTTTTTCGGGTGAATGCATCGTGGCTAAGAACGGAAAATGATAAAACACCTGCTCCTCGACCGGAGGGGGAAAAGAAAAAACGAGAATCATTTCCTCCCTCTTCGTCCCCGTTTTTTCATAGAGAGTGTAACACTGAAGTGACTAGCAATAATTAATTTTTTTGGATATTAAAAAAATTTTAAGTTAAGTCACGAATGTTCACCTCGAGAATAGTATACCGTCCCCTCATTACAAGTCTATGACTTGGCTTACTCCACGATCAACCCCGGGTTGGCCATCCAGCCGCCATTGGTGGTGGGGATTTGCTGCCAGGTGTTGAACTGGTTCCAGTTGTTGTTGTAGACGCCAGAGAGGTCGCCTTGTTGCTGGATATCAGCAGTGCTATCGACGGATCCGCTGCGGAAGGTTTGTGGGGTATCCGGGGATGGGGTCAAGAGGTACATCTGCTGAATCTTGGCCATCTCGTTGGTTTCATCGAGAGTAGGCATAAAGGCGTTGACGTCATGTGGGGGGGTCGAGATGCCATGGTCGAAGATGGAAGTAACTGGACCATTTGGCTTGGTGGCAGACTTTGGGGTGTCGGAGTTCTTGCGACCGGGTTGCTGGTTCTTGACAGCGTTTCCGTTGGGGTTGCGAGGGTTGTGCTTGCTGCGTTCATACACATAGTCATGTTGCTTCTCCATGTGCTGTTTGCAGTTGCTCTCGCGCTTGGACTTGTAGGGGCAGGGTGGGAACTCGCAGTACCACATTTGTGGAGACTCGCTGTGACGGTCGGTCTCGTGACGATCACGCTCCTTCTCGGTTGGGAACCCCTTCTCATGGTAGAGGCAAGTTGGCTCGGAGCACTTGTGTGGACGGGAGTGGGTCTTGCCGTGCTTCTTGAGATCGCATGGGCGGTTGTATTTCTTGCCACAGATGGCGCCGGTATCCTCATCGCGGTGAAGGCAGACGTGGCCGCCTTGTGGCTTCTGGATGGACTTTTTGCGCTGCTTGTGGAGGAGAGGGTTCATGCGAGCTTGGTTGTCGTCAGAGCCGTCATCAGAACCACCAAGATCCTGGTGCTGGGAAACGGGAGAGATTGGCAAGTCCCGAGAAGGAATGTCAAAGAGACCACCGAGAGTGGCAAGCTCGTGGATGCTAGCACGCTGTTCAAGAGCGGCAAGAAGCTGCTCCTGAAGCTTCTCGTTGATACTGGACTGAGGTCGGTGCATGGTCGACATCTTGCGGATTCCATTCTGTGGTGCCATTGGCTTTGGCATTTGAGGTCCGTGGATGCTGGAGACAGGACGCTGGAGGATGGTGACAGCTGGAGCTGGAGCCTGGGCGGCAGAAACAGACACCATCTGGGAGAGCAAGGCCTCTCTGTGGTGGGCAAGGACGTCCATGAAGTACCCATCATAGTAAGGAGTGTCGTTTGGTCGAGCTAGGTCACCACCAACGGCCTCGATGGAGCCCAGGGCGTTCTGGAAGCGGAAGAGGAACTTTTCACAGAAGTGAACGAAAGTCTGAGGGGATGGTGACATTTCCTGAGACCTGAAAAGAAGATACTTCTCCAAATCACGGAGGCAAGAGATGCGACCTTCATCAAGGCGCATAGAGGCAGCGGCGATGAGAGGTGTGAACTGGAGGAGAGAGGAGTCCTGAGACAATGGAAGAAGGATCAAACGCTTCATTTCCATGACCGCATCTGCATTCAAGCCAGTCGGAGTGGCAGAGTGAACGGACATGGCGGATCCGCTGGGAGAACCGATAGTCGAGGCCTGAGCCGACCAGCCCTGAGTGACCGGCATGTTGTTGGTGGCATAGTAGACATTTGGAGATCTGTATGGCGAATGCAAGGCACTCTGGGAGAAGTCGATGTTTGTAGTCGAAGGAGGGGTAAGAGGGGCGATTGGCGAAGAATAGACACCAAGGCCAGCCTCAACCTCATTAGGATCAATCAACTCCGGAGTGGGAGAAGCAGAGAAGGAAGCGTAGATGTCGGCATTTCCGGTAAGGCTAGTATCAAGGCCAAGATTGAGGCCTGCCGACGTCATTTCTGGGAATCCGTAAAGTTCAAGTTGAGACATGCTATTGCGATGGTGGCTAGCCAAGATATCGTCGATAGTAACATCGTAGCTGTTAGTTTGAACGTTGACGGCAGGATTGCATCCGTATGGGCTAGTATTCTGAGCAAATCTTCTCCTCTGGGTTGCCTGCTTAGATGATCTTGAGATATCTCCCTCCTCGAATGGATTTGGATTCGTCTTGGAGCGGCCACGGCCCTTTGGCAAAGGTTCTTGGGCCCTAACTGGCGATGGCGCACACCTGACGGTCTTGTCGTCCTTCTCAGATTCCTTCTCACCGACTGCTGGAGTAACCGAAGATGGCGACTGGACAGAATCAGATGCTTCCTTCTTCATGATTGGAATTGTCCGTCTCTTTGGCATTGGGGCTCTGGAAACATCATCGCTAGCGGATCCGGTGATCAAGAATCGTGGGAGCGGCAAAGCAGTATCCTTCTCCTTCTTAACAACGACCGGCTCTTTCGACCTAGAAAGAATGGTCTTCTTCTCGGCAGGCTCATCAAGTTGCAAAGTCTTATCGAACGAAGACAGAATCTCCTTCATCGAGGAGACATATGAGGCCGTAACATCTTCAACAATTGGAGACTTTGTGGATAATTCGTCGTCATCTTCGTCGAGGGTCTTTGGAAGTGTCGTCGTCGTCGTCGTCGTCGTCGTCGTCGTAGCTGTAGTCGTCTCCGTCGATGATGTTGTAGTAGTCTTCTTTTCCGTCTTAACCACTTCTACTGTTGTATTCGAGACAATTCTAGGCGCAGCAGCATCTATTGTCTTGTCGTCCTCTTTCGAGATGGAAATCTTGGAAACTGATGCGATCAAGCTGTCGATTCCTCCAACCCTATATTCGAAACCATGCATGTTAGAAGGAGAAGTCCAATGTGTTGCGGGATGTGTTGTGGGATCGTGCAACTGCAACTGAGCATACGATTTGGGGGTTTTCTTCTGGTCCTCCGGTTTGGCGGGCTTGTCAGGGCCTGCAAAGGAGTTTCTCCGCACCGTCGAACTGCGCCACATGCGGAATTCCAGTCAGTATGTAGATATTAATAGAATAGAATGGAGTCAAATATGGATGAATCATGAATAGGAATTTTGATACGTACGAGGTCTTAACTTCTTCCTTCTTGGCAACTGTGGTTCCTGATCTCCGGGAAGACATTTTGTATGTGTGTGTATATCGTAAGTATAGTGTAGACTATATCGTATAGCAAATTGCAGAGTGATCTCTGATCTGTGAACTCGAAGTCGATCGAGTGTCGCTGTCGCTATCGGATTGGAATAGAATCCGGCGGATTCGCAGGCTCGCTGGAAGATAACCTCGGAATGTCGGAGCCTAGTTCTTCATCCAATGATAACGATATCCCAGCAACAGTCGTCCAAGGGTATACTATTACTATGAGATAGATAGATAGATAGATAGAGAGATAGATAGATGTATAAAGGAGGTAGGTAGAAACGTGAAAGGGTCGTAAGAAAGGGGGTCTGCTGTATCTGTCTATTAATATTCGGCCTCAGTCAGAAACACCCTGTACTATATGTGATCTGTAATTTATGACCCGGACTAGCACGAACCCAAGAACACGGAAACAAAATTGAGAAAGACAGAAAGAAAAAAGAATCCAAGGGGGATCAAAATGAGGAAAAGATGAGATGAGATGAAATAGTAACTCTGATCTGATCTGAGGTGTTTTCTTGCCAGCACACTGCACCGTACTGTAGTGCAACAGCAGATGAGGGGCAAAGGTCAGAGAAAGAAGCGGCCGGCAGACCCGTGAGATCGGAATGTGGGAGGTCGACCTTCCAAGCAAGGGGAGGCAAAGGTCCGGGTCCGGCAAAGGTAAGAGCGGTGAACAGCGATTATTCGAGGGAAACGAGATAGTGTGCTCGGGAAGACGATCGATAATGGACTATCGAGGAAGGAAGGAAATATATTTACTTTGCTTCAAGCAAAAGAAATTTTATAGATCATGCAAGCAAGCAAGCGTTAAGCAAGCATTTTACATCCAAGCAAAAAAAGGGACAATACTGAGCGAAGTATTGCAAGTCTGAAGTAAGTAAGTATGAATGTATGTATGTATGTATTGAAGAAGAGTGGGAGGGAAAGCAGGTGAGATTTGCGGAAGGGCAATGGCCAGGAATTAAAAGGGAAGAGGCGCAAGCTGCTGTTTGGGGAAGGCCTTTTTTTCTTGGTCCCACGTTTCCGGCCTCTAAGAAACCGTTCCTGCTTGCTCGCTGCTGCTACTCTGCAGCTGCTATGTAACAATCGGGCACTAGCGTGATGGTGCCGCAGGCTATTAATATTATTGGGGGGATGCAGCTGCAATTGCAATTGCAAATGCAAATGGGGGGTACTGACTGTACTATGTATGGAGTATGGAGGTTCGAGGAGAGTGCGAAATTTAATATTTCATGCATGAGCTTGAACTGAAATCTCAAGAAACAGAAATATAATAAAATGCAAGGCACGATCGATATTACTCGGATTGTAATCTGTTGAAGTCCGAGAGCTAGGGATCTGAGAGAGAAATACTTTTACTCAGACCCGCACTTGTCCTTCCCGTACATACTTCTTGTAATGTATGTACATGACATACATACATGCATGTAGGTACTCTTGGGTATTGTATATGCAGGGGAAATACTTTTCCAATCTTCTTCTTTCTCAAGTACTTACTCCAGACAGACACACACACCGGAAAACTTTTTTTTCCCTCGGTCTTTCGGATTCGATTAGTCGGAATAGTATAATATGCTGCTGCTCAGTCGAATATTTCAAGTAGGCTGTCTCCTAGCTTGTCGGTTTTTTTAATTTTTTAATTTTTTTTTAAAAAAAGCTTTTTGTTATATAATAATTCCGTCCTAATGCGAAATAGGGACTGGAATGAGGATTATACCAGACAGTCCCCTACGCTTAAAAAAAAGGAAAGCTAAATGAACTTGACGGAACTGCTGACGAGGCTCTTATCCCCAAATCCGTTGGTGTCGCTGGCGGATTAGGTAGCTGCTCCTAGGGATTGCGCGGAGTCGAACAGATAATACCCAAAGATATATCCAAGCTGACGAATATGCACCCGGCAATGGCAAGAAGTCGTCTCTTGATGATACAGGAACTTGTATATTGTGGATTTTTTTTTTTAAAAAAAAAAAAGAAATCCTGGGGGAAAGAAGCAGAAACAAAAGCAGAAGCAGACGAATAATTAATTGAATCGAGGAGTATCAGAACAGAATACGGGCTGGGTCAAATATGTGAACTCCGAAAGGATGCTGTTCTGGACCCCAAAAGATATTGTTCCATTTTTTTTTTCGTACCCCGGCATGGATTCATGGACTTAACATCAATGCGAGTCGGGTTATAAGTACAGAGGCGGTCAAGAAACAAAGACGACCATGACAAGCAAGATCGAGGTGAAGCAGGAAAGCAATCAACCTGTCCGCCCCGAAGTGCTAAATCGAGATATAGGTATGCGCCTTAATCTCCCCAGATAGATCCATAACCAAAAAAGACTACCCGATACCCATATCCATATCCATATCCATATCCATACCGTATCCATATCCATATCAATCTCCAAATGTTGGGTTAATTCAACCATGCGTCATTCTACGATCCCAAAACTCCAACCGTTGACACAGCCGACGCTTAGCGCTTCTACCTGTTTGACAGATCCCCTCTTCTTCTTTCATTCTTTCGCCTCACTGGGGAACCATATGCCGTAAACGTTGGCAAAGAACATAATGTAGGTGGCAGCGACTGCGATCTTACTACCTCATCCAAAGGGAATACGGCTTTTGCAGCTTTGTTCCGCCGAACGTAATGATACAGCGACCGAATGTCTGCCTACTTGCGGGTGTGGGCTCTTTTTTTTCTGTTCTGTCAAATTCCCTAAGCTTTTTATCCAGTACCCGTCAAGCCCCTCCCAAATGTTATGTAGGTACGGTAGGTACTTACTATGTAATGGGGAATATTGCAATTCGCTTCATAATGACAGCCCACCAAAGCAACCACAAGCAGCTTATGACGAGAAAATTTTAGCTTCAGGCTGCCAGTTTCGAGGAAGGAGGGGTGTGGTTGTAACTAATAAACCATGTTTGCTTCTTCGGTACCCTTCTTGACCCTCTCCCCTTTGTTTCGTGGGTGGTTCCGCTGGTCGATACTTGGTCCAAAACCCAACCTCTCTTCCTCTCACCTCACAAGCTGTTAATTTGGGCGACAGTTCCATTAGGCAGCCGTTTTTTTTTTTTTTTAACTATGGACTGTGGTCTACACTGTCCGATTTCTTTTCGGTCTTTAGTTAATTAGGTTTTTGGGTTGGTTTGCTTCGATGGCCAGGGTGGTGATGATAAACCTCAAAGCTGAGCCTCACGGTGCATGCTGCACTGCACCGCACTGCACTGCGCTACATGCACATACCGTCAATTCCCTTTTTTTTTTTCTTTCGACTCTCCACTTCATCACTTCTTCTGGAAAACTGTCATTCGTGATCATGTTTCGTCTATCGATCTTTTTACATCCACACCGTTCGTCACGTTCGTCCTCGGGTCACGTCCCTGTAAGGCATCAAAGTACCTTAAAAGTTCTGATCATCATTAACCTACCTCACCAGCCCCTCAGTGGCAAGTACCAATGAACATTCGCAGTCAAAAACCGGTGAGTCGAAGGAGAAAGAACCGGATTATTGTTGCATGTATACGTATCGAATCATTGTACAGAAGGAATCGAAATAAAAAACAGAGTTACACATACAACATCATGAAACTCCAACAGACCCGTTTCCCGCGCCCATGACAATTATCCTTGTCGCCTTTTCTTTCAGGGTAAAGGAAACACAAAATTTTAAAAAGAGGAAGAGAAATAAGAAATAATAGGAAGAGAGAGGACGTGGGGATTATTCAGTTCAACCATATCATAACTCTCCGACTGCATCTAGACGCTATTCTACGGTGGGACAAGCGTTACACATGGACCCCATTTCCATTCTTTCGTAGGTACTACAAATACGTATATCCCATCTCGTGAAGGTACTCTTACAGTCGGCGCACCATCGCGTGATACTGATGTACATACCCTTATTTTTTTGAACTCTCATGGCGTCTATACCATAAATCACACCCCCAAAAAAACGAACAAATGAACATATGAATCCGGCAATGAATCCACCAATGTGGAGTATTGAGGGGCTTTTTTCCAAACCCGTTGCGCCCGATGATATGGGTTACCTAGCTGTGCGATGCCAAATGAGGAAGTAGTAAGAAATCCCGTTCGTCTGATATCACAGCCGCGTGGTCGAGGGGTAAAAGTCTAGTATATGATAGGACTGCTAGTACTAGTTGTGATCCTTGTGCTCTTTGGTATACGTCCTGTAGGAGGTAGTTTAGTACTATAAAACCTCTTTAGTATTATAGTTGCTTCTGTGACCTCGAGCAGCCAAGCTCGCGAGAAGGGGGGCAAGCTTGTCGATATCAAGATGTCTTATATGACTACTACCCCAACGGTTGCTAGTCATTACTAATGCTTCAAGGGATCGATAACCGACTCCATGAGTGACTTTATGAAAAGAATGGAGGAATATACTGGGTTATGCTGGTATCTTTCACGTATCGGTAAGCAAGCAGAAGAATGAGGTGCCTGAATCTGGAAGCTGCCTAAGATCGGTTCCGAATCCGCAGGGTTATTAATCTCGTCTTCCGTTGGGTATCATATGTGTCAGTTCAGTCGCAATAGAAAAAAAACGTTAATTAACTCCAGCTTGGTTTCGTTTTTCTTACATGCTTCGAACAGGTCGTCCAAAGAGCTTTGACGTATTAATATCCACCGTGCATGTCGGAATGTCTTTCCATTTATTCCATTAACGGTATGGTAAACCCCCCTTGTAAGCTTTCAAAAAAAAGGTCCCGGTTAACGTTTCCCTTTCGTTTATCCGCTAAAGGAAGGGGTCACGTCGTAACTTCATACGTAACTAATGATCCAATATAAGCATTTGAGGCTGCAGCGCCATCGAACGCCATTTCATCTGCACCTAATTATTCTCCTCAGGCTGGTGCTAGCCATTATGGTCACTGGATTGAGCCTTACAGTTCGTATTTATGAGGTCAATTATGACCAACCCGCGAAGCTTTTCCACTTAGAAGACGCTACATGTATACATGCACATTAAACTATACCGGTTTCAATTGTTGGAGGGGTTGAAAGTAGGATATTCCAAATATACAGAACTGAATCAGCGCCATCTACGGAGTTTAGTTTATCTACCGACGTCGCGCGGGGTGGTTAATACACTGTTCATGATTCGACAATCGGATACAAGACCCTGAAATCGATGATCCAACAGGAATCCCTTCATCACTTGTTTAATTTCCATGGTCAAGGCAACACCAACTAAAACATGTAATGGGTTCTAAACCAGGTATGTAGAGCCCGGTTGAAACATTCAAACAAACAGTTGGTAAAGGCACAAGTTCCTTGAGCTCGCTCGCTCGCAAAACGAAGCTAGAGCCCATTTTTCCCCCTCACGTGGGAAGCTAAGAGTTGAAATGGAAGTGGATGTTCAGATCTACTGTGTATCTTACGATACCCCTACTTACACAGCATGTTCTTTTTTTATTTTTTATTAGACAGTTGTGGAAAGATAGACAAACCGATTGTTCAAGGTTATTCACGGTAATCCGTGGTATGTAGTCGCGGGAAATGCTTGAGCTGCACGTACTGACAATGTGGATCGCCCTGTGGAGAGCTTTCGAAGGCAGCAAAGCGGTTTTGTCGCCGTTCCTGGGATATGATGTCGCCCGTAGCGGTGCTATCCACTTGCATGCATCATTACATCTACCTACTACCAGTACACTATGTATACACTTCCTCCCTTTGCGGAGGTATGGAAGAAGTGAGGGGGGGGTATACTATCAGCCTTGCGCTATTAATACCGTAAGATCGTCGAATTATGGCTTCTAGAAAAGCGAAAAAGACGTTAGTCGAGTCCCACATCGGTTATGAGGGGTCAAATCTCCACGTCCAGGCAGGCCAGCTGCAGGTGATCTTGATCATGATCCCATCTTGTAACAAATCCATTAATTTCTTTGTTGAGGGAGTTTTCTTCTTCTTCTTCTTCTTTTTCTTTTTCCTACCTATGAAACTCCGTTCGGGTATCGGCTGGTGATACTGAGCTTGATAATACCGATAAATATTTAATTATGCGAACTGACATGATACATACGGGTGGCTGGATGCAGGTTTGATGCGGGTATCCGTTAACACCCCCCCCGTTTACATTTGTTAACTAGCTAGCTTCGAATTCTTGAAGCTCTTCTTTCGTACGACCCTACGGGATCAGTAACTAAAGTACTTAGTTTCACAAGCTAGGGGGGACCATTTGGCGAAGTTTTGAGTGGTCAATATTATCTGAAGAATGTCAATGCAGTGCAGTGCACCGGCTAGCATACATACGCACGCACATGGTCTGATATTTGAAGCCACAAAGATGTTGACTTTGGCCGCTATACTCCGTCCATCCATCAAAACTGAGAGCACATGGAATGCAAATGGAATGGTTATTTCCCGTCCCGTGAAACTCAAGGCGGCAATGCAAGTATGATACTTTTCCAGTTAGCACGCCGCTTAACGTTATTAATATTACCGAAGCCTCAATTCCTCATTTTCGAGTCAAGTTTATCCCTCATGAACGACCTACTAGCTGAACCTTTTACTCACCTAATTAATTCAAGGGACTCATATGATAGTACCGTATGATACGATATGATATGATATGATACACATATGGTCCAACCTGTACTACTGGTGTAATCTGCCGTCCTGCACGTCATGTTCAGCACGTCCTGGCCTATAAATCTTCGGGCCCGAACAGAGCCGCAAACAGGCAACCCACGAAATATCAAAAATAGTAATCATTCAGTTGTGGGGCTGGACAACACATACCTTGTATACTATAGCTGTAGACTCTCTGCCTTACGGATGCTATCGGTTAATATCCCGAGTCTAGGAAGCCCTTTTTACAAAATTGTCCCGAGGCTGGGTCTGGCGGTCTATTGTGAATGCGTGCATTGTGGGAGTCAGGCGCAGGTAAGGGAGTTCTCATGCAACCCCACATAATCCCTACGGATACCGAGTATACATGTTGCATATGCTCTAGATCTAGACTGCACTGGGCGCCCGGCCCTCACTGGAGAGTAAATTTACTAGATATCGGACTGGCCTAGCTTTGCCTCGTCGCTAGACTCCCCAATTGGGTGTTAATTTACTATCGCCAATATATATATGCAATTTATGTATATGGGCTAATATTATTCTTGACGATGCGCGATGGTTGAAGCCCGACATCAATATCTGTTTACACTTTTCTGAATTTGATGTATCACAGCATCTCCACTTTAATTTTAGTTACCAAGTTTTGTAAGCGGTATTATATGTATAGTTATGATAAAAATTGGCTCTAAAATTGAATTCTTTATAAGGACTTTTAGAAATGGATCAAAGTACTATAATCATGATCAATTTACTTCAATATATTAATATCTAAAACTGTTCTGGCCCTTCCAAACCCATTGACAGTCAATAATGGACCCAAAGCAGGTTTACAAACAGGTCAGTGGCATATACAAGCCGAAATTTAGACAGGATTTGGGCTTGTACTGTAAGTATAGAAAGTCTGTTAAACCTTTCGATTGTGTGATAGTATAGTATACTCTTACTATAGCTGTATAGATACGTATCGATGCCGCTTTTCTGTGAGCATATCTTCCTAATTCTGAATGCTGGACAGTTATTTCCACCTACGTTTTAAGTTAGTTTATTTACGAGATCGTTAGCAAATAAACATGACGATTGGATCTTGAAACTAGTTTTGGGAATCTACTAATAGGGTATGTCGGTCTCGTAAGCTAGGCGAAGTGAAGCTTAGGTGTCTATATATATTCAAAGACGGTATATATTGATGGTGATTTAAAAACTGAGTAAAGTTTTATGTTGATGCCGCACGCATTTCTTATTAGAATATCTGCATATACATACTGTTGACAGTGTAATATAATGGATCGGTCGTTGTGAACAATTGAGGATGGTGATGGATCCGGATTCTATGCATGGCCCATTTTGTGTATCTGGATATCTGTAAAATTGTAAGACGCATTGACGCCGAATTTAAAAATGACGACGGCTTGATGAATTTGGTTTACTGGTTTGTTTAACTTTGTTAAATAGAAATATATGTCTTCTGCTATACCTAAACTATTAGATCGCTAGATGTTGCGGTGACCTTGAGAGAGTCGAAGCGTAGTAGGCAAATATGCTATATCTCAATACATCCATTTACATAAATCTACATATGCTGTAAGCCTATATAGCTATAGCTAATATGCCCCAAAACGTAGAATTTAGGGTAGTCTACTATCGGCCCTCCCGTCTAAGCTAGACTAACTTTAGAAAGACTGGCCTTGATTAACTGTGATTCTTGGGAATGTTCGGGACGGTAAAACGTATCCCACTCAACGCTTGAATAGCCCTTAATAACAATCAGTTTCTGACGATAATTTTCTGTCTAAACTCCAAGGGAAGAACTGAAATGCTCATTTACTAATATTTGTTTCAGTAAAATGTTATGTTGCAATTACGCAACATGAGAGTTTGATAGTCTCGGAGCCAGCGCCCGAGACTAAGAGTTTGAGACGTTTAGGCTCTCCTAAATTTGAAACTGTGTTGAGTGTGTTATATCCTAGCACACCAGCCGCTGGTACCGTTCATTCAAGCTGAACATGCGCACACCGACAGACTCATAGATGCATTGATGCGAAGGATGTTCGAATCGGGTGTCTACCTGGTTTGGCATATGCCATTGACGCAGGATCCACCTAGGGATAGAAAGGGTCCGACGGCCGGTAGCGGCCGGCAGAGTGCATAATTCTGTAATTTAGTAATTGTAACGATGGGTCAATGGCATTGTTCTCATTAGTAAGAAGGTTTTCGGCTGAGCTGAGAAATGAAGCCAGGAGTTTTCGCTTGTGATAGTTAGGACCTGTGGAATGTGTTGCGATCCATTCTTCGAGATGTTTGACATTGAATTATTCCCTAAAATAGACAAGAAATATGACACGTGACCAACACATCCAGCCTCCCTGCAAGCCAGTGTCGCAGCGCTGCAGCTAACCAGGAAACGAACCAGCTCCGACTCCACGATAGCATCACCTCATGATCTCACGATAAGACTTAACGAACTAGATCTCACGATCGCATTTACACATGCCAATGGCAAGGCCCCGGAAACTCCGAATCATCTCTAGCGACGATGAAGACGACCAACTGATAGTAATTGCATCGTCCGAAAACGAGCAGCAGACTGCCCCCACGGTTTCAAAACGAAGCACGAGATCCACGCGAGCCTCTACCGCTGCTACTACGAATGTCACCACAAACACGAGTGTGAACACGAGCAAAAGCGGCAGTAGTAGAGCGAAGGTAATCGCATCGTCAAACGGAATTTCATCGGGCCGTACGGTATCCGGTACCCAGACTAGCTCTACCACCGTAGCATCGAGGTCATCGAAATCGAAAACGTCATCGTCTACGAGTGTAGCATCACCTCGGAAACCATCGTCTTCAAGCTCAAAGTTGGGTTTGGGAGCTTCAAAACAAGGATCTTCGATAACGTCGTTCTTTGCGCCTGCGACCCAAACTTCAAGCCAAGCTCCTAAGAAAATAAAACGAGCACCCTCGAAAAAGTTCGAGGTAGAGGAAATACAAGAATATGAAGAAGTGGATGGGATTGAGTTCTCCTCAGATGAGGATAGTAGAAGGCAACGAAGGAGACAGGTTGTACCTATCATTTCATCCGAACCGGATGAACTGCCTCGAAAAGTGCCACCGGCTTCACAGCCAAAGCCTTCTCAGAGGTCTATGATCGCGCAGCCAAAACTAGTCAAGTCGGATGAACCAATTGAGACTAAAACCTGGGCGGATAAATACGCACCAACATCAACGGCTGATTTAGCGGTCCATAAACGTAAAGTCGACGATGTGAAAAGCTGGCTAGAGGCTGTTTTCAGGGGAGTATCTTCAAAGGTATGCAACTACCCCGTCTTGGTATTTTCAGAATTGGAAAGAACTTATATAAACGACCTTAGCGCCTTCTAGTTCTCTCTGGCCCGTCTGGAACAGGAAAAACAGCAACAATCACTGCATTGGCAAGCGAGCTGGATTTTGATATCTTGAAATGGGAGAACCCTTCACAACATGATATTGGTGGCGATGGTATCTTTGAAAGCCTCAATGCGAAGTTTGAAGAGTTCATGGGCAGGGGGATGGGCTACGGCGCTCTGCCTTTGGTAGTGGAGTCTGGGTCTCGTGGTAAAGCGTCTTCTAAACAGATGGAGGACCCCATAGATCCAGATCGTCGGAAAGTCATCTTACTAGAAGACCTACCAAACATCTTCAGTTCTTCATCGGCAGGTTCTGCCGCGATGATGTCCTTTCGAGGCGCAATACATAACTTCCTAGCGACACCTCAAGACGGTGAACTAGCATGCATACTCATCATCAGCGAAAACCTCACTACGCAATCAAACGCGACCTCAATAACGCCTCATAGACTCCTTGGGCCTCAGCTGTTGAACCATAGGGGCACAACATCAATAACTTTCAATAAAATTGCTGCAGGCATCATGCAGAAGGCGCTAGAAAAGATCGTGGATACCGAGATGAGAATGAAAGGGATTAAAGAAACGCCATCTCCTGGTTTACTGGCTGGGATTGGTGCTTGTGGTGATATCAGAAGCGCCATAAACACTCTAGAATTTATGATGGTGGGTAGGGGAAAGGGTTCAAATAAGAAACTGGTACCCATGCCAAAAACCAAGAGGAAGATAGGAAGGAGCATGTCAGACTGGGGCCAGCCGAGCGAGAGTGAGAAGTTAACGTGAGTACCCCCATTACCGGTTTGTATTTGATATTTGTACTAATAGCATTGTAGACTGGAGCTAATTACCCAGCGTGAAGCATCACTCGGCATCTTCCATGCAGTTGGGAAAATAGTATGGAACAAACGATTCGATCCTTCAGAACCTCAATTTACACCTCCTGAAATCCTTCCAGACCCACCGTATCACCTTTCGTCGTTCTCCCGCTCTCCCTCCCTCGTAGACATATCAACCCTAATAGACACTGCCGGTGTTGACCTTGACACTTTTGTTAGCGGCATTCACGAAAACTATCTTCACTCTTGCGCTGGCGCATCTTTTCCAGAAAATTACGAAAGCTGTATCGAACATCTTTCAGATTCCGATATGTTATCGCGGAATACCACCTCGCCGTGGGAACGGAATCAAGTCGAAGACGCAATGCGACAAGGGGAACTTGCGTTTCAGGTCGCCGTAAGAGGCATCCTAATGGGCCTACCTGCCAAAGTCAAACGCGATAGTACAAAAAATAGCATGTATTACCCCATGTCACAGAGACTATGGCGGGATAAAGAAGTCGTTGAAGGTCTACTGTCGGTATTTATATCAAACGGCCTAGCAGACTTTGGGAACTCGAAGATTGCGATGGGAATGGCGGATCTTGAAGCACTCCTCGAATATCTGCCATACACGCATAGGGTTGGAAAAGCGAGGATGAGAAACTCGGGAGGGCTCCGGACTCCAGCGATGAAAAATTTAGAGAAGATTGTGTTGTTTAGAGGGGTCGGTGATCAGAGCGAGGTTATTCCCGATGGACCTGATGATGAGGAAGAAGTAGTCGAAGGAGAAGAAGATGAGAGGGGGAATGTCAGAGTAAAGAAGAAAGTCAGGAGACAGAAAGAAGAGACAGGACAGTATGGAGGACGGTTTAAGAAGAGACAAGACGGTGGAGTGGGGATTGCCGGGGTTGGAGAAAGGGAGAAACATGCGGTTGAAGAAGGAATGGAGGGGTTAGTTTTGGAAGAGGATGATATTGAAGATAGCGACTCGTAAAGAGTATCTATCTCCCTATCTATCTCCTTGATATATGGAGCTTGGAGACAACCGCGTTAGTATAACTGGGTTTCATATGAAACTCTCCATTGATAATTCTACATTTGATATTTTTTTGGGGGCAGCAATTGGCGAGCATCAAATGTGGAAAATGCAATGTATATTATTATGAGATTCATGGATCTGTGGCGCCGTATTTATTCCCAGAGATCATATAGCTCCTCTCGATATCATTAATTATATTTTATGCCAACCCCGCCGCCTCATACGAAATGTAATATATAAATCTTCGTCTCAGCTCTGGCTTATATATATCGTAATACGCCAATGCACAGGGGAACCACAGATCTCGACTACTATCCTTGAATGGCTGTGCCAAAGCCTTAATCACAACATTGTAAGAGTATACATATAGCATACCAGCCATTAGTAAAATATTTCTATATATATTGTATAGCATGTTACATGTTCTCACTTTTAATTATAGTAACTATCGAGATTTATAGAAAATTACATAAGTAGCCCTTGGAACGAGCTCTATAGTTAGCGTCATTATCCCTGTATCATCATTAACATTAAGCCAACTACGAGATGTTCAGGCTCCCGGGTCTATATCTAAAATTTGGACCTACACACGTTGAGTTTAGGGTACTAGTAACAAGTTAGGCTGAGGGCACATATAACCTAGTATTCCTGCGGCTATAAAAATTTACGTAGGTCGGTTTATACCCCAGACTAGTCTATAATTCAATTAAATGCAGGTGGAATTTTCGAAATTGTACTTAGTCGGGCTTCAAGGTCGCTTATGCATGTACGCAACCTTGTAGATTAAGCAAGATAATTATAAATGACCTGATAGGTACTGCCCGTACGGTTATAGATATAGTTATATAGCCGGACATATAGGCCTTACTCAAGTATTATAGTGGTTTGTAATTAGACTTCTGCATTCTATCTAACAAGAAAGAGATATTAACCCCGCATGTAATACTCATGTTTTGCAAATTTATAGCTAGTTTTATGCCTTATCCTCTTCGGTCACCGTTCGCGTTTTAATATTTATTATTTCTCTGCAATCGTTCCTTGTAGTCGGGCATACAGTTCACAGAATTTAAAGCCTTTCATAGACGTGCGCGCAGCTCCAAGTCGAACTAGCTATCAGGTACCTAGTAATACTAGTTAAACCTTCGGCAAAACCGCGAAGCTTAAACCTTCACATGCGTCAATTGCCACACCCATTCACCCGAATCGGGAACACAAATATCATATTTCCGGCGTAATGGAGCTTGCGCTTGCTTGCGACTTTTATATCCTCCTTCGGGACCTTAAAACTTGGTCTATGCTTTCTTCACCTCCAATTCCTTTATCTTACCGTAATCCCAAATAAATAGTAGAATACATCGATAACAGTTAGTAAACCAGGCAACAGCTAGTTACGCAATATGTCATTCCTCCAATCTCTCTCAAAAACCGGTGCTTCAAATTCCAACAGCACAACGCAAAACGATAATGCAAAGGTATGGGCTGACCGGTTGGTACCCTCTGCATCCTCGTCCTCATCATCGGGACCTCAACAAAATACCTTTCGATCGACGCCATCAAATATCGAATCTTTGGAGGAATATGAATCATTCATAAGTCCGACAACTGAATCGGGCAGGTTGGAGCCGGTGGGGCCGTATTCTCTCCTCAACGACACATTTTCGCCGGATATTGAATTCCAAAAATCGATTGATGGGCTGGATGTTGTGGGGCTTTTGGAGGTGATGGATACGCAAGAGACGGGGCTGGAGGCTTTGATGGCTGGGAGGGGAGGGGAGAAGGCGATGCCGGTGGAAGAGGAGGTTGAGGATCCGGTTGAGTGGTTGGGACTTACGAGAGGGGAGTATACGGATGAAGTTTGGGGGGATAGTGAAAAGATGGACAAGGGGAAGGGGAAAGAGACTATTAAAGAAGAGGTTAAAGAGGAAATTGTAGTGAAGGGAAAGAGGAAAGGAAAGGGGGTTTACATGAAGGGACGACTGTGAATGAGAAAGAAGGTAGTATGGGGCACTGGAATGGTGTCACCCGAGGTGGTGCGCGCGGAATCGCGAATATATACTCGACATGCACTTTCAGAAGTACAAAAACGGCAAATTAGCTCTGCGGATCGATAAATAATCTCTGCATGGCCTGAGCTATAGATACCATCGCGAGAGTCCCGCGCCGGACTTCGGGGAACTCTGATCTAGGTTATTCTAAGACCTTGTCTCCTGCGCCGCCATCCCAAATCCAAGATCCCATGCGCTGAAAACCCATCACAATCAACTACACGACAGCGAAAACCCATGGTTGTGCTGAGATCGGACAGTACAATTGGCCATGCACCCAGAGTCTCTGTCACACTTCAAAAGGGCGTACGGAAGCCTGGGAGCCTAACCCGGTAGGCTATGGGTACCACATCCCGGGAGCGGTCCTGGTCCTGAGCAAACTGGGGAAGACCAGGATTGACCTCTGAAATTACCTGGTTTTGGGGTCACGGAACGTCTATGACGAGGGTAATGGAAAGAAACGCCGAGATAGCGATTTGGTCCCGCAAGGCCCGACCCGATCCTTAGATCTTGCGATATAAATACTTAGTGATGTTCCACGTTCCTCCCGCGAGGACGTTCCGGATTTTCTGAAACCACAAGCATTGCCATTATTGCAATTGATCAATTCAGAAGCTCCAAGTAGTAGCTATAGCATCACATCTTTACGTAAACAGTCTAGTCGGATAGAAAACCTTTCCAAAATTTGTTTATAATATTTTTTAAACTAATCTTCCTATCAAACATCATACGGTATTCTAAAACCGCCCGCCGAGACTCACCGTCAAAGACACCTACCGCCAACACCACCTTACACACTCCACTCACAGATACACACACATTCACACAGACATGCACCCACCGTATCATAAAGCATACCGTACGCCCCCTCCATGTATACATCCCCCCTATAAACAAACCCAATACCAAGAGAAGAAACCCGATTTTGATATATATAAAAAATTCCCATCATCAAAAATCAAATCTTGTATTCCAGTCCCTGTCCTCCCAGAAGGAAACCCCACCCACCAGTTTAAATCCCCATATGATGAAAAAAACCATGTTCTCCGTATTCGTCAAGTTGCGGGTCAATAGGAGCAAGTTCTCCGCCTCAGCTACTCGGAGCCTTGGGCCATTTTCCTGCATGCGGTCAATCTTTGTTTTTTTTTGTATTTTTGGCTTTGGTTTTTATTGACATATACAGTCAAAATCCAAAAATGGTAAGAAGTTCGTATATGTACAATCCGAGAGCTTGAGCTGCGATCGAAAGATGTTCAGGATTGTTGGTACATTGATATCCGTCCGCGTCCCAGGACCTCGAAGGTCACCGGGACCCGATAATCGTGGTAAGAAAAAATAGAATAGAAGTGCCGGGTAAGATAAAAGAGGAAGAGAACAATGAAAAAAAACAATAATAATCAAACATAAAAACAAGAGAAGTACCACCGGCGCCGTAATAATCGAAGTAGCTTTGAGAGGAGAAAAATAGAGAAAGAAAAATTCGTTAAGATAGTATAACCCTCGAGGCAGCTACTGCTGAGAGCATGATTGTCAGATCTGTCGTCGGGTTTGTTTTTTTCATTTTCTGGTGATCGATACATATTTCGGTGTCAATCTCTGAAGTCGTAAAGTAGGAATATAGAAGAAGAAGAGAAAAAAGGATATTCTGAAGAATAATAGAAGAGGCAGTGCTGAGGACAAGAGGGCATCAGTATCTGATCTTGATTAGGGATCTGTCTGGTGATGAGTTAATGATACACCGATATTGTAGCCTTTTCGTAATCGATGCATGGTTAACGGTTATAGATTTCACATCACCCACTCGATGTAATAGTAGTTAAGGACACCCCTGCTAATGTCCTTCACTGCCAGGAGTACCATTGAAGTCACGGAGTTTTTCATGCAAATGATTGCATTCTGCAAAGCAACCGTTTGGTGCGTCCCTGTGTATCGTGATCAGATATGATACCCTGAAGAAAATGAAAATGAGACCACATGATTGCAGAGACATGATGTATTGTGAAACAGACATGGTCTGACTACAGGCTGGAAAGTAGCACAGTATATAGAATAAATGCTATGAGCATGGAGCTCATCTCGCGAAGACGGCAAGCATGATACAAGGCAATCCAACTGCACAAAAAATTGAACTCCGCAAGACACACAGCTAAAACGCCATAACAGATTGAAAGAAAATTAACATGAAACAAACCACTCCAACCAAAAGGTAGCCATTTCCATAGTATGATATAGTGTAAAAGAAAAGAGGTCATGGGTATCATCATTCTGATGTCGTTAGATTCGTAATGTTACAGAAGATTTCCGAAATAAACACCAAGCCCGAGGTAGAAAAGAGGAGAAATAGAAATTGTTCAAGGGAAAATATATATTAGAAGAAAAAGGAAAGGACAAGCTGGTGGTAAACGCTCTTCATTGCTTGCGGGCGGCTTTTGGGGAGCATGGTTGAGTAGACCCAGCGAAGAGTTAGTTAGTTTACTCATGCTTGTATACATGTTAGCATGGAGCTAACATGAGAAAAAGTTAAGGAAATGAAGTTAAATACTGAAATCGTGATGGGATATCGTTGTATCGGATATTGTAGTTGTATGACTGCAAGCTCAGTTGATTAAATCGAGCAAGTTGAAGTAGAAGAAGATGTTATGAAGATGTGATGAAGTCTTGTCGAATGCGCAAACAAAATCGTAGTTGTTAATGATCGTTCGAACGCTGCTGAAGCTAACATGGATCTCGGATAGTCCTTTAGCCCTCAAATATGTTTGAACTCGAGAGCCGGAAAGACCTTCCAACGAAGCCATGTTGGCTGCATGCCGCTAGTGTGGTTCATGTATGCGTGAGGCGCATACACAAGTTGAGCTTTTGTTTTTATCTTTGCGAACGAAAACGGATGCTCGAACTAGTTCGTAGCTTCTCGGGAAGCTGCGTTGGTTCTTCGATTTGTTTATCACACATTAAATATCTGTTGACAAGATATATAGCATAAAGCGCAGAGCTGTTCAAATGCAGGCAATTGATTCGTGTCCAATTGCTTCTCACTTCTTTTTATCTTTTGTATGCTTGTTCTTTTTCTCTCTTCTTCTTCTGCTTGTGTCTTGAGTCAAGATTTGTTGGTCAATTAAGGACCTTGAAGGAACTGATCGATATCAAAGTCCTCAAATGACCCTTCAATACCTAGAGCTTCGACATTGTTATTCGGGAACTCTGGTAAGCCGAAAGGAGCGAACATATTGCTTTCTATCCCCATGAAGTCTGGCACCTTCTCAGAAAGGATCTGGTCAGGTGAGATGCCCATTGACTGCATCTGGCGCGCAAAGATAGTGTTAAGGTTATTAGTACGTGGGACGGCGGATGGTTGAGCGAGTGGCGGGCTGTTGAAGATAAAGTCAGGTTGTTGGAATCTGAACTCTGAGAAGTCGAAGTCGAAGAAGTTATCGTGAGTCATTGGGTCGTTCATAGAGGGTCTGATGGCTTCAGATTCAACCTCTGAATCAGGTGGCGGGGTAGCTGGGCCAACTGGTTGCAATGGCTCATCGTCTGTCATTTCTTGGTCTTTATCTTGGTCAGAAGACGTTAAATCTTCGGCCTTGACGGCGGGTTCAACTTTGAGAATAGCTTCGTCTTGATTGTCGATATACTTTCCATCCTTTAGCTTTGAGACATCAACAAGGCATTTCCTAAGCCAGGGACGAAGCTCCTCCATGGGCGGGAAGTCTGGATGTAATTGCTTGAACTCCCTCTCCTCAGGGGTGTCCGTCTTCAACCGCTTATTGAAATGAGCTCGTCGAAGATGGCAAGCGGCATTGTAATCCTGACCATAAATCTTCCGCCTTGAGCAATGCTTGCAGTTCTTGAACATGTCGCCGCCAGGTGAGTCATCATATACAATGAAGACAGTCTTTTTGGTTTGATGTTGAATATTAATATGTCGTGCAAGCTCATGAGGACCTCTGAAACCTTCTTTGTGGTCGTTACAGATCGTGCACCACTGCTTCTTCTGGCGCTTTCGCTTTCTACCTTGAGAAGCATTGTTGTCCGAGGCGTCTGTGGCGTTAAGACCTGTGATAGAGGTAGGACGAGATGAAGGTGGCCTAATGGCCATTGCTGCTGTATGCTGCGACGCTGTTGTGTCCCTCGGAGGGACGAGGAAGTCATTAACGACGGCTAAAGACGCCTCGATTTCGGCTGTGGTAGAAATAGCAGCCTTTTGTAAAGGAGTCACACTTGCGGGTGTCATCCTTGGGGGTGCTACAAATCCAAAGTTGGTTGTAGGCTTACTCTGCTGGGCAGAGGGTACATTTTTTTGGTTGATAGAAGTGTTCATGTTGTTTCGGATGGTATTTGCATTTGAAGGTGGTTGAGAGGGGCTAATGCTTCCGACTGTGGGCACAGACTCAGATGATTGTACCCGACTGCCTTGAAGGGAGTGCATGGAAGAGAAGGCCGCTTCAAAAGCCGAGGTTGGTGACACAGATGATCTGTTGGTATTCCCAACTAAAGAATTGTGCACGGCAGGCAAAACCTGGGCCTCAGAAAAGCTTCGGTCTCGAGGTAGCGAAGCATGTGATAGACCCGCCAATTCAGATTGCTGTGGTGGTACACTAATCTGTGGTCTTCCTTCCGCAGCGATTGACTGCTGCTGCTGCTGCTGCTGTGTATGCAGTGAAGAGTTTGGGATGAAGGTCCGTAGACCTGTATGAATACCTGTTGCAGATGGTCGAGGAACGGCCGCAGGTGTTTCTCTGCCCTTCTCTTGGCCGTCGTTGAACTTGACGACATAATCAGCCAAAAACTTGAGGCTGTTAAAAAACTTGTCGTTTCTCTTTTTCCTGTCATAGTTTTCACCTGCCTCTTGGATCATTTCATTGGTGATTTGACCAAGATACCAATGGAGGTGGCGCAAGAATTGCTGTCTGACGGGGTCATGGGGAGACCGGGTCGATGTTGCCTCCATCTTGACAATGCTAGGCCGTCAAGACGGTAAAAAGAAAAGAAAGGATTCAGATGAGAATGAAAGGAATAGATTTCAACCCGACCCGAAGGACGATGTTGAAACCCGAGGTAGTCTCAAAACAGAAGGAAAAGGAAAGAGAGGAGAGGGAGGATGCAAAAACGTGATACCGTTTCAACAGTTACTTCAGGCTGTATTGTTTTGTGTGATGAGGAAAGGAACAGGAAAGAAGAGGATGACGAAAGAGGATAATGGCTAAGTTAAATGCAAAGGCTCGACTTGGGAAGGGGAACCTGGGCAGAGGAGTGGGCGGTGACTCTTCTCTAATGTGGTTTTTAGAATAAGCCAATCGACAGAGGCCTATTTTACAAGTGTAATAGTATAGAATCTCTATTAAAGAATGAGATTATCTGAGGGAAACAGAAGGATGAAGAGTATAACTGGAGAAGAAGAGGGGGGTATGAGAGCCCAGCGGACGAGACTGGGTATTCACTGGTTGCAAAAGGCGTTCGGAAGCAGTGACTATACTTGGAAAGGATAAGTGGATTGAGGCCAGCGCTAAAGGAGCAGCTACAGGCCGATATTGTCGATGGTTGAAACTGTAATTGGTTATAGCGTACCAAGCTATAGAGGAGCAAGTATGGAGACGAGGAAGTTGACGGGCGGAGTGGAGTGGAGAAGAATTGGTTTTGACTTCTGAGGTTGCTGTGTTGTTGAGTGGTATTTCTTCCAAGTGGTTCTACCAAGTTGGGTGGTGGCTCTGACGTGTCAAGGGAAAGTCGCCCGGTAGCTATTAGTTGTTGGTTGGGACTAAAACGTCGTGCGACTGCGGGCTGGCTAGGACAGTATGGCGCTGGCTGTTAGCTCCCTCTCCGCTATTAGGCTATGATGCTAAAGCCACTCGTCATGCAGCAGCAGGTCCGAAGATCTGGCTGCAGTTACTGGGTATGTGCGGGCCCCATGGAGGTGGGCAGATGGGATTGAACCTACATGGTGGACGGTATAGTATGTTGGGAAGCTTGCGAGCCCGCCCTATTTTGCAATTGGTCCGCTAATTTATCTGAACAAGTCAGAGCAGAAGTCCAGCGAAGGTTCTATGATGGGGAACCTGCGTCGCCTCTTTCTCTCCGGGGACAATCGTCAGGAGTACGAAATGAAGTTTACGGGAATTCAGCGATGTTGCTCTGAGCCTAGTCGCCGCAAAGGGGCCGGTTCGCTGCTCGATCGAGGGATTCTCTGGTTGGCTTGATTGGTTACGGGTTCACGGGTTATTGTGGCCCACGGCTCCTTCCTTCTTCTTTCAGGAGAGCCCAGCCGATATTCCCGACAAAGGAACCGTTCGGCCCGTATATTTATTCGAGGCGACAACGGGCGCTGATATCTATATTAAAACAGTTGGGATGTCTTTGGTTGGCTTTGAACTCGATTTAGCGTCTTCTTTCAAGTTTCGGACGGTCTAAAATCGAGGAAAGCAGAAATAGCAGTATGGTTGCGCTGCTTATAGCGGTTCGGTGAAAGTGGCAGAACGAAAGGAAGAGGTCAAGGCGAGTGCTGTAGGAGGCCTTACAGTCTTATAGCATTTGTGAGTACTCGAGAGATCGACTTGCATCCGCGGAATAAGAGAGCCAGGGAGACAGGCATAGAAGGAGATGGTATGCATGGCTTTGTAAGTTAAGAGCCGCCATTTCGATAGTTATGAGGACGGACTGAGAGTCAACCGTCACGGGTTATTCTTGCCATTTGGCTATTGGCCAATTTCGCTCACAGGAATAGGTTCCGGTAGGGATTCCCCCAAACCTTCACTAATAATACGTGTGGGAAAACCAGCGTTCAGTTTGGACAGCAAAAGTGTCCAAGCGACGTAGCCTGGCACAAGATTCGATTGCCGGCTGGCAGGAACGGGGACTGGTGATGACGATACGCAAAGCCCGGTGGGGAACGAAGCCCTTAGCGAGCTCCAGAATTCCGACCTGGATTCTGTTGTCCCTGGCACTAGCGTTCATTCTGGCTAGCTAAATTTCCTCTCTGAACGAGGTAAAAATGGACTTCATGCTTCAAAGCAAGGCTGATTTCCAAGGTATTAGCACGAAGGGACCTTTTCTTCCTGCCCTCAGGCTCGGCCTGGTCAGGCTTGTCTGTCAGGCCACAGCGGTCGCTAGCCAGCAAACCTGCTTTGATTGTAGGCAACCCCCAAAAGGGTGGGACATCCAAGGGCCCGCGTTCGCTAATTGGACAGCGAGATATAGGATCCCAAAAGGGCATGGCTTCGTTGGCTCAAAAACGAGGCGACCACTCTGCGGAGGTCTGACTGTAGCAATTCGCTCGCCTCACAGCCTCAGTGGTAATTCGAAACGCGAGAGAAGCCTAGCAGGTTGACGGCTAGACTTGCAAACTTCGATCCGAGATCCATGGTATCCATCGATGTTTTGAAAAGCCTCAGCTATCCGAGCAATTATCGCAACATATACTCGTTTATTTCTCACAAGAAACTTTTATGCCGCAATACGCAAAATTAAAATCATCCGATATATTACGATTTAATTTTCTGTATAGATAAATATGATATTTGGCCGTTTGGCCCCATGATTCAGCTCCGAAACGATGGGAAACGACAGCAGCCTATGGCGATGCTAAACGATGATGAGCGAGCGGCCCGCGATGCAATATTAACTTGGCTTCCCTGAATTAGTATCCGCAAATCGCGCTAGGTTGTGAATACATGGGTTTCCCCACGCCCGCCAACACGCATGCATTCAAAGCTGCATGCCTGTCGGCGATTTGGGAATTACCATGTGTCGATCCTAACATATAATGAGAATGCATAGTATCGCTCCGCTATGTGAAGACGGGATTTAACATAGAAGCCCGTCGAAAGGAAAGGCTTATCTTCCCTGGATTCCTGACCAGTAGACGGTGTACCAGTATGCGGGTATCGTATCTCGTAGATTTGATTTATCTGCTGCTAAGGCCGAGTGACCCGTGCGTAGTAATGTATGTACTCGTATTCTTACCTAAAGTCAGTTGTACAATGTCGGCATTGGTCTATACAGATGCAGTGGGACGGCAAGACGGCAGAAACCATGGAACGGTACCACTCTTTCGTGAGGATTGCTCTTTGTTGGGATTATGTATGTACGTACATGTACCTATAGTCAGGCCTATGCTTGAAAACGTTATCGTTATAATATTGGATTCCACGAATATTAACAGTATGAATTGCAACATTGCGAACTAACGAGTTTGGTGAATAATCTTGCTCCAAATATTCCTCAAGGTTTCTGACGTCTTCGTTCCATCCCGTACTTTGCTTACGAAATGCATTAATGAATCTAACAGCCCCTTCGTGAGATCACCTCGGTGTAACCCGCTTCTACATTTGCAGGTCCTTGCGGGATCGAACCCGGAAGATGATTCCAGGGCTTCGTAGAATCAAAATGCAATGTATCCTGCCTACATATATGAAATATTAATATTGCGGGCCTGAAAGACCTATAACCTATGGTGGTGATTCAATACTGCTCCTTGCGTCAAGGAAATATAAAGAAAAAAACCTGTATCGGTTTAGGTCTAGAATTGAGCTTTGTCTCATGCCAAGAACTTGAGTTCTGATGTCAAGGATGTCACGGATGCTGCGACGAGTTCCAGACCTTTCAAACACTCAAGATATTTAGAGGGGTTCTAAGATATTTGATAAGATGCTAACAGGAAAGGGACCGGAATGCTCTTCCCGACGCAGTGATCTTCATTGCCAGCAGAATCCGGTTTGGAGATTATTATTTCGAAGGGAAAGGATCGTCAGGTGACACAGTAATATTATTTCGACAGAGGTAAACAACACATTCGGAGGCAGTCGTGGGGGGTCTAAGCGCCCGAAGTTGACTTGCGAATTCCGATTGCCGACCTTCGGGACATTCCAGGCCCATGGTAAGAGGATCGAGTTTTTTGATTGCTTGTGTTCTAGAAATAGACTAATGGTGTTGTTCTTAGTTACATCAACATTACTCACATAGGGCTTTTAGCTCCATCGAAAAGATAAAATTTGATGGGCATGGGTTGAATCCAAGGGCTGAGAGAGGTTAATGGCGTAATTTTGTGGCGTACCTACCCATCCAGATCGGAAATTCTGGGGAAGAGGTTGGAACATGTATGTGGAAATTACGTCTATCAGGACTCATTGGGTGGGATGTGCTCCGTATATATCTTTGTATATTGTCTTATTGGGATACATACGCATTTTGACTTTACAGTCTTTAAATTAAGAGACGAAGGATCGACACTGAATATATTGTGTTTGGCTAATATTTTGTAGCAATTGTTATATTCTTCTGCCCAACCGTCATGCATGTCTCGGCAATGCGATTCTTCATCTGAAAGTGGAAGAGATCAAGAACGATCCTCGAGTTTTGCTGATGATGAACGCTCACCGAAATGCCGGCAAGGATCCGGCTATGTACATACCTAACTACGAAAATAAAATCGTTTGATAGTTACAAGTGTATATAAATGGTTGATAATTTTAAGTTAGCGTGAGCGGCATTTGAATAAGGATGGGGTACCCTGGCGAAGAATAGACTTTGTTAGAAGTATCTACGGGTAGATCTACTTATGCAGTGTTGAACAATTGACTGACTCGAGGTTTGGAATTGAACCGGCGGCATAGCCGCTTGGAAGACGTTTCATATAAAAAAATAATAGTAAGAGGGTGTATAAACATATGATTTTGTGCATGTACATGTGAACACGTAACAGTCGGCCAAATGTCATGTCTTCGACGCAGCCCGTTGTTAAGAAATATTGAAATCACACGTGAAGGAAGCCGGTAAAATTTAACTACCGTGAGGGCAACGACTGTATTTCACAACGAAATAAATAAAAAATTTTCAAAGACCCTGGCAGTTTCAGAATCCAAAAAAAAGTATTGTCCCTTATGGGTAGGCCTGTAAAAGCGAGCAATTAACGCATAACTATGCATAGTGCGTCGGGACTGTTTTCAATAGAGGGGTCCTAGCGAGAGTTGAACAGGGACGGGGGAGAACCCTAACTGCGAAGGGTATTTTTCACACCTTGTAACATGCTTGTAGGTTTAGGTCCTTGTATTTTCTTCATTAGATTGAAGATGATCTGACCTTGACTCTATCGAGCTACGACACCAGATAGGCTTAGGGAACTCGACTAGCTAAAACTTTGTGGAAGTGACCTGGGGTTACACAATCAGGTTTGGTGTTGTTAGTGTTGTATTTCCGTTTTCGGCCGAAACGCTTTTTTCTCCGTCGCAAATTTCTAAATCGGTCGCGATCGACTTTGAATCTTCAACTTCACAAAGCTCACCCACCTCATCTTACTTCACCCCATCTCATCCTCCATCCGTCGGCTTCCCATACTTGATCCAATCCAACATGAGGGCGGGAAGGTCGAAAGCGTACAAAAAGCTAATGGCGGTTTACGCCAATAGCTTCGGATTTCGCGAGCCATACCAGGTACTCGGTAGGTACGCTTCAACCCTCATCTTTGAATCGTATCGCCTTTGCAAGATAACGAAAATCCACTTGCGATAACTACCCAATACATACTTCAGAGGGTTCGCTAATATAAGTTTACAATCTAGTTGATCCAACAATCATTCAAGACTCAATGAAATACAAAATGGACCTCATCATCATGTTAGAACGCACATTGCAAGGCAAGGCCAAACCAAGTACGCCTTCCCATTTCAGTCACAAAGATATCACCAAGATCCTCAGTCTAACATATTTCTAAATAGTGATAACACAATGCTGTATCCGACACCTTTACGCGACCGATAACCAACCACTCATCAACCTCGCCAAGACCTTCGAGCGCAGACGCTGTAATCATTCCATCAGCGACGATCCTTTGTCGTCACTAGAATGCATGCTTTCGGTCGTTATACCCTCTGAAGATGCACCGATACCGAATAAACATCGCTATGTAGTGGCTACAGACGACCAGGATATGAGGGAGAAGTTCAGAGAATACCCTGGAGTACCTGGAATACACATTGTTAGAAGTGTCATGGTTTTGGATCAAATTAGCGATGCAACGTCTAGATGGAGAGAAAACCAAGAGAAGGGAAAGCTGAGAAGTGGATTGAAAGATAAACCGGCTTCAAAAAAGCGGAAGAGGGACGAAGACGATGATGAGGAAATGAAAGATGGCGATGGATCTGGATCGGAATCCGATGACCAATCAACAAGTGGGGCACCGGAGAAAAGGGAATTAGCCGCGAAAGAGGCTCTAAAAAAGAAGAAAATTTACGGGAAACAGAAGCAACCAAATCCGTTGAGCGTAATGAGAAAGAAGAAGAAGCCACCTACGAAAGTTCCTGCCAAGACTTCAAAGGAAGGTGCAGGTGGGGAACAATCGAAAACTAAGAGAAAGAGGAAACGGACCCATGCAAATAGCGGCAGCGCTACAGGCGATACGAAGGATGTATCAAGGGATACGGCCGCTCAGACCGAAATATGATGATGAAAATAAAGGGGGAGACTTTGTACGATAATGAGTGAACCAAAAGCATGCTAATTTGCAGAATTGGGCCTTTTTTTTTTTTGCTTTCCGGGCCTATTGGAGTACCCGCCGTAAATCTAGAATACAATCTACATAAAATACATGATACATAATACAACAGTCTATATAATGATCTACGTGAGTAGTCTAAGGGGATCGTGTGTCTATCGGTGAAATGACAGGAACATCGCAAAAGGGGCTCATCAAAAACAAAACGCTAAGGGAAATATAAGGATAGATGAAGCCATCCAGGGCTTCTCGTCGTCTGCGAAGGAATGAATCTTTCGCACCCATGCATGATGCACATAAATCGTCCCGTCGTAATCAAACACTCACTGATCCGGTTTCCTCCCATATATGACGTACAGCTTCTGGTAGGCATGTATCGCTCTATTCTTCATATCCGTCATAGCCCGTCGGACGAGATCCATACTCTCGTCCTCATCAATATCTAGTGCCCGTTTCAATAGAACCTTCGTACCCGTTTCCACCACCATCAACAGCTGCGCCTGCTGCAATCTACCGATTTCCTTGTACGTTTCGTCTTTCGGCCATCCGTTCATAGGAACCTTGTAAGTTCGTACGACCACATCCTCAAACCCAACATCGCGCATGTACCCCACAATCTCGTCGCTCGTCAGATCGACTTCCCGCTCCGGGAATCGCTGCATAGCCTCTCGGCATCTTGCATTCCATCTGTACAGATTCGTCTGCGCCGAATACGTCCCATCATCGGAGTAGTACCCGTGCAGTTCCTCATGTAATTCAATATACCCGCCAGGCCGTAGAGATATATACGCTTGTCGGATGAAGTTGCGCCAGTCATCGATGTACAGGTGATTCCAGCGGGAGAAAACCAGATCAAAGACGTTTTGGGGCAAGTTCCAGTCGTTGTTATAGTCGTGTTGTAATAGGAATTCGAGACTATGGATAGAAGACAGGGGTTTCCCTAGGTTCTCTTCCCGTGCCACACCACCCTCCTTGACTCAACTCACGTCGGAGAGATGAGGTCAACTGAGAAGTAGTGTGATTTCCCGACACCCGGCAGGTCGGGAATTGGGGAAGAGAACAAGAACGGGGGGTGAAGTTAGCACAAGCATCATAATGCAGTAGCGTATATATGAGCTATAGTGTGTGGTATTATTGCATATGTCAAGAAAACAACGCAACAATATACCCGAAACTGGGAACATGCATGTAGGATAATATAGAATAGATGAAAGAAACGTTGAGATATTCCGAAAGAAAGCCCGCTAAAAGGCTCGCGTGCGGGGGGAAGAAGATCTCAAGGGAGGGCAAGGCCTTTTCGGTTGACATGATGGTAATATTGCAGGAATGTTAAGATGAGACGAAGGTGTAGGAGATTTAGAAACTGTGGTTATAATTGGAAACAATATGGAATCTTCGATGGCGATACCCGAGAGAAGAGGTCTGGAATGTTTAATATAGATGAGGGACTTACTTAGGAGGGATTACGGTCGGCTGGATCGGAGTAATGTCTGTAGCGATAACATGCGCCATCGGGTACTCATCCGCTGAGACGAGCGAGGTCGCAGTTAAGATGCATGCGCATGTTAGCAATTTCTACCCAATCGTACGAAGGTCGTTTCCGTAGAAAGAGCCCTGGAAAAAGAGTTTGGGGGTCACCATTAGGCATGGTATATGCTGGGAACATCATGTTGAATGATGGCATTGGTCCTCTAAGTAGGTAAGGACCAGGGGCACGAGAACTTGGCTTGACTTTTCAAGTACAAGCCTCCAGAAAGAGGGGTAGGGGGAAAACTCTTCACAGCGGTGTAACGGATAGGTAGACAATAAACGAAGCAGGGAATAGACGGTAGATGTCTGTGTGTCCGCAAGAGTGGTGTGTGGGTGGAACTAACCAGCATCGACAGCCCATTTTCCAGAACCAGTCCCCAAGTCCAAAATCCTATGCGGATTTCTAGATATCGGAGCAAAATGAAGTTTTCCGTCGAACAATAGTGTCGACATATGATGCTTGAGGTTGAGCCGGTCGATTTCCTGTTGTAGAATACCAGCGTAAGCTGCTGCCTGGCTCTGTCGACGGTTCGCCATTTATTCTCGCTGGGGGTAGAAGGAGTGGTTGTGCGAGTCGTGGGAATATAGCCGGATGATTGTAATTTATGGTTCAATTGGAAAGAGCAAAACGGCGAAAGGAGAGGGGGAAAAGGGATCTTAGCAGGAGATTGTGAGACGCTTACGTAGCTTACCCTGGTAGATAGAGGGACGGGCGATGCTCTTCGGGATATCGATTCGATGTGGTTGTACATTTGATATCGAGCCCTAGTGTTAGACCATTATCAGATGTGTGATTCAGGCGCAGGAAGCGGAAAAAATCCGGATGAAATAAAACTTCTAGAGGAGAGGATGAAACTGTAAGTGGGTCACTTACTCATCGGACCCGAGCGTGGAGTCAGCGTAGCCATTGTCATCGTCGTCGTCTATATCGTCAGCTGCGGCTTCGATAACACCAGTCACGTGGGGGTCCTGGGCACCTAGAAACGACATAAGGAAGGCCTGATTATGTTGTGTAAAATGGTAATTAAGGAAAGTACAAAGTGAAGTGCGAAGGGAAGGCCTGCCCCGAGATATATTAAGCTTCGTTCTGTAGAAGTTCTAGAGTGGCGTCTGGAAAGATGATGCCTCCAAAAACTTCGAAGAGAGGGGCGAGCTTTTATATCCCGACTAACAGCCAGAGAGAATGCCTGGACAAGTCCACCGAGCCTAGGAATCCGTGAGAAGCCAAGATAGAAAGAGTGATCATGGTAGGATTTGCAGGTTGAAAGTTGAGAGTCGACTGTATCTCCGTAGAAGATTTTGGCTATAGGATGACGAAAATTTTACTTTCATAAGACGAAAAAGAAACCTCCCGTCTCCGCAATGAAACTCCGACGAAGGACGAGGAAATCGCTCGCGGGGTTCGCGGGGAAAAGCTTGAAAGTCCTCAAAGGTTATAAATACCCAGATTAAAGAGTCCAGGTGATCCCAGATGTTCGGAATTTTGTTTGCTCGTATTCTTTCGCTCGTAATTGACCCCTTCCCCTTGTTGGAAAAGATATAAGGCGTTCCTAGACCTTGACGTCGGGTTTTTCTAGAAGGAACAAAAAAGTGGTGGATATATATATATAATAAAGTAGGTGATATTATATTCGGGTGACACCTGTCAAGGGATACAATATGCGCACGGATAGTAAGGTCCCGAAACTTGTTTGGAGTTTTGAGATAGTACCTTTTTTCGTGAAAGGGGTTCATTCAAGGGGGAGCCTAGGCGTACGAGTCAACTTGTTTAAATTCCGGGACGGTAGATTCGCTAAGGATTTTTATCGACCTACTAGGATCTTCCTTGACGGGGCCTTTTCTTGGATCGTCTACCGAGGCAGAGGATAGGTGTGAATGAGAACTATATACGTGTTGGATTTTGTTTTGGGGCGATATATCCGGACGGTTGATGCTGGAAGCTTCGGACTGATGGTTGAGATCTCTGTTTGGGAATCTCCGAAGATAAAGAACCTCGTCGTCGACGGCACGGCAAATAAGTTGGCGTACGTATCATCCAAGGATTGGAAAAGAAATTTTATATTGGGGCAGCGAACACTTGGATGAAGATCATTCGATGCCTACTGTAGACCCCATGAACTACCCAGCCGCTATCTCGAAATTTTAAGATGAGCTGTGACATATGAAAACCGGCATTGCGGATTTATCAATGGAGGGGCAATATCAGTCCGAGGCTGGGGGGTATATTAGGATTGTACGGGAGTGAGATATGTTGGCGGTTGGTTATATCTGAGATATCCTCACGGCACGTAACTTCTCTCGGAAATCACGCTGTTGCATCCAGATCCTGTAACTTTCCGCCGATACGGTCTATTGACAAGCTGCTTCAGAAGGAGCTTGTGACCCTTGAGCAATTGAGCTCTCTAATTTTCGACCCTGTGGCGAGTAGCTATATGTGTGATAGATCTTTGCAGCGATATCCAGGCTAGGGTGGCTGCAAGATACAGGGAATAATTCAGCCTCAACCCTCGACCCTCAACGTCCAGCAAAATCACAAGGCGGAAAGGTGATAAGCGTATAATTCTGGACTGTCGGGTTGAATTCCTTGTCTACCTGGAGCGGGATCCACGGATTATCGGGTGGGTGTAGGCGAGCTCGAGAGCGAAACGCCATCTGACGAGCTGGCGCCGACAAAGTGGTTGAGGTTCGATGGGTGCAATAATTACAATTGCACAGTTAACTGGGTGAAATGGATTTCCTGGCCTGTCTTAGGGATATTCTAGCTGGCCAGCTTGTAAATTCGAGTGTCTATGGCTCGCTAGCTTGCCAGCTCGATCCAATTTTGCGGCCTTGACGAATCTGTAGATTGGCGAGCTCGAGAGGCGTCGACAAACTGTTGGATTTGGATCGAAAACAGTAAATGTTGCATCACTACCGCGCCATAGCTATAGCATGCACCATCAATATCGAAAGTTGTTATTGATTTATTGATATCGCCCTGCATAATATGAAACACTCATGTTAGCCATGACATGTTTTTTTTTGCACCAGCTTGTGCGCAGATAAGATGAACGGATTGATAGTAATATAATATCGGGAATAACCAGCAGGTAAAAGAAAAATCTAAAATCCGCCGTCGCTCATAGCTGAAGCCACCATGATCACCATATCGGCTTGTCATCGGTAGCTACGGAAACCACGTGCCGGGGTTTTAAAAGTACAACGTCATTAAGCTCGAGCTCAGCCAATTTTAAAAGTGCGTTTGTGGAAAACAATACCGGAAACCCGAGATCGAAAGATTGGATAACCGGCCCATGATCCCAGAAACGCTTGGTCAGATCCCCCAAACGGTTTAAAGGTGATGCTGACGTGTGAGAAGAAACTATTATTATGCTTACAGAATCTATAGTGGCTGGTGCATATCAGAATTTCGGAAAAGGTTTTGTTGGATTGGCACCGTCGCCTCGTGCTAAGAGGAGTCGAGAAGGTGGAGTTTGAAAGATGGTTTCGTGATTGCTAGCCGACAGTTGGGTAAATATAACAGCAACCTCGCTGCTGCTTGGGAGGGTTCAAATATGGACTGAACGGGAAAATTATGGGAATTCTCCTGTATATTCGAGAACAAATTGTCAGCCCGTGCCCAGAATTGTGCACACACGAGCCCTCAAGCCTCGGTGGGATTACATTAAAGCGTTCCAAGTCCTAAAATTGATTAACCTCCCGCCGTTAACCTGTCCGGTCAGCTGAAATTGCCCGTCGGTAATATACGACCGTTAATTAATTATGAAGAACGGCCCTGAAATTTATGGAAATTGTGAAGTTAACACTCCCCCCCAAGCGAGAGGTTAGGGTTGAGTTACAGATATAGTAGATCGTTAGAAGCTGAATGCCCGTCGTTATAATTTCAAAAAAAAAAAAGTTTCAACTAGTAGTTATCAGCTCAGCTGACCATGTTCGAACTGCGACAGTCTCCTAATTTCGCCTGTTCTCCACCCCACATCTTGGGAAAATTAGTCAGCTTCGAGATAGGTCAAGCTGATGGCAAACAGCCTGGGCATGCGGATTTGCCGTGGTATAAAATGCTGAACAGAAGTACGCGAATAGTGGCCGTTTTCTTTCGTACGAATGTAAGTTGGGCTGTTAGTTGGGTGCGCGGGCGTGTCCGTGCATTCCAGATGTTAAATTACAACAATGACACTGAGGAATGGAGCTTGAAGATTTGCAAATTTGAAGATATTGTAATTAATATAGGGTGAATTCATGAAGTGTCGGCGATGTCAGAAAGATGAACAATGCACTGAATTCATACATTTGCGGCGATCGATCGTTCACGGATAAAGGCCTTCCCCTCTTCTAGCTTCTATATGTATGTTTACATGAGCATCGCATCGTTCCAAGGCCGTGCAGAATCTCCCAATACAGGAATTTTAGCAGGAAAGCTGCAGGGCCACGTTTTTATTATAAGTCGATTCGCTTAGCCGAATTTTATAACTAAACTTCCCGAACGGACTTTTTACCCCAAGCAAGTAGCCCTCCGACAAACACCGGATAAATTTACTAGGAAAACGCATATGCTTGTCGCATCAAACAGTTGGATTCGAGACTAGAAAGCAGAGAGTTGACTTCAGATTGGGAATCAAAGACGACCGGCCGAAATTTTTCCCAAAGCTGAGGATCCTATGGACGGAACCGACGGATTCTCCACAATGCTGACAGCAGATGATGGTCCAATCCCAAACTCGGATTGTTCGGGGAAGTAATGTGGAGTTCTAATTTTGAGAACAAAGTTCGTGAGCAGGTCACCGTGCACAGCCTTGGCGTAGTGGATCGAGCTCGGGCTTCTCCAACCTCTACACCCAACCAAATGTTTATATTTAATGGAAAACTATTATAGAATAACCTAAAGACTAAGGGGGCGAATCGCTTCAAAGCTCGCAAGTAATTGACAAACCCAGTATTGAACAAAAGAAATTAGTATGGCTTGAGTACTGCAGGAATAAAGACAAATAAAAAAGTTTGAAAATTGGGAGGTTGGGTCAAAGTTCTCATAAAGGAGATATCGGGTTCTGTAAAGTATGGAAGCTAATGGAACCCTAGCTGAGCCTTTACAAGCTAAAATCTCTGAATGTGGAACATTGTCATATTTTTAAAAGCCGAATGGGTTCTCCGGAGCTGTGATTGGAGTTAGTTTTTAGTACCAAGTACGAAGCTAAAATATAATATTGAGGAACTTACTGGCAGCGTTCAGGTTGGCTTTCCTTACGCCCGTTGGTTGGGGCGCTAATTTACTAGGTGTAACTCCAAACTTGACTGCCGGGGCCGGGCCGGTAGCCTGCGGTTTGAGGGGAGCCAGAGCTGGCATCAAATTCTTGTTGATGCCGCCGGCACCAAATTGATTCCCAAATCCATTTTGTTGCTGTTGAACGGCAGTATTTTGCGGTAGCAGAGGAGTTGGGAGACTCAGGTCAACTGTGGGCTTGAAAGGAGGTGGCAAAGGTCCCAATGCTGAGCCGGTGGGTTGTGGAAGCAGCGTATTATTAAAGCCTAGTTGTGGTTGACCATAGCCGGTCGGCTGAACAGCTATTCCTCCGTAATTGATCTGGGGAATCCCAAAATTGTTTGGAACTGCGGTAAGTTGAGGTTGCAAGGCTGCAGCCTGTTGTTGCTGAAGGAGGGCTTGCTGTTGCTGAAGAGCCTGCTGAGCCTGTAGCTGCCTTTGGAACTCGGCTTGTTGTAACTGCTGTTGCATGCTCAACTGCCCTTGTGGGGCGACAGATGACACATTTTGGTAACCAGTTATTGCAGGGACCAGTGGTTGAATTTGCTGAGGGAAATTCTGAGCAGGAGTGGACTGTGGTCGTTGAGGTGGCGGGGGAACTAAACCTCCTAGGTTCTGAGCAATTTGTGGTGCTTGAGGTCGCTGTCGGGCAGTAGCCTGGGCTTGAAGGGGTTGAGTTTGGAAAGCAGTGTGCTGGGGTTGAAGAACACCAGTTTGCTGATAGTTGATATATGGAGGCGATGTCGGAGAGGTTTGCTGTGCTGGTTGCTGATAGACTGATAATGGAGCTGCAAGAATATTCGCGGGAGGAGGTTGCCAAGTTTGCTGTGGTGGAGCTGACGAAGGCTGGGCAGGCGGAGATAAAACTGGTGCTGACTGTTCCGCTGAAGGTGCAGGCGCCACTACTGTCGGTCTCAATGGTTCGTCCAAAAGTGATAACTCTCGTAAGGCACCAGTAGGAGGCTGGGGCTTTGGCTGAGCTTGGGTCTCTGCTGGGGCAGCGGTCACTTGCTGGGGAGCAGGGGAGGCAGACTTTGGTGGTTCTGATTCTTGCTTCGAGGGTTTAGGGGCCCAGGGGTCGTTGTCTTTAGCCGAATTTTCCTGCATCTTGGAGGGTTCCGGGGTGGGCTTCCTTTGCTCCAGCATCTTAGGATCCACTACATCCGAGGTTTGGACGCCGGGTGCCGGACGTTCTCTACGCGTGTTATTCTTAAGACCACCATCAGGGTTAGTGAATAGACTTTGTTGACCATCTCCGTTACCAGTTACCTCTTCTTTCTTCCGTCCATATTTGTTGTCTAGGAATTTCATAACCCGTAAAATATCTCCTTCTTTAAGTCCAAGCGTTCGCAGGACGGCTTGGTTGATTTCCGGAAGAATCGATTCATCCATGCTGTCTTTTGCGAAGTTGTTGGCATATCTTTGGCATGCATGAACGTCCACACCACAGTTCAGGAAGAATTCGAACCAATCGTAGTCGTTAACGCTCGTATTTCCGCTTCCTTTGGATCGGTCGACGGTGATACCGATTGGCGACTTGGGCGCGCTGGAAGTGGAAGGCCCGGCACTAATTGCGGTTGTGACGCTTGCTTTGTGTTTTCCGCGAAGATCGGATAGCGGTTTGTCTTCGTCGAGGCTTAATCCGGTTTTCCTTTCTACGTACTCGAGATCTTGCTTAGACATCTTGGCGACAGGAACTGCGATCTTGACGCCATTGACTTTGTGAAGGTGGATAACTCCATCTCTAAGATTGAGAAATTCGGCGTCGACCTTAAAAGTCCCAGATCTGTCAGTCCAGGTCCGGACGTGTTTTGCGTTCGGTTCTATGAAGTGCATTAGTATCGAATAGTAAGTTAGGAAACTGGGTTACATACTTGGTTTGTCGCTTGTAGCCGTTCTTCCTGTCGGTTTTCTACTGGAGGTGGTAGAGGTTGTATTCGGAGTATTCAGGCTGCTATCGCGAGGCGGGAGCATGATCCCTGGGCCAACGCTGGCCTTATGTTGGTGGCTATATCGCGAGTCTCGTTCCTTGCCTTTCGACGACTCTTCAGTGGCTGGCGCCTCAATAGACCGGGTATTCTTGATTTCAACATAACTGCTGGGGACTACACCCTCTTTCCCGTTTATTATACGTCTCACGTTCCACCATTCATCTGACTGGCCGTCATCGAGGATGACAACTTCATCTCCGACTTTGACACTAACTTCATCGGACCCTTGGGCATCAAAGTCGTAAAGAATGATACCGAGTTTCTTTCCACCACTCTTTGCAATCGCCATGACTTCACTCAAACCCGCTGCTCTAGCAGCACCTCGCATTTCACCCAAATCTCTGATAATCTCACTCGCAGTTTCTTTGTTCTCGGCACGGAGGTCAAGCGATCTTATAGGTGAAACGAGATCGAGTCCGACATGTTTCCCATCCGCACTATATGTTTGTAAATCTTCGATTTCCCATGTAGTCGATGGAATACTCTTTTTCTGTGGGGTTAGGATGATCCTGCCATTGCCGAGCTCAAGAACACATGGAACTTTTTTCTTATTCACGATTTCATCGAGTGGATACCGGTGGACACCTGCTGCTTCCATTTGCTCAAACGTAGTAGGAGGATTTGGAGATATCGGCGAGGCGTAGGGTGTAGATATATCAGACCTGGGCCGTTCGGGAAGGCGTGGTGCAGGCTCGTCATCGTCACTTGCTTCAGGGGTAAAGTGGACAGCCTTCTGGGTATGCATTTGGGGCGGAGGAGTGTACCGGGCTGTAGTTGGGGATGCGACGGGCGATTGGGCAGCGATTGAAGCCTGTCTTTGCTTCAACGCCGCTGCTATGGTAGTTGCTGGAGATGGTCGAACCGGACTTTCCTCAGGTTCCGATTCCGGCTCAGGCTCCGGCTCCGGCTGCCGAGGTGGAAGAGTTACAGAGTTCCGAGATGGTAGCGGCGGTGGAGCAGCTTCGATTGGAGATGACACAGCTGGAATTGGAGCATCGTCGGTCTTCTCGAGGTAGTTGGCCGGGGCAAAGCCGTATTCGCCCTTTAGCCCTACCAGGCTCCAATCCGGATCGGAGTTATCGTAGACGTCCAATATAGCATCCTCGGAGAAGGACAATTCTTCATCGGTCTGCCTCTGGTAGTCGTATAATGCCCGAAGTTTGCCGACCGGTACAGACTACAATCGCGAGACATGTGGTAAGCTCGAATGCTACTGGGTATCAAATCACGCATAGCCGTTGTTCTCCTGAAGCACTGACCTCCTCGACATAGGTGTTTGGAATCAGGCCCACAGGCTCTTCATCCTCGTTTGCGGCAGCCTTCTTCTTAGCCTTCCACCAGGCGTCCTCGGAGGACTTTTCCAAAACATAAAGCAGGTCCCCCTCTTTCAGGGCAAGCTCCTCGTCAATCTGCGGAGCATAGTCGTAAATTGCCCGGTAGATCCCTAAAAAGGACATCCTGTAGCCGTCTGAAAGGTCGTGAACGTGAGGTTAACGACCAAACAGCTCTAAGCTTATCTCGGGGATATCAGAAGCTGTGAAGCTGGTAAATACAGCGGGTGATAGCGGGTTGATGGTAAGGGAGAGGTTGTGTTTGGGGTTGTCAGCGGCTGGGGGTAAACATGATGTTCGTTCTGCGCCGCCATCACGCTTGCCCGATTCGTCGCCGGGACGGGAGTAATGTTAACGAAACACCACACGCAACTCAAACGGCTGCCTGCCCTGCGCTTTGGACTCCCCCGCAGATTCAGCAATATAAATCTATATACAGAGGTATTGCGTCACATAAAACATGTTTCTGGGTAAATTCCACCCGTAGATAGAGTGTATATTTCTATTTAGATGGTTTCAATATACCTGGGGTGCCAGGAGTATAATATACAACAAATATAGGCAAGGTTTCGAAGTCGTTGTATATGCTCTATATATATATATATCGGTCAAACACTGAGGTTTAGAAGTTGATGAAAGGCAAAGTATACGTATGATGTATTTTTTTTTTCATCTCTTATTAGACTAAAATACCCAGTCACATTTTTTGTGCAAGACATATTGCCAATGATATCTAGAGCGCTAGCTTGGAGGTGTGTTTGCGGTGGAACAGTCGGCCAATGGTAGCCTAGCTCTCGATAATTTAGAAAACCAATAAATTTATAAATATCATTTCTCAGATGCGCATTAGCATTAGTTCTAGCCTACGAGATAGATAGAGCCTGTCGGCATCGATATCCTAAAATATATTATGATAGGCTCTGGTTAGAGGTGGGAAGTATTACTACGTATTGGCTACATAGGACCCTGCACTATGCATGGGAAAAGTTTTATTATATATCTCGTATCTAGACCTGAAAGTAGTCTTGCGACCAGAAAGATAGTTCAGGTATTGGCCCGAATGTCTATCTATATAGATCTTTGTATGATCATATACCATAGTCTGACATCCTCGTTAACTCGTTCAACATTCATATGATCATCATAGCTGAAATATTGACAGTCTAAGGGTACAAGACAATAAACATGCGCTATGCAACAAAATTATATACATAATGATCCCGGGTGGTCTTCGGATATGTTATATGATAAAAATGTTAATGTGAACTAACTATCGGGCTTCTTTATCTCCCCGTCATTGCGCGGAGCTGTATTATCACCCAGGCCTCTAGCTGCTGCATAGTTTGAGCCGGTTGTTGTATTCTGTGTGTTGGATCTGCGGGATCTGACGATGGGATCTCGATCGGTGCTACGCGACGAGCACTATATAGAGCCGGGCCCGGGCCATGCATATGTATATGTTATGTAGGACGAGCTGATCTAAATCAACATTGGGCCTTTTACAATCGCACAGGTTACTACCGCCTTTCTTTCTTGGATGATGAAGATTGCTTGGCGGACGCTCTAAGCTGAGAGGTAGCTCTGGTTGTAAGCGTTACGTATTCCGTATTATATAATATATTAATATTATAATATTATCGGACCGCTTAACAATGGGACCGTATTATAGGTTATTAATGCATAGATATCTATATTACTTGTTTAGCACAAAAATTACCTAATTACTCGGTAGGTTTAAATGCGTAGGGCGCGCGATATCATATCCGAAGATTAAGCCTTCTTTGAGACAAGTTAAGTGGTGATATACGAGAATCATATCGATATTATTATGCTGTCCGCACGCGGCTATATATATAGGGTAGCGTGCGCGTGCAACGTTCGAACAAGCATCAGACTCCATATATGTATGTAGGTTAGCCTTTTTAATTGCTACTTGAGATGAACCTGAAGTTTAATCAATTAAACTACGATTAACACAAAATATCACCTGGCATTGGCATCGATCGATAACGCATTGGTATTGAATATCAAATAGAGTCGACAAAAGCCACTCATGCATGCTAATCATGAGACTACATACCCCCTGAATAGCCTCGAGACCAGGCGCAGCCCCCTGAAAAACTTAAAAGCAATGATATGCATGTATAGATGTATCTTAGAATACAGTCCGAAAATTGATACACTCGTAAAAGACCTACCCAGCTTAGAACGCCACCAAGTCCAAAGTACAGAACAAACGTTAAACCCAAAATACCTTAAAAGATACTACATCGCTTGCCTTCAAAATATCAAACCTTGACCCCAGCCATTCTTTGGTCCACATTCAAAAGGTGCTAGTGTTTGACTCCGTTTTCTCCGCGAAGTCTTTTCTATTATTGTCATCTTTCTTCATTGCAAAACCCTGTTTAAGAAATGCTAAGATTGAGGCTGACTTAAGCTTCCCATCTCTTTCAAAGGAAAAAGTAAAGGAGGAGGGAGAGAAGGAAAATGCCGAGAAGCCTATCCTCCAGTTGCGGTAAGTGAAGGTGGCCGGTGGAGGATCGGTTATATATGCAACATTTCTAACAAGTTGCATTGGCTCCTTTCTGTAGGTTCTGAGGTGGCGGTGGCGGAATGGTTCTACATGTGCTCGAAGGTCTACTGTCAGCTACTATGTATCGTATGAATCGTATTGTTACCTTTGAAGAAAACTTACCTCTTCGCGCCTTTCAAAGAACTTCCTTCCACAGGTGAAACAAGTGTATTTGTATATACGATTCTCTGATAAGACTTCGGTATTTGAAGCATTTGAGATGCCCTGACTTTCGTCAACGAGCTGGTGGGTTGTAAAGTTCGTGCTGGATTCATCTTTCCGAATATTGACGATTGGACTCGGTCGGAGGTAGAAGAGGGATAAATTTTCAAGAAGAGGTAAAAGTATTAATTTACCAATGAGATCGATTAAGTTCGCAGATGTAGGTGCTAATATAGCTGACTTGAATTAAAAGACGTCTATAAAGACTGTGGTTGTAGCCCTTCATCCGACGAAAGCTGTGGGGCAGAATTACAACATATATACCACCCTGTGGGCTGACCATGGCCCCACCTCTGGACATTATTATTGCACATGCAAACCTTACGGTCGAATAACATGTTAAAATGCTCTGACCGCCGGTGGGCCTTTTTCTTCTTCTTGTGTATCAAAAGGATGAGATACCCGAGCTAATTCTACGAATTCACGATCAAACTTTCTACCGCGATCCTCGGGGAGATGCGGAACGGTTTAACGTTTGGGTCGCGTGCATTTGCAGCAGATGATGCACAACAGGAACTGAGTACGGGAATGCGGAACATTGATTTGCATGGATTTCGTCAACTTTGTGGTAGAGAATTTATGCGTATTGGCCACGTTGGAAGTTTGGCGACTCATGGTCGTAGAATTGAGGATATGTGATGGTTTTGGGGCCCAAACACTGAACTTTTGGGTCTGGTCTAATTGAGAGCCCAGCGTTCAGAGTAACTGTTGCGACCTGAAAACTTCCAATGTAAACCACCTGCGCTACGAGGATTTTCGGACCTTTTTATCAAATTTCGAGCTTCCATGCGGGCCGACCAGATCTTGCATAAACCTTAATTCAGATATATCTCAAATCACAAATCTAGAACATGCGCGGCGCGACGCGACGGCCCTGACGGTTCGAACGTTCTCACTGGGCCGCTGCTTTATCTCGGACCATCGGTTAATCACGGCTCGGTTTGACGATACCTTCAGATTGTGAAGCCGGCTCCTCTGGATCCATTTGATGCTGATTAATTGCGTTGGTACAAAAATTTGATCTTTGTTTTACTTTTAGTCGCTCAAAATTTCCGAGATAACCTCAATCATGCGATCATAAATGAGGGACAAGTTTAGGCAAAATATGTGTCGAGGAACAGGCCACAAACAAGCCTTTTTTTTTTTTTTTTTTGAAATCCGGCGACCAAGTATATTGCTCCCCCATTTCTCCGAGTGAAATCAGGGATCTATGCTGGAGGATTGATAATCCTGTCTCAGAATGTTGCAAGGTCCAGGATGCCCGCTCTGGAGACGACAACCTTTAAGACGCCGATCTGGAAACTCGTTGCAGTTGAAGCATAAGAGAAACTCGCATTTCCCATGTTATCTGGGAGAAAGAGACCAGATTTGCTAGATATAGATAAATGCAGAAACATGATATAATCGGATTGTGTGTCGGAATTCAGTAGTTGAAGGAGCTCTCAATGTTGTGATGCATTGGATTTTAATGAGAATGGAGAAATTTAAAAATATCCGCGAAGAACGAGGGGTTGATGACGTTAACTTTGGGCGACCGATAAGGGACTGCAATTATTCCTTGCATGATAAAGACGTCGGTGGTCCAAAATAGGCTTGATGACGAAGGGATAACGAGATTCATGGGGCTGCAATATTTTAAATATGATCTGGAATATGACATTGTGCACGGCTGGAAGTTGATAAACAGCATCGTGCTGCATGCTGTAGCAGTCGAAATTAGTAGAAGCACAAGCTAGCCGAGGCTCTGACTTCAATTTCACAGGCTCTATCAGCTGAACTCAAAAATATGAAACCAAATTAAGCCGCAATGCACAAGCACAATCTGACTGGATTAGGGGTAGTGAAAAGGCGGGTACGAACTGTATGCCACGCATCGTAACGCACCTCAAGCAATGGCCATATGGTATTAGTCACAATGCCGGAACTCGTGGCACAGGTAGAGCACAGGCCTAGGCGGACGACGATTTGCTCAACTTAGAAGCTTTTGATAAAATACAACAGTTCAACGCTTCCTCGAATTCAAGCGCTTACAGCAAAAGCAAACCAATAATTTTACTAAATATCATGGGTCCTCGTTGCCCAGATAGTTTAAGTACAAAGGAAGGATTTACAATCTGTAAGAATAACAAAAGGAATATATATGAATGCGCTTATGAAGGACCGATCAACCACTTTTGTGAACAATATACAGTGATTACCTATCCGCATGACCCCAATATGTAAACGCAGTGATAGTTCTCTTACTGCTATCCTCTGGGATCCAAGAGAAGCTTGACCATTTATTGCCTAGGAGTTCCGTCAAAGCATTCTCTGTATATGTGGCTGAAACCGGATCAAGAGCAATACCAATCGAAACAGCGTAGAACATTTTCTGGTCAGCCAGAACAAATTTCTTCACGAATGGCATCCCATCCCGTAACTTTTTAATATCCGCTTTCATGCGTCGGCCAAGGTCCGTCTCATGGTAGTCTTGTCTGGTCGAAGCGCATTTAAACTCGATAGCCTCAACAAAATTTTCTTTGCCGATCATGTAAAAGGTCAAGATGTCCACTTTATCTTTATCGTGAGGCTTATCCCAGATGAGTTCCTCACGCCCGCTGTATCTCTGATTCTCGCCCGCCGTGATTTTTATGAAATCCAGAAACTCGCTTTGAAACCAAGGCTCCCACCCGCCATCCTGAACATATTTATTCACAATGTCATCGTATCTTTTTTTGATGAACTCGGCTACCAGATCCATCGCAGTACTGTCAATTAATTAGAGAGTGTTAGATATTAAACTTGGCAAGTATTTTCTTGTAGAAAATAGACTTACGGAGGGGGGACCTCGACTTCCATTGCTGGATGATATCGAATATTTTAGTACACGTATTTAACGGTCTCTTTTTTATTCTATTAGAGGGGCTGTGGAGAGTCTGAGGGGTTTTACGGTCGTGTAGTAGAGGTAGCTTAACTAGGGACCGGTGGAACACCCCCCAGGCTTATATAGTATTTTCCGTCGGCTAGATCCTTTTTAATGGTAGCAAATGATTAGGATTTCACACGGGGCTGAAGTTTGAATTCATATCGGCTATATAGATTTAACGTAGATAACCCAAGCCGACGCCTATAAGATGCGTATGTTATCATATTTGATTCCCAGAGTGGCCTAGGCCAAAATCAAACACGAATAACAAGTATTAGCGAAGTGCGAAGTTGGGTTCAATCGCAGCTGATTAGAGTGGGTGATAGGTTTTGAAGAGGTGCCAAGTCGCTCATAGGGATAGCTGACTGCAATTGGGGTTCCAGCGTTGTATTCCGAAGTGCGCAGCTAATCATTGCCATGTATTATACTATCAGAGGATGCGCATATGCGCACTTGCACTTGAGACAGGGTTTGCGGAGGCTGATGCGCCACGGTTTTCTTTTGCCGTTCAAGACCTACCAACTATATATGCGTTCAGATATATACTCATGCTCGAGAGCTCGAGAGCTCTATCCATTGCATTGTATATATCATAAACAAATGCAACAGTACTGCAGTGTGGTCACACACTAATTCGAGGACATGGTTCGAAATGTATAAGAGCCCCTGAAATTCAAAATTCAAATCATCAATTCACAAGCTTAACGTAATCTGGGGATCTAATGCGGCTGATATCAACCCCTAGACTATGATATCAATAGTGTCGACCAGGGCGCCTCTAACGTTAGTTATGTGTTGAACCGTTGGTGTAACATCCCAATTCAACTCAATTAGCTATCGACAACCGTCGTTCACGGGTTGGATTCTTGCATGCATCGTATCGATCCCTAGGTAATGTAATCATGAAATCCTCCCCAGTCAAAGACTCCTTGATCCTGCTGAGCTGTGCTGCACAATTACATAGGAGGCTTGAAAACTTATCCTGATATCCCGCTAAGCTATGTCACCCGCTAAACTATGTCAGAAGAGCTCGACTAACACACAGATATACATAGACTAGCGCAGATACTAGTCTGTTCGCTTTGCGTTATTACATCGTATCGACGCGACGGCCGACGGACAGATCCTGTGCGTGCTGCCGGGGTTCGCGATCGATTCTGTTTCATAACAATGTTGTGATTGGACGTGAAAGATTGCAGGAACACCGATCCAACCAAATTTGCAAATCGATGATACCTAGGAACATATTTTTACGCTTTGATTCTTCTCTATCAGGGCTTGGTCTGAATCTAGTCTAGTAAGCCTAGTACAGCGCTGCGGTGCGTGTATTTCCTAAAGATGGGACGCATGAATCAACCTCCTTCCTGAATAGCTTACCGAAACTCAAAGAAAAACAAAAGGCCCTTCTCTATAGGTCGTAAATTGAGAGACAGTGACTTGCATATAGAGTCGAAACAACAGAATCGCGAAATCTAGATTAAGACCGATCTTGATCTCGCTTCGACTGGCGTTATACTAGTATTAAAACTCGACGCTGTAGCACCTAACTAAATACACTAATGGAGAGTTTGACGCATGGGCACTGGACCCTGGTTATAGTCTACTAGCATCACCATCATGGCCATAGGCAGCTGTGTATTTTATTTCGCAATAAACCTTGAAGTGATATGTCAACAGGCTCATTTGTTGGCATCTTGGGCACGAGCATTAAGTTAGCCGCCCTATATGTTTCTAAGAATGATAATAATTGAAAACAAGGGCTAGAACTACATATATCTGTAAGTTCTACATACAAGTCAATGCCATATCGTTCTGGATTAATACCTCATGATAACTTCCTCTAAGGGTAATTCGTCGGCTATAAGTCGAAGTCAGTCCTGCCGCATGTGGCAGGCGTGTGCGTTGTGTAGTAACTTGGCAGGTCCAGAGAGCGCCTCCTCGAAGGCGAACTACCTTCACCGGCATACTGCATATTGATAATTATATGCATGCATAGGTCGGGTTTGACGATATCGCACCTCATCTCGCGATCTCATCAGCCTACAAAATCCAAAAATAATGGTAGCTCATGAAGTTAACGTTAGGCACTTGGGCATATATTGGTTCCGTCGAGTCTAGCTAGGCTAGGGTACGTAAATGTATTTTGAAATAGTTAAGATAATCTGTTGCAAAGGACCGAATATGGATTTCAACCCAAGGTCGATCCTGTGCAACATAACATTCAAAGACAGCTAGACCAGGGCCCATAGCCGGGGCTACCGTCTGGGGGAGATTTCTCACCCCTGCGGAAAGACGATTTTTCTAAAAAATACCCCGGAAAATAGCGTATCCATGGTTTCTTCATGACGCTATTTTCTCTCTTTGCGCTGCGCAATTGAGAGCAATGCATTCCCCTTGCCGCATGGCATGGTATTTAAATTTGCATAGTTAATGATAATCAATATATAGCCCTCTAGACCCCCATTCCACCAACTCTCTTTTCCTTCATGCATCCGTCAACTCCTCTGCGGTTGTAAGGTCCAAAATCGCAAGTCTTTTAATATGCGTTCGATCATTGCAACTGCATTGCTCCAGCTTCTGCTGGCAGCATCAACTCTCTCGACTCCTCTTCAAAAACGTGAAGTCCTTTCTGGCTATGAGTACGTCGTGGTCGGATCTGGTGGCGGTGGTGGGCCAGTCGCAGCTCGTCTTGCCAGATTAGGACACAAAGTCCTCCTACTCGAAGCTGGCGATGACCAAGGCGACAACATTGTCGAACGAGTTCCTGCCTTCCACGGTCTATCTACATTGGATAAATCCATGAGATGGGACTTCTTTGTCAATCATTATTCGGACGCCACCCGCCAAGCCAGGGATTCCAAAACAGTTTACGAGTTTCCTAATGGTACTGAGTACATTGGACTTAGCCCACCTGGTGATGCGAAAATGAAGGGTATTTTATACCCAAGAGCTGGAACACTCGGTGGATGTGGATCGCACAATGCGCTTATTACTGTAACTCCACATGATAGCGATTGGGATCATATCCGAAGCATTACGGGTGATGACACCTGGGCTGCTTCAAATATGAGACAATACTTCGAACGTCTCGAGAAAGTTAATTATGATCCTAACAGCATTGTTGGGCATGGTAAAAATGGATGGTTATGGGTTGAACGTCCAGATGTTTCGTTGGCGCTCGGTGATGCAAAGATTGTCTCACAGCTGGTAGCTAGTGCTGTGGCTATGGGACAAGGTATTTTAGGAGGCCTTCTGTCTGCCGTGGCCAATCTTTCGAAGATTCTACTGGCGGATATGAATTCTGGCCTGCCTGGCCGCGATTCAAGAGAAGGGCTTTTCCAGATCCCGCTGGCTCGTAGGAATAAGGCTCGCAATGGACCAAGAGAGTTTGTGGTTGAAACACTAAATGCCAGGAACCCGAATGGTAGCAAGAGGTTTAAGTTGGACGTTCGAACAAATTGTCTAGTTACAAAGATTATCTGGAATAGGTCTGGGCTGAAGCCAAGGGCCATCGGTGTCGAGTTTATGGACGGTCAATCGCTATACCGTGCCGACCCTCGTTCCGGCGCCGCGGCTGCTGGAAAATCAGGTTCCGTCACTGTCACCCGCGAAGTGATATTATCCGCAGGGGCTTTCAATACCCCACAACTTCTCAAACTCAGCGGCGTCGGTCCGGCGGCTGAGCTCCAAAGCTTTGGTATCCCGGTTGTCGCTAACCTCCCCGGTGTCGGCACAAACCTTCAGGATCGTTATGAGGTCGGTGTAACCTCGACTGTTGCTAGCGATTTTAGCCTCCTTCAGGGTTGCACTTTCGGCCAGGGTAACGATCCGTGCCTCAACTCGTGGAATTCTGGTGAAAGAAGCCCGTACGAATCGAATGGCTTCGCCCAGGCTATCATCAAGAAGACCGCCCACTCAACCGGCGACCCAGATATCTTCATGTTCGCTGGTCCCGTTCTTTTCACCGGCTATTATCCTGACTATGCCATCGATGCCGTCAAGGACAAGAGACATTGGACTTGGGCCATTCTAAAGGCTCATACTGGAAACAAAGCTGGTACTGTCAAACTCCGCTCCGCAGATCCGAAGGATACTCCAATCATAAACTTCAACTATTTCGACACCGGTACCAAATCAGCTGCAAACCGTGATGTGAAGGCGATGGTCGAAGCCGTCAAACTCGCCAGGAAGATTGGAGAGAAAGCATCAGCAATCGATTTGGGAAGTTCCAGTAAATTTACAGAAGAATCACCGGGTGCATCTGTAAACACTGATGCGAAGATCGAGCAATTCGTCAAGGATAATGCCTGGGGCCACCATGCTAGTTGTACTTGTCCAATTGGTGCGGATAACGACCCAAACGCTGTTTTGGATTCCAAGTTGAGGGTGAGAAAGGTTGATGGATTGAGAGTCGTTGATGCTAGTGTTTTCCCGAAGATCCCAGGATTTTTCATTGCGGTACCGATTTACATGATGGCTGAAAAGGCAGCTGATGTTATTCATGAAGCCTCGAGGGGGTCGTCATTCAGGCAGGGGTATGGAGCACCGGTCGGACATTAATTTATTAACTGATAGTATTATCTGCCCTTGGCTAATATTATAATTATCGTATGCGCACACATATGTAAAGGGCCTGAGGTGAAGTGGTTGTATGTAGGAGTAGGATGTTTTTACTGTATTATTTATCTAGCCATCTAATAGTCTAATTATATCCTGTATAATATAATTCAACAAATGGAACTTAGATCCTCGTAATATCTTGTCGGAGTTATGGAAATTTGAGTTTGCTAGGCCTGTAACCACTTCCGCTCATATATCAAACATTCTAGTATATATTTATGCTCTACAATGCAAATAGCTAGGCTTAGTGAGTTTAAACGTTTTGTGCTCGGGAGCGAATTGAGTTCAATACCTTTCCAGCAGATATCGAGACATAAATTAGTTGAAATTGTTGGATTTTAGATTGCAAGTGTGGTACCGTTAATTACCACGATAACAGTTAATTGATAACGGAGCCACGGATTAATCATATAACAGCGGCGATTTGGAACTAGTGATAAGAGCTGGACTACAGACTGCAGGTTTGCTACACTACCACCACCAATGAAAGACCACAGACCTTATGGGCTGTCGAAAACAACCGTTACCAAACTTGAATCCCAGCTCATGATGTGCTAGCCTAATCAGCCCTGTGGTATAAATACACGCAGCTTTCACAGATCTAGCTAGCTCCATGTAAGTGCCCAAATAATCCTTACGAAATCGAATTATAGTTTTGACAACTTGTGCGTCGTGATATACTACGACTTCAGCCGTACGTACCAAATGTAGCTGCGGCTGAGACCTGACCCATTGGCACACTACGTGTGTACTTATATGAACAACTGTCACTAAGTATTAATATTCCCCTGAACCTTGTGTAATATATAAAGTCTCAGTTAACTCTGTAGGCTGATTTTGTTTATTCTCGGCATCATCCTCTTGTCCTCGCCGGGTTCTTCTTTCAGTCGCATTATAATATATGGTTATATATACAGCTTGGGTATTTTAATCTATACATAAGTTACTTGAGCTTGCATGCGCTCGTAACGTATCAGCGCCTTAGATATAATACTGAAAATCCTAGATCTTCATCTATAGCTATAGACTTGTCTTATAATATAGGCTTAGTCCATATATAACCTCGAGAACCCTCCAAACAATTGATTAATCTTCGTCCCGTTCCCCCAATAAAAGCCAGACTCTCGATCCACAATGGACCAAATCCAAGACCTCAAGACTCCTTCCTCCCTCCAGAACCTCATCTCCGAGACCCAGTCCAGTCCAGACTCTCCAATAGCACTTATACAATTCTACAACGGTCCATCCTCGATCCAATGGGCCGCTAGTACACTTTACCAAAACCAACAAATCCTTCAACACTTCTCCAAAGAAATATCCTCTGGCTCTTTGATATTCGCAAGAATTGATGGATCTATTTTACCCTCCGCGGGTGGGAATGGTAACAGTCAGATTAGGCTGGATACCAATTACGAAGTCTCGTATGGAATCTTCTGGCAGGGCAAACAACAGGTTTATGAGGTTAATGCATTGGGAAAGGGAGCAGAAGGGGTTGTGAAGAGGGAGGTGGAGGCCTTGTTGAAGATGAGGGGGGAAATGATGGATGTAGAAAGGACAAGAGCGGGAAAGAGAGGGGTTGTGATTGGTGGTAAGTCACCGCTATAATTTTGATGATTGTTCATGTTGAAATTTTGAGTATCTATCAATCGATGCTAACAGTGGCAGCTGGGCTTTTAGACAATAAACGACGGTGGTCATTTGCGAAATTCAAACCTGTTGTAGGGCCGGGCCTGGAATTATTACGACGACGGGCACATAGAGCACGCGGACATAATTAAATCTGATGCAACTTAAGCACCAGTACTAGGGCTTGCTAAAGTTGTGCCCCTACATATGCATGCATGGGATATACTAGGACTTAAGCTAGATAAACCACATAAATTCGCTATGGTTTTATTTTTAGGGGCAGTTTCTGAAAAGTTTTTGAAGGATAGGGTCTGCTTCGCTTACGCATCGAATTCAGAAGCATCGATCGCGATACATCCCGCACAGTGCAGTTGTAATAGCTGGCTACTTATACATCACGATTATGACGACTAGGATGTCTAGCTTATAGATAATTACATGTGATCGATGATTGTACGATTATATATATTTAAATATAATTATTATATTTCTTGAGCTTATGGATGCTATCATTGGCTGGATTCTTGGTGATGAATAGCTCCGAAGCCACATTTCCCCGAAGCCGATTATAAACCCGATTCGGAATTCGGGGGATCGGAACTGCTAGAAGGGTGACAGAATCCTAAACAAAATTCAGAACGAGGTAACAAGCTATTTCCGAGTTTTAGTTGAATTTGATCAATTGATGCATGTTGTGGTAAATATAATTATAAAGCAGCTGCAGGTAATGCCGATTTGCTATAGAATCCTAGAAGTAGGATCAGGTGGCGAGCAACATGAAGGCGCCTATAGTAGGCTATGCTTTACAGTTTGCATTCAGATACCAGTCAACCTTCAAATTGGGTATTAAATTTGGTGAACTCTGGACGTGTTCGCCAAATTGGTATAGAATATTAAGTGATCTATTAATCAATAGGAGAGAATTAAATTAACTACGCAGTACATTCGCTATCCAGCCGATGTTCTAACTGTAAAGTTGCAACAATACCTATAGAATTCTACAAATCGATAAAATGAATCTAAGGTATATACTATAGAGTCAGAGCGCAATCGATCAAGTCTCGATTATTTACTTAGATACCCAAGCCCATGTACCTACATGGCCATTACCAACATAAGTCAACGGCCAAAGGCCGTCCCAAGCAATTGAAGGCGTGCTATCCGTTATAACTAAGTCGTTTCAAAAACGTCCACACCTGGCCAAATCCATGAATTAGACTATCCAAAGATGCCGTCTAACCCGTGAAGCGAATCTATAACTCCTCGGAAATCGAAATCCAGCCTCATAATCCCTATGTATCCATCATAATACCGCATCTAAAGTCTCGTAATATATACGTAAAACCCTAAGAACTCCAATAATAAATTATATAAAATATCATACTCCCGGGACAACTTCCAACGAATCACCATCCACTTATTATGTAAGACGTCTTATGATTGCGGCAAATAAGTCAATGCGTGCACACAGATTATGTTAATGGGGTCAAGGAATCTATATCGCATCGCCAAATATTACTGACGTACATCGAACCCTTCCCTCCTTCGATTCTGAATTCTGAGACATCTCCACATATTCGACTATTGCAACCAATCATACCATCCCCGCAAAAAGACCTCCCCGGTCTCAAGATACGGAGCTTGCTCCATCCCGTTTGCAGTTCTTTGCTAGTTCTGTCGACAACTAGCATATGGAAAACCGTTGGAGATAGGATACCAGCCAACTAGGGTTTTTTTTTGTAAACCATGTTCCGCAGCACCGGAGAAACACTGACCACTTTCGGGCGAAGGGACGCTAAAAGCCAACCCATATCTGGGTTTTCTTTTCTTTTTTTTAAAGACAAATAAAATTGAAGCAAGAAAAACGTCGGACTTTCCCAGCGTAGAAACTGACCAACCTTGAAATGGTAAACTAGAAGTTCCGACTTAACCATCGAAAGAACAATGGTTGTTTTAATTTGCCTGCGGTTTTTCATTTTCCGGAGAAAGTACTACTCCTGCTGCTGTTGCAGGGGGTGGTTTGGGTTGATAAGCCTAGGTTAAAGCAACTGACAGGAATCGGACAAATGCAAGCGTGAGGACGGGCCACATGCTAAGAAACGACCAAGACTTTGTATATAAGAGGGCGGTGAGTCGGCCTCAGATGACATGCGGTGGTGGCCGTTATTGTCATCGTCGTCGCGCAGGAAAGTTGTATTAAGAAGGATCAAGCGAACTTTTGAATTATTTTTCTTTAAATACATTAATTTAAGGCATTTCCCTCACCGACTAAAAGAGGCCGGACTTACACCAAATGCATACACCGAATATATACATGCGTAAACACTGAAGAGATCTCGAGAGCTTGAGAGATACCGACTCTACCCTTCCGAATAAAATATTCAAAATCAAGACCCAACATTCACATCGATAATTTCGAGGGATACCCATCTGTCAAACCGGGGAAAGCGCATTTCCATTTGTTCAAGTGACCTACTCGACCTCGCTTACTCACGGCGGTCGAACGAAAAGAAAACGGTCTGCCAGATCATTCTGACTTAACCAGTTTCCGCATAAAACAAACCCTTCCAAATTTAAAAATTTAAAGGGAAACTGTGGACCAGAAGAAAGTAAGTTTGAATGGTTCCCCATAAGTCATAGAGTTTCCAGCCCGGTTATCTCCACGCGAGCTTCTAAGTCGTCGCATGGCCTGGGGGTGAAAGCTTAAAACAGTACTTCTCCGCACGTACACACCGTCGACCATCTTTCTAAATATATACTCTCCTGTCGAAGTCGATATACTAACATCAGCCATCAGCCAGGATCAAACGGAAAATCGATCTTCAAATTCTGGGCACAGACTTTATCAAACCCTGTTCCCCGAACATTAACGCGAATCCTCTCTTTAAAATACCACATCTCCAACACAAGCCTCCGAGTCTCCAAAACCTCAAGAAAGAATGGTAGCCTCAATCCCCCCACCGACACTCTCCTCCCTCCTCCCCGCGTTTCTGGCCCAACTCCCCGCCAGCTTCGCATCTCCCAAGCCACCGCCATCACTACCACCCCTCTTAACCCCTCTGACCAGAAGCCGCCTAACCCATCTCTCCTTCAACCTCACCACCGAAAACTCCTGGCTCTCCCTCTTAACCTGGTCATCATCTCCTTCCGACGGCCAAACCCTGCAAGAACACCTTGCCAGTCAAGACTACTATTTCCTCCACCAGCCGCCATCACCAAACACGTTTGTGAACAAAGGATACCGCCGTCTCGATTCTGAGACATTACAATGTCTGGTATCGGTACCAGAGTTGGAGGTTGTAGTGTTATATCAGTTCGTAGCTGACGATTTGGTCTCCGAGGAAGGAGAGATTGGAAATGCGTGGAAAGTCCACGATGTACGACTTGCGGATGACGAAGAGGAGGCCTTTTTGAGAGCAGGCGGGTTTTGGAGTAGTATTGATGCTGCCGAGGAGGAGTTTAGGACTGTGCCTAAGTACGGCGGTTATTCTTATGGGAATATCGATAGTAATAATAATCTCTATCAACCGCAGAAGCAAGAGGCGGTTGATGATGAGGATTCAGATGATGATTACTGGGGTCGTTACGACGATGAAGAAACTGAATCAGTAGCTGGGGATGAAGAACCCAGACCCGCCGTTACAAATCAACATCATCACCAACAACTTCAACTTCAACAACCACAGTCTCACGTTCAGATCGCTGCGTCATTGTTAGCTCGTCGGGTGCTACAAGGACAAACCGAGGAACGACAGCAGGAAGAAGAAGAAGACAAAGAAGAAGAAGAATATTACGCACGATACGCGAATGTCGAGCCAGTACTTGATAATCCAACACCCACAACAGTGCCACAAACAACAGGAACAGAAGGAATAGACAGAAGAGATTCTATTTCTACAAATTTAACATCAGCATCCACTACCTTCGATGCGCAAACAATGTCTACGCCATTAACAGCGTTTACACATCCTTCTACAAAAGTTTCTCCAGTGATCCAAGCTACTACTTTAGTGAATCATCCAACTGTCACGTCTTCACATTCACATTCTAATCCAAAGCCGGAGATTGCAACAGCGAAAAGGGTAGTCGCCGGGCTGGAGAGTGCGGCGGAGGTACATACGCAAAATGAAGTTGCTATTCAGCAGCATGTTAGTACGAGTGTCAAGAGCTTGTATAGGCTTTGGAAGGCTGGTGGGATGGATTGTGAAGAGTTCGGAAGGTTTTTGGAAAGGGAAGTTGAGGTTTTGAAAGTTGTGGAGGAGGCAGGGGAGTTGGGCAGTTGAGCTCTTCTCCTCCTATTGAGAAAGTAAAGCATTCAAGGAAGTGTATGATATGATTTTGGGTATGAAAGGAGCATTTGATGTTAACATATTGGGAGTAACTTTTTTGGAGCATGCACATGCTTTTCTTTTTTTAGTTTTTTGGGATACCTTAGCTATCGTTTATGGAATAGTAATAGCCCGAGTTTAGGTGGTTGAGATGCGGGGTTTATATCTGTATACGTTTGATTCATGATGCTACTTCTATGAAGATACTATTCTCAAGCATTTCCCGGGGTGAATGTGAACGCCAGTGCCAATCGACCAAAAGCCCAAATAAGCTGGTTATGAAAGTCTCTCCTTCATTAATCATATATCATATGGTGAAGAATGAAAGGTGGGGGGGTAAAATAATGGTAAAAGGAACGAGGGCTTCTTTTTATCTAAACGTCACTTAGAAAGCCACCCAACCCGGCTAATCTTCCTATCTCTCCTTCTTTGGCTCTGCCTTCCTGTTTGACAGTATTAATCCCACCGCTCTCATTCCTTACTAAGAATCCTTGATCATTAAGACTCCACCCGAACTCCGGGTTTTCTTCAACTAACATCTTGACGGTACGTTGTTCGTCCGAGACTCCTAGATATTTCTGAGCGAGTTCCGGTGGGATAGAAGTATATACTGTGGAGAGGAGGGAAAGAGTAGTTGTTCGGTGTTTTTCTATATTATTCTGCATCAGTACTCGTAGTAGTATGAACATCTAGGAGTGAGGTAGGGAAAGAAAAAAAAACATACGTAACACCCGTCCGGCAAGAACAGCCGTAATATCACCCCAAGGGGCACCCTGCATCGTTTGATGGAAAGCTACGTAGTCTTTGCTCCATACGGCCTGCAAGACTCTATACGAGGAGATTATGGCGGCATCGTTATGTAGCAGTTGGGTATCGATACGATTTGTGAGGGCCCTGGCTTCGGTAAGATCGTCGACAAGGATGAGAGTCAGGAGGTAGAGGGAATAATAGTTTGAGAGGATTTCGGAGGTGGAGGAATCTATTGTGGTGATTGAAGCGCGGGGTTCGAGAGATTGCAAGGAAGAGAGGAGCGAGGTGGGGGTTGTTGACGGAGAGAGGAGGGATTTTAGAAGGGGGAGGGAGAGCTGCGGAAGTTTGGAGCCCATGGCTGAGAGGATATTATTAATGTTGATGGAGGTGGAGTTGAGGTTGAAGTTGAAGATGAAGGTGATGTTGTGAAGTGGGATGTGAGGATGAAGCTGTGTGTTTGGAGGGAGACGCGACAGAAGTGCAGTGGAACAGCTTAGCTAGCTGAGCTGAGCTTTGGTCCATACAGCAAGGACGTCGCACATGTCTGCATGTGTGACTACTAGCTACTAAGTACTTAGTACTTAAAGTAAGTAAGTACTGAACATTAACTGGGTAAAATATATTGATATCTCGAAGCTAATTATGTAAAAGCACTTGCTCGATTACTTTAACAAGTATAAGATACTAGGTAAGTACTTAAGTTAGTAGGTAGGTACTTAAGCACTTAAGTAAGTAAGTAAGTAACTATTAGAAGCATCGACTTTGGTAGCCTTTGGTGGAGATACCCGGACTGGCGAGGTCACGTGAGACTTTTGGAGCTCGAAATATTCGCTAGAACCAACATAACAACACTTTTTTTTGCTTGCTGGTCTCATTTGCGTTGTTGTTGCTTCTGGTTACAACGCTGAGCCCTCTGCGCTCTGTCACTACTAGCTATCAGTAATTATAATTACCTCTAAGTACTTCCCTAATTATAAGTACATGTACCTAAAAGCAAGCACTCTTTGGAAGCAGATGGGAGGTACTTACTTAAGTACTAGAGGAGCATAAGTATTAATATTAATTGCTGTGAGTTCAAGTATGCGGTTTGTGCAATTGGCGGTGTAGTTACTGGGGTGATTACATACAGGGTAACTCCAAATGGAGGCCGTCTTGGCGCCTGGGATGGCGCGTTGACGACACCAACAAATTGGCGGGTGGAAAGGACAGGTCTCCAAATTGCTGCTGCAGTGTTGCCGACGTCAGCCAATTCGAATTCAATCAGTACTCGGACACTACCTATCAACATCAACGACAACAGCATCATCGTTAGACCTCACCGAATTCACGGCCTCAATTGATCTTGACCTTGTCTTATACGGGGCGTCAATTGGCTGGTCTGGTCCCGGCGTGTGCATCGGCCGTCCTTCCCCTACCATCGGCTCCTCGTGAGCTTCCTCCCCTCCATCAAATAACACGCCATGTCGACGGTCAAATCGATACTCTTTAAGGACCCGGCGTCCACGGAAAGCACTCGGAGTATTCTCAGAGTTGTTATTCTCCTGACAATTGCTGCTGCTGCTGTAGCTAGTAGATTGTTTTCTGTTATTCGTATGTCTTTGTCTAACTTAACACTTAACACTGAACACGTGGGGCACTCATATAATTGGGGGAGGGGAACTGCTTGCTGACCGTTAGTTGAAAACGCTAGGTTTCGAATCGATTATTCACGAGTGTAGGTCCAATTGTCACGTATTCTGAACACCAATTGGTTTAATTGGAGATACTAATCCATAATAGTTGACCCTTGGTTCAATTTCAGGGCATCTAAATACCTGGTCAAGCATGGCTTCTTCGACTTTTGGAATTGGTTCGATGACCGTACGTCGGCCCTCCTCTTCAAACAATTCCCTCCTCCTTCACTCTGGATTCTGATATTTGTGTTTAGGAACATGGTATCCTCTCGGTCGTGTCACTGGTGGCACCCTCTACCCGGGTCTCATGGTTACTTCCGGCGCCATCTGGCATGCTCTCCGCATGATATCTCTCCCCGTCGATATTCGGAATATCTGTGTCCTTCTCGCCCCCGGTTTTAGCGGTCTGACTGCTTTTGCAACATACCTCTTTACAAAGGAGATGAAGGATAGTGGTGCCGGCTTGCTTGCTGCTGCATTCATGGGTATCGCGCCTGGTTACATCTCCCGTTCCGTTGCCGGCAGCTACGATAACGAGGCCATCGCTATTTTCCTGCTCATGTTCACCTTTTATCTTTGGATCAAAGCTGCCAAGCTCGGATCTGCCATGTGGGGTGGTCTTTGCGCCCTTTTCTACTTTTATATGGTCTCCGCTTGGGGTGGATACGTGTTTATCACCAACTTGATCCCTCTCCATGTCCTTGTTCTCATCTTGATGGGTAGGTACTCCGGTAGGATCTATGTTGCGTATTCCAGTTGGTATGCTTTGGGAACTTTGGCCAGTATGCAAGTTCCATTCGTCGGTTTCTTGCCGGTTAAGACTAGTGAACATATGGCTGCTCTCGGTATCTTTGGGCTCATTCAGTTGGTTGCATTTGTCGACTATCTCCGTGGTCAGGTCTCATCCAAGCAATTCAATACCCTTTTACGTGCCTTGGTTATTCTCATTACCATCGTTGCCTTCACCGGTCTCGTCACTCTTACCGTTACGGGTGTTATCGCCCCATGGTCCGGCCGTTTCTACTCTCTTTGGGATACCGGTTACGCCAAGATTCACATCCCCATCATTGCCTCAGTCTCTGAGCATCAACCTACTGCATGGCCATCTTTCTTCTTCGACCTTAATATGTTGATCTGGCTCTTCCCTGCCGGTGTCTATCTCTGCTTCCGTCAATTGACTGACGAACACGTTTTCATCATTGTGTACTCCGTCATGGCGAGTTACTTCGCTGGTGTCATGGTCCGTCTCATGCTTACGCTGACTCCAATCGTCTGTGTCACTGCCGCAATCACTGTTAGCTCTATTTTCGACACTTATCTCGAAATTGACAGCCCTGAGGAGCAAGAGGATGACTCGGAATCCAAAAAACCAAAGAAGGAGAAAGTAAAAGAAACCGGTGGATTCCTTTCTTCTAGGGCACCATACATTGGTATCTACAGTATTACATCTAAGGTTGCAGTTGTTGGTGCCTTTTCCGTCTACCTCGTTCTGTTTGTTCTTCACTGTACTTGGGTCACCTCGAACGCCTATTCTTCGCCCTCTGTCGTCCTGGCATCACGCATGCCTGATGGCTCTCAACATATCATTGACGACTTCCGTGAAGCTTATTACTGGCTACGCAAAAATACACCATACGATGCCAAGATCATGTCTTGGTGGGATTACGGTTATCAAATCGGTGGTATGGCCGATCGAACTACCCTCGTCGACAATAACACATGGAACAACACGCACATCGCCACCGTCGGAAAAGCCATGGCTAGCAGCGAGGAGGTCAGCTACGATATCTTGAGAAAACACGAGGTTGACTACGTCCTCATTATCTTTGGAGGTCTATTAGGGTACAGTGGGGATGATATCAACAAATTCTTGTGGATGGTGAGGATTGCCGAGGGAGTTTGGCCACAAGAAGTTCAGGAGAGGAAGTTTTTTACCCATAGGGGTGAGTACAAAGTGGATCATGAAGCCACGGATACGATGAAGAATAGTTTGATGTGAGTGTATTTCTTGAGTATATATATCCTGATGCCGGGGGTTATGCTTACATTTCGATGATAGGTACAAAATGTCTTACTACAAATTCCCGTCGCTTTTCCCACCCGGGCAGGCGCAAGACCGCGTCCGCGGGGCTAGACTTCCATCCGAAGGGCCGGTGTTACACACCCTTGACGAGGCGTTTACCAGCGAAAACTGGATCGTGAGAATCTACAAAGTGAAGGATCTTGACCAGTTTGGAAGAGATCACTTCTCGGTTTCAGCGTTTGAAGGGGGCAAGAAGAAGAAAGGGAAGAAAGGCGGGATGGCGGGGAGGGCTGCGGGGAAGAGAGGAAGAAGGGTTGTTAGGATCTAACCGATGATCAAGTTTTTTCTTCTTGTAGTTTCCCTTCTTTTGCCCCTCTTATGTTTTTTTTAAAGCTATCGTTGTGGCTGTGGTTAAAGTATTGGTTTACGAATAGGGGGAAAGACTCGAGCTTGTCAAGTTATGATAAAAGTTATATATAAACTTAAGTAGGTAGTCAGCCGATGAAAATTATAATTTTTATTGCATAGCGGGTTAAATGGAAGGCCTCCCACGGGCCGATCCGGATTTTAGAGATCGATCGATCGAAAAGAAAAAGAAAGAAAATTGAACGAGACCATGCAAAGGGGAACTTCGAAGGCTAGCTGGGGGAACTAACCTACGTACGTTCGGTACTAAGGTCCTACCTCGCGGATATGTATACACAACGTCCCCCGGCGGTACTAGCAGCTAGAAGGCGTATCTAAGCTCGGGGTCTCGGAAGACTGGGTATCGCTGTTTGCTGTGCGGTTTTGGTTCCCGGAAACCTGCCCGCATCCGTCTTCTAGAATGAATGGGAAGGATTGGTAACCGCCTACCCTTCCGTCTGTTTGGTTTCAGGCTATCGATAGCCTCTTATACAAATACCAGGCCGTGAGCTCAGAGGGGTCCTACTAAGTATATTGATTGCTATCATCCCTGCCCTCACCTGCGCCTGGTCTCGGGGCTGTTCTACCATAATGTTTCGCAAACATTCTAGAAGGAAGTTGAGCGGTATAGCCAAATAGAGTCACGGATGCCTGTTACATGATTTGGCAATCTTTCTTGTTCTTTTCTTTTCCCCTCATATGCATTCGAAGCCTGGTTTGCAAATTTGAGACAATCTTCTTTTCCTTTCCTTTCCTTTCCTTTCCTTTCCTTTCTTTTTTTTTGTTTTCTTTTCTTTCTCTTCTCCCCTTCTCTTCGCCCCTCTTTTCCTTTCTTGTCTTTCTTTGTCTTTTCTCGTCTTTGTTTTCTTTTCTCCTCTTCTGCTAGAAGACATGGAGGGGCTCCCGAGAGAGAAGTCGAGTCTGGCTTCCTTTAAATGCACAGTGCTACAGCGCTAAACTGTTTTTGGAGCAGTGATTGCGACTTGTTGGATTATTCGTGTTGTCTACGAGCAATGCTCTTTATTTTTGAGGCTAACGGGAAGGCTATCTATGATAAGCTAAACTTGGTGTGGACGGTTTGTACGATGTAAACTAATTCTTTTCGAGGTTGATCATGAGTTCCCGTCTGAAACTGCTTCAAAGTGGGACTTTTTTTTTGGACCCGTCGGTATCACTCGATTCGGTGCCAGCCAGCGGGCTGGTACAAACATAGGATGCTGATGTCATGTCAAAAAATGAATAGCCTCATCATTTATTACTGCAAGCATGGACTTGGGCGACCCGATAGTCTAGTTCTCCACGATCTATATTCCTTTTTTTCTCTTTTTCTCACTCCTCGGGCTGATATCTATGGGTAGAGCAAGGCTCAATATTTTCTAAGTTATCAGTATAAATACTTTGGTTCTTCCACTCTGTCATTCTCGAAATATACTACTTTCACCTTCCTTATAGTCCAAAAAAAAAAAGATAAAGCCCCTCTTTTATTAAAATCTGACGAACCAAGGCCTGGAGCCTGGGACTCTTCCTCTTCTCGTACTCTTAAAAAGATCGGATCGATTTTAAGCTGTATATATATATACGTATCAGATGGTCGCAAATAGACATCCGCTGCTAATAGTTTACGAGATAAAGTAAACAAACACCGGTACCCTTCTCGTATAGAATAATTCAGAAGCTCTACTCTTATAACCCACAAGCTTCACTTAGAATGGAATCAGCGTCGCAACTGGAAGTTGAACTATCAGCCCGAGCGGCAGAAGGCTCCAAATCATCTGCCGAAAATGTACGTGAGGTATTATGTTTAGAGACAAAATCCTGACTCGGGGATAATGCCTGTTACTAACGCGCCATGGTAAACTAGGAAGCCATAATTCTTGTGACTGGTACGCCAAGGTCGGGGAAAAGCTTCTTCAGAGGTCCAGCGGATAGTACTGTGCCTCGAGGCCGTATATATGGAATTCAAGGTACTGTTTTTCCATCTAACCTAAGTACCTCCAGGTGCTTTTGTAAATATATATATAGTAGAAAGCTATAGTTTCAATTCATTCCCGAGATATAGTTCTATATTAGAACATTAATTGATATTTAAATATTTTTTATATATATAGGCGAAAATGATAAAATCCAAATGTCATCTTTCAATATCGGAGCTCTACGGGTAGTACTACTCGAAACCCCTGGGATAACCAGTTCATACATCCCGTCCGTCATTTCTGACGTCGAAGAGTTCTTGGCTAAATCCTTCCCCGGAAAGAACCTATCGGGGATAATTTACACCCAGCGGATCGATAATGAGTTCCAAAAGCCATCACTCGCCCCACGCACCATAGAAGCGGTGAAAAGCCTTCTTCCGGGAGGGATATTAGATCACTCAAAAGTTTGTTTAGTTACAAATCGTTGGGGATCGCCGGGTACTGGTAGTGGTTTGGCTAGGGAGCAAAGGTATACGGGTAGCGAGGGCGCGTGGATGGAGTTATGTGATTCTGGAGCAAAGTATTGCAGGCTGAAATACTTTTACCTGCCGAAACAACAGATAGAGGCTGATTCTGCGGTTTATGAGATAGTTGAGTGGGTTCTTGGTAGAATACCCAACATTACTTCTCGGAGCGGCGGATCTCGTGCAGCAGAAAAACCAACGGATCCGTCTTGCGACGTACCTAAGAAGAATGCCCGACAGGTTAAGAACTCACCCGGAAAGCCCACCGATTCTGGCAAGCCAATGATCGGTAGTAGTATAGGTAAATTGAAGGGTGGGCTTGGGGCCAATGCACTGATGAAAGCCGTGGAATGCAATTACCCGCAGACCACAAAGTTGCTCCTCGAAGCCGGGGCAAACCCAAAAAGCACGGAACCCGGAACCTCGACGACAGCACTCCATCTCGCGGCGTCCTTGGGACGTGAGAAGATTGTTAAATATCTGCTAAAATATATAAACGACAAAGAAGAAGTCAACAAGAGTGACGACAACGGGGATACGCCATTGCATCGGGCATGCGTCAATGGGCATTACAAGTGTGTTAAGCTACTGCTTAAAGGTGGTGCTAAGGTTGAACTAGCTGACAGGGTGGGAGCTTTGCCGTTACATCACGCTCTTATGAAGCGAGACTGGAAAATTGCGGGGAAGTTGATTCGAGCGGGAGCGAATATAGATAGAGAGGACTTGGAAGCCTTGCAGTTGAATCGGGACATGCTCTTGGATTTAACGAAGTCAAAGGCACTGGATAGGAAGCATCGTTTTTTGGATAAGGTTCTGGGGTGTTTGGGCAAACGAGTTCGAGGTGATAGCCACCAAAAAGCAAGAAGGCGTTAAATTTGGCCTCCAATTTTCTTCCATTTTTGATATATTCTTATATATAAACTTATGACATCGCCAGCTATCGAGTCATTATTTTGTTCCGCAATACTCACGCGCGTAACTTTGGCTAGGTTGATTATATCTAGATTAACCAAACAGCCAGAGTCGAGGACAATTCGATCTTCTTGTTCCTGTTATAGTTCCTGTTTCTGCTATTGTTCTTGCTCCTATCATTGTTTTTAATTATTCTCATATCTTCTTTTTTTTTCAAAAAAAAAAGCTCCCTGTTACTTGCTGTTTTGGAATTCTAAAATTGCCTTTTTGTTTAATTACTAGCCTTTACAATGAATAAGTTTCGGCTCTAGTGCGTTAGTTGGCAAAACCATTTGGAAGACTCCGCTATGTTGAGCATCGCCCCAAGAATCAGTTTCAAAGACTTGTTCCGTTAACGCGTTACGTAGGTGTTCTTTTTATATAATAGGCTAATTCATATTCTGAGGTCCTTTGAAGACACGGTGGCTATAATTATATGATCGAGCTAGCTAGTGGCTGCATTCGTGACGGAACAAAAAGTGGCTCGGTGTAAGTCGTGCGGCATCGACGAGGTTGGACTAATTCGATATTCATGTCGTGAATATATTCTTACTAAATGGGCATATTTGTCTCGCACAGAGACCTGAACGGGTATATATATATAGGAAGCTAGTTGTTACATTCGAAACGCGATGAAACGCTACTTACAACAAGTTACATGCGGTTATACGTTAATGTCAGTTACTTTTAATATGCTAGTATAGTATGCTAAGTCAACAGCAATGTGAAGATACTTTCTTTATGCCCGAAGCTTTGGGCCAAATAAAATAGCAAATGTTTTTACGTGTGCAATAACATGGTGTTGTAAGGTGCTAAGTACGTAGTACTAACGTAATGTTAGGATTAGCGCTGGAGGCCGGTCCGGAGGGAACTCGATCGACGATGTTGGGGGTTAGGAGCGTTTCGAATATGTACAAATGCATCAACGTTAGCTCACAAACCGTGGTGCCAATGCATCAAAATGGCGAACGACATACGTCTTAAAAATCAAGAGCGCAATGCGATCTACGTGTATATACCTAACGAGCCGTAATATCTATATCTGCGCCCCGCGGCTCAGCTCTTGCACACGCACGCACGCACGCATTCAGTACCAGTTGAGTCTGACCCAGAATGCAACAGTTTCATCATGAGGATGTGTTGGTGAGTTAATGAGCTGAAGCAATCCTATGTTGTTTGATACATGCACATAATTCATATAATCTAGACCGCACCGACGAAAGCGGTTCTGATACTAGTTTGGCTTCATAGACCCGTCGTGAATCTAATATTGGCTTCAAGGATCTAGGCTTTTATACTGGCTTGTATAAGCATTCTGGGGGCTGTGCTTGTTTTGTAACCGACTACTAGATAATTTGTTGGCCTAGATATAACTGTAGAGTTGACTTGTCGGCCTGTAGACGAATTCGAACTTGGCAGGAATTCCGGAAATTTGATGCTTAGATGGTTATATAAACGGGCAGCTGGGGTAGCTAGGGATTCTGAATCCTTTAGACCGGATCTGATCCCCCGTTTTGCTTCAAAGTGTCACCGCACATACGGTGGATTGTTTTCAGATCGATCCGAAGTATCAATAACCATGAGAACTAACAGCCACAACCTCTGGGTTCTATTTTTTCTCTTTGAAGTTTTGATTGGGCGGGCTTTAGCAATTCGATTCCGCTGGCCATGGCAGAGGGAGGGGAAACTGCCCATCATCTCTATAAACTCAAAAATAGGAACTATAGATCAATACATCGAAAAATATGATCTTCTGGTTAAACCCGGTTATCAAAAGGACAAGGACTTTAGGCAGAAGGTCGAGGCGGCACTAAAAAAGGTTGCGGCGCCGCCACAGGCGCTGAATATTTACGCTGTTGAAAGTTCATTTCTGGGCTGTGTGGCCTTTGAGGTTGCTACGGAGCAGGGCTCTCGAGATGCTATTTCGAAAGTTCGTAACAAATTTAAGAACAAAGTGAGTCGCTCTCTTCCATTGTTGTCTCGTACCCAGACCTGGAAGTCCCATTGTAAAAAAACTCATTTTTCTTCTTCTGATCGCTCCCATTGGACTAGTTAAGTAAGCCTGTACTAGTACTCTCGGATCCTTATGCCATCGATATTTATGGCGACGACATATATGAGTCCTGGGAAGATGCGCCTTGGACTATTCCAGAAAGCGAAGCAATTCCTCGTAGCTTCTCTAGTGGCAGCGATCCTCATTCGGGGGCGGCTATGTGGGAGACAAGCGGCGATCTCGGTCTTGATCTCGGTCTTTCCTCGCCGCCGCCACCGCGTTATTTGCGACTTCGAGACCCTAACCACCAGAAGGAGAACCGACGGAGTCCCGCTTCTGCCTTCAATATTGATCAGGTTCCTGTCGTGGCTGATTGGTACTCGGGCGGCCTTCCGGAAATGCGGCAAATATCTCAACCACCAGGACTATACGAAGACCAGGTGGCAGAATTTGGGCAGCTGGCAGATGCTTTTTGGAATTATAAGGAGGGGGGGAAGGGCCAGGTTGTATATGTGTTGGATAACGGCCTTGATCATCTTCACCAGGTAGCAGTGCAATTTCTCAAGTTCCGTATCGGAATACGAAACATAGCCAAACTAACTCGTAAAAAAATATTCCTACCACATCTAGGAACTAGCGGACGTCGAATTCGGCGATTGGATCATGGCGGGCTATTTCCCTACCGATGAGAAGGGGGGGCGTCGCATTAGTCCGAACCAGCCAACGCATGCAACTATGGTGACTAGCAAAGTAGCTGGCAGAACTTTAGGGGCTGCACGGGAAGCTAAGATTATTCCAGTTCTTTTCGATTCTGGACGCACTGACATAGGAAATAGCGCATTTATTGCGATTATTGATGGATTCGCCAAGATTTATGATCATATAAGGAGAGTAAATAGCAGGAGTAACTGCATTGTGAACGTATCTTTGATCTTGACTCCGGAGCACTGGCAGGATTTGTTCTTGTGGAATCGAGTAGGATTTGGTGACCCTCGAGAAATTATGGAGCACTACAGGAAGGCTATGTACTATATATTGGAGGAGCTTAATCTTCTCCGTAATGCCATCTTGGTACTCAGTGCGGGAAATGAAGATGTTAGTCAGTTCTTGTACCAGCGAAATCTTTCCTGACAAGCCCTATCAGCAAATACTTACTAATATATCTGCACAATCCCATTTTCTGGAGCAGGGCACCGAAATAGACGGATTTCCGGCAAATTTCGGCGGAGACTCTAAATTCAGCAAGAGAACTGTTGTAGTAGGGGGTACCGATCTAGACGGGCACAATTATTATCAGGAAGCTCATTTTGTCAGAGTGTGGGCGCCAGCGGCTAATTTGTCACTTCCTTGCGATCCAAGCGGGCCAGGATTTGGCGAAAGATTCATGAGCCGAAGGCGCGATTTATGTGAGCCCAGGTTCGGAACTTCGTTCGGTATGTTTCGCTCCCTAAAACCCCCAAATTTACGATTCATCAATAATTTCAATGCCCAATCGCTATACCGATTCTGAATATCTATGTTCAAGACTCATAATTGTGACCTGTGCGTCGATGCTGAATACTAACTGATATTTGCGCATCATATAGCGGCACCAATGGTTACAGGAGTCTTAGCGACGATGCTCTCCGCCGGGGTTCCTATTGATAAGGTTATCAGTCACATGTATAGCTTAGCATATCCTAGAGTTAAGGGTGGGCGTAAAGTCTTGTATAACGGCATCTCGACTTCTCAGTGGCATTGGTGATGTTTGGCCAAGTTTTGCAAACATTATTACGAATTTGAAGTCCTAAGACCATCATTTTATTAAGGCTGTAGGGATGTCGTAGGCTTAACGGCTAGTTTCGAGGTATGACAAGGATAGAGTTTGGGATATCGCAACTTTCAGGCTAGAATAGGATTTCGATACAATGGTTTTATAGTTTTGTTTACGTATGAGAATTTGTTATAACTTTATATATATATAGGAGCTTAAATGTTTGCATTGTTATTGTAGATTATATATTGTCCTCTTTTTATAGTGTCATTGCGCTCTTAATTCTAAGCTAATCTGAGGCGAAAATTAAGTAAAAAGGTATGAAACCCAAAATTTAGAACCTCGAAGCACATTTTACTCATAACTATTGCCTTACGAACTCATATCAATCATGATGTATCGATATATATATATTAGGAGTAAATGTGGAGTGGAGTAGCTCAGTCCGAGTAGCAGCTTGCGGAAGATATGCATATATGAGATTTGCTGATAGTTGGAGATCTGAAATTTTTAAAATTATTATTTTAGGAGAGTGGATGAAATAAGCTTGGCCAGATATTTTCTGCGGTTGCAATACAGGCATCTCGGTGGTCATACTACTTCAACTGACTATTATATTTGTTACATAGTTTAACTTAGGTGGGAAAGCCGGAAAGTTTGCGATGAGTAACATCAAAAGAAAATGCAAAAGTATATGAACCTGAGGAATAAAATTTAAACGTCCTGGTAGGACCTAAGTTGAATCATATTGATCTTTGCGGCCAACTACCCCGGTATGAGAAAAATATCCGCCGTTGAACTAGATTTTATCAGATATACCAAAGGCGGACAGCAGCGTCTTCTTTACCACAATATTTTCAAGCTTTGTAGCTAGATCCGTAAGATGCTTTACCGTATCGCATAGAGAATTACCATCGTTATGACCTTTGTGAATATTTTCCCGCTTCGGCTGACCCTCGCAACATCGAGAATATTTCTTTGAAGGTCATTTCGTCTCTTTCACATTTTGGCAGCGCTGTTTTTAAGCGAAGAAATTTCAGAGTTCCTAGTTGTATCAAATCGCATCTGGATGCAACCCCCTTCCTTTTGGACTCATTTTCAAAATTGCAATACTGAGATTCGACCTTCTCGGTGAATTGTTGAATGTATTTCTCTCGTTGGTGCCAGATTACTTGACCATGGCCCAGAATGTATTAGAAAATATTAAATGGACGCGATGGCACAGGAGGGTAGAAAGGCAAGGCTAGAACATACCATCAGTGTATTTGTTCATAGCGTCATGAAAGGGTTTCCCATCCACCAAAAATTTCCCGCCTTGTAATCTCATACGCTCGAAGACTTCCTGCGCGCAATCTTTGGTAATCTGAGGGATCTGGAATGAAATACCAATCCACAGCCATCTAGCTGTGTTTTTGGATGGAGAACGAATTCTCCATACAGGCATAGCCCATATTGGGGTCCAAAGCTTAAGGAACCTCTGGCACTGATAATAATCGGCAAAGCTCGCGAGGTTGTATAGTTCGCGTGATGATACTTCCGTAGGCCCGGGCAAACTCTCAGGCTGGTAATGAAGGATGTTCATAGCAACTATTGTTGATTTCTCTGAGAAGGCTGTGATACAAATCTCTTTCATACCGTTCGGTTTGAGAAGAGATTCTTTGAAGCCTTTGGCAGGGTCAAGCATCGATTTGAAAACAGGAGATACTAGAGAGAGGATCTTTGAAGAAAGACGAAGGGTTGAAAGCTCGATGTTATCATCATCAGCAGAGACCAATTTCGCGACGACGTCACCAGTACTGTCGATATCGTGGTTTTTGAGAGGCTCTTTCGATGGCCCCATTATTTCTGTTGTCGGCCTGTTAATTTGCAATTGTTGTCGAAAGGAAGTGTATTATTGTGTCGCTTGAATATCTGCTGACGAGCTTAATTAATTAAATTACATCCGATGGTTATATTGTGGATATATTGATTTTCTACATGTACTGTGTTAATATTATAATTGAGGGCGGAAGAAGGTTCTATATTCAACTAGGCAGTTAGAGCTGTACCCATTTATCACCCGAAACTGGTAGAAGAAATACATAAGGAATACTGATTCCTAAATAATCTCCACTCATTAGGTGAATTAATCTCCCTACCTCATTTATTTGGCTGTATTTTAAAATTTTGATGATATTAGATTAGGTCAACCAAAAACGCATAATATCATTGTGTCGTGGTACAAACTACGGGGACTTCTCAATCTTTAAGGCGAGCTCGAGAGGCAGTTAATGTAGTATCTTCTAGGTTAATAGAGTTGCATGTCCCTGTTAAGCATAGTACTACGTTCAGTATCGCTATATTCAAGATGTAAGGATAAAATCTTGGATAATTAAAGGTTATAGTCGTGACGTTCAAGGAGTATTTAGACACAAATTTTTGATAAGATACAAAACTGTTAGAAACATGACGTGAAACAAGTATTTAGCTGAGCCCTTCGATCTTGAAAGCTAATAAGAGAGTTTTTCGCACATCGGTCTTCTCTATCTCAACAGCAAGCTTATGCAAGCCTTCCACTGTATTACATGAGATGTGTTTATTAGTAACAGACCCCTTGAGATATTTCCGACAATCATGATGGTTATCTATAGGATTTTGTTTAGTTGTTTTGACAAAGATGGACATGACGGTTTCGAATGTCATATGGTCTATATGGCGTTCTGGAAAGCCGATCTGAAGTCGAAGGGCTTGTAAAGTTCCTAGCTGTACCACATCACATTTTGGGATTCCAGAAGCGACGATGGTTTTTGAATTTCCACTATCGCTGGGGTCTGAAGACGAGTAGCTCCTGGAGTTCGAATCGCTATCGGTATCGTCACTTTGAGAGGCTGCCGGAGTTGCAGGTAGTGGGAGAAACTTTTCGTCGAGATGGATGCGAAAGACTTCTAACTTTGAACTGACTTCGTCGACGAATTTCTGGATCAATCTTTCACGTTCGTTCCAGATTGCTATTCCCTTGTTAGACTTGGTTTGATTTTGAAGCTGGAATTCAGGTGACAAGTCCAGACATACCGTCAGAATATCTGTCCATAACTGCATGGAGATGCTTACGCCCTACCATATACGTATCACCCTTCTTTGTGATTCCCTTGAAAACACCCTGCAAATGATGCTCGAGGATAGCCCGATTCTGGAAAACGATACCAACCCAGAGTGCTTCTGCAGTATACATCTCAAGCGTAAGAGATGATTGTAAAGCAGTAATCCATGAAGCAACTAAACGTTTGAAGATAGATTGGACATGGTAATAGTCGGTAAAAGTAGCCAAGCTGCTCAGAATAGGCACAGATGGAGTTTCCAGGATGTAATCGTATCGATGGTGGAGGAGACTCATCGCGATGACACCAGCCTCCAGTGATGGTGCTACGAAGCGAATTTCTTTCATATTATTTCCATTGAGCTTCGACTCTGAAAACCCACTGACCGGGTTAAACATTGCTCGGAAGATTGGTGAAGTGATAGATAGAACTTGGGAAGAGAGGTTGAAAACAGCGAGGTCAACAATTGTATCCTTGTCGTCCTCGAGCTCGGTATACAGAGTCGCGACAACATCTGCAACATCTCCGGCGATGTCGTAAGTGGGGAAGTTATCCATCCCAACAAATTCCAAGTCGTCCTTTCTGATGATCTTAATCAATCGAAATTTGAGAAGAGAATCCTAGTTTTGTCTTGAGATATTTGGGACCACCGTCTTATTTTTATTTGCGCGAGTACCCGTGACCGGTGCCGAAGAAACCAACGAAGATATCAACAGTAAGTACCTATATGCCTAGGTAATTAGTTCATATGTCACAATTGGAAGGGAATTAGTAGCAGGGAGAATTCCACGTACCAGACTTAGTGAATCCAAGGGGGGGATAAGGCGAATACTCCACTGTAGTCTCTAACGTAGTAGAGGGCTGGAAATTAAATCGAGGGAGTATGTAGTAGTGCTAAATGTAAAAGCTAAGCGTGGTATGAATCCAGTCGCTTTCGAATGGTATTGAGGGAGTATTGGCCGTATACGCGTAATGTTGCTTGATTAAAACTTAATTTTGACCCTAGTTGGATATGGCGTGGCTTTCTTCATATGATTACTAGTTTCATGTTAATGTTAAGCATGATAACTGGAGCCCTTCTTATGTGGATAATTACCTACCTACTAGACATCCATCAATCTTCGGTCGGGTACTGGTGATGAGACTGAAGCTGTTGTATTGAGTATTGTATGATGTTAGCTTTGTGCTAGTACTCATCTAAGTCGTACTAGAACTCCTAGCATCGAGGCCAACGCAAGGTCCTAGGACCCCTCCGCCGAGGCCATGCATACATCCATGGTTTCTTAGTACTGATGCATCCATCTTCTAGCCTCGTAAATCTGCTATTTGAGTATCACACCAAAAAATCCAGCGCTATCGAAAAGTTTGGCATATTACGGGTTCCTTCCGAGAATGGTTTTCGAATGGGTGTGTTTAGATTTACGACCTTGCTAAAGATGTGCTTATCGTATCTTAACCTGGAAAGGGTGCGGATTAATCGCAATGGTGATCATTAGGAGAAGTACACCTTTTCGCCAGACACCATTGATAGTAGAAAATAGACTGCTCATAGTATACATTCATACTAGACCGAACTTTAGCTAAAAAAGGAAAGTTCTGAGGCTGAATGATCGGGGTATATATGCAAATTCGTCGAAGAAAAAAGAGAAAGTTATAATATATATATTGCTTATAACTTGGAGATTTACGGATAGTTAAAGGTGCGTCAATGAGAGATATATGTATAGCCCAAGAACAAGTATCGATGAGAGCGGCATCGGTGCGCCAGGAACCGTTTTAGAAACCAAGAGATGATTTAGGAGCATGCTAGCAGGACTCTATGATTAGCGGATTTGACCGCGGTTTTTGTTCTGAGGGTTAGAATAGACTGAATAGGGCCAAGTCTAGTCTGATAAAATTAGTGTCTGTTCGTGGTTATACGTTAATTATTTATCTAATCAAAACCATTTCTCGTGAAAACTAGAATTGATATTCAGATTCGATCCACGATCGATCTTAACCAGTACTTCCCCCCCCCCAAAAAAAAAAAAAAAAAAAAGGAGTTACAAGGCTAATATCACTCATGGCTATTCCGGCCCGCTTGGAGAGTTGGAAGCTCACTGACACCATACGCTTGAGCCCTATATTTTCAAAATTCCCGTATTTGGCGAAATTCATCTGTCACAACTACCATGAAGTCCAACCTTTCGATTTTCTGCGCCATATCGCTGGATTTATACGCCTGGCCGCATATTTGACGAACCTCCTTTAGCTATGTCCCGGCTTCATGGGAACCGTGACAAATTTCCATTACGGGGATATTATCAGACTTGAGACCCCAGTATTAATTCCGCTTTAGGCTTAAAGATTGCGCTCATACATGAGGGTATTGGGTTCAGTGAACAGACCTTGGGGTTCTTTAACTATGTTCTGGGAAATCTAGATCTGTTTCCTTCAGGTCGAAATCCCTTCTCTATCAAACCTGTGGATGTTTGTCATGCACAGACTCTCCAAAATTAAGGCACATATTGCGAGTGGCCGGAGTGATCTTCGACAGTGTGTACTTTTATGGGTTTTATAAAGTTTATGGCTTATGCGTGGGTCTTGAGATGAGATGGCATAATTGAGCCAAGATATAAATACCAGGCTGACTATCCCATCAGACAGGTATTCATTTGAAAACGGCTCAGACCTGACCGGTGCTGATTGCAAACTTCACGAAAGAAGATACATGAAGTTAACTTTGGTCGCTTCAAGACGCATGAGACCGTGAATAAAACGACCCTAAGAAAGTATAGACTTCTCTAACGCGCTACTTTTGAACGAATACAGAGATGAAAGGGACAACTTTCGACGATAAGCGCGACAAATTTCAGTGCAGTCCCTTTTTTAATAAATTCGGTGCACTGGGCTTTGACGTCAAGCTTCCTTGTACCAGCCCTCCTCCAATCTTTTGATAACCCGAGAAAAGTATAGAGACATTTCGCATTCAGCATGTTCTCCTTGCTTACTATAGACAGACCCAATGAAACTTGGCTCACAGGGCTCTAGTCTCCTAAAAACTTCAAAGATCTCATCGAGAGTGTGATTGTCGAGATAAGGACGGGTGAAGAGGCCATCAGGAATGCCAAGTGCCGCCTTCAGCTTGATGATTTCTCTAACTTGGAAGTTGTCACAAATGCTTTGGGCGGCTCTGTCTTTGGAACCCTGGCAGAGAAATTCACACTTGTTTGCTGCTTGCGTAAAAGCGCTATCCTTAGCTGCTAGGGTGTCGAAGAGGCCGTCGATCAACATAGTTCTTTGTGTCCAGATTTCTAAGTCATCCTAACGTTAGAAAGCTATTATAGTTGTGCGACATATATATTCTGAGATTGAGAGAAATCAATACATACTGGCGAAATATGGCAGACCATGATGGAGATAACCGCGGTGCTTGTGTGAGTAGACCGGGATCTGTCGGGCTTGTTGGCCGTCGGGGACGAAATTATCGCCCAAATCTGCCAAGCCGTGGAAAACGAGATTTTGCATACACTCCCAGATAATCTTGTCAACCTGAAATACTTCAGCAACCGAAAGCCATTTGGGGCAGTCCTCGTTCGCGTGAGGATGTTTGTCAGTACCACACCCTGAAATGATTGCGGTTTTTTCAATAGGGACGATGGCGGACGTTGGATCGAAAGGCCACATGATAGTAATGGAGTGCATAGCAGCTGCGTAAACCGCATGTTGCAGCTGATAGGTACGACAAAAAGTGGCAATAGAGTGTAGTTTTCCAATACTCAAAGCCATTGGGATCTTATCATGACGGTGGTGGATGATGTTCAAAACTAGCTCCACAACTGAACCGCTTTTTGCAGATATTTTGAGGTGCTTCCGTGAGGTGACCCCACCACTAGGGTCAGACCCTTCGTTTGACTCTGTTTGCCCAGAGTGGCGGTTTGGAAGAATTGTTGGGTTGGTGATATGGTATTTGAGAAGTGGCGAAGCGAGTGAAAGTGCTTTGGAGGATACCTTGAAGGTTCGGAGGGGTGTTTGCTGTTGGCTATGTGCTTTTAGAACTGTGAGGATGAGGTCGCCTTCATCGTCAATGATTTGGATTTCTGCTGCTTCTACACCACGGATTGACAAGGTTTGAGAGCTTCTGGGCGCAGGATTTTCCCTTTGTAATGGCAGTTTGACTATTAGTCTGCTTGATGTCGTTGGAGCAACTTCCTCCATTGCGGCGAAATATGAACTGGAAAAGCGACTTGTGAGGATGAAGGGTGAGGGTGCTGAAGAGGATATGGAGTGAATAAAGATGAAAGATGTTGAAAGGAGTTTCAAGGACGCTATGGGGCGTAGAGTAGATTCTTCTATACCACTAGGTCACTAGTAGTTATATGAATTATACGCTAGAAACGTTACGCTAGTAGGTTAGAGCTTTAAAGCTTTAGGAAGACGAGAAGCTAGAGGGCGATATATACAGGGTTTCGGACTGTCGAGGGAAACAAAGTCCGTCAACATTGTAAGAGTGGCATGAAGAGCGGCGAGCCTAGAAGCTAGAAGGACTATATTAAATTACGCTGATGGATTGAGGGAGTGCGAACAATTCAGTCAGGAGTGTCACGCGCGTGCGGGTATAGTCCCGACTGCTGACCCAATGCGTGCAGGTGCGAGGACTTCTTGTGTTGTCGGACGTTTGAGGTTACACCAATTCCGAGTTGAGTCTGTTGCATTTTGAATTTCTTGGCGTTCTTGTTCCTACGCGTACAGCATAGCACAATGCAGCACTGGGAATGGCGGGGCATCGACGGCCCACCAAAAACGACCTGTCTTGGCCTTCGATGGTCAAAAATTTCTTAATAGGAAAGACCCTGCCAAAAAAAAGCTAGTCCGGTAAAATCGCCTTAGACAGAAGAGAAAAAAAAAAAAAAAAAAAAAAAAAATTAGAATTTTTTGCAACACCAACGTTTAAACAAAGCCGCTCTTCTGCAGGACTTAAACCACCTCTTCTTGCTCTACTTCTTCTCTTCTCTTCCTCTTTTTCTTCACTCCTCCACTTCTTCTACCCATTTTCATTTTCTTGCTCTTGTATTCATACTCCTCCCTTTTCTCATAAAATATTTAAAAAAAACTCCTCTTTTATACCTTCAAGATGGCAGAGGAATTATATGACGGTGCCATCGGTATCGATTTGGGTATGTTGGTTCTTTTTTTCTTCGAATCTTACTGATCGCTGATCGAGGTTGATGGCCCCGCTAACTTTTTTCTTCTTCTTCTTCGTTCTTAGGTACCACCTACTCCTGTGTCGCCGTCTATGAGGGCAACGGTGTCGAAATCAGTTAGTTCACCTCGATGGTCTCCTCGATGATTGCATTGACCTAACAGCTATATCTTTTTCGCAGTTGCCAACGAACAGGGAAACCGTGTTACCCCCTCCTTCGTAGCTTTCACCGATGAGGAGCGATTGATCGGTGATGCCGCTAAGAATCAGGCTGCTTTGAACCCTCGACACACTGTCTTCGATGCTAAGCGTTTGATCGGTCGACGATTCGACGACCCAAGCGTCAAGAAGGATGTCCAGACCTGGCCTTTCAAGGTCATTGACCGGGAGGGAAACCCCTTCATTGAGGTTCGTTTTTCAGATTCTGTCTTTCCTGCCTTTTTTTTCTTTGAAGTGAAAAATTTTTGTTTTTGAGACCCGGGTAGCATGCTAATATATTTGGGATTATATACAGGTTGAGTACCTTAAAGAGACCAAGACTTTCTCCCCACAAGAGATTTCGTCCATGGTTCTTATCAAGATGAAGGAGATTGCTGAAGCCAAGTTGGCCAAGAAGGTTGAGAAGGCTGTCATCACCGTCCCAGCCTACTTCAATGACAACCAGAGACAAGCTACCAAAGATGCTGGTGCCATCGCTGGTTTGAACGTTCTCAGAATCATCAACGAGCCCACTGCTGCTGCCATCGCCTATGGTCTCGGTGCTGGTAAGAGTGATAAGGAGAGGAACGTCTTGATCTACGATCTTGGTGGTGGTACTTTCGATGTCTCCCTCTTGAACATCCAGGGTTCGTAAATTACAATCATATCGAAGTAACCGAAATTCTTACAAAAACTAACGGAATTGGTGTAGGTGGTGTTTTCACCGTCAAGGCTACCGCTGGTGACACCCATCTTGGTGGTCAGGATTTCGATACCGCTCTCTTGGATCACTTCAAGGCTGAGTTCAAGAAGAAGACCAAGCTCGATATCAGCGATGACCCGCGTGCTCTCCGACGTCTCAGATCTGCTTGCGAACGTGCCAAGCGTACTCTTTCCAGCGTCACCAACACTACCATTGAAATCGACAGCTTGTCTGGTGGTGAGGACTTCAACACTACCATCACCCGTGCTCGTTTCGAGGATATCAATGCTGCTCTCTTCAAGAGCACCATTGACCCCGTCGCACAGGTCATGAAGGATGCCGCTTTGGATAAGGCACAGGTTGACGAGGTTGTGCTCGTCGGTGGTTCTACCCGTATTCCCAAGGTCCAGAAGCTACTCAGCGACTTCTTCGATGGAAAGAAGTTGGAGAAGGTAAATTAACTCCTTGGGAAAATGCTTTCACTTAAAATTTTTAAGAATATCTGTGCTGATAAATTTTTTATTTAGAGCATCAACCCAGACGAGGCCGTCGCCCACGGTGCCGCCGTCCAGGCCGGTATCCTCTCCGGAAAGGCTACCTCTGAGGAGACCGCCGACCTCCTCTTGTTGGACGTCGTTCCACTCTCCCTTGGTGTCGCTATGGAGGGTAACATCTTCGCCCCGGTTGTTCCACGTGGCCAGACTGTTCCAACCATCAAGAAGCGTACTTTCACCACTGTCGCCGATAACCAGACCACCGTCCAGTTCCCAGTTTACCAGGGTGAACGTGTTAACTGCGAGGATAACACCTCCCTCGGAGAGTTCACTTTGGCTCCTATCCCACCCATGAAGGCCGGAGAAGCCGTCCTCGAGGTTATCTTCGAGGTCGATGTCAACGGTATCCTCAAGGTTACCGCTTCTGAGAAGTCGACAGGTCGCAGCGCCAACATCACCATCTCCAACGCTGTTGGCAAGCTCAGCACCGGTGAGATTGAGAAGATGATTGACGATGCTGAGAAGTTCAAGAACTCCGACAGCGAGTTCTCCAAGAAGTTCGAGGCTAGGCAACAATTGGAGGCTTACATCTCGAGAGTTGAGGAGATTGTTAGCGACGCAGCGATCACCGGCAGAATCAAGAAGGGAGCTCAGACTAAGATTGAGGCCGAGTTGAGCGATGCGATGGCCCAGTTGGAGGTTGAGGACTCGACCGCCGAGGAATTGAAGAAGAAGGAAACCACCCTCAGGAGGTTGGTTACCAAGGGTATGTATCACCATTAAGCTCAGTCAATATCATATGCCAACCTACTAACTTTGCATTTTATAGCTATGTCTACCCGTTAAATCGCTATAGATATTGATTCTTACCACCGCAACGGAGGGGAAGAGAGGCCTTGCTGGTGCTTTTTAAACTTTTCTTTCTACCTACATATTATTCGGGGTTGTGTGGGAAGAGGGCGAAGGTGTAATATGAGAGACGACCGAAAAGTTTTCGTTCCCTTTCCTTCTCTTGTTTCCAATTTCCTTTTTGTTCCTTTTATATTTATTGTCGCGGTGCCGGGTTCTTAACGTTTCGTGTCATGGCTACGTGGGAGAACTCTTATTTCCTATTTCCTTTGTATAAATTTACAAGAAGATTGCATGCATGACTATCAATTACCATCATTTCTTCCATATACTACCGCAGGCTCGGATTCTAGCGATTTGATTCATCCCGTAAGCTTATGGCTGAAGAGGAGAAGCTGTGATGAATAACCATGTTCTTTCCATTATATTCCAGCTCTTGGCTCGACTCTGCACTGGGGCTTTAATTTTGTCAGTCCCAAAACAGCAGTGCGATTCGAGACCGGGAAAGCTAAGGCCTCAAAGCCTTAACTCAAAAGTGGACAGACTTTAAAACCAAAGAAGGCCCAGTCCAGGCGATGTCCTATTCATCCGATGTTGACCTGGCGCATGGTATTGATTCCTGGACGGCTTAATAAAGAATGATCTGAACATGTGGTTGCCGGTAGTTGGAGTTAGGTAATGGATTTAAATACTATTGATTCTTGTATGTCCCATCATCACCATCTTCATCCGGTATCATCAACATCATCATCATCCTCCTCCCCATCGTCACTCTTCCTTCCATCCCCGCTATTATCCGCGAAGCCATCTCCACTTTCCCTTTCGTGATCGGTCTTTCGAGCTCACTCAAACTCAACTCAAACTCAACTCAGTCCAGTGACCTGTTTGGATATCTGCAGCATCCGCCAAGACCATTCCCGGCCAGGGTCAGCTTCAAACCGTTGACAACCAGGCATCAGAACCAAACCAACCTCATCTTGTCCATTCCTCCCAGCATTATTACCTAAGATTCGATTATCTCCATCTATTTTTTGATTCTTACGGAGTACTCCCTGTGCCTCTTCTCCGCACATAGACTTGATTATCATTTCCCTTTTTTTCATATAGATGATAGTATCAGCCGTCATATCATCGACTTTTAGCGGATGCAATTGGGCTCTTTATCCCTTTCTCTCTTGTTTATTCTGATTGTTCTGTGATTTTCATTCGCATTCTTGGGGAGCGGGTTTTCCGTGTTGAACTTGAAACGTTTACGTACTCACGCACCCCGAACCATTCCGCGACGACGATTAGGAACTTTGAACAGCCACAGCACAGACAGCCCACTCCGACGGGAACGGAGTTCCTCGCAGAAGTCAAGAGAGACGAAATACGGAGCTCGGAACCAAGGGAACGGGATCTCTTGTACTTCTCCCTTTTCTTTTCTTTTCTTTTCTCTCCAACGATCCGATTCTTTCTTTTCGACCCCGGAGTTCGAGTTTCGGAGATTACGACCTACTTTACCTACTGCTTTACCCAAGAAACCCCATCTCAGTTTTTACAGAACAAAAGAGGCCGATCTAGACACCCTGGTTAGGTGATACCAGCTGGGAAATCCAGTCTTCTGTGGCGAGCAAGGTCCCACGGTAAGATGTCTGGGCAGCAGCAGGATGGAACTGCTGCTGCTACTATCGCTAATGATGGAGCTGCGGTCACGAGTGGTGGGGGAGTGGGGAAAGATCCTATAGCTACTTCATCAGCGTCTTTAGCATCAGCAATTGAGAAAGAGAAGGTATTTACTACCACCGATACATCGATACCTACGTCCGCGCCCTCGGAACCACTACAACCATCGAAACCCACTCCAGAAGAAGAACCAGAGCTAGATGATTTTGGACTACCTGTTTTCAAGCCCGTTATTTCGATACACGTCGATAGTTCTGATGACGAAGATGAGGATGTTGGTCGGAAGGATGACGATGTTGATGTTAGTTCTAGGACTACTGGAAGCCCCGTGCGAGAGGTTGCGGATGAAATTGATGAAGGGGAAGGGGAAGGGGAGGTTACAGTTGGGGAAAAGATGCTGGCTGGGGTTGTAGGAGTTGCTACAGTTGCCACCATTGGCGCTATAGCTACTTCTAGTGAGGTTAAGAAGGTTGAGGCGGACGAGAACTCTATGGTCAAGAATAAGGTGGACGAAGGAGAAGCCAGGATATCTTTGAAGCCCACAGAGACGGCTATCATACCCACACCCACACCCACGCCAGAAGCTCGAATTAAGGTTGAGGAGGCGCCAGAGACCGTCAATGCTATTTTAGAAACACCAAAGGGCGTCCAGGCGGTATCAGCGGCACCGGTGATATCAAAGGAGACCAAGGTGGTCTCGGAACAATTAGAAACAGTCGAAGCAACCAAGGCCGAGCCTCAAAAGGAGGCCATAAAGATCGACCCCCCTCCGAAAACAACATCGTTTGAGCCTTCCCCTAAGGAGGAACAACCGGAACCTCTCTCCGATATAAACGATCGAACCAACCCCACTAGTCCAACTTCAACCAATCTTCACAATAGAAACTTATCAAAAAGCACTATTGATGCTTCACTTCTCTCGCCGGCACCGGATACCCTTCCCAAGATCGCTAAAGACCAAAAGGAGCCCGAACAAACCGCTGCACCTACCATATCCTCCTGGTCACACCAGCAATCTGCCCCTCTTACTGAGGTCAAAGATGAGAAGGACGCCACGTCACGTCGGTCATCCGGGGAATGGCAGGAAATGCCTTCTTACGCGCCCTACGATATCTACAATGACGATGGAAAGTTAATAGCTAAAGAATACCATTTCTCAGACGAGGAGGGTGAAAAGGGAGAAGAAGATGGTGTCGGGGGCGCTTCTAAGGGGTACACGCGTGTTCAAGTGGATGAAGATGCACAGTCTGCTACGTCAATGGATGATAACACCGGTTATCTATTTAAGGGGGACGAAGACCAAGATGCAGAGCGCAACCCATTATCACAGTTGGAAACTACAAAAGACCTCTTGACTGAGGGACAAAGGATTGCGTACGTGGGCTTGTGTAAGTTGTGTATGGTTGATATGAGGATGGAGCTTGATAAGCTAGTGGAGGTGAAAAAGAGCTGGGTAAAGAAGGGAGTTGGTATTGGAAGAGAGCATATGAAGATGTGGAGTCAGATTGTGATGGTAAGGTTGTATAAACATATGGATATTAGTCCTGATGGTGAGATAAAAATGTGCGATTATTACCATATAGCAGTACTAGGCATACTAACTAGGATTCGGTAGAACAAATCATGATCGAACAGCTTTCGGAGCATGGTGTTGTCGCATCGGATCTTACACCGACATTGATGAAGAATGCGAGGGTTAAAAATCCGATGGCTGCCGAGGAAATGAAATCACCACGAGACTCGGTGTCGGTTTCGCGGCCCTCAGAGTTGAGAACTTCATCTACAGGCTCTTCGCCAAGCGTAACAAGAAAAGGCTCGCTCGACCACCGCGAGTCCGGAGATGGTTACTCTTACAGCCAACCAGGCCCCCCTTCCTACGAAAAGCATATGAATGACGAACTCCCCGCGGTTAGGACCCCGAGCCAGTTACCGGATTCGAAAACCTTAGATATCGATATTAGATGGACGGTGCTTTGTGATCTCTTCCTGGTGTTAATTTCAGATAGTGTCTATGACGCCCGGTCTAGAGTCCTTCTAGAATTAGTTGGAAAACACCTTAGTATATCTTGGATCGATATTTGTAGGTTTGAGAAGAAGGTAACAGACGCCTTGGAGATGCAGGAGAATGCTGCGCAGGACTGGAAGGAATCTGGTATCGTCGAGGATCGAGCAAGAAGAGCCAGGAATAAACGATTTGCTATGATGGGACTCGCGACACTTGGTGGCGGACTGGTTATTGGCTTGTCAGCCGGTTTGTTGGCACCGGTTATCGGTGCTGGTCTTGCAGCCGGCTTTACAACGATTGGGATCACTACTACTGGTGCTTTCTTGGGTGGTACTGGTGGTGCGGCATTGATTACTACGACTGCCGCCGTTTCGGGGAGTGCAATTGCTGGAAAGGCTGCAGGGAGAAGGACGAAAAGTGTCTCGGTATTCGAGTTTCGACCATTGTATAACAGTAAGAGGGTAAATCTTATCGTGACGATCAGCGGGTGGATGAATGGTAAAGAGGATGACGTGAGGTTGCCGTTTTCAACGGTGGATCCGATTATGGGGGATATCTACAGTGTGTTGTGGGAACCGGAAATGATGCAGAGCATGGGTCAGACTATTAACATTCTCGCGACGGAGGTATGTAGTTTTTTGCAGATGTTTTACGGAACGCTCGGGGAGAGTTTTGCTAACGAAGCATCTGAGAGCAGGTTCTTACACAGTCGCTGCAGCAGGTGCTTGGTAACACAGTTCTGATGGCGTTGATGGCATCTTTACAAGTACCGTTGATTTTAACGAAGCTGTCATACCTACTTGATAACCCCTGGAACGTATCACTTGATCGAGCTTGGGCCTCCGGACTCATCCTTGCGGATACCTTGATCCATAGAAATCTCGGTGTCAGGCCGATCACACTTGTCGGTTTCTCTTTGGGCGCAAGGGTTATCTTCTCGTGTCTGATGGAGCTGGCGAGGAGGAATGCTCACGGGTTGGTGCAGAATGTGTATATGTTCGGAAGTCCAGTGGTTGTGAATCATGATGAGTATATGGCTATCAGCGGCGTTGTGAGAGGACAATTCGTGAATGGATATTGTACTAATGATTGGATATTGGGTACGTATCTTTTCGGCTCCTAGGAGGGGAGGGGGTTATTTCTAGTTATGAGGCGGCTAACTATAGACCGGCTTAGGGTACCTTTTCCGAGCTACTTCCGGTGGTCTTGGGAGGGTGGCGGGGTTGGCAGCTATAGAAGGGATCCCAGGTGTGGACAATCTGGATTGTACGGAATATGTCATCGGACACATGGCCTACAGAACGGCAATTCCAAAGCTGCTCAAGAAGTTGGATTGGGAGATGTTATCCGAAGAGTTCACGGAAATTGAAGAAGCTGATCCAGACCAATTGAGAGAGAAGCAGACTGAGCTTATTAGCGAGATTGAAGCTGCTAGAAAAGAGCTGGAGAAAGAGCCCTCTAAAAGAAAGTGGGGTTTGTTTGGCAAGAATAAAGATGTGGCGAAGAAAGCGGACTGGGAGGTTTATACTGAAGAGAAGGGAAAGAACGGCGATGGAAGCGCAGCTGGTGAGGTTCTCCGAGACGGGGATGGATTGGACGATAGGGACAATGTCCTGTTTGACGTTGAAGCCATCAGGAGAGAGTTGGCGTTACAGGAGGTGGAGGATAGAGAAAAAGCAAAAGAGGAGAAAGAGAAGATCGGAAGCTACGCATATGGAACGCCGAAGATTGGGGGCGCTGCCGGGTCGCCTAATATTGCAACGCCAACTTATGATTCTATGGCAGATTCAATAAATGTGGTTAAATCACGGCCCGGAACTGGGAAGGGTATTCCGACGCCGAATCCAGCGGTTGGAGGGAAGAGCCCCGCTGGGACTGCGCGAAGTTCTAGGACCTTTAGCTTTGGGATATTCGGAAGGAAAGGAAGTGAAGACAAAAGCCAAAACGCTTCGAGGAATTCATCCCATGTGGATTTAAGTAGTACTGTGACCAGCGGTACTACAGCAGGAGGATATGGAAGCCATACACCTATTGGAGCAGGATCTTCGCCAGATCTTACGAGAAGCAGTTTACAGAAGAAGAGGGACAAGAGAGGAAGTTCAGGAAGTTTGGAACCGAAGAGCCCTTGGGCTGGGTATAGTTATGAAGATGAGTTCGGACAAGATGAAGGGAAAATTCAGATGACCTTTGAAGATGAAGGAGGTTCACCACCTTTACCACCTCCAAAGAGGGATATGGCCTCTTCTGGAGGACCAGGAGGTAGAAGGGCGGTTAGTTATTGGGGACAAACAAGTTCTAGTTCTGGAGTTGGTTTAGGGGTTAGAGGAACTTCTCCGGGACTGGGGGGCAGTGGTGGTAGTAGCCCTCGGGTTTCTTACGATGGGAGGGGAAGTGAGTGGAATAGCAGTAGTGGCGGTGGTGGTGGAGGAGGAGGAGGAGGAGGAGGAGGGGCGCTGCCAGTCTTGAATAAAGCGAGCGCAGGTGTCCCCGCGAGGAAAAGCAGTTTGGGCTATTATGCTGCGCCTGGTTACCAAAGGAATGGAAGTGAGTGGGGAAATAGCACACAGGGTAGTGTGGGTAGCGGGCATGGGCTTCTTGGGTCGGGTACTGGGAGTGTCAAGGTGAGGGGAAGGGAGAAAGCTTTGCCGAATAATCCTTGGATGGAAGAAGATGAAGATGAGTTTGGGAAGGAGAAAGAGATGACTTTAAGTTTTGAGTGATACTTTCTATTCATTCCACACGGGTTTAGTTTTGGTTCCATCCTCCCTCCTTGCCTTTAAATTTCGCAGGTTGTTTACGATGCGATATGGCGGTCAGTATTGTCATCGAAGCTGGTCCTTTTTTTTATAGCTGTTGATATGATACTGTATATCTTGGCATTCACTTGTTATTATGGCTTCATCGTGAGGACTGTCTCATTCATGTCTACTGGGGGTTACTGAGACTTTGGCTACCTATTTTCTACACGGCCGGACTTGGTCACTTCAAACGAGCTTTGTTCTGTCGCTTTTTGCACCTCGGTTTTGTTTATTTTTTTGGCGTCCTAGAAAGCGGACTTTTTGGTTATCGACCCCCCCTGTAGCTGCCGGCAAGCTGGCTTCTCCCTCTTTTTCGCTTTCCTCTTATATATCGATTGAATTCTTGATCGAATCTATTATCTTTTCGCAACTCATTTTTTTTTTAAGATTTCTGTTTGAAAAAAAGTGGAATCTCAAGGAGAGATGCCTATAGTTATATCACTGATTCAGAAATGGATTTTACTTTTATATATCCAATCGGAATGTTAACATGTTTCTAAGATGATGGGTAGAGACTTTATGGATAGGTTAAGCAATTTACTATAGTTTAGGGGATTTATAATTGAGATACATTGATGAATGGCCATTTACTTTTATACAAATACTTAGAGAGCTATGTTAGTATATTGCGATAGTTGAACATGATATCTTGTCTTGAGCAATTTGAGGGCCGAGGACAATCTGTAGTCCGAAATGCTGTTCGCCAACGCACGTTGAGTGTTGCAGTGCCCAATTAATCTTCCGGAGTCGGGCTAGACGGTCCGTCTCTGATAGCTACCTGTCACCGAGGATACGTACTGGCTATAGCTACCGTATGTCACGCTGAATTGCATTGGCAACCACCAATAACCTGATTCTTTGAAGAAGAAAAAACTGGGAAGAAGATCCTAAGATACATCATGGCTTACAACCTCATTTACCCTCCTAACACTGACAACGACGACAACGACGACATCATCAATACCGATTCGGTCAACCACGAGGTCAAAGATCAATCTACATTGGTAAGTTTACTTAATTCTTTTGTGATAAAGCGTTGTATCTGCACCGGCTTGATGCCGAAGACGGCTGTTGGAACCGACAGCTGGCTAGCTTGGGTGTCCCAAATGGGTGTGCTACCCCACAGTTCGATCGCCTGCATGGGCCACGACAGGGGCCTCCAATGTTTGGCGCCCGGCCTGATATCATACCCCTCTATCTTCTGCCTGGCCGGGGGTGATTTAAAGCAGCCTTTCTACTCCCCCGCAATTTATTTACTCTACCTACTTGAATTGTTTCTACGTCTTACCTCCTGGACATTTTATTTCAAATTGCAGGGGATATCTTCCTACCTACTCTCTCGAATTGATTCCTCAATTGCTAATAACTAGCTAGCACTCTTCTTTAAAACCTCAGAAATCATCCAAGCTGGCTAATAATAGCTGCTGTGGCGGAATGGGCGGAGAAACAAGAGCAATGAGCGGTTCTAGCTACCCTGTGCTGGCTACCCAGCCTAAGGGCCAGCAGATCCGGGATATTTACCGTGATCGATTGCGACAGTTTACCAGCGGTGGACAATACCAGGGCCAGAGTCTACCTGAGTATGTTTTTACCCATTCCGGCCCAACCTGGGCTGATGCTGCTCGGCCATTGCTAGTTATATAAAAAGGGTGTAAAACTGTGCTGACTTGCTGTAGTATGTACGATTCGGACCGCGAGGATGGTCACGATTATGTCCAACTCGAAGTCTGGTCCGTCCCGGGCATGGATCGACCGGCCTTCAAGCAAGCTACCAACGCCACGTATCGTCCGTGCAAGAAAGGAGAATGGTTCGGTCCTTCCTGGTCTACTCACTGGTTCCGTATCCATATCACTGTCCCAGACCGTATGAAAGATAAAGAGAACATTGAATTCCGCTGGGATGCCGATTGCGAATCAATGGTTTGGTCTGCGGACGGCGTCCCCTTACAGGGTCTCACCGGCAGTGGCGAACGTACCAAGTGGCTTATTCCAAAGAACTGGGCTGACGGCCAAAAGCACCTGTTCTATGTTGAATTGGCTTGTAATAAAATGTTTGGAAATACCAATGGTATTCAACCACCAAATATGAACGCGTACTTCAACCTTCACGAGGCGGATATCGTTGTCCCCAACACGGAGGCTCTTGCGTTGTATTATGACTTCTGGATGATCGGGGATGCAGCTAGGGAGTTCCCCGATGGGTCCCCGGAAGCGCATGAAGCGTTGCAGATTGCCAATCGGATCATGAATTGCTTTGTTCTAGGGGAGCAGAGCAGTATTACCAAGGGACGGGATATCGCGGCTGAGTATCTGGGGAAGTTGAGGGATTCGCACAAGGTCTATGAAACTGATAAGAAGCCCGTTGTTTTTGCGACAGGCCATTGTCATATTGATACATGCTGGCTTTGGCCATGGGATGAGACAAAGAGAAAGGTGGCTAGAAGCTGGAGTAGTCAGGTTGAGTTGATGGAGAGGTATCCAGAGCATAGGTTCACTTGCAGTCAAGCGCAACAGTATAAATGGCTGGAGCAATATTATCCACCATTGTACCAGAAAGTCAAAGAGAAGGTTAAGAGCGGACAATTCCATCCTATCGGTGGTAGTTGGGTCGAGCATGATACCAACATGCCAAGCGGAGAGAGTTTAGTTCGACAATTTTTACTCGGACAACGGTTCTTTGAAAGCCATTTCGGTAGCCGGTGCGAGACTTTTTGGTTACCAGATACCTTCGGCTACTCTGCCCAGATCCCCCAGCTTTGTAGACTTGCGGGGATGAGTCGATTTTTTACGCAGAAGCTGAGCTGGAACAATATCAACGAGTTCCCGCATACTACTTTCAATTGGGTTTCATTAGATGGGACGCAGGTTTTGTGCCATATGCCGCCTAGCGAGACCTACACAGCTGATGCGCACTTTGGAGATGTCAAGAGGAGTATGTCACAACATAAGAGTTTGGATCAGGATAATACCAGTTTACTGGTCTTCGGGAAGGGTGATGGTGGCGGTGGACCCACTTCTGAGATGTTAGAGAAGTTGAGGAGGTTGAGAGGGATGTCTGATACTAGTAAGTGTGTTCCTCTATGTCACTAAAAGAAAGGAGACACCGCTGACCTTCGGGTAGTTGGATTGCTTCCACGCGTCCACATGGGCGGTTCCGTCGATGACTTCTTCAGGGCTCTTGAAAAGAAGGTTTCTGAGGGTACCAATTTTGTCACCTGGTATGGTGAACTTTACTTCGAGCTTCACCGCGGTACATATACAACGCAATCTAAGACGAAATGGCATGTTCGTAAGGGAGAATTCCTGCTCCACGATATCGAATATGTTGCTACTCATGCCAGTCTTGCGAATAGGGATTACAAATATCCAAAACAAGAAATCGATGACTTGTGGGAGAATATGTGTCTGTCACATTTCCACGATTGCTTGCCTGGTAGCTCTATCGAGATGGTGTATCAAGACGCAGATAAGATGTTTGATGTTTTCTTTAGTAAAGGCAAGAAGTTGCTCAAAGACGGGCTTAAGGCTTTGGGAGTTTCCGAGGACGAAGAGCAGGGCTGCCGGCCGGTTTCCATCAATACCCATGGATGGGAGAGAGGAGAGATTGCGGCGATTGGCGAAAAATTGACCTTCGTGCAGCATGATGGATTTGGGGCAGGAAAGGTTGTTGCGAATGAGGAGCCCAAGGTTTCCGTGAAAGAAATTGAGACTGGAGTATTTGAGATGAAGAACCAAAGGTTTAAGATCATCATCACAGATGGGTTGATTACTAGCCTTTATGATACCAGGGTTGGTAGGGAGTTGATCCCCGCTGGAAGAAAAGCGAACCAATACGTTATCTTTGATGATAAGCCGTTGTATTGGCAAGCTTGGGATGTAAGTTTTCTCTCCTGTTAATATTCCTCTAACCATTTAGAAGTTGTGATGATTAACGACGGAGTATAGGTGGAAGTCTACCATCTTGACCAACGCAGGGAGCTCACGCCAGACAAGGTTACGATCTTGGAGAACAGTACCAATAGAGTTTCCCTACTCATTGAAACTAAGATTAGCGATTTCAGTTGGCTCAAGTCTACGCTCTCTCTTGATGCGGATATCCTTGCGGGTGCCAGCGTTGAGGACGCGTTGAGTTTGATTAGGGTTGAGTGTGAGGTTGAATGGCATGAGACGATGAAGTTTTTGAAGGTTGAGTTCCCGGTTGATATCAAGAACACTGAGGTCAGTTTTATCTTTCCCCATTTGATATTATGGATTTATTGAGGGAGCGGAATGTTTGCTAATTGCTTGGGTATTATGTTCAGGCGTCTTATGAGTGTCAGTACGGTATCGTCCGTCGGCCAACTCACTACAATACATCATGGGATATGGCGAGATTTGAGGTCTGTTGCCATAAGTGGGCTGACTTGAGCGAATATAACTATGGAGTTGCGATTTTGAATGATTGCAAGTACGGATTCGCAGTTTCAGGAAATACCATGAGGCTCAGTTTGATCCGTGCGCCAAAGGCTCCTGATGCACATGCGGATATGGGAACCCATAAGATTCGATATGCGATTGCACCCCATGAGGGACCATTGGATCACCGCGTGATTCGTGCAGGATATGATCTCAACAATCCGGTTATTGTGGGCTTTACCAAGTCAGAACAAGTTGCGGCCAAGGGCGTTTGGTTGACGGGAGACAAGGGGGTTATATTGGATCATGTCAAACGTGGAGAGGATGACGAAGAATTCGAGAATACTATTGTCAAAAGAAAGGGGAGGAGTGTGGTTGTTAGATTGTTTGATAGTTTGGGAGGTAAGAGCAAAGTTGGGATTAACAGCTCGTGGGAGGTTAAGAAGGTTACGAAGTGCAACCTGTTGGAAGATGATGAGGAGGAAATTGAGGTTGCGAAGAAGGATGGGGTTTGGACTGCAGAAGTTTGGGTCAGGGCTTTTGAAGTTGGGACTTATAGGCTCTGGTTGTAATCGAAGGTATTCATTTTAGTGGATTGTTAGGCTTGGTCCTATGATATTACAGGTACCAACGCTAGGAAATAATTATGGTAGGTAAGTGGGTTATGAATTTTGGGTTTTAACTTTAGTATGAAGTGGACTTTTAGTTTCGTAGTCACCTTCCACTGAGAGGAGGGAGACTACAGCCAATGGAATGGAATCGTGGATTATCATTTTCAATTTTCAATTATCAAATCGACAAATGGCAGTTGAAAACTAGCTCCGTGATGAAAGTGCGATCGTGTCTGACCCAAAAGTCGCTATAATTGCACTCGCATATACATAATACAGCTGTTTTAGTCTCGGGGTCCAATTGCGAATAAATTTATAAATTTATAGTCACATATGTATGCATGTTCAAATTACCAATTTAATTATAAGTTGCAATACTATAGTTCTGGTTTACTGTTATTTGAACATTTCTATTATAGTTAGTCCTAGGCCCAGACCAGTCCTAGGCCTGTCTATTGACCTGCTTTGTTTATTGCATCGACTTGTTTAGTTTTTGAATTGTCTGTCAGCTACTGAACTTCTATTCAATGAATTGCTTTTATACCTACTCGTACCTAGCACATTTAACTACTTAACTAGTAATTACCTAGAATGTTTATTAGTTAAGGGATAAATTGTTTATTTAGTGGCCGTTAGCATACTAATCGGAGAAGGGGCCAACTGCCAGGCTACCGACAACTGAACTTTTAGCTAGTGAGCAGCCTACTTAACTACTAGGCAACCTACCTAGGTGCTATCCCCCGCGCGCCCAGTGGGTAGTTAGTATACTGAACTGCTTACAAAATTACCTATTGGTTGTCAAGCTAGTTAACTACTTATTAGCCAAACTATTAGACAACTCATTCTTGTTAAGCATACTAATAGTCCGGTAGCTTCAATAGTTATATAATCGGGTAGGTGGGTAGTTTACTTACCCGGCTGCTGTTCATTATATTAACAGGCATAGCGATGGTTGATTGGATAGCCAACTGAATAAGCGTATCAGGAACTAGAAAAATGAATATCTAGATAGTTAACTCTAATCTTTAGTATGGATTGCCTTATTATAGGCCTGATAAGATTCTTCCTCTGTAGTTAACTTGACCATTTAACTAGTACTAGTATATGTAAATGTATAGTGACATACGCTTCACGGTAAGCGCTATGCACTAACACCTGTTCCGCGGATTCGGTCCTGGGATCCTTTAGAAAACAATTCGTTAGTTCTACTTTGGATAGAAAAGGAGTGCAGTCAGCGCTATCGCTGATAAACATATCGACGTTTCTTCACGCGTATCATAAAGAGGTAGAACTTAAAATGAGCCAAGGCTGGCTGGCGTTTAAAGACGCAAGACCAAATACTAGACGGAAAATATAATTTGGTTTCGTGCGAAAGGATAAAGTTTGAGGATGTCATCTCGTGCCCAGATTGGCTTCAGGACAAAATTTTACCCCTAACGTGCATACGAATAACGTAACTGGTTTGGAGGCGCGAAGAATCATGATTTTAAACTTCTTCACCGAGGTACTACCAGACCTAGTATAAATTTACATTCCATACCAACTATGACCAACACCCAAAATATGCCCGAAGACTCGTCGTGACCCCACTATACATCCACGAAAATCAATCAAGAGCTTCAGATTCCAGATAACACACCGAGTCTCTTGGGAGACCTGACCTGGTTGCGCTAGCCCCAAGTAATTTATCACGGCAGAGAAGAGTACGCCGTACAATACAATACACGGGCCCCAAGGAGAAGAGTATGACTATAATTTGTACGACGCAGCTATACGATCTAACCACTGAAGATCTCATAAAAGCAAATGAGATAGACTAAATTCCATTGATGGTCTTGGGAGCCCGCCAAGTTTCCTGTCACGATTCGAATTACACTGGTGGCGTTGCTGTTACGTACGCGGACGACCGATGTAGGCACAGTTGGCGTCTTGTGTACCGGAGCTGAGGTCTCATAGTTTTTTAAAGTTCATCTTCTGTTAGGATCATATTCTAGAATGGTCACACTCCATTGCTTTCGTCCTTAGAACACGGGATGATCTCCACTTATTACTCTAGATCGAAGATACCGAGCAGGAGCATCTTTTGCTATCTGCCAGTAGTACTATCGCTTAAGCTTTGGTTATATGTATTAATACGTATTAATCTCCTTTGTTATGATCAAGTGTTCTAGGCAATGCCTCTAGGCTATAGACATACCTAATATAGGTGCCTACTAAGTTCTAATTTAATCAATATCTCCTCATATAGCTATGATTTGCAAAGGGTACGGTCCCTATAGCCCATGGATATGGCTTTAAAATCAAATCCATTAATTACTATGGATATCTCCCACTAATTTGGACAATTTGAGATTTCAATTTACATTTCGAAGATATCCACGTATAAATGGATATAATACAATCACCCGCGGATCTCTGTTTTTGCACCAATTTCCTGATGTTCTTCGGAACTTTATTAAAATATTCCTTTTTCACTCATCACTCATCACTCATCACTGATCTTCTTATAGCTATATATATCAGCATACACATGCACGTCGGCCAGTACTAGAATGCGGCCCTAGAGACATTCTATGTTCTCCATAAGATCCCTCAATTCATACTCTACTCCCTTATTCTCACTTGCGCATAGGTTTATAAGCGCAAGGTTTCCTTCTTTTTCCTTTATTTTATCTTTAGTATAATATTCTCAGGAGGAGTTTGCAATGATTGAGCGACTGGCTTATTCCGTTGATGGGCATCAAAGGCAAAAGTGTTGATCGAACAACACCGACATAAAATACCACACTCAACCGCGTTGCTCTCCTCCTTCCTCAATTGGAGCCCGCACTACAGGCGCACGCATGCCTGAATCGAACAGTCTAATTACCTAAGTGCGTTATAAGTTCTTGAATAGACTAATTGAAGGGAACGAATTAAATCCAGAATCATAGTCCAATATAATTTCATTATTGTGAAAAAGGATATATCTCACCGAAGGGAAGTACTGAAACATGGAAAGTCCTAAATACCTATTAATACTAGCTGACAAATTTGAACTATGAAATGACAACTAGCTACTGCAAATGCAATGCACGTCATGAGCCCCGAGTGCGACTCCTAGAAAAAAAAACCATAAGGCGCAACTTCTGCCTTGTATACACATACCCGCATTGGAATTAAGAAACAGAAAAACAAATACAATGGAGCCTCCTACATATAATCTATGACATGCATGAAACATGCATTCATCAAGGTTGTACAAAAACCAGTACAAACCCTTGCATACTGTCATATCCATTCATGCACGGCCTTTTAGTACTCATTTTTAGGAAGTGTTATTAGTACTTCCAGAACCATTTTTCTTATCCAGTTCTTCCAGTTTGCGCCAGATAGCTGCGAGAGGTGTACCAGCGTGAGTTTTGTGGGAGGGATTGGATTTATGACTCGATTTGCTCGAAAAGTCCTCGTCAGAAGGAGTTTCTTTCGAGGACTTTGGGGCTCTATTGATGCTTTTTTTGTTGTTGCTGGGTGATTGCGGGAGCCCTTTGCTTGGATTTGCCTCTGAATCCTTCGTACTGCGGATAAAAGTTCTAATTCCAGGACCAGTGGAAGTGCTGTTTTGAACAGATCCTCTCCTTAAAGTGAGGTTTTTTGGAGGGATTTGTGGGGGTGGTGGTCTATTTGGGCTTGACGTGATGGTGCTTGTGACAGTGGTTGTTCTTTGAAGGACTGGAGAGTTTGTAGGAGTTGCAGTTGTGGAGGTTGTAGAGGTTGTAGTATCCAACGGCGGAAGTTTTGGTTTACGATGAAGACATAGGCGAAGTACTGGTAGTGGTGAAGGGGGTGGAACAAAGGCTTGAGATTTGGAGAAGGATGAAGGGCAGAGTAGGGCGCTTGGGGAGTTAGGTTCCTCTTGGATGGGGGTGTCCGGGCTTACGGGGCTGTTCTGGGATGTACGGGGCTTTGGGGCGGGGCTACCCGGGATTTTTACGGACGGGGGACAGGGTAGCGGGGCGCTACGTTTTAATTCATAGACTATTGCAGTACCCCGGACGAGGATTTTGGGGGTCGGAGTGCTATAGTATAGTATTGGGGTTATGGGGATTATGATTGCCTTTTCTTCGATGTTTTTTACGGGGATCTGGCCGATGATGAGACCATTATCAGTACGGCGGATTATGGGGAATAGATCGAAGCCTGTGTTTGTGGTATCCGTATTTTCGAATTCCCGGGTTTTAAGGGATGCGAGGGAGATTTTCAACTGGCTTTGAAAGAAGTTCAGAGATACGGCGAGGGCTGAGTACCTTGCTCTAATCGCTGAAATTAAGGTGGTGAGGGTTCTGTAGTTTAGTTTGATTTCTGAGGCCTCAGCCGAATCGAGCTTGAGGGCTTGGGAGACGGGGTCTAGGGTAATCTCATTCTCTGGGGGTGTATTTAGGAAGTGTGGGGAAGGACGGGAGGGACAGGGGAGTGGCTGGAGAATTTTATGCCAAATTTGATATTGGAAGTAGGGGAAGAATATTTCTGAATCCAAAGTTTGGTTTTGGAGACAATGTCTGAAGGAGGAGAGTGCGTTTACGTCGATGTTCTGGTTTTGATGTTAACTTAGTAACGCATATTGAAAGTGTATTTGGGTTTGATAGAAAATAGGGCAGAGGGCCAATATATATACCTTCATGTAGAAGTCGCAGTAGGAAACCCGGAAAGCGATGCCGTTTGAAAGTTTTTCGATGTCTTGAACGATAGTCTTGAATTCCTTGATACTAATACCCCACCGGGTTGTTATATTAGTAATACTACGGATGAGGGACTGAAATTTCTTCAGGAGGGACATACAAAAACCTTTCAAGGTTATCAAAGGCTGTGTTCGGGAGATCAGGCAGATCTTTAAGGTGATTTAGTGAAGCCTCTACGCTTGACGGTGGAGTGTAGCTGCCCCCATCTTGTTCAATGTCACAATACCAGACATTTATATCGATACTACCACGATGTTGGGTAAATTCCCAGACACCAGCACAGTATTTGCAGTTTCTAATAATGTTTTTGACAGTGCTGGCTTCATCTTGGATTATTTTGCATTGTTTGATGGCTTCATCCCGTTCTTGGGAAGTCCTTTTGAGACGGGATTGGAGGTCATGAATCTCGTGGCTTTGGTTTTGAAGTTTGGAATGGATGCTTGTGGTTTCGAGGGCCCGCTCTTCCAGTTTGGCTTGGAGTTGATCTTTTTCGAAGATCAGGTGCGATTTTTGATCTAAATTGCGATTAGTGAAGATAAATAAATATTTAACTATATATGTAAAACTTCGAATTGAGTGTTGATGCAGTCTGATCATACGGGTATGAGGCTTACCTGTAAGGCTCTCGACTTTGGTTTTATGGTTTTGTAGTTTGAGACTCACATCTGCAATTTGGTTTTGAAGGCTCTCGATTTCGACTTTATGACTAGCGTCCGCTTTTTGAATACCAACCAGAGTTGATCTTTCTCGTTCTGAAAGCTCCTTTTGTTGGTTTCTTTCCATATATTTAATTTTCTTTTCCAACTCTGAGATACGATCCTTTAGAACCTGAACCTGCGATGTTGAGATCTCGCCAAGACAGCTTGTAGATATGGCTGGGGACTTCGCAGTATTTCTTGGAATGCGAGTCTTAACAGCTGTGATACTAGAACTTGTTTCGATCTTCGCCTTAAGTTTCTTTTGCATCTCCGAATGCTCTTCCAAGTACCCGTCAACTAGCTTCTCCACATCACTAGCACACTTTGAAATTTCAGAGACTCTATCCCGTAACATTTTCCCATTAACCGCAGTAGTATTAGTATTAGTATTCTCCCAATCTATATCTCTAAACTGTGGCTTAGCACCGTTAGAGCCCAACTTTGCAGTCGGAGATATTTCTTCCGCAGTACTGTATCTACGGCTTCGGCTGTGAGGTGGGGAAGAATAGTTTTTACTAGGTGGTTCAACCGGGGTACTCCAGCGTTGAATACGGGGCTGGGATATCTGTGGATTTTCAGCGGTAGTAGTCGCTAGACGATTATGCTCTTGATAGCTGTTCTGTGGCATGTCTTTGGTTTTGGTACGTGAATGATATGATGGGGTTGGAGTATTGGAAAAATAGTTCAGATGGTCTATAACTTCGTAGGCCGAGACGAATGAAGAGGAAGTCGAGGGAAGAGACTGTGGGGCTCTTTTGGGTTTGCTGGATAGGTTACCCATTGTTTTATTTTATTAATTATTTATCTTTTTTTTTTGGTTTCGAATTTCGTTAATAGATCTGTGACAACTGATCGGTGCGATATTGGCAATTGTTTAACTTTTTCTTGTACAGGATCTTACAGATTTGCGGGGGCAAGCTGGGTCATAGATTTTGGTTTTGAATGCTATGGCACAGTAATTTGGGATCAAGTCAGTCGATCTGACTATTTACTAATTTTTCAAGTCAACGGGAAGGTGCTTTTTAGTGTAAAATTATTTTCTGAAGCGTTCATGATATCGATGGTTAGGGTAGTCTCAATAGCAGCGCATGCCAGGACATTCCATCGTTTCTTGACAAGAAATATCGAAATGTCATGACAAGGCGTATGGTAGCAATGTCACTAAATCAATATTATGCGAAGTGATTTGATACAACTATGTGGCATACGTAACATTGTCATACAGAGCAAACTGCCAGCAGTAATGCTTGTCTGATCACGCAATATCTTTCACTTTTCGAACGTGGAGCTTAATTCAACGTCCATCCACTCAAAAGATAATGTCGATATAGCGAGCTGTAAGATACGAATATAAGGGCTCTATTTGGTGAGATTGATGTGGTTCTATTGTGCTTGTGCAACGACTATTGATACTTAGGATAACGTCGCCTCAGGTTACTCATAATTACTTCTATTATATCATACATACGTGTTCGGAGTGGTTACGCTTGTAGGACTCGAGTTGAGGTTTGTTTGTTTGTTGAATCATCATATGGGAGTTTAGATTAGACTTTTAATTAAACTTTGGTATCGACAGTTTTTCTTTATGCTAAATTCTAGAGTTAGAACGTGGCATTGGTGATATATGGTTGTACAGCCACCAGGCCTATGCTTTCATAGACGGGGATGTGTTTCAGTCGGTGGCGGATGCCGAGAGTATTACAATTAAGATATTCAAGCGTGAGAACTTTATAATTTTTCCTTAAGATTTAAAGGATCCCGTGTACACGTGCTAAGTTTATCGGTACCGATGTGGAACTTAAATTTTTGCGAAGATAAATCCAACTGGAATGATAAATATATTGGCCATGATAAAACTATAGAAATAAATAAGTTCTTGGTTTATTCATGCAGATTTAAGCTTCCCATGGGTATGCTAGCGACAGGGAAGAGAAAATGGGGAACATATATTGCGCATTTCCCCTACCACTGCATCTGTATATCATGATAAGGTGGCCACCGGGCCCGAGATATTGATCTGAGGCATCCTACTAATAACTATCATCTACGGGCCTCTATCTGGGATCGGGGTCTCGAAGCTTCCCACCCATACTATTCCGGGGGACGGTCATTTAAGTAACGAGCATCATAAAACTGAAAACTATGGCATCCAACAGGAACTCTTCCCTGTAGCCGCATTGCGCAAGCCAAAACGGAAGGCTAACTGAGCGAACCAACTACAGATCTTGATGGTCTAGTGTTACAAGAAGACTGTGAATAAAAAAAAAAGTTATTTTGGACAAGCTGCACGTTTCCCTCTCATAACACCCCACGGAGACCGAGACTCAACAACCTGTGACATGAGCATGGCATTTATATGTCGGAACTGCAACGGCTTTTGCCCTGGTGGCGTCTTAATCTCGCTTCCGTTCTCATGAGTCTATGCATGGATGCATGTATAAAGGCATGTGGATGTTATACTTACTTTTATTTATAGGGGTCCAACGGCTGCTCGCCCGCACATACACGTACATGCGGACTCAGAGGTAGTGGAGTAAACGTACAATGAACAGGTAATCCTTGCTCCGAAAAGAAGCCAAAGGAAGTGAGACATCTGTGTCTCAGTTGTTTATTGGTATATAGAAGACCGAATTAACGGTATATCCTGTCGCACTATGTCTACAAGCGTGGGGCAGCGATCGATCGGTGTAATAGGCACTGTTGACAATAGTGCATTGGGCTGCTGATCGTTACGCATGCTCCTCATGCATCTCCAGGGCTCGGTAAATATGCACGATACCGGGGATTCTTTCGCATTTCCCATCCAGTTATATTTGCAATTAAGGTTATAACTGACAGCACTAGAACGCTATCAGTCCACCGAGAACTTGTAACTTAAGACCTCTGGACTTCGGTTGGCGCACACTGGCTTGTGACCTTCCTTGGAGAAAAAAAGAAAGAAAGAATGCGAAAATGCGAGATGCATACTTACAAACGCCCCGCGGAATGTTTCAAATTCTAGGAGCATACGGATAATTCACATTTACCTATGCAATGCTGCATGTTGTGCGCATAAATCTCGAAAAAAAACAAAATGTTGGTGGTGTTGAGCAGCTCCTTGAACTGCCGCTGGTTTCTAGATTGGTTTTCTAAAAATGGTCAGTGATTGGCCCCTGTCGCTTCAAGCACGGGCTTCTAGAAAACTTGCTGTCCTTGAATTCAATGGCAATGGGCGCCACGAAATAGGCAGCAAATTGATCGGTGAGCTTTGACCTAACTTATGCTGGGATTCAATGTTGCCCTTACGTAGATGGGATTATTCTGGTCAAATGAGGGAATTCAGCTCCAAAATTCAGCTCAGGTACCTCGATGTATCGTAGTAGGAACTTTACGCAATCGCAACTCTTTTTATTGGAGCGAATACATTGACATCTAGCAACGATAGCACATCGGCGTCTTTGTCGCGGCCGGGGCTGACATCAACTATCACGAGGAAGCATACGAGATTGTCATCTAAGTCTATAGACTGGTTCCGGTTCTACCGGGTAGGCCCCGATGGCAGAATAGCACCACTTAGTTGTACATGTTGTGATAATAGTCTCCGGACCAAACATATCTCAGGATAGCTCCCATGTTTAGGGAATACGTTTATCAGCCCGCCGTTTAAGTTCACGATCGGGGAAGAGATAAGAATGCTATTTGATCGTGACGCGCGATCGTGTTAGATCCTTTGCCATACATATTATAAGTATGTTCGGCGAAATATGTTCCAATAGTTCCGATTGTTTTCCCAGACAAGTGCTCGTCGGCCCCAAAATATACTCGGAAACACGCTTGAAAAGCGAATTCACATTATCGTTTGATCCCTTAATTAGGTTCTTGGCAAGTCCGAGCCGGACATGCCGGTGTGGATTTCCTCCTGCATTTTCATCGGTTTTGATGGTTGGTTCGTGATCCCTGCAAAAGTTCTGGCAGTTCCGACTTGCTACATCACCACACCTCCTCTGACGATTTTTTCAGAGTAACTTGTGAATACTGAGGAACTATGATACTAGGAAACGCGATAATGATGCTTGGGAAAACTTCCGGTTAGAATCGCTTCCATGAGGCCGCTGTGTAATATTAGACTGACGCTAGGTCGATTTTGTCTGCTGAAGGTAGAGCACAGGGCGGAATTTGAGCTCACAAAGTTGAAAATCTCAATTGCCTATTTGACAATCAGTCTATCCAGCTCGAAGCAAGCATCCCGCTTCAAAAATAACTGTTTGCTAGTACAGACATAGCCTTCTAGAAGGATTCTCGGTGTCACGAAAAAGTTTTCCGGGGCGGAAACTATCGCACCAATGAGTAGACGTCTACCAGATCCCTTCCGGCGCGAAAACAAGTGGAAGAAGACGCCTTAAGTCTCTAGAAGAGCTGGATTATGCATTGAATATACTTTTTGCCGTCGCCGGTTATTCGGAAATCTGCAATGCTTTGACCACGCCTCGTCGTGTTTTGAGCTAACCTGCTAGTCGGGAGGGGCGGAGCCCTTTTTGTGTGTTGACAGTGGTAAATGATAAAACAACACCAAAACCGTTATTGGAACTTCGTCCGTGAAACCCCAGCACTGGGTGTATCAGCTCTAATATAGATCTTTTGTATTGCAGTAGCCCGATCCAACCAGCTGGATCCATGGATCCTGGCTACGCCTCGGGGCTTCCGGTCTATTAGTTAACCCCAAGAAGCCTTAGATCGGCTATAGATTCCTTCAAGTCTGGTGACATCACCTTTACGGTTGTCGGATTCAATCGATTGAGATCTAGCTTCGTCCGGTTTAATTGATAACATTCCAATATGTATAGAATTCGCTTAGATTTTGTGGTATGACATTTTTGCGGGTCGAAGTCACCCCGGCCTTGACTAAGTCGACCGTTGGAAAGCCGTTGACGATTCCTGGAGCTTGAGCGGTATCGGAACATGATTGGATAACAAACCCAGAGTCGGAGTCGCTAGTGACTTGGCAGCGCAAGTACAGCTGAACCTGCTAACTTTGACTTCCGTCCATGGTCAATGAGTCCCGACAAATGACTTATAGATCCACTCCTTGATCTAGCATAACGGGTTTTAGACATATATCTGTCGCGAAAGCGAAGCCCTGCAGGGCTCACATTAAGCGCAAGCTGGCTATCACTCATGCTGGATGCTCGCCAGATTGTAATCTATATGGGTATATGGACTCAGACAATCATGTGCGTTTAAATGACCCTTGCACCACATAATACTTTTTGTACTCGCCGCACGGTTTCGGATAGGGACGAGACTGAAGCGACAACCAAGAGAGAAAAAAAGAATTATCGAGCGCGCGTCGCCATTCCGATTGCCTGAAAGATTCAAAGAATCTTTTGTGAAATTAAGTCTGTACATAATTACCCACAGTAAACAGAGGTCGAGTTCGCCGCCGATTACGCCTAGCGAGATTCGTACTTTCTGTACCGGTAAGAATTTCCTGCTGTGGATATCCTAAACCAGTGTTACGATCAATTGGCACCTGGGGTGAGCTAAGAGCAAACTAATGCGGCCCTCGTCAATCCAATGCACTCGGTGCGCTGTCCGGGTCGTCATGTATGCCAGCGCTCCTGTGCTTCGGGATGACGAACTTCTGTCGAAGCAAAGACCAGTTGCGTCGGCCCCAAACTAGCCAGTTTGGAAACGATTTTTCCTTAACTCTGACTTTCCTGGCGTGCAGAAGGTGGCGATGCCGAAAACGGAAGAAACAGCCAAGCTAACCCTTGCAGCAAACCATTGCAACACCGAGCTTAGCACGTTTCAACGATGCTCAAATTAAGCCTCAGCACCGATAATACCTGAAAGTTTAGGCTTTCCTGTAACCGAATCTTTAAAATTCGATTACGACCTTTTTTCCTAGTTCCGACGGGGGAAATCCCAACGGGGTGGCCTGGGAGGCCTGTTGGCAGAGCTAATTCTAAACTTAGGCGAGTCGTCGTGACAAGACCACCTTTCAGCCCCATGCTAGATTTCTGCCCGGGCCCACCACATACCACACAATCTTTCACCTAATGTTTCTCAAACTAGCCTTTTCCATTGGTTGTTTTCAAGGATGCCAAAAAGTAGAATTTACCAAAGGAGCGCCCAAGTGTCTTCAACTCGACGAATCGACACAAAAAAAAAAGGAAGAAGAAGAAAAAAGTACTACTGTCAACAGTCATGGATAAATCCTTGGTATACGCCTTAGGACTGACTACCACGATGCGATGTGATTCGATAATATGGCAATGCGGCCGGTACGCCCGAATACCTGGTATTCTCCCCGAACTGGCGGGGCCACCCCATTATCTTATATTTGAACGCTATTGGAGCCGTTCAGAGTTATTCTACATCAAAATCCGTTCTGCGATTCTACCCGGGATAAAAATCGATCGCCGAAGTCATTCCATTACTCTGGGCCTTCCCTGTCCAAGCATTAACCTTTCTTTTTTATTTTCTTCAACATCAGGATCAATTTTGTGTGTCAATAAATTTATCTATCTTCGAATTCTTTAGATATAAATATACGCTATCCTGTGAGACTTATTATAATCATCAACCATCGGGAGCTCATCCGCGCTATACCTACAACGAAGAGATAGCATAAAGATTTCCAAACCATCTTAGTCTGGACGCCCTCATACCCCACACTTGACCTTATTTATACCACAGCCTTTCCATCCACTCCGCTTAAATGCAATCCGAATACTTCCTCAACAATCCAGTTCATTATACTGGATACTCTTCTCAATACGACGTCAACTACGGAACTTGTAACGAAGTAGCTTACAGCTCCTCGCCCGAGTGGTTGCACGAACCATCTTGCACATACCCAGCACAGTACTACGATATGTCGACTTCTAGACGAGGAGATACTTACGATGAGATTTGCGAATACTATTGCGTATGTCCTCTAGCTACTTAGGAACAGTTCGACCCGACAACAATATTGACTTTCTACGCGTTCTAGATCGAGCCTGGATGTGGCATAATTCATGGAATCACTTTGCAAGACTATACAGCGGGAAAACTAAGCAAGAATGATGTTCATCGACTTATACAAATCAACACTGGGTTCCGATGTCCGGCACATGAACCGACCTTGACAAGATCCAACGTTCTCGTGCAGTGGGAGATCCCACCGGGGACACCTTTCAGCGAGTCCGTTCAACTTAGTCGGGATACAAAAACGCCAATCCTTTGCCCGGAAAAGGGGTGCGGGCAACATTTCAAGACGAGGAGCGAGTTCAAAAGGTGAGCCGAACCTACCTGCCTATGTCGGTTTGGGAACGTCGGGCTAACACACAATCCTAAAATTCTAGGCATCTTGCTGGGATCTTTCGTCCATTCTATTGTCTACGAGGAAACTGTTGCATCGATGGTGTTCCGTGCCGCAAGGGTTTTGGTAGAATCGAAGAGGTGATCAACCATTTGAGGAATGAGAATGGACAGCACCATGACGCGGTTCGCTACCGACCGGTAGAGGGCTGGGATTTCCGCCGAAAGACACAGGAGGAAACACAGGAAGTTCTCGATGTAAGTAGTAATCATTTTAATTCCCTGCTATACGATGTACTGACATTTTGTCTTTAGTCTCTCGATGTGATTCCTTCTGAGGAGCTTTATTCTTGGTACGGTCTATCTCGATACTAGATTTCCACCAAGGGTGTCAAAAGCACACCACATCTTCCCTTACACACCGCCATACACAATCAAGAACGGCGTAATATATCGACCTTTTACCGCCACAGCACTGTCATAAAATATCTTCATTTTTAGCGACGGAGTTTCTTTGCAACAAATTTCCTACATCGATTCGATAGCGTCTGCGAATAGCACGAAAGAGTAGAAATGGCCAAATCCAAATTCGTTGGAGAGGTTTTCGCCCGCAATGGAAATACGTTGCCACGAACGCTCCAGCAAATCCTTTTTCTTCCCATTTCGCAGTTTCCTATCTTTGTACCATGTTTGTCTTCTATTCCTACATCCCTTGCATTTCTTCTGTCAATTTTGCTTGGATCATGTTTTTCGCCTGGTTTGGAGTTTCTTTGTTGAGTTTTTCGTACCACCACATGAAATTTCTCTTAGTTTTGATTTGTTGTAACTGGATATTATTCGGATAGGACTGGCTTCTACAGCCGTGATAGCGTTAGAAATTTTGCGGCTTACCTTCAGCATTTTAGACAATCTTAATACAATTTATATGATTCCGAATACATATTCTACTATAAAATAGAGGCCCGAATCATGATTGATGGTATCGGACGCCGAAATAAAAACAATCCTTGATACCATGATACTTAACCATCAAGAATATCTAGAAAAAATGGGTAGACACTCACGATGAACTAGAAATCCATTACCTTTCAAAATAACACATGAACAACAAACCAAGTACCACAATTGTACAACAGTCAATCAGTTTGAAGTATATGTTCACCAATTTACTGCCGCTGGGCCGAACGTGCCGATATGATCTGACTTCGAGCTTTACAAGCACTGAAAGCAAGGCTAGGTAAACTATAACCCGACGACAGGTCCTACCTTCCATACTGTTCGAATTTACTGGATGCTGGCTACCGGGAAGGAGTTATCTTACATCATTGAGTGCGACACGTACTCACTTAGAGGCCTAAATTTGTTCACCTAATCGCCTTTGCATAGTCTGGTTTTTGACGGGGAGTCCTCTATGATAATGTGCCAGCACTTACCTCCTTCACGTGGCTAACATGGCCGCACATGATATCCCCACACTCCGTGTACATCGTCCCTTAGAAGACTTTAGCGAGAGTAGTGGTTGAAGTCAGAGGCAAGTTCGAGCTGAAGTGGATATAGTGGGGTTATGTACGCGCGAGAGTCAAATGCAGGTATTGATGCGTCATGTCCTGGACTAGACAAGATACCGGATTAACATTGCGGGGCTCGCTCTATCTATCAGAGCGCGGCCCGACTCAATTACTCCGTATTTATGTGCCTTGTGTGCCACAAACTGTACAAGGTTTCTTCAAGACGATGCCATAACTAGCTTAGCTGGGCCGCGATATTGCATTCGGATGCTTCCCGTGCAGATATCACACTTATCCCAAATTGGCAATGCTGCATACGTGCATACCTATTTCAATTAATATTTATGATAGCATCTGTAGATTGACGTGGGGTGCTATATACAAGCCCAGGTGCTAGCTGGCTAATGCCTCAAAATCCCATGTTCAAAAAATTTCGAGTCCTCAAGTACTCTGAGGCTGATGGGGACTAAGAGACACTAAACATTATTGAGAATTGAGAGTTCTAGATGCCCGTGTTGTCAAATGTGGAGCAAGGCGATCCAAAAGGTTGAATGTTCTTAACATGCAACACCTTAGCTAACCCGAAGATTCCATTGCTTGATCAGTCAGGCCAGTCTCTTACTATAATATATTAATATACACCAGTATTAACCGCTTAGCTTTGAATGATATTAAATATCAATAAAAAAGTCTTTTCGGTCTTAAAGCTCGGGGGCTTGGTTGATAAGAGGCTCTATTTAATTGTTCAGCCCGAACAGTCCGGCTCCATTTAAAGTTACAACGTGTTGGTTTTTATAGCATGCTGATATTTGATATACTCTGTCTCGATTGCAATGCAACCTGTTTTGGATACAATAATCATGAGCCTGGTTCATCTCCGTATTCGTGGCTTAGATCCTTCTCTTCTTTGTCTACCTATACTGTATGATATTTTATTATTCGAATTTTAATTTTCTCGACAATTGTAAATACCTATCCTTTCGGATCCTAAGTTCACCACAAGTTTGGGGTATATCTTCCTCTTGATTGCTGTAGCACAAGCTTGGTATCGGTAACCCGGGCAGACGGTTCATATAGGTTCAAATAATAGGTCAAATTGCTTGTCTTCCATTTTTACCTCATTTTATAACTTGGGAGTCCAAATGTATCATTTCCCTAAGAGTGCGTGGATGTCTTCGGGTGTTGTTTCTGGGGGGCTGTTTATGGAGCGACTGGCCACTCAGCAATTCATGAAGAAGGGAGCCAGATGCTTGATGGTCAGTTTAGGAATATCCGCAGACTAAATTGGGGGATGGTCTCGAAAGAAGTGTGTTTTAAACAAGGTGGTTGGGCAATATACCGACGCCTTTCGCTCAGAACTGAGCCAGTAATTTGTATTTATGAAGCAACTTGAACGGCTCTAAAGGCGTATGTAGTAGAATCTCAAACTTGCTTAAATTACCACGATAAAGCCATGATTATCATGTATACATTTATCAAGACTCTTTCGGGTACGCACGAAACTATCCTCGAGTTCTACCCCACCTAGATAGATACATCGGTAGATTCTCATCCCAAGATCCTACATGTACATGGTCGAGATAATTATATCTAAATTCAAAGCGCAGAAAGAGTGCCTGGATTCAGGACTAGAAAAAGCTGCGGTTTGAATGCGTGGATAAGGGTGTATAAATGGAATAGACTACAGAGAATTCGAAATTCGAAAGAAGGTTTAAATCCGGGAACGAGAGCTAGAGTGAAGGGCGGTGCCACATAGTTAGCGAAATCTTTGGCTAACCTGGGACCCTATATTTTTGAATTCGTGAAATCTTAGTCCATACAATTAAGTTAGAAATTATAGAGAGACTAAGGTTACATTAAACTTATACACCAATTTTAGAGGTCGCTTTAAAGAAGGACTAAGATGTGAGGAATATTTTGGGGCCCTACGACTGCAGAACCTAAATAGCCACTGATAAAAAAGCCAATATGCGAGAAATCGGGAGGCTCTTGTACCTAGAGAAAGTAAAGACCTGGAGCCGTTAATCGCTGGATACAAAAAAAAACCCCCCGCCGAATAAAAAAGCAAATGACAACAAATTAGATTTGGGGTTGAGTCAATGATTGTATAGAATAGGAAATCTGTCATCGGCAGAGGAACTTGGGAATCCTTCAAGAATTGAAAATAAATATCCGCTGGGCGCTCATAATGCGTGTCGGAGTCCGGTTTATGGAGGCTTTGGGTAGTCTTTGTACCACGTAGTCATCTCATTACGATCATTTACCGGCCCCTTCTGCTTGTTAGCATCAAACGAAATCTTTTATGGAGATTGAACAAAATGATCATAGCGGCCAAAAAGATGAAGGGGTTTTCACCTGGTTTCCCCAACCGTTGTCTTGCTCCCACGATGCCTCGAAAGACCTATCGTTCCTCGTTCGAGCCCAATGCTCTTTCAATGTGCGCCCACCTCGTAATATGGCATTTCTAGGATATTTGTACAGAAGCCAAGCATACATTGCTTGCGCAGTGTAATCCCAAGCATCCGAATTTCTTCCGAAAGAGTGCTTCCCTATGATGTTTTTCATACCAACGGCCCACTAAAAGATATATTAGAGGTCTAGACTTTATCAGAAAGGTAGTTTAAATAGCTGGTCATGGCAGCTCACTATTAGAAAATTATTCTCTTCTCGGCTATACCGCTGGGCTGTTTTTGACGAAGACCGGGTGCTTGTTGCACTGTCATTTTTTGCAAGAGTTGGTTGAGCACGTTGAATCAAGTGACATTCTGCGTCCTGGGGGTATGCGAGTTGTTGCTCGGTCTGCGGGTGTCGACTTGGCCATGGTCCTTGGGCCGGAGGGGGCCTAAGCCGCATAATACATAAGCTCTAGATCGCTTTGAAACTCCAATGGATCTGGGATTCATTCACATACTCATACTCATCCTCTGGTTCAGAGTATCGAAGTAAACTCATGGCTACCCGCTATAACTCTCGATAATAAGTGTTGACAATTGAAGTTATACGGCCCGGAAATTCGGAACTAAGATGCGTGTTCTAGATAGGTTAGTATTATAATTTCTAGACTTATATTGAACAAGAGATCTCAATTATGACTTGTTCATGTAGCCCCAATACGTGCATCTGTCTAGAGTTTGCGATGTCCATAGCGTTGTAACTTTTAAAGAGCGCCCTGAAAGGAAATGAATGATCGATATGGTGCAAAATTTGGGCCGTGTTCTCACCTATTTGATTCTCAATACTCTAGTAAACGCACGTGGGGTATCTTAAGTACGGGCTAATAATATTCATTAACTACTGTGGCCTTATTTCGAATCAAAAGTCTGTCTTGATCGAATGTAGATGTGTTTATGGAATGGGGGTGGGATGCAGGGACTAATATAAATAAATGATGTCGTCAAGAATGATCGTCTTATATCATGATAGAGAAGTTCATTAGTGGGTGGATAAGATATGACTATTTAGTGCTATAGCATCGGACACGTTATGCTAACATTTTATTGGATTATTGCGAGCGTAATTGAAGCACCTTGTGCACCAATGAACGAATGAACGCCAACGTTGCAACATCTTTGTTCTCCCTACGCAAGACAGGGAAAATAATGCCTGGTTTGATCGGTTCCAAAATCTATGTACCTGTGTAGCTCTTCTAGATAAATAGATGATTGGTGGCTCGTCAAAGCGATCGTCTAAGCCTCGGATTGCTTTCTATAGCACTTCTATAAGCTTTTATGAGGAACTTAAAATTTTAGGATCAAGTCACATTATAGGTCTATTTGTGAAACCAAATTTAAACGTACAAAAATTACAGCATAATTTATAAGACGAATCAAAACTTGGTTCCGATGATCTATTGATCAGAGTCAAGCCAATTACCAAGCCTTCTCTACAGCTTATTACCATCATATGATTATCATATCGGTATCAAAGGTATTGTTAAAAAGACGTTATGCTAGTATTAGTATCAGTAGTTCCATTAACCTTAAATTTCTATCATGTTACATCACCAAAACACTGGTGATAGCCGGTTGAACTATTGAACGTACACAATCACTTGATGCTGATGTTTGTACGTACCGTATCCAATGATAGCGCTATACTTGGCTACAACTTGGATACATGCGAGCATGGATCTGATAGCCTCGCTTCGAGTGATGTTGTTCAATTCTGGGTAAGACAAGAGATTTGCAGGGCCTTGCGGGTGGGCCCCAAACTTTGTTAACATAGCTACTGATATACCTTATAATCTATACGCCAACCGATTGATGGAGCGCCGCACCGTGCCCCGAAAACTAGTTCAACATGCCAACCACCTGACATATAGCTAAACTAAGTTCAAACTGTTTTGCACCTGAATAGCTTTAAGAATTCCGCTCTTTAGGGGTATTTGACGTGCGTTATCGATAGCATGTACAGAAATCTTGGATCGCATTATGTAAATATTAAATGTCATTTATCTAGCTTATTCGACCTTGAGAATCACCTCCACGTGGCCAAAACCGTTTAAGAACGAGCTAGATGTCATCACCTTGATTTCAGCGACACTCGCTGCGAAATAGTAAACTATTTTCAACCTATTCAACAACAAAACGTTCAATATTACATTGATTCTAACACGCTGAGATCTGAAGACTATTTCTTATTACCTCTTTTCTTTTTATTGTGCTCCCTTTACAACAAGGCCACATCCCGACCAAATAGACATGAAAGAATGTACTTCCTTCTAAGGTAAGAAGAGCGAAAACCTGTTGAAATAGAGGGTAGTTAGGGGAATCAATAGTATTTTGGAGGTCCCGTTTAAATCTCAATTTATTTCCAAGCTTTTATTCATAACCATGGCACATAGACCCATAGATTTGGGTTTGTGGATATACTAAGAGCGATAATGTTGAAACGAATGCGAGTGTGCACTGACGAAAATTGCAAACAAACCGCTTAGGTGGTGGCTAGAGGCCCCATCATAAATGTAAATTGGTCTCGTAATGTAACTAGAGTCTTTAGAAATTCTTTTTATACCATTTATCCATTCTCTGACGGTCTTGTTTCTAAAATTAAGTAGATAATTCAGTTAATACCCGCTGGATGGGAAGAGTATAAAAAGGCCATAGCATCATGGGAGACATATGAATAGTGGCTTACAAGTTCGTTTGTGTCATCCCACGGCGTGGCTGTACTATTTAGGATACTCGGGTTGGTAAGCGCCTCCCAACATTCCTTAACTCTGATAACTTTTTTAGGCCTCCCTCGCGGTACCTGCTCGGGCCTTGACCACTGTTCCTGAAGAGTTGCGGGTTTGCGGGTTGGTGTTTGTAGCTCCGGGTACCTTTCTTGCATCCACAAATCAAGGGCTTTTGATATCTGGGGCCAGTCCACTCTTTCTACCCCCCCGCGGAATGATGTAAATTTTAGTGTAGGGCTATCAGATGGGCAACCGACAGCCCACTGTTCGTATCGTTAAAATATATGTGCATCAGCTTAAAGTACTATACCAGCTCCAACAGTACTAGTATATGCTATCTGGAAGCACTAGGTCAAGAACTACTCACGATTAAGAAGTTTTTTTCCTGGAGTGTGTATGTAAGCCTGCCTCCGCTCCTCCCCGGCTTGGAGCTTTGGACTGGGACCGATTCTATCAAAAGAGTGTAAGCACTGTGATCTTTGTGGATTAAAATACTTGGACAGCTTGCGATCATACTTCGAGCCGTGCGCTTTACAGGCCTCTCCACATCGCTTTGGTTTTCATAATTCACCCCAACTTTTATATTTGGAATATCAATGTCACTTTCATTCTGATATTCCTCGCCAAAATCCCCGGAGTTGTTTTCTAATCCTGTTTCTTCATCGGAATTCTCCGGAGTGGGTTCAACTAGATAGCTAGATAGAGGCGGGGGTGAAGATGACGATGAAGGTGAACGTGGTGGAGGTACACGTTCACGGCCGATACGGTAAGGGTCGTAATACGCCCCGGCAGGGATATCATCCGGGTTCCAATTTACCCCCCGATTCGAATACCCCTTAATCGTTCTACGCTCCGATGAAAATGGTGAACGTATTGATGAAGACGTTGAACGTGCTGGTGAAGATGGTGAACGGAGTGATGAAGAGGGTGAATGGAGTGGTGAAGATGATGAACGGAGTGGCGAAGATGGCGAATGATGTAATGAAGATGCTGAATGATGTGATGAAGATGCCGAAAGGAGTGATGAAGATGGGGAAAGAGATGGCGACGACGGTGAATGAAGTGGCGAAGATCGTAAACGAAGTAGTGGAGACGGTGAAACAAGTGGTGCATATTGAGTAATTTGAACCACTTCGGGTTCGCGTGGGCCCGCCCAGTTCGCGGGGTCTCCAATATTTCCCCAAAACCGATTGATGTTGGGTCCAAGTCCGGGGTCTGTCTCATCAAAAATATTACAATCTGATGAATTTATTATTGCCATGGAGTTTAACAGGAGCGATGTGGTATATATATGACAAACTGTCTTACCTTGGGATTGCTGAGCCTCGTCGTTATACTCAAGCCTGGGTGCTACAGAGGGGTCGTACAGAAAGCGCTCAAAAGGTGGAAAGTCGTTATTTCCATTTTCTAGATCTGGAATTGGTTCTAATACATTCGATTAACCCGAAAAATGAGAAGATGCTCTGATCTGGTATGTGTCACTACCAAATGGATATAATACCATAAGTCTCGGCAAGATGCCGAAACATCCTTTCATCCTCTTCCAGATCTTGATATGGCTCTGGGTTTCCTGAAAAATTGTAATTCATTTTGGTTAATTAATCAAACTTGAATATAATGACAATCAGGCTAGTGCTATGTCGCCGTAAGCATATGCCAGACCAAACCGTTACCCTGAACTAGTCACTTGGATAGCTTCTATTGCATGTTTGGAACCTAAGGTGAAAAAAAGGTGTCTACGAGACTGCCTTGCGGCGGAAAGATGAATATAATATAGTATTCTTGTACTGATAATATAGAATACTTGTGGCTAGCCGGCGTCTGAGAACGAGACTAGATAAAGTTGTAGCACGCCGTAAGTACCAATAAGTTTCGCTTTTAAATTTACTAGTCAAGTATCGTTCAGTTTTGCTGTCCGCCTCGTAACTGCCCGGCATAAAAACATACGATCTGAAGTTATTTGTAGGATATTATCAGAGACGATATACAAAGTTCAAACTCAAAGGGAATAATCGCAAACACATACCAATAAAATGATCTAAAGTCTATCTAATGAGGCGGCTTAGACCGCTTTTTACAAGACCTAATCATTTCGTTGTAAAATCACAGATATCAAATGATTTTTTGCGAAGTCTAGTTCGATACAGAGCGTGCTAGCAACAGATAGTTACCTAAAAAGAAAGTTTGCATTAGTTTCAATTCGGCTTGATGATCTAGCGTATCGGGTTTTGCGTCCACAGCTAGTTTTTATTTCTAAGCCCACAATCTTATCGGAACTGCACTCAATTTATTACTCTGCAGCTCGGTTGTCTACCATTTTATTTTGTTCATCTATACCTAAATACCCATGAGTCATTCGCAAGACCGTACTACTCGTAAACGGGGCATTATTTAAGCTAACAATGGACTTAAAATCGTTCGTGATATACGACCGCTATTCCCTTCATAAAATCTATTGGTCAAATTGCAATAAAGAAAGGCTTTTTAGGGCGAGATTGTAAGATCAACTCCGATAGAGAACAAGCAAGCTAGACAACTCTGTATTGCCTTTAACGGCAGTAAATAAGAGGCGATGCTTGTGTAAATTTCATCACATTTAGTCTATAAAGTTCAGTGCGCCAATCAGACAAATGGCAGCCCTTAATTAATATAATCATTACCCCCGTCGAAAGACTCAAAAAAGAGGCCTGTTGACTTCAGTCTCATAGTTATGGTTAAAGCAAAGAAGTGACCTTCAATTTGATTTATGATAGCCTAGCTTCAGCTCTAGAAGCTGAACGGCCGACTAGGTCTGGGTTGGTAAGACCTTTCTCATTGTCGAAAGTTTAAAACATTAGGTTTATCCATACAATCAAATCATAAGCATAAATCGTCGTATCAATGAACACCTTCCTTAATTTTCCTAAATGGAATAGTTACTATAGTGACATTATGATTTAAATACACATATCAAACCATTTAAAAAGTCAAACCCGATACATCCCCTAGCCGTAGGGTCTATTTAGCGGTGCAACCCTTTAATATCGCACTACCTCATAGAGATTCTCATAACCAAATTCGTTCTTCTCGTCCACACCACAGATTGATTGGCCAAGGAAGTTCTGACATTGCAACTGGGACAAAAAACTACTTATCCTATAATTCATGGCATAAGCTGGCTTGGAGTCAAGAGAGTATAGTAGCCCTTCGGCAGCGCGATATTTTTTCGTTTGCAGTAATGAGGATACCATTCATCCATGTCCGCTCGCCAAACGGCACTCTAGAAGTCCCAGTTTTAGTATTTGAAAGTTGGATACCAGATTATTCCGGTAGCGGCTACTTCCTGCAGCCGCAAGTTGCTGTACGCCGTAGTAAACAATTTCAAAGACTTACATCAGTATCGTCCTTCCAAGGATCATATGTAATGTCGAGATTCTCATATTCCGCCTGAAACCGAGAAGCTTCCCACCTTTGACGTAGTTCACGCTGCCAATAACTTCTAAGTCTGTGGCCGCTACGTTGTTGGAGCGTCTGTTCATCCATACTTTTAGGCGCATATTCCTTCCATGCCGCTAAGGCTTGAGATATTTCTTCCCAGTCCGGGTTACCAGTATAATCCCGAAACTTTATATATGGGCTTCTCTTAGGTTCTCCAACTGCCCACTACAATATTCCAGAGTTATTTGTCAGTCGCGAATAATCGGCTGAGGTAACTCTAGGACAAACTGGATGTAAAATTGCAGAGTTTGCGTATTATATTAAAAGACTTACGATCAAGAAGTTGCTTTCCCCATGATGATAATTAGACATATCATCACAAGCTATAATTTTCGAGAACATGTAAGCCAATTAATTGCAGTAATGATACCATTTTCTGAGAGCCCAACCCCGCTTTTGTACTCACATTCACGGGGTCTTAGGCAAGCACGCCAGTCCTCCGCGGTTTTGTAAATTTGACTTGGCATTGGAGCTTGAGAATTAAGATTGATCTTTAATCTCCAGCTTTCAGAGATTCCCGGTTTCTACTGTAATATTTATGCAAAATAGATTTTGTGCACACTTAAATAAGATAAATTTGAGGATCAGGTTCTAATAGTTAAATCTTTCCGATATAATTGTTTTTAAGGCCAAAGACTGAACACTTATGAGGAGTTTTAACACTACCTATCTCGTCTTTATATTTTGCAGGAAAAGTGCATCATAAAGTCTAAAAAGAATTTAGAAGAATTTATATTCACACCACGGGACCAAGTAGTCCAGGAATCAAGGCATGACTCCTCGATTCGATTTTTCGAGTTTAAGGCTGTACTGTAAGAGAGGCGCAAATCAAGTTCTGGGTGCACTAATATAGCCCAGGAGAATTGAATGAAAATTAACTATTGAAATATGAATAATAACCCGACAGACTTACTTCCCTATTGCAGTTCGATAAGAAGTTACGAAAGAAGATCAATCATACTCGCCGTGCATAGGCTCTTATGTATACGCCTTGGAATTATACTAACAGTATTGGATCCATATTATATTGCAAGGCGGTAATTAATGGACACGAAATGGCAAAATCACTATTTACTTATATTCTGAGGAAACTAATAGAATTACTAGAAGATCCCTGAGCTACACATGTGCATGTGACGAAACTCGACCATCATGTTAAAGAAGTCTTCTGATCGTAGAAGGTTACTAAGCGGGACACATTGAATCAGCAGATTTATTAGACGTAGTTCGTCATCAATATCTACAAACTTGTCTATACATTGGTCAAATGAAGCATATATCGGTTGTAGTCTGGGCCCACTGGCACCTAGACTATGTTCAAGGCTACGGTTTCTAGTGTAACCGAAACTTGGGTTGACTAAGCTCACCTGCTTAAACTCTACTCGAGTTCCCAGCCCGCCTTGAGGGCCGCTTGTGTTTCTAGCCAATCAAACACCTGCCTGACATCATAACGCCCAAGTAATTTGTAGTACCCATGCATAATATTAATATATGAGCACATCAGTTTGTTTTTCGTGCGAGAACCAAAAGCCACCTTCGTAGTAGCACAAGATAAACAGCTAGACTACTATAGTATGATAATTTTGTAATAGTGCTGTAGTGGTTTATCTTGGTAGTGATATCGGTATCATCTTCTTCATAGCCATACGCTTTATGGAGCCGTTATATAAAGTTCCAAAACGGACAAAAGCCCATTTTAGAGCCCTACGGATATGTAAGGCGTTTATATATGTGAAAAATTGGGTTGCAGATATATATGCTTTCAAGATATTTCAAAAAAAAGGCGGGGGGGGTTTTGAATTTCTTCTTATTTTTCTTTCTTATTTTCCTTCTTATTTTTTCATTTATTTCTTTACTAATTCTTTTATTAAATTTTCTCGCTTATTTTGAGAAGCTGTTTATTTTACATCTTATTCGTCTTCTCATTACTTTTTCTTTTAGAAAAAAAAAAAAATGTATGTACGTCGATGGCATATATACAACTCAACTTTCATATGTAAATACGTCATGCATATATACACACGGCTGCTAACTTTTGTCCATTTCGGCCCGTTATACGTTATCAAGAGCGCGTTATATATATGCAGGGCTACATGCACTTTGATGGTCAGGCTCCGCATGCACACCACTCCCCATCCTACAGCGCTAGCTTGCTAAACCAATTAACTCCCACCTACATTCTTGCTAGAAAAAGCTTTTTGGGCCGTGTATATCAAAAAAGATCTCCAAAATTAAAGGTCCCATATCAAGTAATAGCTATCTAGACGTTCCCAGTAATTTAGTAGGCCCATATAAGGGGGCCGGGCTTTCTTTTATACGATAAGTAGCCTCAGTACAACTAGGTACTTATATTTGTAGTATAATACTTTGTATACGCTTGTACGACTATTTCCATCGGGCTTGCAATAAATCGCGATATATACGGAAGTCAAATGACCGAATTTATAAACCCAAGCCTATTGCACCTTCTCAAGTCAATAGTCGCAGGAGAGATATGTGAGTAAAAAGCTTGAGGTAGGCTAGTTTTTAGCCAATTATTTCCTAGGCCTTATTACAAGGCACCGCTGTAACAAATCAAATTCAAGATCCTCGCTTCGTTTTAAAGTAGAAACATCTACAAATTTACAGTTCTATAGAAAGGTTAACCGAATCTCATGATACCAATTGACCGTCCCTTCCAAAAGTCGGATAGCTTCTTTGGCGGGGGGCTGTGCAGGAGACAACCGGATGCCAATGAAACAGAAAATTGAAATCGATAGGTGATGGTGTTTTAGCAGGTCCAATAGCCAATCACTGTAATGAGATTACACAATTGAATAGACAACTAGGTAATATTAATTACAATGTTATATTACTATCAATTACTGGTAGCTAGCCAGCAGCAATACTAAGTATATCAAATGCCACTTCACATTCAGTCCGATAATCGACTCTTCCACACCTTAGAGTTTCTCTTCTTTTTATAGCTATAGGAGCTATTAGGGTCCCAGTAATGTGGACAAACCGCATTCAACTCAGATTCCGGGCCACAGTAATCGCCAACCCTGGGTCTATACGCCCTAAACACGAGTTTTCCCTCACCAGACTGATATTGATAGCCTTGTTTAGAAAGCTGAATAAGACCATAAGGTCCGTACATGAAATCTTTCCACTCGCCTTCGGGGGTTGTGCAATGGCAGCTGATATCTTCGTTTACGCCGAAGTCACAATAGAGCTCTGTGCCCAATAGCACTACTCCAGCACTGCTTTGGATATTTCGTCGGTAGAAGTGAACTACAGCTGCGTCGTTACCTTCACCAGGGTCAAAAAAGGCTGTCGTCGAACCGTGCTCGCAGTACGCGTACCATCTAGCACCCAGTTGACCAAAATAGACTCTTCCGTCAGAATCCCGAACTAGGGGATGAGAAGTATCAGCGAAGTAGAACTGCCACCAGGGCATAACCTGGGGCATCCAGAGTCGACCATCTGAATGAGGGCCTTCAACCTCAACCAGTGCGAACACAGTGTTAGTTGCACTAGCGGAGACGATAGTCGCCGTCGATCCTATAGTTTTGGTCTCGGTTCCAGCGGGGACAGTGATATATTCTGTATCAACCGCAACCGAGTTTGCGGCATAGAGTGTCTCCGTGTTATACAAGGTAACAACAGAGGTTGTAGTTGAAGCTGCAATGGTAACAATACTGGCTGGAACTCCAAGACAGGAGCAAGCACTAGCATATCGCACCCCGCTAGAGCACGGCGTAGCATATGAAGGTAGAGGGCTAGTGCCGGTGCAATGCCTCTCTTTCAAGGCTCGCTTTTTCTCTGTAGGAGCCGGTACAGGTGCCTCGCCGGTGACCGTCACCATAATATTCCTGAAACTAATTTCGGTAGTGGTATCATATTCGGTTTTGGTCTCTACCCCGAAACTAGTTTCCTCGGTAGTGGTGTACGGAATGTTGGTTGGTAAAGTTACCCGTACGGGTATCGTTGTCGTATCGTATTCCGTACTACAACGGCACAGTTAGTATGCCAACCACTATGTATTATAAGACGGTAATCAATCCGAACATACACAACCTCAAGTGCCACCGTGCTATATATATACTTAGAGCAATCGGAAGAAACCTGAGCGTAGCTTTTGCTGGAGAGCCCTCGCAGCGCTAAATTTTTAACTAATTGTTAGCTAGCTTATATTAAATTTAGCCAATAAGCTGATTATATAGAAATACAATATTCACATACCTCTCAAACAGTTGTCAGCGTTACAAGCCGTAGGATTTGTTGTAGCGGATGCCTGAGCTACGAAGGCCGTAGCCAAGAGGAAATATTTTAAGGAATGCATAGCAATCGTATATATGAGTCTACACAGACTGAATGCTTGTAACCACGAATCCACGTCAAACTACGCAAAATAGAAAAAAATAGGGCGAGTCAATGTGGGCCTATGTTCCTTTTATCTCTGAGCCCTTAGTTAGGAATTGGTCTCACATCCTAAGTTCCCAATGCATTAGCATACAAGCTCTTTGCGAGCGGCACCCGAGCTGAAGACGTGTCTGCACCTGGGCCGACACTAGTGTTGGGACAGGAAAAAGAAATACAATCAAGTGACATTTGCGTAAAAAAAATCGCTGTTGGAAAAAAGGCTACAGCGCTATGACATTCAAAATCTACACAGATACCGGTGATTCCGTGTACTATGTAACTGTCCTTGCATCCGAAGACATTTAATCCGTCATCAGCTGGAAATGTGGGTTGTGCTGGTGTCCTTGGCGGCTCCAAGTGGAGCCGCATCAAAAGCCGAGTCTTGGAGACCCATCATTCCAGAGCTAAGTTTAGTTTAGCCCCATAGTTCAACGGCCAGCTCGAGCACCAAACTCTCAACCCTGCATATGCACGACAGAACATCACCTTGGGCTGTCGCACAGTGTCAATCTTATGGAAACCTCAGCCATTTTTGGAGGCAGAATTACAGTCTCGTAACAAAATCGTATACTGCCGCCCGATAACTAGCCAGCACCGCCGTGTTGAACCGAAATACACTAAATCTGCAAACTCGATTTTGCACCCTGGTACAACAAATCAACGCTCAGGATATTTTAGAAGATACGTCAAAATATCTGGGGTAGATGAAAAAAAGTTCTTATGAAGAAGGTACGTGGTATCATGATTGGGTCCAAAGCAACTGGCACGCCAAGCCATAGGAACTTCTGGGGCAACTAGTCTACCCGGCGTTTTAACCATACACTCAAAACTTGTGTAACATTTACCACAACGTTCGAATCGAATGACACTCGTACATTTCTTTCTGTGGTTTAGTATCGACCGCTAGGCTAGGTTTCTAGGTCAGCTTCGTCCATGGGTAAATGTCGTCCGCAATACGAGACTACGTAAATGTGTTGTTTATGTGGTAAATCTATTTCCTACTAGACTAGGTAGGTTGACCCCCATGTAGAAAATGAGGTACTGATATCATTCATCTCTCCAAACCAAAAAAACCAATACTATGATGCAAAACTTATCGCAGGTGTAGATTTATGTAAGGTTATATCTCAAAATATCGCTTAGATAGTGTTACTGATCAATAGTGTGCGAACTCGGGTTGGGCCCATATACTAGTCTTCCATAAAGACAATCCTATTTGATAGCTGTGGACGCCGTGGCCGGATTTTAAACCCTCGGGCCAATATACAGGCCTACGAGACCCACTAAAATTGATTTTCTATACTACAATATAAAATCTCCAAAACCCAGCGCCTATATTCATACCCTTATTTAATCCATGAGGTACCAGAGCTTACTTCTGTTTGTAAACAATGTTCCGGAACGTCCTCCCAGGCACCATATTAAAGTTATTTGGATTTGTAATGTCATATACCTTGTCCTTCTCTGTTTCGTATAATGTGCTATAAACCGGTCTTGTGTACCCCGTGGGCTCGTAGCTTGGAGTAGTTTCCGGATGACTCTCGACCTTCTTGTCGATTACAGCTTTCGATTTATCGCAGTTCTTCTTTTTATCGCCAGGTTGCTGGTATAAATTTTCTTCAGTATTACCTCTTTTAGCGTAGTAGTACGATTGATAGTTCGAGTTTTTAGTGGCGGGCTGGTAGCTTTGGTAGTTTTGATTATTCCGACTGGGTTGGTTCTGGTAATTTTTGTTGCCACCTTGGTAGTTTTGATAGTTTTGATTGTTGCTCTGATAGTTTTGGTTGTATTGGTTGTATTGATTGTTTGCAGAATTGTATCCGTTCTTCGGAGCCTTGCAGTTCTGCTCAAACTGACCGATGATGTTTCCCTAAAACCCAAGCTATTTAGCCATGAATTCAATGAGTTTAAACTTTCCAATATGCACTAACCTTTCCTCTATAATCACACTTCACATATGTACCATAGGGGCATTTCCTAACCATACATCCCACTTCCGTTGTACCCTTCCAGATCATCTGCGTAAGATGCCCAGTAGCACCCGAAAACCCCTGTCGATTGAAATCATACAATCTCAACTCTTTATCATACCACAATTCCCTCACCATCTGCTCCGGTGTTTGCTGTCCATAAAGTATATTCTCTCCAATACCATCCTGTTGCAGAGTTCTTGTATGACCATATGACTGGCAGCTGGGAGTGTTGGCCATTGCATAGTTTACAAGGTCTCGAGACCATCTCATTGCCGGTACATCGTGAGCTGCACGGACTTCATTGTGAACCCGAAGGATAGCGTCACGATATTCCGCCTCTGGTACGAACTCGTTGGTGTTCCTGGGTGGTTGGTAGGTTTTAGGAGGCTGGTTTGGCCGTTGTGGGTAATAGACGTAGTCTGGCCGCGAGGGAACACTTCTCCTATTTAGATCGCCAGCTTCAGAGAGGCCAGTGTTTGGCACTGTCAAAGCTGAAGCTCCAACTAGGAGTGTTGAAAGTATCGCCGACTTCATGATCAAATGCTGTACTGTTTGATACGACCAGCGTAACCAGTTATGCTAAGAAATAAAACTCCTTAGAGGTTCTGAGTTTCGTGTTCTAATGGAATAGATTCTAGAAAGCTTGCCAGCAAACTTCGCTCAGCCGATAAAAATAAGGAAAATAGGGATGCCGTGGAGAGAATTGAACGAAGAACCCGAAGAACTGCAGTAGTTAAACAGAGACAGTGGAGAACTGTATTTATATATAAAATGCCTAGAGAAATAAGCACCGCAAGAGTGAGTCTTGGAGCTGGGCTTTATATAGTAAGTATAGTGGTCGACCTTTTCTGTCGGATTTTCAGAGCTCAGTAAACTGTAAACTGTAAACTGGGCTGAGGTTGAAAGGTTGAACTGAGGTTGAACTAAGGTAAGGCCCGGCAGGAGTTCCGACCAAACGGGTTCAGGGAGATCTGTACCAAATCTGGGAGTGTCTGGTTACACAATTGGTATGGTGTTGTGCAACCTACCCGAAATAGACTCGCAACACACACCCAGCTTCCTAGCTTGGTCCTTCGGGTCCTTTCGAGAACACTTCCTCCCCAAACGGCTGGTCGCAATCTTGGGTGTTGGCCCCGACTCTACAATTGGGGGCTGCGGTTTGTTGGATACTGATAGCTCTAGAATAGAATTGAGATGGGTATTATGAGTTGAAATAAACTAAAACACACTTCTTCTCCCGTTGCATTGCCTTGTCATTGTTCAGCCACATTATCTTACGCAGTTTGGATACAAACTACCTTCTCAAGTTGTGCGCGCAGTAGAGGCTACTTCCTGATGCCTTTCGGCATACGTATATGTGATTATATTATAAAGTCATTTAATTGAGTCCCGTGACAAAAAAATCCTGTTCTAGGTCGCCTGTAGCTCTAAGCTTGCCAAGGTTTAAGGAACATTCTACCACACCTTTGATTCTAAGACATGCCGTCTGAGATTCGTGAAACTGCTGTAAGTTGATGTAATCGATGCCCAGTTCTAGCTAGGTGGGTACCCTCGCGGCGGTAACATTTAACGGTCAGCTGTATCCAGGCACAGGAACAATCCCTCCATGCTGTCTGGTTTACAAGACTCACCCCAGCCTGGTCTCGTAAACCACCACAGCCCAATTCCTTAGTCTGGGGTCGCTTCCTGTAACCATTTTGTATATACAAATATGTGTTGTGCCTATCCCATATGGACGCAGGATCAAGTAGGGAGTGCTGAGGCTGTTAACATATTGACAGCGATGGATATCACATGTAAAAACTAAAGCGTAGTTTGATATAAACATTTGGAAGTTGAATGTCATTGCTAATCACTTCTTTGGATATCGAATTCGCTATCGGATCTTAGTGTAAAACTTGATTTAATCAATTTGATAATAGCTTTGGGTTCATAAAACTATGAACGAAACGGCGAAATAGTCCCAAGCCATAATGAACCAAAAAGCTAGGACTGGAGAAACAAGACCAATTTACGGGTATATGCACTTCAATCAAGGCTGCCAAAGCACCTAAGCCCCAATGACGTCCCTAACTTTTTCCTTAACATCATCACCACTTCCTTCCCCTTCGACCCACATGACCGCCTTCTCAACAACTAACTCCCAAGTGTCCCTCTCAGCGGCATGTCCCTCGCCCTTCTCAAACACTAATATTGCGGCCCAAGTAGCCACGATCTCTTCCTTAACCCCCAAAGTCTGCGCCAACTCCTTCAGCTTCTTCAAAACATCCGAAGCAGGCGCTCCCTTAAAGCTGGCAGCGACAATCGAAGCCAACTTATCTGACGTCGAAAAACTCCCAGCAAACGACTGGAGCATGATAAGGCCGTGAATCCTCTCTTCCGCTGTTCCGACAGCGACTGGGGTACCAGCTCTAACGCTGCTTCGAGACTCTTCCAAAAAGTCGCATCCCATATCTTCGTCGTCTTCTTCGTCACCCATATCACCAGAAAGTGATTGCGGAGCGGGCGCGGATGCCTTGGCAAATCCAGGTGATGCGGACCTTCGAGCAAAAGATTTAGCACTCTTCTTCATTATCGAGGACGAAGCTGAGCGTTCTTTTTTTAATTCTTTCGGGGATTCGTACATCGCTGAGCCTCCTGGAGGCATAGGAGCACTGCTTTTTTGGCGGGAGGCAGAATACACTATTTGGCGTTTGTCAGTTCCACAATGTTCACTTTCATCAAGTAATTTAGCAATTTTGTCGTCATATCTATCAATCGACCGATTCTGCTTCTCAACTTCTTGATCGATGCTATGCGCTAGGTAGCTTAATCTGAAAACCTCGTTCCCAATTTGGGCCAACTGGGTATCGATTTCTGCTTCTAGATTTTCTTCTTCGTCGTTGTCTTGGGACTTGTGCGGGGGCGCATAGAAGGAGGAGGAGGGCATAGGGATCTGTGGCTTACCAAGCTGTGAATCAGGGTTTTGATTAGCACTTCTATTCCGCCGTGCAGGGCTGTTTATAGAACTTACGCCGGGTGCAGCAGCCGCCCTTATTGGAGGTGGAACATATGAGGCCGCAATGGAACTCTCTCTAGCAGGTGGTGGGGGTGCTATATGTGCCATAGTATTTGTTAGCGGGCCACTCATTATAGTATCTCCATCAGATTGCAGTGCATCCAAATCCGGAAGCCGGAGATCCTCGTAAACTGAGGGTGAGGGGCCTCCAGAAGTTACACCGCCAAGGAGGCCATGTGGTGGTGGCAATTGTCCCGCACAGAGGCTAGGAGGCCTCGGAGAAGCCATTCCATAAAGGCTCTGTGGCGGCGGCGGCGGTGGCGGCGGCGGTCCAGTTGAGAACCCAGGCAGCATCTGGGGTGGTGGTGGCGGCGGCGGCGGTGGACCTCCGATCATTATGGGATTTTCAGCACGAGACATCATCAGTCTCTTTTTATTTTGCTGCTCCAGCATCATCAATTGCATTTGATAGTCTTCTAATACAATACCTCGTTGCCCACTCACCCGCGGTGGAGGCGGGGCTGATTGAGCTTGAGCCTGCATGTAGATTGACCCTGAAGGTGGGGGCGGGGGCGGGGGCGGGGGCGGGGCTGCTCTATACTGATAACTTGCTGTCGCAAACGGAGGGGCCGCCATGGCCGATTGATACTGCAGAGCCGGACTGGGATTTACAGGGGAAGGGAAATTCATGGGGTACCCACCAGAGCTACTGCCAAACATGCTAGTAACTATATATAAAGACATATCGTTAGCACCAATACGCAAAATTTTTTTTACCAGAAACTATGAAAATCAACGGTTGAACGGTGCAACCATTATTAAACTTCCAAATATTCGCATTCCTAGAAACGGCGTCATCCTGGTCTCCATTATCCGCGAGTCTTCGTTTCCGCTTTTGATCAGATGAGGAAGTCTGTGCGATTTCTGGTCCCTGGGCTTCGCCGTAGGGAGTTGCCTTTGGCGTACTAACTGGTGATGTCGGGGAATAGCAAGGAGAAGCAGGGCTATAATTAGGGGATTTCGGAGAAAATTGCGGAAATGCCACCGAGTGCTGGACTCCCGATCTCACAGGAGGATAAAATCCTGTATAAGGCGGAGACTTTGAGATAGAAGGGGGGGAAGTGGGATGGTAACTAGGGGAGGTAGGAGTATAGCCAGGGGATGTAGGATTGTAAACAGGAGACCCTAGGGAAGAAACTAGGTAAATAGGATGAAACCCAACACGACCATGTTCCTTGATCGACGAAAAGCCGCCATGAAAAGTGGAATATTCTGAAGATGCCAGACAAGAATCGTAAGGGGTTATACCTCCGGGAGATGAGTATGCGAATCCTGGACCATAAGTGTTTTGGTCTGATTCTTGCAAGAAAGAGTCGAAATCGAAATCCATCAATTCAGACCCAGTAGAACCCATCAAGCCGCCCTGGTTTTGGACTAGAGACGAAAAAAACACAATACAACGGGGAGGAATCAGCCACAATTCTCATTACTCACCAGCAGATTTCGCTGATCGAGTTAGAGCAGAGAAACCGAAACTCGGCGCAATACTCTTTTTCTTCATAGATCCACCACGACGGTATCCCGTCGCAGTATCGGCAAGGTCGTTTGTGGCATTATATGCTTTGGGGCGAAGAGCAGAGCTAGGGTTCGAGGCCATACCTGTGGGGGACATTTTCCGTCGCGAAAATCGAGACCTATTTCTTTTTAGCCATTGCCTTATTTTCCAATTGCGCCCTCATACTCCTCCCCGCCCTCTTCCGTTTTATGGCCAGGGGGTCCTAAAGATGATATTGCTGATGGGGGGTGTAGTTTACGTACCTTTCACTGCCTTCCGCTTCGTCAGTTGCAACCTTAATAGTCTCCTCTTCTTCAACAACATTCCCAGGCTTATCTTCGATTGCAACGAAAGATGTCCATTTCGAAGCCACCTCGAATCCCTCACCCCATCTAACACCTTCACGTTCAATTATCTCGTCCCATTTGCTTTCCTGCTTGTCTTTAGTAATTCCTTCAGCGCTGAGCAGACCTTCGTGAAGATATCCCGTGCCGTTTTCTAATTCCTGCAAGAAGCTTCGAGCGGCAAGTTGAGAGACATCTTTCCCATCATCAATCTTCAAGATGGGGATCTCAAGTTCCAGGATATCGCCAGTGATGGTCTTTGCTTGTAACTTAGCAACTTTGGGGAAGGTCTTCGGGCATGGAGTAAAAACTACATATGCGTTGGTCCTGCTGAACGAGAATAGTGGTGGGATTACATTTGGTGATTGAATCTTGGCTGGAAGTTTCGGAAGTGGGGGAAGATGGGCCCAACGAGCCTCATCGGTGTCTTTGCTCTCGTACTCTGGTGGAGGATCTAGCTCAGCAGAAGTGTCAAAGAGTGAGATTTTCTTCGGCTCCGGTGTCGGTTCTCTCTCTTTTTTCCCCGATATAATTACTTTTTCTGGCTCTGCGTCCCCGAGCATATCGTACTCATCCTCATCGGACGTGGTAGTAGTAGTAGAGCCGGAAAGCTCAAGTGTATAGTCGCTTACATGCTGGCCAAGCGCAGCACGTAACATACGAACGACTTTGGAGTCTAGCTTTTCCTCGAGCTGAACAACTTGCGAATAACCACCACCAACAGTAGCGAGGCCATCGATAAGAGCATGCGAGATACCATTACCAATGCCTAAGGTAAACATCCTAACTGTCTTGCCCTTGCACTGCTCGCGGACATAATCCATGAGCTGGTCTCGTTGCCAAATGTCACCATCTGTCAACAAAAGGAGCTCGAGATTGACATCTTTATACCTACGCTCGACAGCTGCTTTGACTGGAGGGAACATCTCTGTACCGCCCATATCCGCCTCGAACCCAGCGACGTGTTTTTGAGCTTCCTTAAGTGTTTCCTCGCTATAGGTCTTTGACTTCGACCAAAGGAAACTGTGGGAGCTACCGAAACTACAAATGTTGAACTTACAGCCCACAGGTAGGGATTGCAAGAAAACAGCGAGCGCCTTTCGAAGCTGAGTTTCGTTTCCGCTCATGCTACCAGAACGATCGCAAATGAATACGACTTCTGGACGAGCGACCGGCATGTTAAACTTTGGCACAAGGGTCACCATCATTGAAGCTGTATCCTTTGTAGGATGACGTTGGACGACAGCAGATGGGTGCCCAGACCTAGCAGTCTTGACCAAAACAACGAAATCCTTATCAAGACTAGTGGTCTTGGCAGACAGTGTAAGAAGTGCCTTTTTCGGGTCAAAAGCTTCAGACGAATCGGAAGCAGAATGGGTTCCCATGCTAAGCCTTGTAGCATGGGCTGGAGCTTCAACCATTTTAATCGGGGAATCCATTTCTACGAAAACTTTGATACTCATTCCGCCGTCGACGTCGACCCATTTATCGGTACCGCGGAGAACAGTCCACGACCCCCACCCAAGTTTACCGACACGGTAACTGTAAGAGACATCTCCATTGAGGATTTCTTGTGGTGGAGCTCCGTAGCGAGACGCAATATATGTTGGGAGATTGAATCGGATCGCGTCCCTTTCACTGTCATGTTGCAGCTGGGCGACACAAGTAATGACAACCTCGATAGAGGCACCAGCTGGGACATTTCCCAGCTTTGTTTGCCAAACATCGCTATCGGCGGAACTCAAAAGACCCGCAGTCTCCCCGCGAGATACTGCAGCATCGTAGGTAGCCTTCGCCTTCGGTTTTGATTGTACAATACCGTTCAGAACCTTATCCTCACCAACATGGCAAGTAAAGGAGGTGATTGTTTGAGTGGTATGCAAAGGGAAGACATAGTTAGCCTCGGAAATGGCCTCTGTTATGGAAGGGTTCTTGAAATGTTGTTTTAAGACCGTGCGCGAGTAAGTTGGGGTTAGTGTGATTTCTGTAGTGAGGTTCAGAAGCGGGAGGGGTTGAGGGGTGTAGGTGCCAGCGGGGATGTAGTAGATGCCGCAGCAAGTATAGCCGTCAATTCGCTGCATCTTGACGATATTATCTTGGAGTATACCGATAGATTGACGATAGGCGGTCCGGGGGTTTATATGAAATTGTACAAGTAATTCTGGATAATTGTATCTATCTAGCTCAATTCAAGAGCAGTGGAAGCCAGATAATAGCTAATAAGTCAGGACACTCCAGTAGACTATAGCGTTTCGTTTGATAGGAATATATTTGTTGATGGTGTTAATTTGGAATGAGGAGAGGAAGAGGAGACGATTTGAGATTATCGAGGGAAAGGCCTTCTCTTATAGACGATGACTAGAAGCGGCGAAAGGCTCGCAAACTTGGATCCTGCCTTGAGTCTCTGTTCCATGGTGACGTTGGATAGAAGCGTGTTGCGGGATCTGCGGGGTCCCACAGCGACCCCCAGACTACCTCGTTACATTGACTCCCAGAAGATCGTTGCTAGATTCGGCGAGACGCCGCATCGAGGCATTCAGCCCTGAGTACACCTAGTAACGGAGGGCAGAGCATTGACCTAGTCACAGCCACGCGTCGGAACATCCCTCGAACTTCAATCGACTGCCAACCTTCAAGTTCAAGAATCTTCAACATAAATTCTGTCTCGAAACTCGTTAACGGCGGTGCCAAAAGTGCAATCCTCTCTCGCTACGGCTAGCCGCATATGCATGGCAAAGCATCGCAAGCAATTTAAAGATCCTGAACAAGGTTTAAACCCCTGACCTTGTCGTACGGGCTACCACTGGTCTAATGCAGCAATTTTGGGCACGACAAACGTCGAAAGAGTGGACAAAACAGGTCAAACGAGGGTTCAAGGCAGAGCTCTGCCGTCACCCGCTTATCAAACTTCTCAAACTAAAACAACAAACATTCGATTTTTTGTACCTATCTTTCGACTTTTCGTACAATTTATAGACCTTTTGTACTGAACCAAGAGACGGCTGGGGAATATAAAAGACCTCATAAGAGTCAGAGTCCAACCGCGTACGTAGACCTTTGCAATTTATCCATACCTTTCAAGCCAACAGTTTGGCGTCTTTTCAGGCTGCCTGGGGAAACTGTCTTTTGGATTCCTGGGCACATTAATTGTAATTCGCCAACTTACAACCAAGCGCAAGCCTTTTTGTATCAGACAAAGTCTCCCGTGTGCCTATAGATATAGATCGCTAGGCAATAACTTTCATAAAACTAGCAAGTCAACCCGCTTTAATAATATCGGTACCGGTACTAAGCTTCACAACTACGTGTATACCCCGTTACAGGAGCAGGATCATGGCATGCATGCTCGTCATGATTGATCGCAGTTTCGGGACTCGTGGATCCAACACAACGCCCAAAATCCAACATACTTCCCAACACGCTCCTCATAGTGACTCCTTTGTGACGTTGCTAGGAACTAGTTAGGTTTAGCTGGCCTGAGGTCTTTTGAATTATGATTAACACTATAAGTTAACAGACCGATATGAAATAGCTTAAAGGTCTGATCTATCGACCTTCTCCGTATCGACTCTAGCGTTAAATCACTGCAAATGTCGCATTTAGGGGTTTATATCCCGACCTAACAGAACATTTCTAAAAAAACCATCGATCGAATATTTATACGTATATACGTGGAGTGCCTAGTCGTCAGTCATGGAGTGATGCTGTTCCTAGTATATAAAATCACCCCAATTGTCATTAATATACATATATGCCATTTCCTCCGAACGGCATTCCATGCTCAGGTCGGCGAAGTTTATACGTTTACTTATACCCCGCAAATTCTAGTTTACATATAGATGGTGGTTAGAATCTTATCCCTCCAAGAATAATACACCCCGTTTATATTGCGCTTGTGACTAGTTAATGTCTAACCAAGAGTGCACTTCAGGTTCCACGGATACTAGGGTATGTCGTGGCAACCCGAGCCGTTGCGTTTTAAGGTTAAACCTGACAACGACTGGAACTCTTGAGTTCACTACAAGATAAAAGGTCAACCAGTCCCTAGCAACTCCCTGATAACTGCTACTTAGGTACCTACGTATGCCAAAGTTACAATAATCTGCTCCTGATTAATATATGTATACTAAATTTAACGTTATAACGGTTAGACCCCCGCCTTTGAGATACCACTTGTTGATGTACTGATCATTTCAAGGAAAATGAGCTTTAGTGTAGCTGCGCAAGGAAAAGCTTCACTCTGTGCCTACCCACTAAATTTATAAAAAGATTGGTCTTGGTGCCGCCGCACAAAAGTCTGGTTACGAGACTGGGCTCCCGGGGAACAGCAGGCGCATGGCATGTCGACAGGCGGATGAAAATGTGTTGTCGTGATATTTCAGCTTGGATTCTTGATCAAGGCATGGACCTACTTGCTAGTTCAAAGCTTCGAACGACGCCATGATTCACAGACTTCAAATTGGTCTCGCTAACTATCGTGTTAAAATTATCACGCACACAGGCAGGCTGCCAATTGAGCTCGAGTCCATTTGCAGCTGCGCATGCGGCGGTGGCTCAACAATGTGTTGTTATTGTTGCAGTTTTGAGCCAACAGCACCATAGAATCTCTATACCGTTTTTACGAGACCGATACATATATACCGTCAGTACTTACCTAGGGGTATATAGCATACGGAGTTGGTGATCTTCTCTAAGTCTACTGAGTTTATCCCAATATTAGTCTCGTATATTGCAGACGCGGTCCACACCCCGTTTGATATAGTTGTGAAATGTGCAAACTCAATGTTAATCCTAATGGCCCATATATAATTGTGAGATCACGAATTAAAGAGCAGCTGGATTTGAGGATAGATCATGAATTGATCATGACCTGGCCTGATCAGCACATGTACAAAACCACGAGGACCGTATATATAGGATTGAATATACCCGAATAATTTTCAGATTAGCAGACATCACAACCGGTCTAATCCGATCGACTGCTGTTCAATGAAACTATTACTGCGACGTGCCATCCTAGATTATTGCCAAATCCCATAGTCCCCGGAGAGTTTATCTCAAGTCCCTTGATAAATTTTCAAATAGCTCTAGAATGTGATACTAAATCCAAAACGTAAGATTCCTTCCTTTGATATACTGTCTGGGCCGCTTAAACCTGGCTACGATGAGCGTATCCAAAAAACAACTGATTCGTTCCCACGTTATATATTACTTTTCATTGATAGAGAAGCGCGTTAGCGGATGTCTTCATATACCTTTAGACTTAGTCTCGTTCCCAGGTTATACTCAAATACCCTTGCAATTAATTGACGGGGCTTCTCATTATATACCCACAGCGACAACAATCATAATGCCGCTAGAACGACGTAGAAATTCACAACCAACGAAAATGGCAATTATCACTCGCTGTTTATAATTGTATTATTGATTGATTTATAAACTTGGTAACTACATTGGTTGGTTAGTTCAATTCGTTAGTGTTGCGCCGCGGCGCCCCTAGAAGCTGCCGACAATCAGACAATCTCGAAAGCTTTGAAGTGAGCTAGGCAGATCTCGAGGAGCTTTGTTTTTAAATTTTCGATAAGCAGTCTGGGTAGTAAAGATAACTATGGCTTGCGTGAATGGAAAGCCAGACGCCCAAGCCGGATGACTAAGCTGGGTATGAGAAAACAAGCTAAAGTCTAACGAGATATTCGTCCAGCTTGCTTTGGGGGTACTTGTTAACGTTAACATAAGTAAAGAATTGAGATCGGGAGATTTCCGTCATCTTAGAGCGGAACTTAGCCCACGTATACTGCACCTTTACCAAGGCAAGGCGGCCGCCGTTTCGAAGAATGTGATTTCAGATCCTGTCGAAAATTTAAGGCGTACAAAACCTACACAGGCATATATGTGACAAAGGAAAAGCGCCTTACTCGATGATTTATTAATCCCGCGAACTAGCCTCTGCAGTAACTGCCTCAAATTCATGGAATGTAGCATTACCTACCACATACGTAACACAGCTCGCAGAGCAGGAGACAAACCCATTACCAAAATTTCCGAGTTCTGAGAGCTCAATATTAAATTATGCTAAAGTTGTCATAAAGGAGATCTCGTTATGTATCAATTTAAAGTGGTGCGGCGTGGGGAAGTTTGAGAGTGGCATGTGCGCATCCCTCCCAGCGTGGGGTTTTACAAACATAGGTTTGGGAACTCATACTGGTTTATTCGTGGAGTTAAGCAAATATCTGGCAAACTTGTTCCAAACGAATCACTTCAAGTAAGCCACATATATCGCTCAGTTATTAGGCCTAACCAATAGCAGAATACTCTTTTCGGAGGCATGTGCTCGCGCGACCCTCAATATTGAGTCTACCCCGCATATACGCATCGCATCTGGGTGCCTCCTAAAACCGCATTGGGTTCCGCAAATCAAATCTAACCGTCGCAACGTCAAAACCTGGAGAAGCTCTGTTCTAAGGGTTTGCGCCCTTCAGTGCCACCTCGCCGAATGTTATAGTTCCATGCAGCAAGGAAGATCCCAACCAATAATTTGGCATCCGGAATTAATTTACATGGCAAATAAACCCAGATTAACGGCTCTGCCATGCCCATGAAAAAGCAATAAAAAACGCATTATCGATTATCGGGACGAACTTTCGGGATCGGAGACTAGGCACTTCGCGTAACAGGGCTCAAACAATCGTGATCCTGGTCTTCAATTTAGTGGGGGTTCCTTTTCCCCCCACTCGAGATTCCAACGTTCTCCATTCCGAGATCATGAAGCTATTGGTGCTCACGGTTTACGTTGCTAGCATTAATTTGCTATGTTGAAAAAGTGCCTAGATATAAGGCTCTGGAAATTCAATCATCAACTGCGGTCAAACAGGGGAAGATCCGAAGTACTTCTCCGATAAATGGAATATAGCCTTCAAAAATGGACCGTATACGAACGGGTTTACAGGGTATACCAATCGCCGATATATTGCAACCCGAAATACTCCCATTATATTAGCTAACGTCATAGGAAGAGGCGTCACTTGTTAAGTTCATCCTCAACAGGTCTCACCAACTCGATTTTGTTGGGTAATATTATAGA